CTCTGAAATGTTCGGTCGAGGTGGCTGCAGGTCTGCGGTGCGATGGAGTTAGCATCAGGAGAAGGATGGTAGTAGAAGCAGGTGTGGTCTTGGTTTATATGGGCGAGGCATCACAGGCATCAAGCGCATGAACGCATGACGGATGCCAGAGAGGCGGCTCGACCCGGATCACCGTCCGACGGCGTGTCTCCTGTCAGGGAGAAGAGCGGCTGCATGCAAGCGCGACACAGGCGACACAGCCTGGCCATCAAGCTATACCAAGAGAGGAGAGGATAGAGGGAAAGAGAAGGGTGAAGGAAGGGTAGGGCAGCACTCACCTAGCAGATGTGACTCAGTCTGCAGCCCAGGCAGGCAACAATGAGAAGACGGCNGGGCAGATGGCACAAAGGTGTTTGTTGCGCTTCNNGAGGTGGGCGCGGTAGGAGGATGGCGGGGCAGAGCAGCAGCAATACGCCGTGCGACTGAAATATGGCAGACGTGGAGTAGGACACTCGCACGAGCAGGGAAGCGGCGGACGGCGGGGTGCTTTGACGNNCCCGGGGGAAGGTGCCAAGACAGTTGACCGAGTCAGCCGGTGAGGAATGTGTCAGAGAGAAACNCCCCGNAGTACAGTCTCGAGGAAGGAGGGGTGGCTGCTTCACGTCGTCGTCGAGTGTGAGACGGCGGCGAGAGAAGGAAGGTGGTGGAGTGAAGGGGAAAGGACGAGGGAAGGGCGAAGGTGAGTCGAGTCAATTAGCACGACCCCGTCTTTTGCTGTCGCTGCTTTCTCCAGACTTGGCCGTTTCAAGGCGGTCAAGGGTCAAAGTGATGTCCGGGCGACTTGCGGGCAGGGCTTGGGGCCAGGGCGATCAGCGCGGAGAATAATCAAAGAATAATCAATGATGTATATTTATTTCGATCGAGCCAAGTAGGGTACGAGGGTCTGTACTGATACTGTGTTGCAGCGGCGGCGTGCAGGATGCGCTACCAGAGGACTTTGTGAGTAGGTAGCAGAGAGGCTGTGGTCTAAGCGAGCACAAGCAGCAGGTTCTCGAGCGACAGATGATGGAGCTGACCAAAGGGGACTGATCGTGTTGCGCCGTCGAGGAAAAGGCGGGCTCCGTATACATATATACCCCCGGATCCGTCCAGACGCCTCTCACCCTGAGGCTCTGGCCTGTAAAGGAGGGCGACCGTGACGACTGCACTCGAGATACCGTCTCACGCTAGGGCACGACAGAGTGACTCGTGTGCAGGACATGATCCACATTGCCGGAGCGCCCTGCCTTGTATTCTTGTAAATGCCCTTCGCAGACTAAATTCATGTATGTACAAACGGCGTCTGAGCGCGTCAAAACCTGCTGCTGAGCCACAGATAGCAGCGGCCAGCCATAGCTTAGTCGGTACACACCCTCCTGTGCTCGCTCGCACGCAGGCAGCTTCGTATCTGCCAGGTCGTTGCGGCTTGCCCCAAGCTCAAACGGCGATAGCAACAGCAGCAGCAGCAGCAGCAGCAGCAGCAACCACAGCAGCGATCCAGCGATCCTCGCCCCCGAGACAGACTTGTCAAGCATGCAATCTAACATGCCTTCGCGTCTGCGCTGATATGATCTCGGGTCGGATGTAGAGACAAAACGCCCTTGACACCGGAAAGACGAGGCCGGCGACGCCTCTCATCACAGTCAATAGTGCCTGCACGCAAGTGTTGCAGCAGAGCCGGGAGAGGTTGCGGAGAGGGAGAGAGCATCGACATTAAACAGGATGCCAAGCTTTAGGCCGCTAGCTCGGGCCGGCGCTGGATTGGCTTGAGCGTGCGTGCATGATTGGGAGGAAGCTCGGTGTGGATGGGTGTCGTCCTTCCGAGTTGGAGCTTCGAATGCCACAAATTGCGCGCGACCAAATCACAAGGAGCAAGTGCTTGTCCGGCGGTGCCTATTTTGACACAGAGAGTCACTTGGGCCAACTTGTCGCCGATCATCTGCACACTGCACGCAATCCCGCGCCTGCAGTCCAGCCGTAGACGGACGAAGCTCGCCGTCGTTGTCGTCGTCGTCTTCAGCACTGCAGCCTTCGACCACCCTCTGCATCCTCTGCACTCTGCACCGCCCGCACCCAATCGGTAGTTGCGGAGCGCTGTCGTTGCGGTTACGCTTTCCAAGGACGCCCACGCGCTCGTCCCGTTCCCTGCCGCACGCCCCTGCAGCAGTTAGGCTGCGCTACACGTCGTCGTAGCCCGTCCAAGTGTCCTGTTTCGTCCTGTCTGTCCTGACCCGGCCAGTCCTGTCCTCTGCTACACCCATCCCCCGCTCGCCGCTTCTGGACGCAACGCTCCTCCCACCCTTTGCCATGGCCTCTTCATCCTTCCGTGACTCGATGAACTCGCTGGGCTGGAGCCGCAGAGAGCCCGCCGCTACGCCTGCAACGACGTCCGACTCGTCCACCCCGTTCCTTGGCAAGCTACAATCGCTCAATCCCTTTGGACAAGGAGGCTATGTCAGACTGCCTCTGTACGAGAACGAGGGACCAGGTGCTCCGCTGCCTGCCCGCACCCGCCGCGAAGAAGAAGAAGGGTGGTTTGCGCGTACGTGCCTACGTTCCTTCTGATATCATTACTTTCCCTCACCATGGTCTACGTCGTATAATCTGGTGCACGAGGTTCCAGATAGCTCCGAGCCAATCTACGCCCACACGCGCTAAAAGCCTCTGTCTGGGAACGCAAGTGACCATGCCAGAGAGCTGCTGCGTTTCTTGAGCTATTCTGCCTTGGTTTGTGCGCACCGCTGACTTGACATTCCAGTCAGCCGTTGGGACCGCTTGCTCGTCTTTGGTGCCCTGAACCTCGCCGCAGTCGCCCTTTTTGTCGTATGTTTCACTCTGATGCCAGTCTTGACCCTGCGGCCCAGAAAGTTTGCAATCCTGTAAGTCTGCTCTATCTATCGAGGTGGTGTGCCCCCAATATGCCGCATCCCCATCGCCTCTCTTGTTCTTTTTTCTTGTCCCTTGTCCTTGTCATATATCAGCAAAACACACTATCGTCTTTTGATATGGCGTTTTCCTGCAGCCACGCGCGGTGGGGTCGCCGAGTGGTCGCCACCCCGCCCAGCTTCGAGGCCTGGTCATGCGGCTGCTCCCATGCCTCCCTTAGTTCCCGCTCCAGGGCACGAACAAGATTGCTAGCGCCTTTCTTAATCCTCTCACCAGCCTAACATTCCAGTTGCGCGGCCACCTTTATCTCGACTCCGCACTGTCACTCGATTTAGCTGCTTTTCCTGATCGCTCCAATCCCCTCGCCTACTCGCTCTCTGTTTACGGCCGCTACGGATAAGGCTAACGAATCACCAGATGGACCATGGCTTCAGTCCTCTTCCTCACCTCCTGGGCTGTCATGATGGGTCCCTACACATACAGTGAGTTCTGCTGCCTGATTGCGTTGAGTTGTAGATTTTCCTAACGGCCGTACAGTCAAGCACCTGCTTTCGACCGAACGTTTGCCCTTCACTGGTACCTATTTCGGTTCCATTGCATTGACCTTGTACTTTGCTCTCGGTGTAAGTGAAGCTTGTTTCCGTTGTTTACCCTATCGTAAACCTCAGTCATGCAGACAGATTGTGTACTTGTATACACCTCCCTCTGTGACTGACTCGGCATTACGAAGCAATGTACACCAGCTGACCATTCATAGGGCCACACTCTTCTGACCCTGATATCCTCCATCATCCAACTCGTCTGCCTGGTGTGGTATTTGGTAAGCTATTTCCCGATGGGCTCTACCGGTCTGCGCTTCGCCGCCAGGTTTGGAGGCAGCCGCATAACCGCTTGGATGAACGAGTAATCAGCGCATTTGTAGACTTTGGTGCTATTCCACGAGATAATCAGTGTTCGGTCAGCCTCTTACCAATCGTTTCCATGACTTTTACTGTACTTCTTCATGCACCGAAATTGTGGCTTGACGGCGGCTAGGCGTTCTAGCGTACTGGTGGTTCGTACCCGTCTATTCGCGTGCTGCTCCTGAACCAGCCATGTCGACGAAGGAACATCCAGAAGCTGATGGTACTATGCCGAGACAATCCGTTTCCCTGTTTGAGAGAGCACTGGGCAACGGTTGACGCACGTACTATCACTTCGACGTATCCACAATCCCTGTAATAGAAGCATTTGTATATCTCATCTGGCCATGGCGCTCCGCGAGCTGATGGGCTTGCTGAAAGTGTGGTGTGCAGCGACCAAGCCGGCGAAAAGTGATGACGATATTCAAGAACGTTTGATCATCAACGTTCAAGCCGCAGGCTACTCACCATCTAGCCAGTCACATCGATGGCTGATTTGCGGTGAAGAGGTCATGGCCGCGCATGATACATGGAGGGCCAGCGGTTAGGACTCCGAGGGCGGTTTGCCTTTTGGCTGCAAGATTGAGTTTGCGCCATGTTCTCGATCTCGTCGAGAATTCTCCGTATCCTTGCAACAACCTGCAAGGGTCGCTTTATCAGAGGCAGCGAGTAGTCAGGCGCAGTTCTAGGTCACAGAACGATTCAGACCATTTCCCGTATCTTGACGAGAGCATTTATCCAGATTTGCCTCGGTTTGACCATCATATCCGCGACGGAATTCTGTGTGCTATCAGTACAGCTTCAGCTTGGATCAAGCTCGCGATGGTGATTTGCGCGATGCGCAGTCAGAAGGACAGCGGGCTCTAAAACGGCCGGACCAAGATTTTGCAACAGCCAAATTCGACCTCACTTGTTGGAACATCTTGGGTTCATACAGATGTCGAGAGTCGAGATGCCAAGAACATGGCAGCACACCTTGGTACACGATGCAGAGATCTTTCGATTCTGCTTTCTTCGGAGTGAGGAACCAGCCATTTTTCGGCAGATGATTCGGGCTCCTCTGACCGACTCGACCCCACATCATGCCCCACTACTCCGCTCAGTGGATCCTCACGCGGTTGTCTTGTTGAAAGCGCATCCTGTGTGGACAACATTCCTTTCTTTCTTGCTCTTTCTACAGAAACATACTTACAGCATCTCAATCTTCCACGATGGCCCTTGCAAACAAGAAGGTAGAAAAGCTCGACCGTCCCGACGAGTACCAGAAGATATTTCAGTAAGCGAATCAGCCCAGCACCAGCCTAGATCATCCCCGCTGACCATCATGGAAGCTGGGCAGAGACGCAGAAGGATGGCGCCGTACCTTCTTTCGCAACCCGCAAGAACGATCCCTACGAGGTAAGCACCATTCGCTTCAGTATGTCTCGGTGAAATTTGCTGACTATACTGCAGTATCAAGCTGGGTTCAACAACCAGTATGATATGACCCTGCATGAGAAGGCATCTCGTTGTTCTGGGTCCTTTGGCAAAGCGTGATCCCAGGAGGTTTCTTGACTGCATACGGACAGCCTGCAATGCAGTGTGATGAGACAGCTTGAAGGCATAAAATCCGAACGTGCGGGCTCAGTGAACTGCATTCTGCATCTCAACAATCATCGAGGCTTGAAGAGGCTGCTGCAAGGCGGCCAAACTCACTCGATTGTTGGTGACAGAACGCCTCAATCCTGACGTCTATTGCATGTCTGAATCTTTATGCCTCCTTGCGGTTCTGCCTTACAGTACCGTGGACCGCTTTGCCATTGACTCGGAAGAACAAAGAGTCCCGTCTCGATTACTTTGGTTCCTTTTGCTGATACAGGTATCTATTCTAGCTTCGAATCAGAAGCCGTCCCTGGGACCATCCCTCGCGGTCAGAACAGCCCAAGATGCGTGCGATTCGGTCTATACGCAGAACAGATGACTGCCTCAGCATTTGTTGCACCAAGACATCTGAACAAAAATGCTTGGCTCTACAGATCGCGGCCAGCCGTCGCACACCAGGGGTTTGTACGTCTGTCTCAGCTTGAAACCCACCACTCTTAGACCTTCCCCATCCGAACGAGGGAAACACAGAAGTTTGATCTAACTCGCGGACCAAACAGNACGAACCTTCCTGACAATTCGAATACCGAAGCCAACTTCTTTCCAATCAACCCGCGCGTTCATGTTTCACCGACTCAACTTGCCTGGCTGCCCTTTGATGTTTCCGACACGAAACACGACTTCGTGGAGGGGCTATGCTCCATTGCCGGATCGGGCGACCCAACCTTGAGGGAGGGTTTGGCGACACACGTCTTTACAGCCAACGTCTCGATGGAGAACAAGGCATTTGTCAACTCTGATGGTGATTTCTTGATTGTGGCTCAGCAGGGCGCACTGGACATCCAAACTGAGTTTGGAAAGTTGTACGTCCAACCAGGAGAGATCTGTGTTATACAACGAGGTCAGCGCTTCAAGGTTGGCGTCGAAGGACCAACCAGAGGCTACATCCTCGAAATTTGGGGTGCAAACTTTGAACTGCCAGAACTCGGAGCGATTGGTGCCAATGGGCTGGCCAACGCGAGAGATTTTCTGACCCCTGTTGCGTACTACACGGTCACTAAGGACGACCCGTGGAAAATTGTGTACAAGCTTGGTGGCAAGTTCTTCGAAAGCAGACAAAACCACTGCCCCTTCGATGTGGTCGCCTGGCACGGAAACTATGTGTATGTCTTGGTTCCTTCCCTCCCCTTCTGTCCTTATTTTTACGGCCGCAATCTGATTGTTCCATCTCTCACAGGNCCTTACAAATACGACTTGACCAAGTTCGTCAACATTGGAAGCATCAGCGTCGATCACATCGACCCGTCCATCTTCTGCGTCTTGACGGCTCGCTCGCGCGACCCAGCAGCCCCTCTAGCCGACNNTTTTCTCATCTTTTCTCCTCGCTGGGACGTCGCCTCAAACACGTACCGCCCACCATACTACCACCGCAACGTCGCTTCCGAGTTGATGGGGCTCATCTATGGCGAGTATGCCGGCCGTAGCGACGAGTTCCAACCAGGAGGTGTCAGTTTCGAATGCGGCATGGTGCCCCACGGCGTGGCGTATCAAGAGTTCAAGGCCGCTTCCGCACAGCCTCCTCCAGAGATGCGCATCTCTGAAGGTGCAGTAGCTTTCATGTTTGAGAGCTCTAGACCCTTTACCGTCACCGATTGGGCCATGAAGAGCGACAAGCTCCACGAACACGATCCAGCCATGTGTAAGATATTCTCCGCACGTAACTATACTTCAACGTCACTAATAAAACTAGGGGATGATCTGGTCGACAACTTCTCGCAGCATAAGGACGAGGTTGACGAGATACTGAAGAAAGCGGGGAAACTGAGCTTGTAGGCGCAAGCATTTCATGTGGGATGATTGGTTGTCATGTACTCTGGTCTGTCGATAGGTCATTTGCCCAGCTACTTTTGCATGTGAAGATGTTCGTTTCTTTTCCTCTGGGCGAATCTCAAGCTCGTATTCCCGACGATGTATGTCTCTTGTGCGCTAGGTAGAGATACGAAACAGAGTAGGTGACACTTTGACCGGTTCTCGTCTATTCGGCTCTGAAACCGGGTCGTTTCTGATGTCTGTGACGGGTTTTGCTTTCTCCTTTCATGTTGCTTTTGCAGCGCGCATCATGCGTGATGGCGTTTCGTCAAAGTGAATTTATCTTCGTATCACACATGCTCATTTCCCTGATGTTGCTCGGCCCACTGGCCATGTGACGAAGCGATTCAGAGGCGGCCGCCTGTCAAGGCCGACATGCTCAAGCATTTGCTGCACATACGCCATACATATATTCTGACAGCCAATCATTCGGATATCGCGAACCGCACGAGTTAGCAGAGACACGGCAAGGCGGATTGCTGCACACAGCCGATGTCAAAATCCGTGCTCATCTTATGGTCCGTGAAGGCGTCGACGGGTTGGCGCAGAACATGTTTCGGGTTCACGAGCGCCGCTGCGTGACTGCGGGCGCCGGCATTACAGGAACCACCGGTTTCAGTGCATGTTTGTCGACTTTTCGCTTGGATCAATCGTCATCGTCGTCGTCGGATGAGTAGGCCGCGAGACCAAGTGCGGCAGCGGGAGCCGGGGTTGTTGAAGCAGCAGCGGCCGCTGGTGCCTGGTCGATCTTGGCCGAGACGGCCTTGTCTATCGCTGCGGCGGGCGGTTGCACAGCTTTGGCTGACTGGTTCGCAGGCGTAGGTGCAGGACTCGACGGCGACTGGGTTTTGTCGTCTGATGCCGCCCCTGCTGCTGCTCCTGCGTCTGAAGTCATCTGAGTCGCTGATGAAGAGCTCTTGCGCAGCTTGAGACCCGCAATCACTTCCTTCTCCTTGGTTCGTTTGCGCTTGCGAGCGTTGAAAGCCCAAGTATCTCCTTCAGATTGGTTGCTCGCTTCAGGTGCATCTCCCCGGGACGCTTTCTCAGTATCCTCTTGCTGGCGCCTGAAAGCTTCGAGTCGTTCGGCGGTTTCTCGTTTTACAGCCTCCTCCTTGGCTCTCGTCGATTCCATTACCGTGTCCAGGAATTCGACTTCATCTTGATCCAATGATCTGAATTGGTTTTTGAGTTTGGCTGCCTGCAAGAACTTCTGTCAGTAAGTGCAGAGTCACGCTCAGCGGGTTCATCTACCTCTTCAAAGGCCTCCTGCTTCGCATCTGGAAGCTATCAGCATGCCATCTTGCAAGGATGACAACTATCATCAGCGATTGATGTTCAATCACACACCTTTATTAGCCTGAAGGACCTCGTACAAGCTCTTTCCTCCGTGCTGCCTGCTTTCGTCCTCCTTCTTCCGTCGTGCAGCTTCAATCTGCTCCTGCGCCTTCAACCATTCGTCATCGCGTTCAGTGGGCTTGTCCACAGTTCCTCCCGAGACGAAGCGCGACATAGTCACAAGTCCTGAGCAATGCACGTTGAAAGAACAGCTGGACAACAAACATGTCGGTGTTTCTGGTTCGGCCAAAAAGTGAAGCTATGACGGCGTTTGCTGGCTCGAGCTTCCGGAGCAGATTGAGCCGCCGGCTAAATACCAATACGGCAGGTGGGCTGGTGGGGTCAATGGTTCACAGTGCAGGTACATGCGAAGGTGGAAACAGGCTGAAAGTGTAGAATCCCTTCGCCGCATCATGGCCCGCTGGAGCACGAGATAGGTGGAGATGGTTTGTTGGAGTGGCTCTTAAACGTTTCTTCCGTCTTGCTCCAACTTGTCTTCTTTCTACTCACTACCACCAATTCTCTCCACCTCCCAATCACATCTCAATCAACCGCAATCATGTCTAACGAATGGACCAAGAAGACCTTCACCCTTAACACCGTACGCTACACCGTTCTTTCCCACAAGAATCCAAATGTGCTGACAAGACACAGNGGTGCTAAGATCCCTGCTGTCGGTCTCGGTACCTGGCAGTCCAAGCCCAACGAGGTTCGCGAAGCCGTCAAGGCCGCTCTCCTCGCTGGCTACCGTCACATTGACACTGCCCTCGCCTACGGCAACGAGGCTGAGGTCGGTCTCGGTATCAAGGACTCTGGTGTCCCTCGTGAGGAGATCTGGATCACCACCAAGCTTGACAACCCCTGGCACAAGCGCGTCGAAGAGGGCATCACCTCTTCGCTCAAGGATCTCCAGACCGACTACGTTGATCTTTACCTCATGTAAGTCTGCGCCAATGGCAATATTCGACACGTAACTGACGTATCCAAGNNGCACTGGCCTTCGTCCACCGACCCCGACGACCTCAAGAAGCACTACCCTGACTGGAACTTTGTCGACACCTGGTAAGCAATCCTGATGGGCTTAGAAAGCTGCAAACTGCTTACACGACAACAGNNGAGAGAGCTCCAGAAGCTGCCCGCTTCTGGCCGCGTCAAGAACATCGGTGTCTCCAACTTCGCCATCAAGAACCTCGAGATCCTCCTCAAGGACGACTCATGCAAGACCGTTCCCGCCGTCAACCAGGTCGAACTCCACCCCAACAACCCCTCCCCCAAGCTTATCGACTACTGCAAGGAGAAGGGCATCCACTGCACTGCCTACTCCTGCCTCGGCTCCACCAACTCTCCTCTTGCCCACGACGAGGCCTTGAAGAAGATTGCTGAAAGCAAGGGCAAGTCCACTGCCCAGGTCCTGTAAGTTTCTCACCAAGCTTTCTGCCACATGAACTCGAGCTAACATTGCAAAAAACAGNNTCTCATGTGGGGTCTCCAGCGCGGAACCTCTGTCATCCCCAAGTCCGTCACCGCTTCCAGAATCGAGGGCAACTTCCAGCTCGACGGCTGGTCATTGACCGACGACGAGATGAAGCAGCTCAGCAGCCGCCCCGATCGCTTCAAGGTCTGCGGTGACGCATGGTTGCCTGTCAAGGTCTTCTTCGGCGATGACGAGTAAACTTTCCTGAGCTTGCTGGCAAGCCCATGACTTTTCCAAATTGTAGATACCATACCTCTTTTGATGCCACTTAAAAAATCGAACTTATGAACTTTTTGCCACGAAACCATTATTTCCATTTATTTGTTGTGACAACAAAAACATGACGTGATGGTACCGTATTCGTATAAGCATTGCGCGGAGGGCACGCGACCAAAACCTTGGCGGCAGGGCGCAGCTCATGGCAAACGTGAGCTGTCTGTCTTCGTCTCATCTCTATTCGTCGCCGCCGACAGAAACGGCTTGAACGTCTGTTGTAGGTCACTTGTCTTGGTGGAACTTTGTTGTTTTGCGTGATATTGTATATTCAAAGAGCTGGCCCCGAATTGTGGCCCTGTTCGATTCTGTTTTTTTTTCCCTTGCAAGTTGCACGCGACCATTGGTAGCAAATATACTGTGCTTGTTCCTTATTTACTTGTAATACCATACCTCTTTTGACAGCATACACCTTTGATTCTTCTGGGATATCGACATGGCGTTGGATATGCCACCAACCAAATTGATAATAGCCTATGTGCTCGACTGGGTCTTACTCATGTAAGCGACAAAGTCTACCGAAGGATATACACATACCTGACCACCAACAGTNGCCATCGTAGCAGTGGGTGGAGGAATAAGTTTCGCCAGGCCATACCATCGTCCCTTTTCTCTCATCGACCTCGCCATCAGTTACCCCTATGTGGAAAACGATGAAATCTCAACAGCACTGCTGGTCGTTCTTTCCCTGGTATTGCCAGCTGTTGTCATAGCAGTTGTGACTGCATTATTTGTTCCAGCCTTTTCACGCTCCCGTCTTCGCGATCAACGATACTGGAAGCGCAAACTTTGGGAATTCAATGCTGGGTGGATGGGTCTGGGACTCAGTTTCGCACTTGCCTTTTTCATCACCACGGGCATCAAGAATCTCATTGGAAAACCGCGACCGGATCTGTTGGCTAGATGTCAACCTGATTTGAACGATATCGCAGCGCATGTGGTTGGCGGTTACGGCCAAGACATCTCGCAAAGATGGACCTTGGTCAGCTCGTCCATTTGCACGCAAACAGATCGCAAACTCTTGAATGAGGGTTTCCGCAGTTTCCTCAGTGGACACTCGTCGATGAGTTGGTCAGGCCTNTTTTACCTCTCCCTCTGGCTGGCCTCCAAATTCAACATGCTGATCCCATATCTCGGCCACGGTGCNCCTCCAAGACGCAACGATGAAGACGATATCGAACAAGAAGCCAGAGAGCGTGCAGCCGCGCCTCCAGTCTTTGGTGCCATCATAGTGCTAATTCCTGTATGTCTCGCCTTTTTCATTTGCTCGACCCGCTATGTGGATTTCAAACACCAGGGTATCGATATCTTTTCTGGTGCCGTGTTGGGTATCATGACTTCTTGGATTGGATTCCGTTGGTATCATGGAAGTCTGACCAGAGGACAACCTTGGACATGGAGTCCTAGATCAAAGGACCGTGCTTTTGCTGTTTCTAGTGGGACGAATGGGTGGATTGGCGATGGGATTGTGATGAGGGAGAGGGTGCAGAGGGGTAGGGATCTTGATGTTGACGTCGAGGCTGGTAATTCTAGTGTTCCTGCTGTCAAATAATTAATCAGGCGTCGACGGAGGTCAATTCTATACGGTATTAGCAGCGTTTCACAACAATCACACAAACATTTCAATGCTTCAACGCCAGATGATGAGCACAAATGGCGCGTGTGAAGAAGTGTCTAAGCGATAGAGTTCACGCGCGAGAAAGGAAGGGTCATTTCGCAAATGTAACTACCAGAATTGCACATCAGCTGAGCAGGAAGTAACGAAGCAAATTATTCATGATGCGATCTTGTCATGTACAGACTACAGCAACTCTCTACTTATATACAAAACAAATGTCATCAAAGTCGTTAGTAAAGTACCAAATCATCAACAAGACATTTTATTCATCCCAAAAACATCCTCTCTGCTCAGCCGATTCATTTGCTCTACCAAGCAATCTTGGCCAAAGGACCATTGGGGAACGATCTCACAAACACTTTTCTAACCTCATCCATCATCAAGATACCCAAAGCCAAAGGAATAGGGATCAGCCAAAACTCGATAGGTACGGTAGCGGTACCAAAGATTCTCTGGATACCGGGCTCCATGGTGACGAAGATGGCAATGGCGAGCGAAACAGCCATACCGGCCAGAAGCCATGGGTTGCGACGCTCGGCGCGGAAGGGGTCGGCTTGAAGAATAGACATGCGCTTGCTGCGTACACTGAGCAAATTGCCGAATTGCAAGATAACCAGGGTGATAAAGTAGACGCCCTGTCCGACAACATTGAAGTGGTTCAGCTCGTCTTGTGTGTATCCGTGGAAACCTTCTGAATAGCCTTCGAAAGCGAAGAAGAGGTCGCGGATAGGAATTCTCGCGTGGCGCCAGTAGTAGAGGAAGAACATTGCGTGTGCGCAAATGGTTTCCATAACACCGATGAAGAGGTAGGATTGAGCGTAAATCTTGAAGTTGATCAGGTGGTCCTTCTTGTGGTTGCGAGGAGGCAGAGTGAGCAGATCAAACTCTTCCTTCTCCATGATGAGCGACAAGCTGAGGAAAAGATCGGTAAAGACACAAATGATGATCATCAAGAACGAAGACAGAGGCGAAGGCACTCCGAAAAAGACATTGAGCAGAACAGGCCAGATTTCGGAGAAGGAACCGGCAGGCAAGAGATAGGCGATACCCTTCTGGAGATTCTGGAAGACCAAACGACCAAGACGAATAGCCTCAACGATCGAGTCGAACTTGTCGAGGAGCACCAGGTCGGAGGCTTCGAGTGCAACATCAGAACCAGCAGCAATAGCGATACCAACGTCAGCAGCCTTGAGAGCAGGTGCATCGTTGACACCGTCACCGGTAACTGCAACAACGTTGTCGCGGGCCTTGAGCTCGTTTACAATGCGCAACTTCTGCTCGGGGGTGGTACGAGCAAAGACGATCTCCTCGTAGCTGCATACAATATCCCAATCTTCGTCGGTGAGCTTGTTGATGGAAGGACCTTCGAGCAGCAGACTGCTGTTCACACGAGCACCCTTCTCATTGTCGTTGACGAATGTCTGGCCCTCGGCGATGGTCTCATAGGTATCAGGCTCGCCACTGTGGGTAAAGATGCCAACATTGCGGGCGATAGCAGCGCCAGTAAGTCCAAAGTCACCAGTGACCATGAAGAAGCGTGCACCGGCACGGCGACAAGAGGCGATGGTTGGGGCAGTTTCCTTGCGTGGAGGGTCGGTGATACCAAGAACTCCGATAATGGTCAAATCAGCGATACCATTCTCCAGAACCTCATCTCCGAAAGCGTTGGTGCCGAGAGTTTCGACAGGATGGTAGTGACGTTGACAAAGAAGGATGACACGTTCTGCGTTACGAGATAGGCGTTCCTGTAGAGCGCTGAATTGTGCCTTGGCATCGGCGTCAAGAGGCATCACAGAGCCGCTCTTAGCAGACCAGTATGAAGTTGCGAATGGCAGAAGCTTGTCGGGGGCGCCCTTGACATAGACAAGATACTTGGTCTTCTCAGGAGTGACTTCATAGTTGGTACCAACCTCGTCATGGAGCGTAAGCATCCACTTGTTCTTGCTGTTGAAAGGAATCTGGTATTTGCGAGGGTGGGCGTCAGGAAGTGTTTTGGTGGAGTTGGCGTGGGCGACCTCTGCGAACTTGAGTACAGCACCGTCGGTGGCGTTACCTTGAACCTCACGGTCCAGGACAGCAAGATCCATCGACAGAGGGTCAAATGTAGCATCGTTACACAACGCAGCAGCACGGTGGAGCTCGGTGAGCACAGTGTTTTGACCAGCCTCCATTTTCGACAGAGCTTCAGCAACAGTAAGCTGCTCGTCGACGAAACCGACAGTGGTGACGACCATTTTGTTCTCAGTCAAGGTGCCGGTCTTGTCGGAGCAAATAACGTTGACGCAACCCAATGTCTCGACGGTCGAGAGACCCTTGGGTAGGATATTGCTGTTCTTCATGCGGCGGGCGACCATCATCAATGTCAGTGCGACCGCGACTGGCATACCTTCAGGAATGAATGCAACAACACATCCNNTATAGTTCTAGTTAGCAATGAATGACAGAGGTTATACCAACTTGGAGTATGACTTACCCATCACGTTGTTCAACATAGCCACAACACTCATGTAAGATGGGTGATCACGACGCAGCCAACCAACCCAGGTCAACAGAATAGCCAAGGCAAGGACGATCGTAAGGCAGACGATGATCTTGACGAAACGGTTGATCTCCATCTGAATGAGAGTTGTTTGTTCTTTGGCACCAGCCATGGCACTGGAGATACGACCCATACAGGTGTTCTTTCCAGTCAAGACAACAATGCCGGTAGCAGAGCCGTTGGTGACCATGGTACCCATGAGACCAATGTTGCGACTCTCAAGGAAGTTCTTGTCAGTAGAGTCGACAGCACCTTCGATCTCATCGGATTCTCCAGTAAGCATCGATCTGTCGAAGCGAACATCTCCAGAGGTTGCCAACAGGCGAATGTCGGCAGGGACTTTATTTCCGATGCTGATCTTGACGATATCACCAACGACGAGATCGGTCGAAGGCACTTTTGTAGTTTGGCCACCACGGATGACAAGCGCGTCAGCTGGTAGGAGGTCGAGAATGGCGTTCATAGTACGGCCAGTGGACCAATCTTGGAAGGCCGAGAAACATGCTTGGAGGAAGATGACGATGAGGACCAGGATAGCAAGACCAAGGTTGTATGCTTGGGGGTTGGGGTTTCCCAATGGTTTNNCCTGAACAAACAAGTCAGAAAGGCTATGAAGTGATACAATTGAAAACACATACCAGCAAATGAAGAAGATGATCACACCAACCCACAGCACTGAGCAGAAGCCACCAAAGACATACTCGAAGAGCTTCTTGGCATAGTTCTGTCGTCTTCGAGGGAGCATGTTCTTGCCGTCGGTGGCAAGACGAGTCGAAGCATACTCGGACGTCAAACCCAACTCAGATAATGATGACAATCCATGTATCACAGAATCGGAATCGAGGATGTGGAAATCTAACTTCTCGAAGTGCTCTGCATCGTTTTGTCGCTTGTCTTCGACTTTGGGTGTCTTCTTGAATGGTGTCTTGATCTTCTCGCTGGTCGTCTTGGTCTTCTTGGTGGTCGTCTTGGATCTCCATTTCGATTCTGAGACGACATCGTTGACCGTCTGTGAATGAGCAACGTTAAAGGAGAGGGTGCGGAACTCAATTGGCAAACCCGCGGCGGCGGAAGTTGACTGTGCTCGGGATCTGATACTGCTGATGGAGTCGCGACTCATAGATCGTTGGCGACTGTGGCGACGTCGACGTTCGAGGCGATCCTCTGGCTCGAAGGTGATTCGAGAGCGTTCATTCATTGTGACGATAGGATCCAACTCTCCCTTCTCGATCGACGACTCCTGATCAAATGACGAAGACATCTTGAATGAACGTTATGTGTTGGTCGGATGGAGGGAAGGAGAAGAACAAGCAGGAATGATATTATATAGAAGACACGGATAATCTGATCAAGACAAGGATGAAATGTTAAAGGACGTCCGCAGATGCCCAGGGCGCAGGCAAAAAAAAAATGATGTCTACTGCCGTGGCCTCGGTCGTATCCAGATGCAACGTTTGGTAACTGAAATTGAAGGAGTGCTGAGTGCTGACCTTAGAAGAGCAAGACGTACCGTACCGCGCCACGCGGACTGCAAGATGCTTCAGATCCATTACGGCTGTGTGTTTCTCCTGTTGTCGTGGTTGCAATGTGACGCCACGTTGGTAAGGACTGTGTGAGGCATTTACGTGCCTTGAACTGGACCATTCTGGATTTCCACAAATCTACACATGCCTCTACCGTTGGGCAGCTTGCGGTATTTTCTGTCTGACCAATCCCCAATTCGCCGGGCACTCAGTACCCTCAAATATCGACGGCCGGGTGCGGAGCACAATAAAACTCTCCCCTGCATACGTCGTATTAACGGTCACGAATTGAGATCAAAGTTCCGAGTAACAAGAGGAAGTGTTTTGCGATTGTTTTCCCAATCCCCAACCAAGTCTACAAGACAAGCTTCGCCAAGACCCTAGCGTGGTTCGTCAAAATGCTTGGCTGGCTTTAATCAGTATGTTTTTGAGGGTGTAAACACTAGTCGTCGCCTGGGATTAATGTGTCGTGCAGTGTTGCACATGGCGCAAGTACTCACTGTTCGATCAACGGGTTGGGACTCACGGTAGAGAAGTCCTACCCCAGATGCTCTTTGTGTGTCGGACTTTGCGGTGAGTTCGAAGTCTTCGGCTGGGGTATTTTCCTTCAGTGCCAAAAATGCCTCAAGACATCATTACTGTGACACTCTTGAGGCGCAGCAAAGCCCACAAAGAAGGAGAGTGGTAGCGAATTGGCAAAAGACCGCCTGAAAAATCACCGTGTTTCAATAGTGAACACCGCAACGACCCTACGGCCCAGAAATTTTACATTAGCCGTCGCGACAGGGCGCGTCAGACTGAACATGTGTACAGTGTGTCCATACTGTTTTGGCCTAGGTGCACACATTGTGGGTCGTTTTTGCGATTGCTCAGGCGAGTGCCGTGTTTGTCGAAGATATTTGACTTCAATAGGGGATCCTTGGTTGCATGAGTTGCTTGCCATGGACAGAGATATGACTTGTGGCTCTAAGACTGCTCTGTAAGTCGTGACACAAGGTGGCAATCTCCGTCCACGTATCAGCAAGACCATCATGTGAGACGGCTTGAGAAGGTCATTCTATGTTCGGCAAGACTGCTCTTGATTGCCGACAAAAAGGAAGTTGTTGTGGAGCTTCTTTCTGCTGGTCGACTAGGAGGAGTTGCTGTAGGGGAAGGCACGTTTCTGTCGAGACTGCTAGTCCCGCTCGTGACAATCAACACGTTGGGAGGGGCTGCCGGGCCTGTGCAAATAGGTTTGATCTGGCTGGACGTCCCATCCGTTTCAGTGGAGCGGTCAAGGAATTTCTGACAGTCGAGAAGAAGCTGCGGCTCTTCGTTGATCATCTCGGTTGTATGAGATTCCTCTCTGGGTAAGGACGGACTTGTCTCATCCTCTAACTCCCCAGATTTCTGCGAGGCAGGAGGTTGTGAACGACGAGCCATGATACCTGGGTGACGTTCCAAGAATCGAGCGGGCCATTGTTTTCCCAGCGGACGCGGCAGCGGGTCGTCTGCAGCAAGATCTTCACACAACATGCTGTATGCTTTGTCATTTATCTTGCGGTGGAGCGCGCGGACGTCCTCTAGACTGTCGACATATTGACACAGGACAATCTCTTGCTCTGGGCTAAGACGTTGGCTTCCGTTCTTGATGCGGTCAGACTTGGAGGCTCTTCCAGCTGCACGAGCACGAAGTCGAAAATATCCAGATCTCTCGGTAATTCCATTGGCTCTTCCAGCTTCAGCCAAGCTTGTGAATTTGCCAGCCTTGAAATCGGTAATGGCACTGGTGATCTTTTGCTCGATCAAATGATATTCCAGGACCGGTTTTGGCTTTGAGGGTTTCTTCTCCAGAACTGGAGGATACACCAGCCTTGGTGCTTTTCGAGGCAGAGATTGGTCTTCGTTCACCCGCTCCATTGGTCTGGGAGAAAATGTGATGTTGGTATGTCCATACCAGAGGCGCAACAGGATTTGAGCCGCAGTTTGCGTTGAGTTGGGGATGGTATGTTCGGGAAGTTCCGAACCCATGAACAACATCAATATGACTTCCTTTACGACTCTCTTTCCTCTCCGTATGCTGAAAAGTGTCAGAAGATCACGATCGACCTTAGTCCATTGTGATATACAGTGATAATGCATAATCGCTTTTTGGTGCAGAGGTTTGGCCATGGGATTATCCCAAGACTGTTCTCACCGTGCATACCACACATTGCTATATCATACAAAGGCAGTGTTTCGGATTGTATGAATAGTTAGTGAAAGTACTTTGATTGATGTGGTTCACTTTTTTGAGGTGAGTGGAAGGGTTTTGATCACAAAAACCAACCTTTCAAGTGACGCTCTCAGTTCAGCGTGCAGACGCTCGTTCCGCTGTCACTTCGTGTCTCTTATCTACATCACCACCTGTGTCTTGGTCTTCTCGCTCAAAAACAGTCTCTACATCCCTCGATTCCCCCAGCTCTCACCTCTTTCCATATCAACTATCATCAATCCATCCCTAAGGTAAGCAATCTATGCACAGCTCACTTTTCCTTTCATGACACCACGTTTCCAGGCAACATGAGTGAGAACAACCAAGATGTCGCCAAGGAGCTCAAAGATCTGCGCGACAACAAGGAAGTTACAGACAAAGAGCTGAAGAAGCTGCACGACAAGATTGAATGGCTCGACCACTGTGTTGACAAAAAGCTTGGCCGGAAAAGACCATGTGAGTGTGTTGCATGTATGCAGACGAATGGTGGTATTGACATGATCCAGCAATTCGTGTTCTGAAATCCCTATCGAATTGTATCTCTCATATCGGCGCACTCGAACCCAAGGTGAAGATGTTGCTGAAGGACAGGGACGTCTCCAGACTGTCCAGTCTGGCCGCGGAGCAGGAGAATTTGAGGCTCCAGCGGGAGAAGGTGGTACTCCAGCAGGAGAATCTGGAGCTTCAGCAAAAATTAAGCGATCTCGAGATCAAGAACGAGCAGTTCCGCAGATTGTTGCGCGAACACAACATCGACGTCTACATGTTGCGCGACTCCGTTGTCTATGATGACGATTCGGAGTCGGACTAGGTCGGAGACTGAGTGCTCGACGGAGCCAAGGTATCAGGAGCACAAGAAGAACTTCAAAGCAAGGAAGCCAGTTTTCAATTAGTAGGGGAAAACACCAGATAACGCCTCGCTAGTTCCAGACAGCAGAACCTGGGCACATGAAGATGAAGAGAGCTTTTGGGACAAGATCAGAGATTGCCTCCAAGACCGATGACTCTGACACCACCCAAATCACCGGCGTATGCTAGCCAGTACCTAAGTGGATGCCATGCGAGAACATTGACGATATGTGAGGTCTCGAAGGTATGCACAGTCTCGCCAGTCTGGGCACAAGCAACGTGAATACCTTTGTCACCATCCTTATCCATACCGTGAGCGCCGCAGATATATGTACCGTCGAAGCTGAAGGACAGGCAGTGAATGCCGCCGGCCATGTTTGATAGAGTGTGTTTGCAGACCCAGTCGGTAGTGTCCCAGAGGGTGACGAGAGAGTCGCCGCCGCCAACAGCCACAAAGTCGCCGTTAGGACTGTGTTGAACGGAATAGGCGGCGCTGGTATGGGCGTTGAGGGTGTGGAGGAGTGTNNCTGGCGTGGCTTGTTAGTCGTGTATTGTGTCAGATAGTGATAATCAACGTACCATGCTTGGCCAGTCCAGGACCTTGACGGTGCCCTCACCAGTGGTAGCAAAGACTTCGTTGCCCGAGTTGGAGAAAGCCATCTGATTCGTCTGGGCACTACCCAGCTTGCGGCCCTCCTGCATGATCAGGTCCTCGGTGTTGGCCATGGCTCCCATGCGCACATCGATAGGCACAATGACATCGTCCCTTCTTCCCGCGACCAGGTGTTGACCAGTGGGACTCCAAGCCAGGAACAGACCACCGTCTCCCAAGGCAATCTCTTTCACGGGCACAGCCTTGTTGTGGGCACCAGGGCCTACGCGCACATCCCAGAGCTTCACAGTTCCATCGCTACCGGTCGTGGCAACCTCGCCCTCGCGCACCGGGTTCCAGACAATCTTTTCTACACTTCCGACATGACCCACCAGCTCCTGACTGCTCTTAACATTCGGACGATCGGGGTTCCAGATGCGGACTTTGGAGCCAGAGGTGGTGGCTAGGGCGGCGCCAGTCGACGACCAGGCGAGATGGCGGATGTGTGGAGGGATGCTGCTCGGTCGCGCATTCTCGCTGAAGAGGACGGGCTTTTGGCCTTTGAAGGTTTGCGCAAAGAAGTCCTTCTTGAGCGGGCGACTGCGCGCGGGCGCCGGCATTGTTTGAGGACTCGGGGTGCGTGATGCGTGATGCGTGATGCGCGTCGATGCGCTTGCGAACAGAAGAGGGCTGCAGTCGGCTTTGGTCGTTTGTTGTTTGACTGGGCGAGAATCGAGATGAGGGCAGAATATTGACTCAGTCGGGAGCAAATGGCGAGAGGGATTGAGTGGGATTTTTTGGAGCTTGACTTGTTGAAGTTCGCTTTATCTTTGAGCATGAAGCTTGGTCGTCGCTGCACTTTCGACGACTCTGTCCAACTACAAGATAAATACAATATTTACATTACCTACTTATCGAGACAGCCATCTACAACCTTGCGACAAATCCGCTTTTGTCAATCTTGACCAGATACTCCTTGGAAATATCGTCGACCTTTGTGACGCCAGCAAGACCCATGGCCAGCCTGATCTCGTCCGAGAGCAGGCGCAAGCACAGCTCAACTCCTGCTTGGCCCTTGTATGCCAGCCCCCAGAGGACCGGTCTGCCAATCCACACAAAATCTGCTCCCAGCGCCAGTGCCTTGAACACATCGGTTCCGTGTCTGATGCCGCCGTCGACGTGCACTGGGATCTTGCCCTGCACCGCTGCCACCACCTCGGGAAGCGCGTCCAATGTTGCTAGTGCGCCATCTGTGAACATCTGTTAGTATCCACTCTCATGATTTCATCGACACTTTATCTTACTCAGCTGTCTTCCACCATGGTTGGACACGACAATGCCATCGACGCCGTGGTGGACCGCCAACAAAGCATCTTCTGCTGTGGCAATGCCCTTGACCCACACCTGCATCTCGTCTCCACACTCCTTCTTGAGCCACTCAATATCTCGGTCCCATGAGAGTGTTGGATTGGCTGCATGCGAGTGGAAGGTAATAGGCCCCTGTGGCACCACTCTGTTGCCCTCGCCATCTGTGTATCCAGCCTCACTACCTCTTCTAGTTGCGCCTTGACCTCTCTGTTCGGCCTCGGCCTCTGGTTGGTTGTCGCCCTGACCCTCAAAGTTGGGAATCTTGAAGTGTGATGGCAGCTTGAACTGATTTCTGATTTCGAGATTGCGACGGCCGAGGATAGGTGTGTCGACAGTGAGGAAGACGGCCTTGTAGCCTGCCGCCTTTGCTCTCTTCAACAGCTTGACACTGTGGTCGCGCTCCTCAAAGAGATACAGTTGAAGCACATGCGGGTTGTCGCCACTCGCCTCGGCCACATCTTCCAGTGTTGTCGTTGCAAAAGAAGAGAGACCCATGGCAATACCCATCTTCTTGCATGCTCTCGCGGTTGCCAGTTCTCCGTCTGAATGAGCAAGCCTTTGCATCGCTGTTGGTGCCACTCCCAGAGGAACGCTGTTCTTGTGTCCAAATATGTTCACGCTGGTATCGATCTTTGATACATCTCGCAGAACTCTGGGTCTGATACGATATTTGGCATAGGCGTCCAAGTTTTCCTGAAGCGTGCTACCTGAATCGGCGCNCCTGTAGTTGACTTAGCTCTTCTCTGCCTACGACCGGTCTGTTCTGGGTGTTGCACTTACCTCGTTGTAGTAGTCACGAGTCTGCTTGTCCATCATGACCGCAGCATGTTTCTGCAGCTCCGAGATGGTCAAGCAGTTCAAATCATGAGGCAATCTTTCCGACATCTTTGCGAATATTCAAACAAAATATAACGATATATGAGACAATAGATGACAAGGTGAGAGACAAGGACTCTTTCTCGAACACAGCGGCAACACCAATATAAGAAAAGAAAGTCAGCTACGTCAACTTGCACGCTATATCGAGTGGTAAGACCTCGGCATGACGACCCCGAAGCCGGAGACACTCAATTTTCCCCAGGTTTCGGGACTGCTGTGGGGGTCGGACAAAACTCGCTGGCTGCGACAATGATATGGCTTCCGCATCTCCGAGCCATCGAACATGATATTTGAGATAGAATACTCCCGAGTAAGTGTGAGAGAGATGACTTGGTCTAGATCTTGACTGTACGGTCTGCTTACCTAGCAATTACTAGAGATTATGAATGACTTGATGACCTGAGTCTACCCGGGTCGCTTTGTGCTCGAGCAACTTCTCAATAATACTTTACTATTGACACGAAATTTTGCCCATCTGGCAGGAACCACTCGGTATATAGCTATCAATACAGCTTGATCGACAACAGCGACCTGCAAATCGCCCCAAAAGACAGAAAGGCTGTCAATTCGTGGAGCATGGCAAATAAAGGCCATCAAAGGGTAAGATCAGGGTGATACTGCTAGCATCTTTCTAGAAGCCAGTAGCACGAAAGTGTCGCGCGTCGCGTCACCCGAAACCATGGACGTCTCGGACTTTTTGTCGTTCTCTTATACTACAAGCATACAAACACTACCTGTGCCTCTTGAACACTTCCGTCTCCGTATCAACACTCGAGTATCAAGTATGGCATCAACAAGTAGCAACAAACGCCAACGCCTGAATCCACCCACCGGATACCAGCCGACTCCACATTACGAGACATACAACCTACCGCACTACGAGAGCCTCGAAGACCAACCTTCAATACATACGAAGAGCCTCTCAACAGAAAATCACATTCACTAGCGAATGACATACAGGCTCTCGAAAAGTTTGACAAGGAAAGAAAAGGGTCATTGCGTCTTTGACAATTTCGAGGAAGATCCTGGACAATGTCAAAAGGGCTACTGTGGATCCTTCAAGCGCTACATTTTGATGACCGTGATGATGACGATGGGTATGGGGATATCGATGAGCAGGTCTTGCTCAACACATCGAATGCTATTGAAGGTTCGGCTTCTCAGCCTATTTACCGTATGAGATATGTCTTGACAATTACCTTGGAGAGAACACTATCGTCATCGGAAAGATATATCGATGGCTACAGCAGACAGATGTTGGAATGACTCAAACAGGCTCGCAATGGTTTATATGCAGTATCGCGCAGCGACAAAACTCAGACTGTATTTTCACGGTCTCGCAAGTCTTGACGATTGCGAAGAAGACATCTCCAAGGTATCCTGCTCTCGCCACTGCGCTTACCCCGTCGTATGTATGCCTTGTTCACCCAGGACAGAGTTAGACACTCATCACTACACGACGCTCAGACGAATACATCAAGCACCTTGCTCGATCTTTCACCACAATAGCCACCCGATCTGACACTATATCGACTGGAGCAAAATTCGAAACCTGGTAAACTCCTGAGATGTATGACACGTATGCGATTGGAGAGCAGGTAGCCGTCAATCTTTCTGTCTCGACAAGTGCGATCTTGCTCGTGGGTGATTAGAATACATGCATAAATTATACTAGGTGGTAGATGGCATCTACAGTAAGATGGAAATGAATCTCTGATCAAAGATCAAGCTTTGTTGTTACTTTACTAGGTTCATTGTACCTCGGGTCAGTTTATACTGAGTATTCGTAGACACAATGGCTCAGGATGGTGAGCATGTACTTTGCGACCAAATCTGTATGTTCATCCTGCTCTCAGCATTGCTTTGTCATCCCCTCTTGTTCAATCCCTCTTCTTCTCGATTCTGGGAAGTGATATCCAGAACAGCCAGATGACAACCAAGAGTGCCAGAATGATTGGCTGAAGAACTTGCACACCCTTTGCTTGTGCAATGACACCNNCTAAGGTAAAAGTACGATTAGCATGAGCACACAATTTGGAGGCAAAGGCTCCACGGCTTACAGTCACGAACGGGAAAATGGCGGCGCCCGATCCACCAAAGGCAGCGGCGAATCCGATGCCACTAACATGCAAGTGCTTGGGTAAAAGCTTGGTTGTCGCAACCACAGCGGCTGGGAATAATGGACCCAGGAAGAAGCCTTGTAGTGCGACCGCAACGGCAGAAACGTAAAATTGCGGAACGAGCCAGAAGAGAAGTTCGAGGCCAGTAGCGATCGGAAGGTAGATGGCAATGGACAGCTTCTCGCCAATGCGTGGTGTTACGAAGCCGAGTACCAGTCTGCCGACCGTGATTCCGAGCCAGAAGCCAGTTGCTGTCATTCCAGAGGCGAACGCACCACCGTGACGTTCTCGAAGCATAAATGTAGTGATCCAGCCACCGAGAGCTACTTCGATGCCGACGTAGCCTAGCAGGAACAAGGCACACAGCCATGTGACTCGGGCACTAGGCATAGTGAGCAAGGCCTCTTTCATTCTGTTGCCCGTCTGGTCGGTGGTTCTAGGATGTGCAAGACGAAATACTTCTCCAGTCTGGCCCCAGAAAGCCCACAAGCTTGTAGCGACTTCGACGGCCGCAAAAGCAANTCTGGCACTGTCTTTAGAGAACGGCTACGACAAAAGTTCGGGTCTGGAGCATACCATGAAGTAGTACCACGTCCACCAAGGCTTGTCGGCTTTGGTGATCAATGAAGTGGCGATTAGAGGGGCAATGGTTGCTCCCAGTCCATAGACTCCATGAAGGAAGCCGAGAACTTCGTTTGCGTTCGACATTGCCCCCATCCAGGCATTCCAAGCTGCATCTTCCAATCCGTTTCCGAAGCCAGCAATTGCAAAGACGATGACAAGGACTGGATACGGAGGGTGTACAGCGATGACAATGTATGCAAAGAGATGACAGAACGGTCCGATAAAAGCTACACCTCTCTGCCCAAATCGAAGATGTATGCTGTTGTTGAGTAAGGCTGACAGATTATAGCCGATGAGAGGACTAAGGAAGATGAGTGAAACAATGGTGTAGGAGAGGTTGTAGTGTATTTCCANACTAAAGCAAGTCAGCATCGTCCGAATAATTCAGCACAGTGGTAAGTTTACGTATGGGATGATTGCTCCATAAGTAGCATCATTCATTCCNNCTGAGAAGATTTATCACTACACGAAGCCAATACTCGTTTAGAAGATGATGGTTACCATGATCGCAAAACCCCAGAAGGCCGCGAATGTCCGGTAGAGGTTCGACCTTGGTACATTCCATCTTTCCAGTGCTTCATGGGAAGCGACAGTGGGAGAGGGTAGTGTTTCGTTTTGATCACGTCGTTCATGATCATCATCGAATTCATCCTGACCAAGTCTTCTGCCCGACTCCACTGGAAACTGTTTCTCAGATGCTCGTGGCGGAGAATTGATAGGCTCAAGTTCCATGACAGCTGTGGCAGAGCCTTGATGGCTGATTCGTCTTAACGACGACATGTTTGGATTCTTGTATAGTGACGAAAGTGCCGATAGTGTTGTCCAGCGCGAGTAAAGGGGATGTCTACTGAGAGCTCAATGCATCAGAACATCAAAGTTATTGCTTGTATTTGCCAGATATGTGTCGATGAAACTTGATAAGTTGCATCGTTTCTGATCACGCAGAAAACTTCACGGAAGAAGGATCATCTTTGTCTTCTCCAAGAGTGGCAGTCACGGGCTGTACATACTTCGGTCCGACAACCCGGAAACTCAGTTCCCCAATGGAAGGAGTACATGGGGAAAGGTGGAGAATGCATCTCGGCAAGACGGACCGTGTTTCCTGAGCATACCAAGCCTCCTCCAGATTTCAGAGAGCATTCGTTGACTCATCATCCACAACAAGACGGCGAGTACGGCTTTAAGTTGATACCGAGAATTGGTCGGCCAGCTGTCTTCTACACACAGTCCATAAGTACTCCAGTAACTCTGGTGCCTGCCTTACATCTGGATCTCTATTACCTCACATTGTCCACCATTGTACTCAGTATCAATCTGCTTACCACCCAACAAACATTATGGCCGAGTCTTACCAATCATCACATTATGATCGCCCTATCCCCGACATGAGCAAGCCATTCGACTTGAGATGTCCCGACAACACAGACCTCTGGCGTATTCCTCCATCAACGGATCGCGGCAACACACCTCACATCTACCGTACCGTGGCGGCCTCAGACTTCAAGTCAGCAAAAGTCACCGTCTCCGGCCCATGGACCAAACTTTACGATCAAGGCGGACTCTGCATGATCATCGACCTTCCTGGCGCCCAGCAGAACAAATGGGTCAAGACCGGAATCGAGATGTTGAACGGCAAGCCTCGTGTTAGTGTCGTTGGTACTGACACCTGGTCCGATTGGAGTTTGCACCCGGTCGTCGCGGCTGACAGGGTGTCTGCCACCATCGAAATGTTAGTCGAGCATGACCATCTGTGGGTCTATCTTATCGGTGATGATGGCGAACGTCACCCAATGAGAGAGATCACTTGGTGGAATGCCTTGCCCAAAGATGCACAGTGTAAGGTCGGTGTTTCGGCAGCGAGACCGGCCAGCGATGGAGGAGAATTGGTTGTGCATTATGAGGATTTGATCATTAGCGCATAGACGTGCGCGCGTCTGTGTTGAGTTTCAAGTGGCATTTACGTACGCTTCTCCAAGCGTGGTTATTACAATGATATTTAGCCCAAACAAAGAATGCTCCCGAACCGCCCCCAGAAACTCCTTAGGTGAATTGGTGACAGATACATACAGGTCGTAGAATTCACAATCATGAGATAAAGGTGGCCTCGGTGAAGAGAGTACCTTCCTCGATCTTCTCCTCGCCGCCGATCTTGATCTTGATGGGGAGCTTGGGACCGTACTGCATGAATAGTTAGCATCCGCTTGAACGAGATCCAACCCAAAAACTTACCTGGTAGATGTAGGGCTTGGTACCGGCCGCACCAGCAACAATCTGCTTGACGAACTTGGGGACCTCGGCCATAACGTCGACACGGTCAAGTCTCTCGCCGAGCGAGCCTTCGACAAGAGCCTCGACAGTCTGACCGTTGGCATCAGTGCCGTTCCACGAGAAGGATACAGCACCGGGCTCGGGCCAGCTGTTTTCAGGATCGCCCTTGATCTCGCTGTGCTTTGCGCTATTTGAGGAGCCTGCGCAGAGGACCTTGCCATCGACAGCGATACCGCCAACGTTGACGACAGTCGAGCCGTACGAAGGGGGCGTGGTGTACTCCATCATGACGGCGGAGTAGGTAGGAGATTGGTAGTTGACGAAGTTCCACTTGGCGGCTGCAACGATTGGTCAGTGATGTACAAGGCTCGTGGACAAGTCAGTTGACTTACCAGCATGGTGGGGCTTCATGCCCTGGAGAGCGTGGACAAAGAAACCTCTACCCTTGACATCGAGAGGGCCAGAAGGGGTGATGATGTTACCCTCGACCTGGCAGCGGGGCCAGAAGGCGTGTCTCATTGAGCCCCATGGCTTCTTGGGATCGGTACCGAAGTTGGAAGTACCGTTGTTACCAACGACGAAACCGGGAGCAGTCTGGGTGAACTTGAGATCGACGATGCTCTGCTTGTTGGTGTTTGACTTGATGTGGTAGCTGTTGCCCTCGTCGTTGAGCTCGGTGGAGCAGCCCTTTGCGCGGAAGTTGAACTTGCCCTCGTCGAAGCTGTAGTTCTCGAGAGCGTCCGAGGACCAGAGGTTGGGGGTCTTGCCGTCGGCGTAGAAGATCTTTGTGTTGAACTGGGTTGTGATTTTAATGCNCGCTGCGACTTGTCAGACGATGCAGAGGCCAAGACAAGGGGCCGAGACTCACGCAACGTTGCTGTAGATGACCTGAACCATGCAGATGTGACCGCTGTCAGTCATGAAGTACCAGGTCTGGGTCTCGACGCAGGTCGAGTCGATTGTGATCCACTTCATGTCGTTCCTGGTCAGCTCGGTGTAGGGCGTGGTCTTTGCCTGCTCGCTGACGGCCTGGATGGCCGAAGGGCCATAGATGGGCTCTTGGGTGCCGGCGACGTTGGCCAGCCTGAGCTACAGTCAGTGGCGGGCATGCAGTGTTTGTGGTTGCGCAGCGTACTGTTGTTTCGCCCAGTTCATCATCTTGGCGGTAGGTGGATAGAGGCGGTCGCGATTGACAAAGGGCTAGGAGTATGCAGGTGATGCTAATGCTGTGCGATCAGATGCTGGTCGGAGGGTTTGAGGATGTTGAGAGAATAACGAGCGAGCAGCTCTCTGCCCCTCGGGCGTCTAATCCCAAGATTACAGTCTTTGCGGACCTCTGCGCTACAGCCCAATTTGCAGAATGACGTACCGTCGCGAGAGATTGCATGGCGAGACTTTTGCAAACACTCCCTAACTACCAGTGTTTCCCTCTTGCACATGCCCAAAGGCTACTGCTATAGACTGATGCTATCCTCGGCGTCCATCTCAAGGGTGCCCCCGAATGGTGTGACGAGTTGCCGCGTGTTTACAACGTGCATCATCAAGCCCATCGGGGTGCTTTGAGCTCAACCCTGGCCCTGGCCAACTGAACAACTTCACACTCGACAGTCGAATCCTTTGCTCTCTGCCATGTCGCTGCCAGTCAGAATCATCTCGGGCTATAGAACATCCATCCACAGGCTACGGCAGCTGATAGGCAAGAGTGGAGCAGCTCTATATCACATGTCCATGTTTTGATTGCCGTGTCTGCGTGCTAGTTCTAGCCTACCAGGCCGCCCCACCGCGAGCAATAGTGAGCTCTAGGTAGCTAGCTGACTTGCAGCACTTCGTCTTTTGTCGACCAGTGTCTATGCGCAGGGTCTTGAGCAGCTTCAAGGCGTGCAAGCCACGACGAAAAAGAGCCGCACCCATTCGCAAACAAGACCAGTGAGCGCCCGCGCCGGGTAGGCGCATGTGGCCGCCGCGATCAAGGTCTTGTCTCTGTCGATGCCTCGGCCAAGCCTTGTAGAGGATGCGATCAAGGCTTCGTCGCCCATCTGGCTGCGGAAATGAGGGGCAGACACGTCTCTGCGCTTTGCAGCTCCCATCCTGACTAACAAGATTGTTGTGTGGCAGAAATTTTCTTCACAGATGCTTGTCTGATACATTGTTGGCGTTCACTCCCAAGAACGAGTCCCGTATCCTGCCGAACGATCCTCTTGCCTGCCAGAGGTTGAAGAAGAAACTGCTAAAATTTTGCCTTGGCCGTTAGCAGCCGCGTATGGTACTGAGTCAAAATATGACGTGAACAAGTTGCGAGCTTTCGTTTTGCTGTTCCATCGCATCGTACTTCTCCTCCTCACAGACAAGTGCACTGGTCACCAGAGCATTGATCAAGACATCTCCGCTACTGCATCTCCCAATCATTCAATACCTGTATATCGTCGCTCGGGCTTACCCTTACCGTGAGCGGTACATCGACTAGAACGACTCCGTGTGGACCCGTTTGACCAAAAGCGGCGTCTCGTTTAGCAACGCAGCAGCCAACAGCAGCAGCACGCGTTTCCTCGTTGCATCTCTCATACGCATCCTCGCACCATTCTCTTGCCCGAGTCTGGAGAGACCATCTCGTCGAGCGCATCCCAACTATTACTATTCCTCAATCCAATAATCGTCATCAACTCTTGAGGTACTGCCTCTCTGCGGCTAAAACGTCACCGCTTCGCTGGACCAGCACCGCGCTACAACACGCTGAAGCATGGCAACTCAGCGCGGAACAGACTCGCCTTCGCAGGCCGAGAATTCGGTTCGCTTTAGTACTCAGAACCAGGAGATCGAGCCAGAGCCCAACTTGTCACCCGTTCGCTCTCTGACTGGCCATGATGGACAGCAGAGGGAGAACCTGACTCCCGAGGCAGAAGAGGAACTGAGACAGCTCAAGACGACCCTCCAGAATGGCCTGCAATCCAAGCGCATGGAGCACTACTCGTTCGAGCCTGTCTCGTTGCCAGGCTCGCAGCCAGTCTCTAGGGTATGACTCGATTCAATGTGCCTCGTACAACTTCACTTACTGACGTGCCATGAACAGGTGCCCTCGGGTCAGTCTAACAGACGACCCGTGATGCCAGCAGGCTCCGCCCATCCCTCTCCTCGCCCATCACCCCCTGCTTCAGCCTTCCACTCTCCACCTCTAACTCCATCGGCATCTCGCTCTCGCGAAGGCAAGCCCGCTGCCAGCACAGCTGCCTCCGTGTCTCAACTGGCCATAGCAAGAGCTGGCGGAGATATCATGACCCCTCAGCTATCGGCATCGCAACCCGGCTCACGAGTCACTTCAACCGATGAGACTGGCGTATCCGCACACCCCAGACAACAGCCTCGCTTTTCACTCGGTCCTGCTGGCGACTCCGTGCCCCCNTCGCGCGACCAAAGTCCCGTTCATTCAGGTGCAAGCACCCCGACTGGTTCAGGAAGTGTAACGCCTTCTGCTACATATACGAAGCCATGGCCACAGGGTGACAAAGACGACCCGTACGCCCGCAGCAAAAGAGCCCCTCCCACTCGCAATGTAGACTCCATCGACGCCCGCTTCCGCTTTGGCAACAGAGATCCTCGCAAGGGACACAGCACTTCTGGTACTTCGCTGGTTTCCCTTCCTGCAGCAGCTACTAGCTCGAGTTCAGCGAGCCTCAAACCATCGGATGCCGACAAAAGAACAAGTTTCTTCGGCGGGAAGAAACACGATCATCATCATGATGATACTGTAAAAGACAAGGACAAGTCTGCTTCCAAGGTCAGCTTGAAGCGCTTCTTCAAGATTGGCGACAAGAAAGACAAGAGTCGCGCAAACTCGCCTGTCAGGAGCGGAAGTTCGACACCATCTGGTCAATCCCAGAGCCTACCATTTGCCGACGACCATGGACTGGCTTCCAAGTATGGTAAATTTGGCAGAGTACTCGGCTCAGGAGCTGGCGGATCTGTCAGACTCATGAAGAGAACTGCAGACGGCAAAACTTTTGCCGTCAAGCAATTCCGTGCCCGCCATACCTACGAAAGCGAGAGGGAGTACAACAANAAGGTCACGGCCGAGTTCTGTATCGGTTCGACACTTCATCATGGCAACATCATTGAGACGATTGACATCATCCATGAAAAGGGCAACTGGTTTGAGGTTATGGAATATGCTCCATTCGACCTCTTCGCGATTGTTATGACCGGCAAGATGTCGCGTGACGAGATCACCTGCTGCACCTTACAAATCCTCAGTGGCGTCCTGTATCTGCACAGCATGGGTCTTGCGCATCGAGACTTGAAGCTTGATAACGTTGTGGTTAATGACCATGGCATCATGAAGATTATCGACTTTGGTAGTGCTGTCGTCTTTAGATATCCTTTCGAAAACGACATTGTGCTGTCTACTGGTATGTCATTCTGAGTATCACGACAAAACAAGCGAGCTAACATTCTCTANGGCGTCGTTGGTTCAGACCCCTACCTTGCTCCTGAGGTCTACGACAACTCGCGATACGACCCGCAACCCGCAGACATCTGGTCAATAGCAATCATTTTCTGTTGCATGTGTTTGCGCCGATTCCCCTGGAAGGCGCCAAGGATTTCAGACAACTCATACAGGCTTTTCGTGTCACCTCCGGATCCTGGTCAGGATCAGCTTCTTGCCCAATCTCGACAATCTATCAGCAACGGCCCTGGAAAGACAGAGAATGGTGCTTCGACTTCGGGCGACCAACCAAACCAACAAATCAAGGGTCCGTTGCGTCTGCTTCGCCTACTACCACGTGATACTAGACATATCATTGGCCGTATGCTCGACCTCGACCCGCGCCGCCGTGCCACCATGGATGAGATTCTTGCCGATCCTTGGGTTCAAAACGCCTACGTGTGTAGACAAGAAGAAGGAGGAGAGTGCTATCACGCTCCTGGTCACACTCACGTCTTGGAGCCTGGCGGTGCGGCTCAAGCACCACCTAAGAAGTAGAAGTCGCCTAGATCTCCGACTTGGGCGAGGAATGGTCTCGTGGTTCTTGTAGTGTTCGGGGCAAAGCTCTGTCATAGAGTTGGATGTGGTGGACACAATTGGCGTTCCGGGGTTCTGCTACTAGATGTGAGATTTTTTGGGGCGCAAGCGACAGAGAAACAATGATGATGGACGAATTGGATGAGACCAGTACACTCGAGTAATACTTTACATATTCTTGCCTACAGGCTGTTATCGCGCCTCTTTCTCGTGCAGTGTACTGTACTGTACGTTTGATGTTGTATCACCAGGCCCTTCATGTGAATCGAACCAATCTTGGTACGCGGACGGGGGCGGCCATTAAGCTCTCACAGACTTATCTTTGATGTGATGTGCTTTCCGTGCATATCTGCTTGAACATGCAGTTGACGAGAAGTAGTGTCGGTGGAGAGCAGTCCGTCTGACGAGTCATTCCTCAAATATCCAAGGCGACCAATCAGGAAGTAGCAAGTTGAAGATAGCAACAAGCTCGACAGGATATGGTGGAGTTGTGGATAGGATTGCGCTAACACAGACACCAACCGTTATCTCTGTTCTCGAACGCCTTGGCGGAGTGGTGAACCAGTCATAAGAACAGCTCCTCGCACGTTGTTGTAGGAGGGTGGATTTGTTCATGAAAAGACCCTCAGCCAAAGGCCCGTGAGAGGGTGATATAGACCTAGTCATTTGAGTAAAAGCCCACGTGCTCTCGCGGAAACCAATAGAAAAAATGGTGCCTCGTCTGAGGCAACGCGTTTGTCTGGAAAGTTTAAGAAGAGAGCTGCAGCTCGTCGCCGTCTCTACACCTCCTCCGCCGCCCTCGCTCGCTGTCAGAGATACTTGGAAAGGAACTTTTCGTGTCGAGACGGACGACAATTGCGACTTTGCGACTACTGATTGCCAGACTGGTAGTGTAGGGGACAAAATCCCGGGCTTCAGGACTTCTGCCGGTATGCATAAAGCTCAATCTACCCGAGGCTGTTGTACTTGTACCTGTGCAACGTCTCGGCCTTCTCAGTCGTGCTTGGTTCTGATGCTTTGTGCTTTGGTAGTGTTCTTCACGTCTCTTCGAAGCAATCTCCACCTGGGCGCATCGCCCCCACCTTCGCCAATGTCGACACCCCCGAGTATGAGCGCAAGCGCCTCGCTGATCGGCCCACCCTCTCCTCTACAGAACGCAGTCGACGATGGCTCAAAAGTGCCCGAGGGACCTCTTGCAGGAATCCCAGATCTCAAGACATATGTCGCAGAGACAGAAGAGGAGAAATTGGCTGCCTTGAAGCTGGTCGCCGATGGAGTCGCTCAGATGCGCCAGACGGCCAACCGCATCCTGATGTTCCACCCCTTGAATTTGGCCGTCTTCATTGCCTTTTTGGCCTTCGTCGTCCAGTACCTCTACAAGACCCGTGGCGATTATGGTGTTGTGCTCACCACATCTTCTGGACTTATAATGGCGGCCATGGTCACCATCCGTCGCTACACCAACCCATACATCGCCATCGCCGAAGAAACCCACATCAGCATGCTGGAAGACGCCGATGTTTTGGTCACAAAGTTTGGCGATGAGGTGATTGGGACAGTCATCATGGGTTGGACAGACGCAGAGACAAAGGGCAAGAGACGCAAGTCGAAAGCCGAGATCAAGGGCTGGGCAGTAAGACTACGATACCGCGGCAAGGGTGAGGGTGTGGCCCTGCTTCAAGAAGCCGTCAACTTGGCCAAGAAGAAGGATGCCGATCGCATCTCATTTGCGCCCGACCACGCAAGTAAGTGCATTGATGTGCTTCATAACCTGACTCGTTTTGACAGCAGACANGATTCGAAGCGCGTTCTTTGGGACTTTTACAATGGGCCCTTCAACAAGAGAGAGAAGAAGGCAGAAGCAAAACTGCAATCTCTGTGGGACAACAACGCTAAAAGCAAGACCAAGTCGAAGAGAAGATGAGCGCGGTCTAGATTTTCTCGTCATATTTACATTCTGATACCCACTTCGTTTCTCGAGAGCACTGCCAAAGGTGCATCGAAACTTTCAACCTCTTCACTTCATTGACTCGCAAGCGCCTGTTCTAGTTGCAAGTCCAAGTGCCGAGACGGCTCAATGAAGCACACGAATGCTGCTTGTATTGCTACCGTCCAAACACGAGTGGAGAGCAGCAGTTACATAAGGCAAGACTGTGCTCCGAGCACTGTTGCCGTTGCTATCATCGAACGTGAACAGGACGTGCTTTGGTCGAGACCCTCAGTAGGATGCACAAACACCCGTTGCAAGTCTCACAACCCCGGACCTTTGCCTGCATTTCTTCTCAAGGCATAGCTATGTCAAGCCTTGCTTCATTCGGAGCCCGGAGTCGCTCATGTCCACGAATAATTGACAGGCAAGGCTTGAATAATCCTGCAACCACCTATGTCACTGAACAAAGCCACGTACGGGACGCTCCATTAACCATGAACAATATCTTGCAAGGAATACGAATCATTATTCTTTCGTGAGAGGGCATGTTCGCGATTTGTCCTTAAACGGTCTTTTCCTTCCTAAACAGCGCTGCCACGCGAAGCCTCACAGCCGACGCCGTTTAGTTCAACCAACGCTCCTATCAGCAAAACGGTTTTACAGATAGGAAGCCTCGCCGTCACCAAATACCTTTTTTCCTTGCTAGAACCGAGTGGAGTCGTCTCTGTTCTCTCAAGTCTGGCCAGAATCGCATTCAAGACAGCCCATACCAAGTCCCGGCTACCGAAAGAGAGCCGTATACGTTATATTCGTTGACTTTGTCTATCGATCTGGCAACGGTGCATGTCGCCGTACGCTCTAGCAGCTATGTAGACCCTGTTGGCGGAATGCTCTCAGGCTGAAGATATAACATTGATGTCCTGCTTGTTTCTGTGCATCTCAGCAGCAGCTCAGTACAATCCTCCTCGCAGATCTGTGGGTGTCATCGCCTCGACTTGTCACTTTCGCTTGACCATATTATCTTCTTGCATACTTTAATCTTTACCGCCATCTAATACCGTCAACCATGCGTTTCGACACTTCCATCAGCCAGGTGGCTCTCGTCTCCCTCCTCGCCGGCGCAGCAGTTGCTGCCCTCGCAATGTCAACGCTGTCGAGGCTGACATTGTCGAGCGTGCCCCGGCTGGTCCTGCCCTCTTGGTGGCCCCTACCACTCGCGTTGGTGGAGCTATCATCATCCTGCCCGAGTTCTTGGCCACTTCCATGTCCAAGTCTTCTTCCAGCAAGACAAGTGCAAAGATCACTTCTTCCAGCAAGAGCTCGACCAAGTCGTCTTCATCGGTCAAGACTTCGTCAACAAGCTCGGCCAAGAAGACTTCATCCTCATCTTCCAAGGCCAGTTCTTCGGCAAAGAAGTCTTCATCCAGCAGCAGCAGCAGCGTCAAGAAATCTAGCAGCTCCTCAAAGGCCCTTTCTTCTTCTGCAAAGACCAGCAGCTCGGCTAAGAAGACATCTTCGTCTTCAATCTCATCCAAGGCTAGCTCTTCCTCTTCAAAGGTCGTGCCTACCACCACCAAGATCCCTGCAAAGGTCTCTAGCATCCAGTCCAAGGTCTCGAGCGTCGAATCCAAGGTCTCGTCCAAGATCGCCAGTGTTGAGTCCAAGGTTTCTTCCAGACTGGCCTCTATCGCAACCGGGGCTGTTGCTCACAAGCCTTCTTCATCGTTGAAGGCTGCTGTTCTCTCCTCGTCTTCCTCATCTTCAGCATCTCACGCTGCTTCTTCCTCTGCTGTGTCGTCCAGCTCTTCGGTCGCCAAGTCTTCTTCAAGCTCCTCAGCTATTCCTGTTTCGAGCAGCTCGGTCTCCTCTTCTACCCAATTTTCTTCCAGCTCATCTTCGAGCCCCGTCAGCTCCTCTAGCTCATCTTCGAGCCTCAGCAGCTCCTCCACTGCAGCCCAGAGCAGCTCTGCCTCATCAAGCTCCTCTGTCTCTTCCACCAGCTCCTTTGTCTCTACCTCCAGCTCTTCAGCACTTTCCTCTTCTTCTTCTTCTTCTGCTTCTTCTACATCAAGCTCGTCGATCGAGTCTTCTTCTTCTTCTTCCTCTTCTTCTCCTGCCTCTTCTCCCACCCCCACCTTCACCGCCCCTCCAACGGCACCCTCCCCACAAACGACAAGTTCGTCTCTTCCATCATTTCCTCTGTCGAGTCACGCTTTTCCTCCGCTCTGGCAGCGGAATCCGTCTCCATGCCTTCTTTTACTTCCTTTTCCACCCCCACTGGCTTTGGAACCGTCCTGCAGCCCAGTGCCACCAGTGCGTTTGTCAGCAAAGTGGAGAGTGTGATTTCCAGTTATCTGTCCGAGGTCTCTATTAGTGTTTCTTTGCCGACCGAGACTGCTTCTGCTAGTGCGTAAGGTGTGAGAGTGGGTTTTGGGAAGGGGGTTTCTTTTGTTCTTTTATTTCTGGGGAATTTAATGGGAATGATGCATGGTCTTGATGATCGTGGTCGTAGAGATATTTGTACATACAATAATAGAAGTAAACTCGTTTATATCATGATGTTCGAGCCAGACCTTTTACCTCTCCTTGAAGACCAACAGATTGACAAAATAAATCCCCGCTGCCAAAGCTCCGATTGTAGAAGAGCACCGTTCGCGGGAAGAAAAAGCCACCAGTGCACTGGTTTCATTTCTAGTGCGTCAAATGGCTCTAAAGATTGGTGATGGTGAGGGTTGAATCAAGAACCTTGAGGTGCCAGCGTGGGTCGCCAACATCGAGTCTGTGTGAGACCGCTGGGCCAATCGCTGCCTAGCGATAAACCGATGGTGGCGATGTGATGGATTATGTTTTGGTGGTATATAAGCTGTGGGTGAGTGAGTGATAGTGTCTGTCAGTCAACATTCTTCTATGCTCGAATTGAGATATGACAGTCTTTACGGCATGTTTTCAGCAATCACCACAACACACATTTGAACAGCGTAGGAAGGTTCGGTCAGACAATGCTGTGAAGAACGCTCTGAACAAAAATTCGGGGTTTACAATATTGAGACTCGGATGAAAGATACAAGCTCTTTCCTTCTTACTGCCCGTGACGTCCCTCCTACTTCCAGACGCGTCATATTTCGCTCAATCCTCCCGTTTGCTGGTCAGGTAGGAGCTCCCTCCCCTCATCCCAAGTCATCCAGTTCAGTTGGCTGGCGTGCATCATCCGGCTCCATGATCCTTTTCTTTGAAGAAGAGTTCTGGCAATCGAGATCGAAGATTTTGATGTGTTGGTGGGTCGAGTCATGCTGCTGTACGGTATGTCTAGAGGAGAAGCGTCGTGGTGCCAAAGAATGTGCTTCAGACCACACAAAAAGTGTTGGTTTGGGGACTGGAGAAGGTCTCTGAACCCCTGAGACACCTGAGAATTGTTCTATGGTACGGCTGAAGGAAGCTCTTCTCTGGTAAAGCCGGTTGCTGTACGATAGATCTTGGAAGTCGGCAGACTGTCTCGCTCGCGCTTGCGCTTGCGCTCACGCTCTTGCTCAATATCGGTATGGTATGACTCGGGGACCCTTGAGGGACCNGGACGGCAGTCTGCTCAATTCGGCAGGAGTGGGTGCGACCTCTCTGGTGACGAACAGCATCACCTCGTCGTGGATCGGCGTGATGACGGGTTGACTATCATCATCTTCATCCACATACGGAGACCCTGACTGCGACATTTGCGACAGCTCTTCCCTAAGTTGTCGGGATGGAGAGTCCAGTTCAGCCTCTTCTTCCTCGGACGCAGACTCGTCTTTGTCTATAACCATTAATCCAAACCATTCGTCTCTCTCGTCCAGGAACGCCGTGTCTCGAGGTAACCTCTCCAACTCTCTGGCAGCACACTTCTCGCCTTCGCTGTACCACTTGATTCGTGTTTTGGGAAGTTGGTTTCCTTCTCGGTGGATGGTCATGGGTGGTAGTTCGTAGTCTGAGTCTTCGTCTGTGTCTGATCCGCTGAAAGAGCCGCCATCCTCGATAATCTCGTGGAGCTCGTCTGCGAGATTCGGAAAGCAATAGTAGTTTAGAATCCTGCGCTCTGTGATTGGCCTGATCTGGCTGCGTGCCCGTAGTCTTGTACGCTGCTCTTTCTTTGGGAAGACAGGTCGAGGAGAGCGCGGCCTCATCATCACATCCGTTTTCGGAGTTGGAATCATCTTCTGGGGTTCTAGTTGAGACATGTTCGATTGCGCTCTGGACGCTCCTTGATGTTATTGGCAGGTGTTGTAATAGGGGTTGTGGTCCAAGTTATGATAGCATCACTATGAATGTGTTGAGAGTTGTTTTGCCTGATTCCAGATCCAACACGACAGACAACAGCGGAAGATGTTCAAACTCCAGCGCGAGAAGAATGGTCCGGAAACAGAATCACGTCAAGTCAAACAGAAGCGTGATGTTTGAAGTGAGACGGACATAAACACCGCCACAGCTTTTCTCCACAAACGCCACACCACGCGACCAACGCACGTGCCGACACTAGGCCCAAAAGCGTAACCATGAAGGCCCTTGGTGAATTGATGGATCCAGATGCTCTCAAAGAACTTCAGGAGAACATCGCTGAGAAGGTCGCCAACAAGGAAGAGATACTCGTCCCTCTTCAGTTCCTCTACTGGAGCGATGGCAGAAAAGACAAAGTCCCTGGACCAAACTCCAAGATGACAAAACAAGACCCAGCCGAATATCTCGACATGCTAAGCAAGAAATACTGTATGTACAGCTAGACTTTGATGTTACAGCAGTGGACTAATTCTGTACANGCCAAAGAGTACGATGTCAACCTTGTCTTCACCAGTCTTCCTCTCCACTACACCGTCTGGAAACAGAANCCCCCACGCAGCGATCTCTACCTCTATGGCCATCCTCGCGGTAGATTTCCTTCAACCGACCAATTCACCTACCACGTCTGGAGCCTGCTGAACAACAAGGTCTCTGAGTGTGACTGTAGACTGTGTGAAGGTAACGTCAGAGGTCAGGGCAAGGGAAAGGACAAGGCATAAACATCAGACACCGCCACAGCGCTCAAGCTACAATTATGTAACAAAAATACAAACCTCTTTGCTTGTCTCGATGTACGACTCTCGCAATCCTAGAACGATTCTGATGCCATTCAGACATGTCAGGGGAAGTTGATAGACTGAACGTGAACTTCGGAGTTGCTGCTTGCAGCGAAAGTGGAGTCTCTTCCTGATCTGTTTACCGAAAATGCAGTCTATTACTCCTTCTGTTCTCATTCAACGGGAAGGACTGTCGAGCCTTGAGCACCTGATACAACTCCAACCATGTGGAGATGAGTTTATGCGATCTGTATATTCTTCAGTCTCTTGAGATGTCCATCTCGTCATTTACCGACGTCCTCAAACAAGATGTAAGTCGGGAGCTGTGCCACTCATTTTCGATCACCTCTTGCCATCCCGCAGTAGTTAGCGAGCCGTTGACAGTCTCTCTGATCGAAGAGATGCTACTGTCTCCGAAGCCAAATATTTCAAGCTCCCTGGCCGACCCAGGTTGTGCAAAGTCCGGTTCACCTCTGAGAGCTGGATCGGTCAGGAATCTGTATGCCGACTCTACCTCACGCCAGCAATCAGCAATGTCGGCCTTCCCAACTTGGGCGGGATCATCCAGAATTGTGTCATCCGGGTCTGGTGCCAACTTGACGTAAAGTTTTCGTACGTTTGATGAATTGCCCTTGTATGTGATTCGGTCAAGTGGTGAGCCGATGTGATTGCCAAAGGGAAAGACGGCCTTGTACGATACCGACCACATGTCCATCTCAAGCCGGAATGCTCTACCTACCGATGCCAAGATGCCTGGAGGATTCTTGTGGAAATACTCGTACGTCGAGTAAGCTTCGAGAAATGAGCCTTCATTTACAGCCATATGAGTCCATGGTCTGATGTAGACCATGCTTGAGAAGGCGGGTCTACCGTACTCGTTGGGCTCCATGACCAGTTCCACTGGCTGCATCATGTCATAGTCGCTCTCAGAGGGTGAGCGACAATGGTCGGCGATTTCGACTGGTCTAGGCTCCCTCCATACCGAAACCAGCTGCATTGACATGCCCGGAAATGCCCAAGCGTCCAGCATGTTCATACTACACCCGAGCAGGCAAGCGAGCTTGCTTGGAGGTGCTAGAACAGTGACTCTTGCGGGATCTAACTTCTCGAAAAGCACGTTCCAGAAGGCGTCAGTCGCAATCAAACAGTGTAGCTCATCACGGATGTAATCGAGGTCATTATTGCTGAGCTCTCCAGTAGCAGTGACGATTAGAGACTGTACAGCATGGCTTGTGCTGCCATTATTCGGCGACTCGAGAAATGTGAACAAGCTGGACAATTGTTGGTTTAGTGTTGCAGTCCATAGAGCGGCTTTATCTGTTGCTGCGTTCTGCCAAACGTGTCTGTATGGCAGTCGAATATCATGTGGATAGCCCGGATCGTTGAAAAGCCATTCTCTGAAGCTGGCGGTTATAGTGTTTATTTTTGGTGCAAGTAATAATGGCTCGGCTTGGGTTGTAGGAGTTTGGAGGCGAAGTTGTAGGTGCGAGTATAGCAAAGGTGAGACTAATCGATACCAGGTCTTGGATACGAGAATCAAGGATTTCAAGGGTTTACTTGTCAAGTCAGGTGAATGGGTCAGATGGATGTCAAGCGTATTCTTCTGCCAATTCCAGGACGGCGGCGGGGCCACAAGATATGTCAAGATGTGGGATCTTATTTCATCAGGTAGCGACTCCAGTCCTGTTCTCGCAGTCTCTGACATGATGCCGAGAGGGAATGGGTCAAATGATGAAGGTAACATGTCGGATAGACACTCCAAGGATGGAAGCACAAGTTCATATCGTTCTTGCGTTGCATCAACTGTCCGGGGCTATCTTATCGCCCGGCTGGGGAGGCCCATTAGCGCTGTCATCGGTGCCAAGGTTGTGGGGAAGGCGCGACCGGACGCGACTTCCGCCTCGCGAGACGAACGCGAAAATGGGACTGGCAGCAGGAAGGCATTGCTGCTGCTGCGAAGTGCGACAGTATTCGATTAGACGCAGCCGACTTGTCTTTACGTGCTCACCATCCCATGTCGTCGTCAAGGCAAAAGTCGTTCTTTGAGCAAGACCACAGCTCCAAGGTGAGCAAAATTGATCATGACGAGACGCGTCGGTCCAAGTCTAATGCACCACAGTCGAAACGATGGCAGGGCAATCGCAGCTTCGACAAGAAGCCCTTGACCAACGAGGCCACCGCTAGACCCGTACCTCCGACAAAGCCTCCAATTCAGCCTTCGACCGAGACAAAATCAAAGTTGAAGGCCTTCGAGTTCGCCCGCCACCCTGACAAGGAAAACCCATCCTCCATCGCTGCTCCACTGTCACCTGTCAAGCAACCCCAACCGCCATCTTCACCCACTAAAGTTGCACCCTCGACCCCGGCCATGCGCCTACCTCTTGCTGATCTTATTGGAAACGCCGAGGACGCTTTACGAAGACCCACGCCGCAAGAAGAGTCGCCCATCGAGGAGATTGGTTGGATAGCAAATAGCTCACACCCAGACTTGACTCCCCGCCAACGGAGGAGACGCCCGCAAAGTTCATCGCCTGTCACTTCGTCTCAGAACGATGCATCCGATCTTCCCAACGCCAATCTTCCACAATCTGCCTTCAAGACTCCAAGAGCCGACCCGGCGGCCGAACTGTGGACGCGATATGCCACCGCCAGGAACCCTGATGACACGCCCATCGAGAAACGCATGCCTTCGTTAGCACACCTCATGAACGACTCATCGCCTCGATCGGCTCCTCGAACACCTGGTGGTAGCGTTGGTGGCTTGAGGAGATGGGCAAGCTGTGGTCTTGAATTCCCCTCCTCTCGAGTCAAGCGACGCCGCGTCAATGGAATCTTCCGCGACAACAACAATCCTCAGGACCCATCCATCGCGAAACCTCTGTCACGAGTCGGCATGTTGGTCGAAAAAGTCCAGGAATCTCTCGCCCATAAAGACATTCCCTCGAGTTCTTCACCTTTGCCTGACAAGGGCGAATTCCCAACCATACACAGGCCTATGTCAGACCATCAAAGATCACAACCCCTTTCGGCACGTTCGTCACAACAGTATTCTTACCAGCACGAAGATGCCGAATTTGACGACACTGACATCACATTGGATGATATGGTCGAGATTCAACAAAACAACATCACTCAGAATAACTCCATGACCAGTACGACGATAATGAACACTATTGACGAGGATGACGATGAGTTCGGCGACGACTTCGGTGATGATCTCGACGATGATGAGATAGAAAATGCCGTTTCCTTTTTCGAAAGCAGACCTGGTACCTCTAATGGCCAATTTCTCTCGCAACAAAACACATGTACGATAGCGCAGCCTGACCAACCACCGCCGACACCGTTAGCACCACCGCCTCAACGACTACAAGAACAAGTACGGCCACAGACTTTTGATCTTACTGGCTTCTCAGACGACGACGATGATGACGACGAGTTTGGTGGTTCCGACCTCGATGAAGAACAACTTGTTCAGGCTGAAATGGATGCTACCCAAGCGTTGGAAGCGAGTACAAGTGCTAGTTCTGTACGTATTTCGAATCTCCCCAGGGTGTAGATAGCTAAGTGTCATCCAAGACTACTCAAAAGTCGCGCGCCATTCAACGGTACTTGGTGAAGCAAGTTATAGACGGCCAGTACACCGATCCTCGTGGTCGTCAACAAGCCGAAAAGGTAAGCGCCGTGATGTGCCATCGCTCCTTCCTCATGAGAGTTCTGGTGAATTGACAATCACGTGCAGGTTTTGTTTGTTGAGGATGAGGTACAGAAGCAGAACAAATCCATCACCCTCAGACAATCATGGCTTGAAACCCACTGCGCTCCTGGCTCCTACGTGCATGTTGTTGGCCGCTTCAACAAGCTTGGCCAAATCACTGTTGACGACGCCGAGAACTTGATCATCGTTCATCCCGACCATCTCATCTCGGCCACTGTCGTCGCTGATTCCTTCGAGTGCATCCGCCGAGCCGTGCTCCAAGACAGAGTCAAAGCAACTAGCCGCTCCAGCGAACCTTCGGTTTATGGATCGATGCTCCATGAGATCTTCCAGGAAGCAATGAAGACAAACCAATGGGATCAGGATTCACTCGACGAACTTGTCGGCAAGACAGTAGGTAAGTACCTGGAGAGCTTGTTCGAGCTCGACCACAAAGACACGAACAAGGCATATGAGCATCTCAAGAGCAAGATGCCTGAAATGAGCGCTTGGGCCAAAGTCTTCGTCAAAGCCAAGCCTGGTCCCGATGCTCTAGCCGAAGACAGAGGTGGCAAGAAGATTCGTGTCAGCATCACCAAACTGCTCGATGTTGAAGAGCATGTATGGTCGCCAACCTACGGTCTGAAAGGCAACATCGACGCCACTGTCCAGGTTCTCATGGAGGACGACCAAGGCAAGCGAGCCTTGACTGTACCTTTCGAAGTCAAGACCGGACGCAATACCACGAACACTTCGCATCGCGCGCAAACAGCGCTGTACACTCTTCTGCTATCTGACCGATACGACCTTGATGTCATTTATGGCTTGCTGTACTACATGGAGAACTCCAGCGTTACACGCATCCCAGCGATACGCCACGAATTACGCCACATGATCATGCAACGAAACGAGCTTGCTTGCTATGTTCGTGAGCGTCTTCAGCTACCGCCTATGATCCAGGATGAGCGCAAGTGTGGAAGATGTTACGCCAAAACAGAATGCTTTCTCTACCACAAACTTGCAGAGGACGGTACAACGGAGACTGCCGGTGTCAAGGAGAAGTTCAACGAGCTTGTCGGCAGATTGCAGCCTGTTCATCAAGACTTCTTCAAGAAATGGGATAATCTTCTGACCAAGGAGGAGTCTGAGCTGATGAAGTTCCGACGCGAACTTTGGACCATGCTGAGTACTGAGCGTGAGAAGCTTGGTCGCTGCTTTTCCGAAGTGGTCATCGAGAAAGGTTCCATGAGAGAACTCAACGATATGACCAAGATAAACCGATACCGCTACACCCTCGTCAAGAAGGAGCCACCACCGGGCTTCTCTTTCACTGAGTCCCAAATCACCATCGGAGAGCCAATTGTCATATCTAGTGAGAAGGGTCACTTTGCACTCGCCAATGGTTATGTGACCAAAGTGTCCAGAGGACGTATCACGGTCGCTGTCGATAGACGACTCCACAACGCACGTCAGAAGCAAGCCGACTTCGACACCAACACAAATCAAACATTCTCAGGCATAATGGAGGCGGGAAGAGAAGACGAACCCAGTCAGAATGCTCAAGGTGTTGAAGAAACACCCATTGTGTATCGCCTCGACAAGGACGAGTTCAGTAATGGCATGGCCACTGTTCGCAACAACCTTCTAGCATTGATGGATGACAACGTTTTCCACTGTGCAGACTTGCGCAAGCTCATCGTTGAAGATACTGCCCCAGTATTCAAGCCTGAGCCTGCGGCTTACGCGCTGTCTGGGCCAGCCAGCCAGCTTCAGATCAACAAGGACCAACGCGCTGCTATTGACAAAGTCATGTCTGCCAAAGACTATGCCCTTGTACTCGGCATGCCAGGTACCGGAAAGACGACCACTATCGCTCACATTATCAGAGCCTTGGTAGCTCGTGGCAAGAGTGTGCTTCTGACTTCATACACTCATACCGCTGTGGACAACATTCTACTGAAGCTGCGAGATTCGGATGCTTCTATCCTGCGTCTGGGTACCTTAGCAAAGATTCATCCCGAGGTACAGGAGTTTGCCCATCTGGCAGCGACTCCCAAGCAAAGTATGGAAGAGTTGGAAGACACGTATATGAAACCTCAAGTTGTTGCAACGACTTGTCTAGGTGTCAATCATCAACTCTTCCAGAAGAGAGTCTTCGATTACTGTATTGTGGATGAAGCCTCACAGATCACTCTCCCGGTTTGCCTCGGACCTATCCGCATGGCAAACACGTTCGTTCTCGTTGGAGACCATTACCAACTTCCTCCTCTGGTCCAAAACCGCGAGGCTCAAGAAGGTGGTCTCGATATAAGTCTCTTCAAGCTTTTATCTGATCGACACCCAGAAAGTGTGGTCAACTTGGAACACCAGTACCGCATGTGCGAAGAGGTCCAGTTGCTGTCCAAGACCTTGATCTACTCTGGTCGACTGAAATGCGGCAACGAAGCTGTTGCTTCTCGAACCCTCAAGATTCCCACTCCTGACGGTATAATGAGATACCACTCCGAACCCCAGGGTTCTTGGTCTTTGGATCGAAACCTCTGTTTGGGTCCAGCCCAAGGCAATTGCTGGATCTCAGACCTCCTCTCACCATCTCGAAAGGTAGTCTTTGCAAACACAGACACTCTTTGTCCAGTACCGAAAGAAACAGCGGTCGGCTCTCGCATCGTCAACGCGACTGAAGCTCAACTTCTTACACAACTTGTCCTCTCGTTGATAGCTCAGGGCGTTCCTCCGAACGAAATCGGAGTCATAGCCTTCTACCGCTCTCAGCTTGCCCTGCTGCGTCAGCTGCTGAAGTCACACCCAGAAGCCTCGGGCGTAGAAATGCACACGGCAGACAAGTTCCAAGGTCGCGACAAAGAAGTCGTATTCATCTCTTGCGTACGCAGCAACGACACTGGAAACGTCGGCGATCTGCTGCGGGACTGGAGACGCCTCAACGTCGCCTTTACACGCGCCAGAAGCAAGATGGTCGTCCTGGGCAGCAAAGAAACACTGTCCTCCAACGAACTCCTCGACAAGTTCCTCAAACTCGTCGAAAGCAAAGGATGGATATACAATCTCCCAAAACTAGCAGAGCGCGGCCACAATTTCCAAGATGTACTAGGTGTGAGTCTGGCAACGCAAAAGACTCCTGCCAAATCACCTTGCAAAAGAGACTTCCTTGCTGGCGTCGAGGAAGCTGAAGGTTCAAAGAAACGCAGACGTAATCCTCATGCCCAACGTAAAGGCATCGAAGACTTTCTTTCTGGTTCTCCGGGAACGAAAAGTGTGTATCAGAGAGACAACTCGAAGACCAACAAACCTTTCAAAGTGCCAGAGAAGGTTGGCAAAGTGGGGACGAAAGTGCTGTTTGGGAAAGAGCAGTCAAGCGGTAAGAGACCCGTTCTTATGGACATTGTCAATGATGCTTTGGGCGGAATTGAGTAGGAAAGAAGGGATGGGAAAGGCAACTTTGGATACTTTGAATACTTGTAAGAGTAGGATAAAACTTTTTGTTTTTCGTGAGAAGAAAAGGAGATGTTATCCAGGCATGAATGATCATTGGATGAGCACATCCTGTTGTATGACTAGCTAGATATGTGTTAAGCGAACGAAGAAGTGGACTTTCATAGGCACTGGACACGAAAGTGAGGTAAAGCTGATACTGCAGGTGTTTCAAAAGTAATGCATTGAGAACAGTGTTGTGTAACTAGGGGTATTTGCTCTAAAGTATATTTCGATAGCGCGCCGCCGTGAACGAATATGTATGTATGTATGCAACATAGGGCAATCCAAGGATGATGTCGATCCTCTCCCTGTCAACAATATAAACATGAGTCTTTTTTTCCACTCTCCCGCCTTTTGATTTTACTTCCTGCGGCCCAACATCTCGGCGCCCAAGCCATCTTTGCCTTCATTGACAGTCATTTGCTCGACGGCTTTGACGAGGTCAAAGGTGATGCCTTCGCCTACCACGCTGTCCTTGTTGTACTCTTTGTGCTCGGCGACAAAGTGTCTGATCCATTTGGCTGCCGTCCAGAGCTCGCCAGTTGCGCGTTGACGGATCAGCTTCAGATATCTGGCCATTTCGCAACGAATCTCTACGTCGACGTTGATGCTGGACAGATAACGTTCAACCAGAGGGATCAGACCGGGGAAGCCGTCAGCTTTGCCGTTCATGACTTCATTGACAGTCATGAGTTCGTATTCGTCCTCGACCGGAGCGGCAGGACTGGGCGGACGCGAGAATTGCGTCGGTGTCGAAGTGCCGGATCTCGGTTGTCTAGTGGCTGGGAAGGGATTCTTGCGGAACCAGAACTTCTGCTCTGTGACTGCGTTACGCAGATGTGCCGTCTCCATATTCTCAGTCGTCTTTTGGATAGGAATGTAAAAGTTGAGGTCGAAACTGAGGATTGCGCGAGTGATAAGGACCACAAAGACGGAGAAGGCGGCGTTTTCAAAATCGGTGATCTGAATCTCCATAGGTCTGACCTCAACTCGCCAGCCAATGTCGTTGCCTGGTGGTGGCGGCTTGAAGCGCATGTGTTGCCAATTTGTGGACTGCAAGTTCTCGAAGTGGTCGACCTTGTTCAGATCCAGCTCCTTCAGATCTTCGTTGAATACAACAATGGGATCGCGAATGAAAAGATGAGCAAAGTGGGTGGCCAGCAGATCATCCATGCCACCGTCTACGAGTTTCTGCTTCATGTCAGGATCAACTACAAGGTTAGGATCAAAGTATTCCTTGCGTAGGCGAGGATCTTGAGCAATATATGTGGAGTTGGAAGCGTATCGAGACTTGGGGATCTGCCATCTCGAGGTGTTCAATGGNNCTGCGAATCGTCAGTTTCGTCCTGTAGACAAAAAGGGGAGACAAACCTTCTCGCCAAGCTCTTCTGGGGTTCTGTCGTCAACTGCTCTGCTGATCTGGTTCCATCTGACATCGGTGTCGGCCAAGAAGCCCTTGTAAATAGGAGTGGCTGCAGTCAAAGCAAGCAGAATCGGGCCAATGGGGCTGAGCTGGTCGTACATTTTGCGACCCTCGTCAATGTTCTTTGCTTGGAAGGTAATCTGGAGACAACAGCTTCCCATGCCGAAAGCCATGGCGTCCATGTAAATGTGGTTCTCTTTTGCGGCTCCGTTGCGGACATCATCATCCTCGGGCCAAGTGTGGAGATCGTAATCGACAGTAGGGTCGTTGAAGGGCCATGTCGTCTTCTCGTCCTTGTACACGGGCACGTTGATCTCGACCTTGCGGCCTCTGCGGGCGCGGATGTTGGCAGCCAGCGTCGGGAAACGGATATGAGGATTCGCGATCTCGTCGGGCAGGAACTGCGATCTAAGCTTGTCGCCGTTCAAGGGGTACTCGGGAGTGATGGAACGCTCTTTGGCTCCCAGTCGTGGAAAGGTGGTCAGGGTAACGGGAAACTCGCTCGGTTCCATATGCTCCTTTGCGATCTTGCGTCTNNGAGAAGCAGTTAGGGCCATTGTTTTTCGAATGGCGAATGCTAGAATGTGCGCTCACCTCCACTTCATGTCTGGCTCAACGTCAAGCAGGTCCTTGAGGTCAATTCCCCATGGTCGTCCGGGAGTCGCCTCGAGCATGAATCGACCGAATTCGGGGTGGAAGACGGGAGCTGTCTTGCCAGACCNTGTCGCGCGTGAGTACGACCTCGGCTTGTAGAGCAGGGAGCAAACGAAAACGTACCTGGCCGCGCCACGCTGGATCTCGTCTACACCGCCGCCCTGGGCGAGGAGCTTCTCGTCGCTAGCCAAAGCCTCGAGAATATCTGCCTGGCGTAGCGACAGTCGGACCTGACGCTTGTCGTCATCGTATGTCACGACAAGGTACTCGATCTCGTCTCCCCAGAGGAGAGCATCGCGCTCCTTGCCCTTTGCTCGTCTCCATGTCGCCAATAGTTGNNCTATCCAGTAGTCTCAGCTCTTGTGCTTGTGTGCATGCCTGCTCAAGGGTACACGTACCTCAATGCCCCACTCTCGGACCTGTCCCGCGACCTTCTTCGCTTCGGGCCAGGCAAGCGGCGTTCCCAGGGCTCTGCAGATGGGAGCGATTAGCGGGCGTGTCGTGGTGGAAGCGAAGGCAGTGGTTTTTCGTACAGTAGACCCATGTCTTGTGGTTTGCGCTACGTGGTACGGAGTCTTCAATTGGCGTCCACGACGAGTGGTGCTGAAACTCGGGCTGCAAGATTTGTGCTCAATGGTAGAGATGGTGATGGGGCCGCGATAGGCAGTGGTTCGGGCGGTTACCACATAGTGCGGTGCAGAGGGCGTGCTGGTAGGTCGACGAGGCGTGGACAGCGGGTAGAGACAGGAAAGAAAACAATATCTGGATGTGAAATGCGCATTACAAATGCTCCACGCCCGGACACTCATCGTGACGGCAGTCGCAAGCACGCCATTGGCAAGAACCTCGCGGCCGCTCCCGATCGCGGGGCATCTTGCCTAATCAGTCCGTCTTATACACGACTAAGAGGCCTGTTTACTCATCATCCGTTAGGCAGGAGACGACGTGTGTTCAGAGCCTCAGAGCTTAGGGTAGGTGCGACCGCTCAAAGACCGACTTTACTGCACCTGTCAGACGCAGCCATCCGCCTCGCTCCTGCTGCAACGAACGCATTCCACGTGCCACAGCCACTTCTTGCACCTGCCGACTACACCCACTACACCCACTACACCCACTACACATGTCCGACAACCCTACTTGTACATGCATCCCGCTCAAACTAGTTTCTAATCCGTATCTGCATCCAACCCCGCCGCTTCTCTCTCCGTCCCTGTGTTATCATGCCTGGTCAATCTGCAATCAGGCAACGAACATCTGTCAATGATTCACGTTGGGAGCACCAAGCCTGTACAAACGCATGACTTATATTCATGTGCCACATGGCAGGCTGTCTACCTTCCCCTCGCCTGCCCCTGAATATCTAGCACTAAATAAACAATTCTTCCCCATTACCATCTGCCTGAATCCGACAGACTGGTAGCCAAACACCTGAGAGCCTAATAGCTCTGTGCTCTTGGAGCCACTGACATGGCCGATTGAGCCATGCCGCAAATCAAAATGTCCATCGAAAAAATCAACTCCCGCCGAACAAGTATATCCTACAAAACTCCGTGGTCCCAATGCTAGTGTCATGAGGATGGCCTAATAGCCATCGTATGCGTGTCCCGTGATCCGTCGTATACAAAATATGCAGTCGAGAGGTCTAAAAACCTCTTGCAGAAACTTGTTGATGCACTATCCGGCCAACATCTGGTCCCGGAAAGACGTGGCCTCTAATAAGACCCCACGCATGTGACGCCCGCACATGTTTTCGCTTTTTTCTTCTCGTGTGAATGACAGTCCAACAATAAACAGACTGAAAGGAAAAGTGTTTTTGGTGATCAGCCATTGTCCTTGGCTATGTCGGAAGGTCGGCTCCTAAACCATCGTCAGGTGTTGTTGTATGCGGCCTTCAGTTTTGCGTATCCTCGGGTGCTTTAGGACGTAGGTTGGAGCTGGAGATGGCGGCTGCGTTCTTTCCGGCTTTCCTTGTCAGCTTGGCATAGTGAAGTCCGCAAGCATTGCACAAAGTGCGAGCACCATCTGGACCTCTGCGCCATTCGGGCGTCTCGGCTCTGTTACAGCTGTGACATCTGCCAGGGGNGGAGCGGCGCGCTGGAAATGGATTAGTCGTGGTTCTACTGCGGCTTGAGAGATGTGTACTTACTCCTCTGCGTTTCTTGGCCTCGGCACCGGCAAATCCACCAGCCTTTGCCTCCTCGTTCTGGTGGACAGAATCACGCTTGATGCCCTCCTGAGCCCTGGATTGCTGTTCTTGAGCTTGTTGGAAATAAGCGGTCTGCTGGGCAATGATGAATTCTCGCATCTTGGCGTAGCAATCAAGTTGACGACGAGACTTTTCCATCAGATGGTCAATTTCTTGTAGTTGAGGTAAATTGCCGGGAGCAGGATCTGATCTTTGAGACTGGTGCAGACGAGCACCACATTGTCTGCTAAAGTCCAGCATATAGCTACTAGAGTCGGCAATCTGGTGATTTGGTCAGTAACGCGTAGATGCGACGTTTTTGCGGGGCAAACAAACCTCGTTCAGGGCTTCGCCAAAGTCCCACATGTCCAAATGACGTTTCACTGAATCGCCGAAAGGAACTCTTCCAGGCTCGCCATTTGGAATAGGAGCAGGTTGGGTAATTGATGGCTGATAAATGGAAGAGGTAGGTGCAGCGGAGTGCGGGGCCGGTGGAGGATAGGGATAATGAGATGCATAAGGTGCTGGAGCTTGGACCGGGACAGGAACAGGAGCGGGAGCGTAACCGTAAGGAAGAGCATGCTGAGGTGCTGATGGAGGAGCGACAGGAGGCATACTAAGAGGGTGAGAAGCGGTCCTCTCATGGGAGGCAGTGACAGGATATGAACGCGGGTATTGTGGTTGGTGAGCCACAGGAGACTGGCCAGCGTGTGACGCGATGGGCTGTGTAGCATATACCGATCTTTGGCGATCTTGGTGCTCGGGCATCTGACGAGGACTAATCTCCTGGTGGGGCTGGGTATAGGGACTGCGAGGGCCATGGGTAAAAACGGNCGGATTGTGGTGGAGGAGGGGGTCCATTGCAGCGAAAGACCTTCTGGCAGGCACGGGCGAAGCGGGTGAAGGTGCTGTGACAGGAGCGTAGTATCCAGGCTGAGGAGCGGATGAGTAGGGCCTTTGAGTGGTGGGAGGGTAGGCAGCGGGTTGCTCTACACCCAGAGCCTCATGGATCGATGGCAACGACTGCTTGGTGGCCTGAGTCGCGGCGTTCTCGTTCGATGCACGACGAGCTTCTGTGGGAAGGCGAGCATCGGGATACGAAGGACGACTGTAGGGAGGCGNGGGACCAGAAGGGTAGGCAATGGTCGGGCTGTTTGTAGCAGAAGGCGCCATGGACATGTTTGTGCCACGGGCCTGATATTCGGCCTCTTCGCGCTTTATTTTCTCAATGTCGAGCATTTTGATGGGTGGCAGCGCAGGTCTGAATTGCTTGTTAGCCAGGCGCTCGACGGGACTCGGTTGTCGCTGAGCCCAGTCTTGGCTTTGTCTGTCGCCGGAATCCATGTTCATGTGCGGTGACGGGTACGGGCGAGGTGGGATGTTGCAAGCAGGTCGGTTGGGTATGGGTGGACGGTTCAGATGGCAATTCTCATTCCTTTGGTCGTCGTGGTGCGAGTCTACTCGAGGGCTGATGTCGACGAAGCCAATTCCATGCGTGTAGCGAATTCCGTGGGGCGAGTCTCAGATGTGGCAGTGGCTGCGGTCGGGTCGGGAAAGAGAAATGGATGACAGGTGCGGAGCGGCAAGAGCGGAGAGCAAGTGTCGAGGGTGCGGAAGGCGTGGTGGATGTACGTGTGCAGGTGTCGGGTTAGGTTTTGCGGCAGGAATCTACGTTGTGGGCAAAGGAAGGAGCCTGAGCGGTGCTTCAGAAAAGAGACTGACCCTCATGCGAGCGAACATCGAGTTGAGTTGAGTTAGCACCACGACGGGCGTGCACGGTCTGCGACGATCACTCAGGCATAAAGTGACAGGGATGGCCGCCACCACGACTGGCACATCCGCTCTCGTGTCTTCCTGCTTGTCAGGGTTTGGCCGCCACCGGTGGGCCTGCTGTTCTGTTCCATTGGAATAACGCATAACCTTCCACCGCCAGACCCAAGACATCCGGACGGCCATGACATGCCAATCGTCCATGCCGTTGAGCTCGCGGTTGCAGACGCTGCGCTGCATGCTTCCGTTCGCTTCCTGCCACACAACATGCACATCACGTTCCTCCAACGAACAGATCTCAAACCCAATCGTCCTTGCGTAGATGCGTGATCTGGTGTGCCGCCCGCATTGTCAGATTCGTCAGCCATCGTCAGCCAGTCGGCCTGCAGTGGGCTCTCTCGTCCACCAGCTGGCCACCACGGCGACGACTCCAAGCCTCGTTGCCAGTTGGTGGCCTTCCGGTGAGCAACACAGCCAATGCCCGCACTCGCTGCGTGCGTGCGTCCAGCGGCTGCAGGCCCTAAACTTTAGCTGTCCTAGANNTCGTGATGCACTCGCACCCGCTTCGGCTAGCGGCCGTGACTCGGGCCATCTCGCGACNAAGTCCCGTGGGCCGTGGAGTCGATCGAATCTCTGGTTTGGAATCGAGTTCCAATCTCAGTCTGCANNTCTGCTGCCAGATCCCCTCCTTGACCGCTCGGCGAATCGCTGCCTCGCAGCCGCCGTACTCGCCTTTGTACCTCGCAAGCCAAGCCCTCTGTTTCGACAANNAAGCCTCACCTTGTTGCCCGCCCATGCAGCACGCTAGCACCACAAAGGGTCATGATATATTATTGCATGCACAACTATCCCGCCTGTCGGTGCGCGCAACGTCACCAAGACCTCAGAGAAGACCAGTCACCGAATCCCACAGATGTCCATCTGTCTCAGACACGCTCCGTGCGTTTGAGCCCAGCTGCGCTTTGCTGCAGCTCCCTATTCTGCTAGTCTGCCCAAGTCTGCGTACCAGACCAGAAGCTCGGATGGCTCATTCAAGCGATGCCGCGACGGTCGCAAAGACAATCTAACAGCTGGCAAGGCGGGGATAACAGGTAGATCCTCGGCTGCAAGAAGGCATGTCAATCTGTTTTGAGAGAGGCGCCGCACGTGTCAGGAGCTTTGGTCGCTTACTTTCGCCTCGCTCTGCCGTTCGTGGCTTGCGCGACTCGCTGCCTGCCTCGGTGCGTGGACCCTGGCTCTGCGCCATCTTGAGCGGCCGTAAACCTTCAAGTTCAGGCCTTCGAATCCCACTTGCTGGGTTCTGTAGAGTACCAGATCACGATTGATGAAAATAGACAACAAAGCAATCTCAGATGGGCGTGCCAGCTTGACATGTTGCTGCGTGTGCCTGTCATCAACTTACAACGTCCCAGATCCCGACATCATCAATACCGAGAAGCTCACGATGCATCGGTGATTCATCCTCCCAAGTCTTCGTCTAAGCATGCGCTAGGAAGGGATCTTCTTGAATCAATCTCCCCATGCACTCATGCAGATTCGCCTTCCGATTCATAGAATCGTGCCTAAGATCCTATCTCTTCCCCTGGCTCTGATCGTACGCTATTCAAGATTGTAAACTCAGATATATAGGCCGCCGTTGCTTGGTCAGGAAACATCACTTCTTCACAATATGTGAGGTTACTCTCGCTTTGCTTCAGGAGGCGAGTGTGGATATATTGGTTTAGCGAATGCAACTGTCTCACTGGGTTTCCATAGATGCTCATCGTTACTTATGACGTCTGCGAAGGGGTCTGGTCTGTCTGTCAAGTTTTGGATGACCAAAGACAAGATAGCGAGTACGGCTTCTAATCAAGATCGTCATGACCAGACGCCAAAGCAGCCCTAGCTGGTCTTCTTCAACCAGCCTCCAGCCAGTCGGAAAATTTTTGTCTTTATCAGATCTGGTTAGCACACCGACGGTCTCATATCTGGGCGCGATCTCTGAGCAGATCATACGCTCCTCAAGATCGAGAACCGTTCCACGCGCTGGGGAAGCGGCCTCACCCGGACGTTGTGTCTTGGTCCGAACTGCGTGCGTGCGGCCGCCACTTTAGCTTCCGAGACCAGCATCGCTCTATTGCGTTAAAACAGCCGGGCGATACCTTGAGAACAAAATCCAATCTTCAGCTGTGGTTCTCATGTGCCTGGACCAACGCCGCAAGGACTCGCAATCAATGGAAGCTGATCTTACTCTTTTTGAACGTCCTTCGACTCGAGGAACAAAGGGTGCAAGGCATGTGAAATGTGAAGGGTCTTTGGCGTGCGGGGAGCCGCTCAAAGGAGAACTGTCCATGCAACGTCAATCCCATGAATTAGAACGTCGTCCGGTGACACAAATTCTATGGAACGTCGCTAGATCTCTGGAGCTTCTTGACCGTTGGTGCGTGGCACATTATTGTCAAGCCACCATCGGTGGACTCCAGTGCCTGCATATGCTGACAAGCCGAGAGCTGATTTGATCACCGACAACACACATCAGTAAATCTCACAGCACCTGCAGATTTTTTCGTGTCTGCCAGATGTGACCCAGCTTGAGCGCGGAGCGATATATCATGAGAGTGCGGCGATAGCAACGTGTTTGGCACCATACAGCTTCAATACGATCAGGCCATAGCTGTGATGTGACTGACTCGTCACCTGCCTTCGTAGAAGGATCTTTCGGTCGGTCGTGTCGGTGAGGCTGACATTGCAAACTTCATCGAGCAAAGGCCGTCTGTACGCTCCTGCATATTGGTGTGCTTCCTCTAGTCTTCGGTTCCTCGCGGTTATTCTTGTCCTTGAATAATACCGCAGCTGCGCTTGCTCAGCGCGGGAGAGATTCGCAAGATATATTGCAATTCCAATCAATTCCAGATCGATTCGGGCTTTATCACTGATGGATCTTGGGCCTTTCGGGGCTTTGCCGACATGCCTCCAAGATCAATTTGCCCTGAGACATGGAACATGGCCATCACTCGTTAGACGACAGAAGAATTTGGATAGCCGCTCGACCACGTGTTGCATTCAATCGAGTTAGTGACGAACTGGAGCGCATCGACTAGGAAGGCACGACCGCGCATTCTTAGATCATACTGGTTTCACACTGACCACGGACTTGGTATACATATTGCGACTCGCGACCGTAACGAAGTGCCTTTCGCGAACGCCACGATACCAGACTGCTTCGTCACCGATCACGACCGCAAGGCTGTGTGTGCAAACATGGTCTGAACGGTCGCATCGGCTACTGGACGAGATTCACACGCACGAACAGGGACGTTGCCGTAAAATGCAGTTGCTGGGAATGCTCAAGCCGACGCTGCTACGGCGACCCTGTTTTGACAATGGTCGCAGAAGTCAGTGGCCATCTACCTACAGACCTTACGCTGCCTTGCCATAAACAACTTTAGAGACACTGTAAGCGCTACTCTCGAGACGAATATACGTGTTCAACGAGCCATTGGTGTACGTGACGGGCTTGTAACTTCTCGAGCGTTGGACTGTACCTATTCTTCACTACCACACCTATCAATTCCCTGTTTCTCCATTAGGTACACATCACATCGGAGACTCATTGACAAAGTACGACAAGAACTATCCCTGCGAGCTTTCACATGAAAACGAGCATTTTCACAACGCCCTGCGTTTGCGGTTACACAAGCAAACAGACTCTACCGCACCTATCAAAGATTTGGTCCCTTCTTCCCTCCCACAACCTTGCCATCCATCACACACACACACACACACTAGTCTAACAGACTTGAATCGTCCTCGTATTCACTTGAGCAGTGATTCGGCCACTGATCTGCTCCTTCCACAAATGAACGTCGTGCAGCCCGAGACGAAAAAGAAACATCGCGGCGGCAAGAAGGAACACCTCAAGAGACAACGCCGGCAAGAGCGCAAGATCCTGGACGACGACATGAACAGTGACGATATCGAACCTGGCGAAATGCTTGCCTTCGAATCTCGCGACGTTGGACCCAAGGGTCTCGGCCTGTTCGCAACACGCGATATCGAACCTGGAGAACGCCTCATCCAAGAAACTCCGCTGTTCGTCCTCCCCAAACAAGAGACACTAAATGCAGCCATCGTGGACAGCTTCATGCACTTGTCGTCAGATCAGCGTGCGGCCTACTTGAAGTTGAGTTCCTATACCACGTGCACTGTGAAGACACAACCCAGGGTCGTCAGAATGTCGGCGGCTGAGGATGGTGCAGTCAGCTTGCCAGATTTGGAAGGCCCTGACTCTCCACTTGATGACAATGGTTCCCCAGCCAAGCAAGTTGATCGTCGCAGTTGTGCGTCTGACGTGCAGCCTCTTTCCAGCGACTCTGATACTGAGAACAGCTGCAAGTCTCCCAATCCGGCCAGCGGCAGCGGCGATCTAAGCCTCAAAAACCCGACAAGCTTGAGCCGTCGGAATCTNGAAGACACGACCAGCCCACCGGTTCCACAGCCAAGAGTTGATTCTCCAATCTGGAATGTCGATGATCTGGGAGATGCTCTTCAGACAACAATCACTGACTCGGGTATGGGAAGCGGTGTGAATGACTCGACTGAGTGTGATCATCAAGACCACGATACAGATGAGTGCAAGATGACCGAGTCGCTCGCTGCCCATGTGGTCAACATCTGGCGAACTAACTCGTACATGCTCGACGATGGCATCACTCTTGACTCTGCTGGCATTGGACTGACTGCATCACGTCTCAACCACTCGTGCGTTCCCAATGTTTACACGGCTTTCAACAGTACATCCGGACACATCACTGTACAGGCCCTCAAGCCCATCACTGCTGGAGATGAGCTGTGTACTGCCTACATCAACGGCGCGGGCAAGTTGCGTTTCGAGCGACGTGCTCAGCTGAGTATGTGGGGGTTCACCTGCACATGCATTGCTTGCGCCGACGGCCGCGACGAGTCTCGCCGCCGGGGTATCAAAACATTGATTACCAAGGTCGAAGGGGTCAAGATGCAGATGTTGGATGGTGCTGCAGACCTGTCGGTCGCCCAGGTCGAACAGACGGTTGAAGATCTACTCGACCAAGCTACTCTCATGAGCGACGAAGGCTTGCTGGGCCCAGACCTGGCTGATGTGTAAGTTAGTTCCCTAATAACCTCCTCGTATTGCTTATTGCACCTGCTGTTTTTGTCGTACCTGTGTCGTCGATCTCTTTCGTTCGTCCTATTCCACACCGGCCCTTTCACGCATTTACGGAGGCACTTCCGAGCGAACAACCCATTGTGTCAGGCGCTAACACTTCTCTAGNNCTGTTTTGGGGCAGCCAGATGCTGCATGCTGATCGGTCGTCGTGAAGAAGCGGGCGCTCTCCAGTCGTCCGGCTTTGGTATCCTGTTACGCGGCTATGGAATTGACAACCCTATTTGCACAGCAGCCCTTCAGGCCGGCGACATGGACGAAGCTTGAGTGTGGGGCGCCTTGAGAACGCCATGGCATTGGAAAATCAGCGAGAAACGACTTGACGAATTACGATCAGCGATTATTGGCCACTTGGATTGCATATCTCTGACTAGGCAGGTTGAGTACAATGCTGAGGACATGATTTTGGGCACATATGGAGACGGTACTTTGCTTTCAACTTTGGAAGCATTTCAGGATATTTCGAGAGCATATCACCAGCCACATCTTGTAGCTTTCCAGCATCTCGGACCGCTTTCATCTAGAATAAAATTGATCATCTTCTCTCATCTGATACTCCTGACCAGATCGCGAAGTTCTCCTCCCTCGACCCAGCTCTCGCCAGAAGCCCCAGTTCCAACACCCCAGCCTTCACCAATCTCTCCGATAATTCTGCCAGGCTTACCACCAACGATACTGCCGACTGGAACCACCATGTTGGGAGGTACCACAGTGTTGGGAAGGATCTTGCAATTATCTTTGATGATGCAGAAAGGGCTGAGTACGGCGTTGGCGCCAATGTAAACATGTGAACTGATCGCAATGGCCGAGATGTGGCAGTTGGGGCNCTTCAATCTGTTAGCTGTGTGCTTTTGCCATGCTGGGAAAGGCGTGTTGTTACCAATGAAGACATTATCGCCAATGCGCATGGGATAGTATGCCATCTGGCCGCGGCTAATCCTGGACGGTGGCTTCAGAGTACAGCCAGTAGCAACCACTGTGTATCTATCCTGCTGTCAGCTAATGTAAAGTGGATTGAGTCATTTGGAAGAAGATAATCACCGTCCAATGCTGATGGCCGTGGTGGGCTGTGCTGCTCCACCGTCGCCAGAGCTCGAAAAGCGATGCAAATCACCTCGCATGTAGACATCTGCCATGATGACGGTCCTGCCGCCCAGCATGATGTTTGGCTTGCCTTCAATTTTGGCCTTGCGAGAGATTTTGTTTCCGGTATCCTGCATGCCATGTTTAGTTGATAATCACCATAATGCAGCGTACCCGATACTAAACGCAAGTAAAAGGCTTGGTGAAGGAAGGAGCGTCTCTTCCAGACTTGGTGGTCCACTTACCGTCTCGATGTATTCCGACTTTGTCGACTTCCGCGTCACTGCCGCTGGTCGGGTTGACATGGTGGCTTGTCACTTGCTGCTTCTCTTCGCAGCTCGCGTGTCCCATGCGCTACATGTCAATTCTTTCCACGTGTTCTCGACCGGAAGCAGGTTACTCGGCTTCGACGCAGAATATCGTTGTTGTTCGTGAGCTGCGTGGAAAGCCGTGAAGTGCTCAGCTTTTGGCGCTAGCGATTCACTAGCGCCGGCTCGTGATCCCCTATTGGTCAAAGGTCTGCCTGGGCAGCCACGAGCTGCAAGCTTGTTGCCTTCACATGCAAGTCATGCTCAACTCCAATATCATCGTGGCCCCAACAAGCATAGCAGAACGGCCACTTTACGTGTGCAGCAATATGCTTGTTTCTGGACGAGGATCCGCTGCGACCTGTCAAATCAACGTCCCTGCAGAAATCCTCCGATGGCTTTTCACACCTGCAACTCCCCCGTAACACGTCGGCGCCCTGTCCGTCTCTTTATCAAAGATGATTGGTAATGCAGAATCCGATGAACAGGTAGCTGTGTACATCCATTCCTGGGCATCCTCACCGAGAACGAAGATCCATTAGTTCTGGATCATGACTTTACAACCGCCTACTTCTTATATGCAGATGCCGCCTGTATAAGGCATTACATTCGCGTAAACGGTGTCGCGTCTAACTAGTCGTCTACACACACGATCAGATCTTCGATCCGGGACTTGCTCGTCTCTTGCAACGGCTGCTACCTTTTGGTCGGAGCTCACGCTCGTCTCTCCATCGCCATGGGACAGCAAAAACACACTACACTTCTTTGGGTGTACAATGCGAGGGCGTGAAAGGTCTCACGGCTAACCAAGATTTCGAGTCACCGCGTTACCTCAGCAGTAACGAAAGACAATATGGTCACCAGGCTTTGCATAGGTTGCACATTGATGTTCGGAGAAGAAGGCCATTGTCACTCGAGTATGCTTCAAAAGTCCAGCTTGTTAGCATGCGAACCATTCATGCCGTGGGAAGCATGAGATCCCACGTTATGCATGCATGTGCAATTCGAGAATATCAAGCGAGACTGCTTCGCTTGGCCTAAACCATTGACAGATGTTGACAGAAAGACCAACAACCTCATGGTGTTTCTCAGAAAGCCGTGTCAATTGACATCTCACAATCATCGGCCATCATTGTGGTAACAGGTAACAAGATCAGCCCGTATCAAATTGGTAGAGTGAGCGAAATTCTGACTCGGGATCTTGATCCTCGCACCTCACAACTGGGACAGCGAAATGCCACATTCCCATCTGCCATTCACAAAGCCGAAGAAGAGCCTCTCGATGGCCTAGAACGCTTTGTCCTGTCCATTTGTGCCGTGAACATCTTTTTCCCATCGTCAGATCAACGGATGTTGCAAGAAAAAAAAGGCACCTAAGCGCTGACCTCTCGCATGCATCGCAATGACATCCGTGACAGCGGGCCAACGCCCTCATGCTAGAGCAGAAAGTATAACATTGACTCGGGAAGGTTGGAAACACTAGATAATCCAAACCCAAATTGGGACACAAAGACAGGAGAAAAGACGATCTAGAGTGTTTTCCCACACGAGGCACGGGAGTCAGAGCAGAGCTTGTGGTGTTGGACACCAGCTGTCACGGCGGTCACTCCAATGCATCGTGCGGCTCCGTACCCGCTTCCGAAAACCCTCGGCGCAGTACGGGTCAGTTTTCTACACAACATTGATAATGATAGCATCTCTTTTCCCAATACCGGTGGTCCGGTGGATGGTATGTGTGCCAAGTGTGGCTCATCATATATGGCCAACTTGGGATGGATTCCTTTATCCGTGCTGAAATTGGATGGCATCGGGAAATGAGTTGGGGCACGGCGACGTAAATGTGACGTTGTTGTGTTCGAATGGCTGGAAAGAGAGATTGTCGGAAGAAGGCAAGCAACCAGCAACTCTCCAGCAAGGCAGTATGGGAGAACCTAGGAAGGAACGATGAGATATGATGATGATTGACAAGTATGTCTGCCTTTTCAGATTGGGCAATTGCACCTGGGAGAAGTTGCAGTCGGTGAATGTCGATGTCCTCCCTGATCCAGGGGTCGGAAGCGAGCATGCATAGACAAGAGTTTTTGCTAGAGAGAAGCCCAAATGGCAGCTCCCAGCAGACGCTTTATTGATAGAGAGGTGAAGTTCGACAGTTTTTGGGTATCAGATAGAAGCAAACGAGTGAGGTGCAGAAGTCGAGTCGTTGCCAACTAGACCTCAGCCAGTCAGGTAGATGCTCGCAACCTCGTCTCCCTTTGCACCTTCATCTTTNNGTCTTGCAGTACTGGCTCCCCTGAACAGCTCCACGATCTCGTCAAAACCNNCTTCGAAACTATCATCTCGCTTCTTGTCTAGTTGCTCGAGGTCCTTCAAGCAATCATTACTGATCCTACTTCTCTCTGTCTTCGTGATGCTATCATATAGTGTGTGCATGGCATCAACACATACGGAGCTGAATGCCATGTTGGTCTTCACTTTATATCCCAGAAAACCATTTCCGTCAACCACCACCATACCAATGTTGCAAAGCGTGGGCATGGCATAACTTTTCATTCCGTAAAAGCTTTCAGGTCGAATCTGGTCGGAGATCTCTTAAATTTGATCCTCGANTTTACTTGAGGCATCATAGGTGATGGCATCTTGCTGTGAATTACGCAGGGGTACGTAACTGCCGTAGAGTATGTGATAGACTCGATGTTCTCTCCCAGAGAAGCTGAGGGGCTCTGTGCCAGGCTCGCTCTCGTCCTCTTCGTCCTCATGATCAGCGTTATCATCGTACTTATCGTTGTCGTACTCATNCATCATCGTACTCATCTTCGCCAACTTTCGGTTGAGTATGCTCTGGCAGTATACGATGGTGGCTTGTGCAGCTGGAGCTGCAATTGTCGCACTCTATCGGGTCAGAGTTCTGCAAGATCGAGTCGGAACTGATTCGATATATGCTCAGATAGCACTTGAGCTTTTCTAATGTTCGGCCTGTTGTTGAGATAGTGCTCTTGAGATGCTGTGACGGACATCGGCATGATACATCGCAGCAACTGCAAGGATGTCGAGCACCGTTGTGTGGTCCAATTTCGCTAGAACATGTGATATAGTTGAGAGTATGCGAACACTGTAGGACCACGGGAATGAGGGAGCAGTATCATAGGTCGGCTGTTCCGGATATGGTGCGAAACCGGGAAGTGAGTTGCTCTGCGTGACATTGCCATCGACTGGTATCTGGGCATAGTTTATACTTCCACCGAGAGAATCATCTGCATATGGCATGCTCTGTTGGTGAGGGCCAGATTGATGAGGACCCACGGTCGATTCAGGTTGCACGTTCCGGGACCCAGAAGCTACCCGAAGCGGAGAATAGGTCATGGCAGGCCCCTGATTGTTGAGAGAGGGAGAGATCATCGAATATGTGTTGGGTTGTGCCATAACGTATCCTGGAGCAGTAGCTACGATAGAGCTCTGCTGTTGCGATGTGCTCTGATGTGCTGCTTCTTCTAGGGGCAACCAATCCAACGATGGAAGTCGTCGCCCTGGGACAGTTCTTACTAATCGATGGTCCCCGTTCACCTGGCTGTTTAGTCTTGGATAATCTCGATCGGCAATAGTCTCCAGTCTTGCGGCCTTATTTGGGACTTGCAAGCTTCCGTCCGGAAGACCACGTTTGAATACTTGTGTTTGGACATAGTTTAGATCTCCAGGCCTCATAGGCGAATACATATTCGTCATGGTAAGCAATTGATAGTAGAGAAAACAAACCAGAAAAGAACATATAACCCAGAGAAGTGGAGAGTAGAGACGCGTTTTCGGCAAGACGTGTTTTTCGCCAACGTGTGTGAGAAAGTACTGGGAGATAAAAGAATAATTGATTGTACACTCGAGAAACAGAAGAACGTCACATTGATTTCAATGTAGTAGAGAAATGAGTAACATTCGAGCTACAGTATGTTGAATACTCAACAATTATTAGACATTATACATTAAACGTGCCATTAACTCCAACATTTCCTCTTTCATTCTTGCCCCGGCCTCTCTTGCCGCATAGCATCTTGGAACACCTCCACAATCGTGTCCAAACCTTCAAAACAATGCTCTCGATCCTTGTTAAGATCTACGAGAGCCTCAAAAAGCCGAGCCCCATCGCGTAGTATCTCGGTCTTACTCATCGTCTCATAGACATCGTCGATCGCTTCCACAAGTTTAGAGTCGAAGGCCATCTGAGCCCTGATCGCATTTGGTAGCATTCCTATGCCATCTACTATCCCTCTTCCGATCCAGAGGAGGGTAAGAAAGGCATTGAACTTTGTCTTCCAGTTGCTTGTCGTTCGTACACGAGCGGGTATTCCCACAATTGTTTGGTTAATGTTACCCAAAGCTCGAAGGACTATTTCCTGCTTCTTGGAATTTGTGAAATCGTCATACTCTTCGTAGAGGATCTTTTGCACCTTTGTGTGTTCACTGACGAAGGACAAGACACTGGCGTCTTCGTTCGATTTTTCTTGCTCCTCCTTTTGTATCCTGTCGTAATCTGTCTCTACCATGTCGTGGATATCTTTATGACGTACAACGGCAACGGCGAGGTTGTTGCGGACTGTGGCTTCGTCGATCGAAGAAATATAACGTAGTAGTTTTGCGAGCGATACGTTGGTTGGGGGGCTCAAGTATACACGATCGATAGGGCAGTGTCCAAGAGGTGCATAAGCAGGGAAACAACCCTGCGGAAGTCGCTTGGTACTCGGGTGGCAGGACGCCCAAACACGACATGTCTGAGTGGAGCATGAGACATAAGCGTGAGGTTCGACTGAAACATTCCCCACTGGCCCCGATGGAGAAACGAGTCCAGACGGCTGTATCTCCATGTTTGGATGACAGATATGATNAGGAGAGATGGTTCCCGAGAGGATCAGACCTACCAGTATGACACTGGTGTTCTCGAGATCCCAAAAAGTATGATGGCCAGGATGACCAGACTGACAGCTTGCGAGCTCTGCTGATGCTGGCTGAGCGCCTTGTGCTTGATCGTGTATCTCAGGGGTTACGGATCGCTCAAGTGTGCAAGATGACAGGTCTTGTGGTAGACTATCCTCATGTGATTTCAGTGCCTTCCGTGAGGTCCGAGAAGTGTCGTCAAGGAGACCGTGTTTGGTACTTGAGTTGCCCAGCAGTACTTTAGGGTCGTCTGGTTCTGTTGATGCTGCCATGCTGTGTGAGTCATAACCGCAGCAGGTCTTCAAGATGACAAGTTGATGGTCAACAGAACAATGTAGACGAGATCAGTAAATTATTATGCCTGTGAGACAAGAGAGAAAGGAAGCGAAGATCGAACACTTGCTTTAAAGAGAACCAAGGATGTGTTTGATGTTGGGGGTCGACTGAACCAAACCTGCGCGTCGTTGTGAAATTTGAGGTAGTTTTCAGTATGGTGCGGCCCGGGTCGGTGTCTATGCATAAAAGGCTCCGGTGTGAGGCATCAAGGAACTAGTGTTTCCGACCAAGTGAACAAGACTTGTGATGCTGATATATAGTCGAAAGCATCTCTCTCGATGGTCTGAATGAATTCAATCCATGACTGTCGTTGTACTTGGTGGAAACTGATGCATGGTGGGTATGTATGACGTCGAAAAGACGGAGAATGCGAATGAACTCGGCAGGTGACGCCCTGAAAGGCTCTGATAGCCTTGCTGTATTCTGATGATTGGACAGGCACGAGTACTTCGAGAGGATTTGCTTGGTGACTTTCAAAACCCCGTCAACCATATCTTGTAGAGACCGGATTCTAGACTCTGGCTCAGTGGTTGGCAGAATCCAGCACCTTAGTCACACAAGAGCTGATGTTGAACCTCTAAGATCACGTCTGTGTATATCTCGCCATCGAGAACCATCCCCTCTGAGCGCGATGCTTACGGGATGCTGTACGATGTGTTCATCTGTCCAGACGAAGACTACGAACGATGTCGATAAGACCATCTTGGTTGTATTCGTTCGTCAGGTGGATGATAACATGTTGATGACATGCATACCTGATAGATGGTTTTTTTTTTTTACAAGAAACAGAACTACCATGGACGCAAGTTGTATGCCGGTAGTTCGTCGGCCGAAGTATGTACCGAGACCCGTTGTCTTCGGGTTAGCATTGCCGGGTTGGCTACGGTCCACGTCGATCATCCATCTTCACACCAGCCTTCAACTAAGTACGCACCTCCACTCTTCGATAATTCGGGTAAAAACAAGCGCGCCTCTATGGATGGTGTCAATTAGGGCAAATATACTCGAAGATCTTGTCGATATGACGAGCCTGGTCAAGGATGCCCCAGCCTCGAATGAAGACAGGTTCTTAAGTATTTGAGGTAAGCATTGATAACTTACGTTCAAGGTTACTCGACTCAGCATTTCCAACAATGATGAAATTCGTCCATCTTGCTCTCGCATGGTTACTCTATCTGGGTGTCGAGTCCGCTCCTTTGGACTCCAACATATCCAACTCGAGTACCCCTGTCTCATACCCTCGGATCTTCGTTGCTACGGATATCTCCAATGAGCCTGATGACCAAATGTCGTTGGTTAGATTACTCTTGCATTCGGATATATTGTCTATCCAAGGAATTTCAACAACTACTTCGTATTGGCTGAATGACACGACCTACCCCGAACACATCCTGGATGTTATCAACGCCTACGAGAATGTCACTTCCAACCTCAACGCTCACACCGAGAGTATGTTTCCAAGTGCCGATAGTCTGCGTTCTGTGGTCAAGGCAGGCCACTCTGCATATGGTCTTGCAGCACTCAAGAATGGCTCTCTCTCTTCCGGTGCCGAGCTGCTCATCTCGGCCGCCGGCAACTCGAACGAGACTTTGCACGTTCTGCTCTGGGGAGGTGCTAATGTCCTTGCCGAGGCATTGGATCATGTCAATCGTACCAGCACACAGGCAGACCTTGACACTTTCGTCAGTAAACTCCATGTGTACTCAATCTCTGATCAAGACAACGCTGGGCCATGGATTCGCAAAAACTTTCCGCAGATCCCATACATTGCATCGGTCCACGGATTCAATATGTACAACAATGCTGCTTGGACCGGTATAAGTGGTGACTTGTTGTATGCCTTCGATGCAGGTGGTCCAGACTCGACGCTCGTTGACGACACATATATACGCAACCATTTCCAGCTTGGTTCTCTAGGTGCAAAGTACCCAGATAGAGCATACATCATGGAAGGTGACAGCCCCTCACTATTGTCAGTAATCCCGAATGGCCTCAATGTTCCCTCCCATCCCGAGTTCGGTGGTTGGGGCGGCAGATACATCTTGTCTGACATTTCCGGTGCCTCGAAACATTACGCGGATACCATCGATCGCGTGGTAGGCGTAAGTGGGAATACCTTGGTGTCCAACCATGCCACAATTTGGAGGTGGCGCAGCGCATACCAGAACGAGATGAGCGCTCGAGTGCAGTGGTCACTTTCGTCGAGCTACAGCGCAGCGGTGCACCCTCCAAAGATCTACTTGAACGAAACAACTGGCACCGAACCATACTCGTTGGCAGTTCAGCCACAGCAAAATGTGGTCCTGGATGCCTCGGCTACCCTTGATCCAGACAGTAACTCGAGCTCTACTTTGACATTTGAGTGGATGCACTACAAAGACATTACGGCAACCAACCAGTACAACGCGAACGCTCAAATACCTCAACTCAACTTTACCTGCTTGAACCAGGCGTGCTCGACCATCCAGACCAAGATGCCCAGTAAGGATCTTGCTTGCCCGCAGACTGGCTGTCAGATGTACCATGTCATTTTGTCTGTCAAGGGACAGAGTGCAACGCCTATCACAAGGTATAGGAGAGTCATATTCGAGATACAGGGAGATCCCAAGTAGATAGAGATCATAAAAGCATATGAATTTTCACACGGGAATGTCGAGTCATGTTGTGGTGATCTTGGCGTAAACACAATAAACTCAAGATGCAAAGAGAAATAAACAAGATGTCGAGAGTCGTGACTTCTCGAATTCAGTCTATACCAGTGATGTCATCAAAAAGTCCGTGCACTGCGAGGTGTTCGTGTCTGATGCTCTGTATCAACACTTCCTATCAAAAGACTCCATGTCGGACAACAATGAAGCGCCGGTGAAGCTCTCGTTGCCACTGGTATGACTTGAATGTGAAGGGGTGAGGGTGATGCAGCGCTGACGGGTGTGCAGNGAATTCCAGCAGGACATATTCAAAGAGCTCCGCGAAGAAGATGAGCTCGTCATCATGGCGCGAGGCCTCGGCCTGCTGCGCATCGTCACCAACCTCCTACATTCGTACGATGCCGCCGGAAACAACCTGATTGTCGTGGTCGGAGCAGACGACCGCGAGAATGGATGGATCGGAGAGGCTCTGGCAGAACACGCCGCCATCAGCGCCTCGCCCAAATGCCGTGGACTGAGCCTGGTCAATACCGACCTGACAGACGTGGGACAGAGAGAAAAAATGTACAAGCAGGGAGGCATCTTCTCCGTCACGTCGCGCATCCTGGTCGTCGACCTCTTGACCGAGAACCTCGACCCTGCCAAAATCACCGGTCTCGTTGTCCTCCACTCGGAACGCATCGCCGCAACCTCGCTAGAAGCTTTTATCGTCCGTGTGTACCGCCAGAAGAACAAGCAAGGCTTTCTCAAGGCCTTCTCAGATGCCCCCGAACCATTCGCCTCAGGCTTCGCTCCTCTGGCAACCATGATGCGCAACCTCTTCCTCCGACGACCCTCGCTATATCCTCGCTTCCATGTCACTGTCGCAAAGTCCCTCGAAGGTCGCCGAAAAGCCGAAGTCATCGAACTCGAGGTCCCCATGACTGACGGTATGCGCGACATTCAGAACGCCATCATGGAGTGCGTCGAGGTCAGCATTACGGAGTTGAAGAAAGGAAACACTGGCTTAGACATGGAAGACTGGAATCTTGATAGTGCTTTGCATCGCAACTTTGATGCCATCGTCCGTCGACAACTGGATCCTGTTTGGCATCGTACCAACTTCAGGACTCGTCAAATCGTTCGTGACCTGGCGCTATTGCGCAATATGCTGCACTATCTTCTCACTTTCGACGCCGTAAGCTTCCTTCGATATCTCGACACGGTCCTAGCCGCTTCATCTCCACCACCTGGTTCAAATCGCCAAAATCAATCTCCTTGGCTGTTCCTAGACGCTGCTCATGTCATCTTTGACAATGCCAAGCGTCGTGTATACACTGGCAATATTAAGGATAGCCAAAGTGTGAATGCCAGAACAGGCGTTCCCGACTCTCTACGTCCTGTGCTCGAAGAAATGCCCAAATGGAATCTTTTGGCCGAGATTCTGGAGGAGATAGAGCGTGACATGTACTTCAATCCTTCATTCCAGGATGAGTCCAACGGTAGTATCCTTATCATGTGCGGCGATCAAGGCACATGTCGGCAGATCCGTGAATACCTACAAAGCATGAATGTCCTTCCAGATACCACATCAGCAAAAGACGACGCTGATGAAGATGCTCGAGGACCATCTGGCGCCGCTATGATGCGTCGAAAACTCAGAAACTATTTCCTTTGGAAGCGAGACTTCAATCGAGTGAGCAATTCACTCTTTGCAGAAAATCAGAAGAACATCAATGGTTCATCCGACCAGCGTCAAGGCCAAGCTGGTCGGGGGGGACGAGGCGGCGGGTCTAACAAGCGACGCCGTATGCGAGGTGGTTCATCTGCTGCATCTGCTCCTACACGCACAGCAAACGGAAGCGTCCACGTGGCAGGAGACAAAGAGTCTCACGTGCAAAGTCTTCTGGCCGAGCTCGAGCCTACAGAAGCAGAAGCTCAACAGAAGGCTGAGATCGGTGCCGACCCTCTGGATGACATGGACGACTTTTACGAGCTTTACGACATGAAAGATTTAATAATGGTACATCCCTACGATGGCGATATGGACGAACACATTCTCGAAGAGACCAAGCCGAGATATGTCATCATGTACGAGCCGGACGCGGCTTTCATTCGGCGCATTGAAGTATATCGGAGTAGTCACTCGAACAGAAACGTGAGAGTCTACTTCATGTACTACGGAGGAAGTGTGGAGGAGCAACGATATCTAAGCGCGGTGCGCAAAGAGAAGGACGCCTTCACCAAGCTAATTCGCGAAAGAGGTTCGATGGCCGTGACTTTGACACATGATCCTGCAGGGCTGGACCCGCAAGAGTCTTTCTTACGAACGGTCAATACTCGTATCGCTGGTGGAGGTCGACTTGTCGCGACCGCGGAACCTCCAAGAGTCGTCATTGATGTTCGAGAGTTCCGATCGTCTCTGCCGTCACTTCTTCATGGAAGAAACATGGTCATCGTTCCATGCACCTTGACAGTAGGCGACTACGTTCTGACGCCTGAGATTTGTATTGAGCGAAAATCGATCAAGGATCTTATCCAATCCTTCCAAAACGGCCGTCTCTACCACCAAGCTGAGACGATGCAACAGCATTACAAGAGTCCAATGCTCTTGATCGAGTTTGACGCACAGAAATCTTTCACGCTGGAGCCCTTCGCAGATATGTCGGCCGGCGTGGGCTCTGGTTCTTTGCAAGCATCAGACTTGCAGTCCAAGCTTGTGCTGCTGACTCTGGCCTTTCCTCGTCTTCGTATTATCTGGTCCTCATCACCATACCAGACCGCTGAGATCTTCGAAGAGCTCAAAAAGCAACAGGAAGAACCTGATCCGATCAAAGCAGTCAATATTGGGTTGGAAGAGAGTGATATGGATGGTCAGGAGAGAACTTTCAACCAGCTACCACAAGACATGCTTCGTGCTGTACCAGGAGTCAACCCGAAGAACTTGACAAACTTGATCCTCAAGTATGAAAACGTATTGGAAGTTGCCAATGCGGATGAGGATGAGTTGGCGGCGTTGATCGGAAAGGAAGCTGGCAGACAGATCTACCGTTTCTTCAATCGTAGTGTTTTCGAAGACTAAGGGACTTGCAGTACGCAGGCAGAATCATCAGTACAACAACATAATAGGAACGTCTCAAGATACCTCGTTCGCTCCTGCCTGTAATACTGTGAAGCTGTCTCGTCACCGATTCGTTGAGGCGATGATGTCGTTTGCGACTGCCGCCTATGGACCCGAATATTGATGTGGAAAAGTCTTGACAGCCTTCGTCCTCCCACAGAAATATACAGCAACATCCTAGACTATAAAAAGGCACAGTAGCTTCCAGACTAAGGATGTGGCCAGAGAGAGTCTACAAATTATCGTCTTTCAGTGGACATCACCTTATTTGCAAAGACTATCGTGCATTTCTATAGCTACTTAAGATACATGCTCTGGTCTGGTCTGGGAGAGGCACTAATGTGAGGTTCACTACACCAGGCTACCTTTCGACGACAATATGTCTGTTGCTTCACATGTCGTCGTCGCCGTCGTCGAGCGACCCGGACCATCGTCACAATATCCGCAACACCGGGTCGTCGGACCAACACCTCCCTTGTTAGCTTCACAGCACATGAGGCCTGTTTCTTCACATTCGTGCGTCGTGCAGACTGTCTGTATACATGTGATACGGTCGGAGCCTGCTGCTCGTGCCTGGTAGTTCACTCAGAGGCCTGTGGTATCGTCGTATCGAGGCTCGAAAGATGTCGATTTTACTTGTGATATCTCAGGAAACCATGTGATCGAGCCTGCCTTCACTATCAAACTGCTCATTGCCATCGTCGAGGGAGCAAACAAAGGTCGTCGGCGATGCATGTGATCCGTCAAGAGCCCGGTGCTCGTGCCCGTCACTACAACAGGCCCCATATCGTCGGGTCGACAACCAGGCACCGACGACGACAAACGCACAAGAGCTCTCTCCGCTACTTCTTCACTGTGGAATACATCACTATATAAACATACAAGGAATACGTTTCTTCGAAGCTTCCCACACCAGAACATCAACGCCGTAGACTTGAGCACCAAAGATCTTCCTCTAGCCAGAAGTAAGTAGTCACTATGTTGTTTCGTTGAACAACGCAACAAACATTGATAACTTCGTGCGTCAGTCACACTCAATCAAGCCTCTGCAGAAACCAGCAGCAATGGCCAGCAACAACAAACCCACCACTCCCTCTCGCTCGAGCCCTGCTCGCAAGAGCAGCACCTACCCTCTCCCTCCCACGACCCCTGCATCAAGACAGCCACAACTCAAAGCACGCACTCCCAGCAACAAATACTACACCTACAAGGAGTGTGTCGCCAACGACAAGGCGGCCAGAACCCGTGCAAAGTCCCTGGTCAAGCAATCAGACCAATACATCTACGAAATGTCGCACGAGAAGAGAGAGCAAATACTCGAGACCGTCGCCAACGAGGTCGATGCAAAGAGGATCAGAGACGGCGAGCACGTGTCTTGCCTATTTGAGGAGGAGGACGTGGTGGAAACGCCCCTGAGCCCCGAGGAGGCGGCCGAGAAATGGGAGACGACCAGAAGAGAGATTGCTGCAAAGGTGTCGGGTGTCCGGGGAGTGCCAAAGTCGGAAGTCAGAATGTTGCCAAAGAAGGTGGTTGTGTCTGGTGAGAAGGTTTCGGTGGAGGAGATGGAGGAGGACGTCGGTGACCTTGCTGTGGACGTTGAGTCGGCCCCTGAAAATGTTACCTCGAACGGTATTCCCGTCATCATGATTGATGATATTTAAATCACAATCATATCAAGAATCGCAGTTGTATATATAGAAGAAAAGTCACCAAAGCACAATCCCATCACAATTTCACACTCAAAAGTATACTATAGAAATGCACGATATTATCAAAAACATAGTCATATCCACTGAAAACCCCTTATTTCGTCGACTCTCTCTGGACAGAGCCTGCATTGATATAAATCTGTGCCTTTTTATAGCATACTATCGTTGTTGCTCCGTGCAGGAGAGAAGGAGAAACCCACACTCGAGATCTCTCTCCCAACTCTATTGGCCAGCAATATATGGACTGCAAAAATGCAAAATGACATATCAAGTTACGACTATGTCCAGAGAAAACATCCAGGAATAACAGCTCTCAGTGGACACCGACCTCTGCTTTCAATTTATCGAAATGCACAAATGTATACAAGTTAGAGTTGTTTCCAGAGAGAGCCGACAGGTTCGATGACTCTCAGTGGACGATGCCATATTTCCAAACAGTTCTGTGCACTTTTATAGGTACAATACTGCCCTATATCGTTGTGAGAAATCATGTTCTCCCAATGTGCTGATACCCGTCTCGAGTATCTATAGATATGCACAATTGTATTCAGGTTTCGATCTATGTCCAAAGAGAGCGCATAGGACAACATCTTTTCAGTGGACATCACTCGTTCTCTCAATAATGCTGTGCATTTCTATAGCCCATTTGTTAGCCCGCTTCGCTAAGGGAGAGTCTGAAACTAATAATATCCGACACAAGAAAGTGAGGGCAAAGATAACAGAAGCGTATTGACTTGCAAATTCTAAAAATACAATGAGAAGCTATCTGAGACACTCCCCCAAAATCTCTTTGCTAGTCTTTGTGATGTCTTCCGGCAAGAGCGATTAAGCAGCAGAGTTCTTGATCTCGTCTTTTCTGGCTTGGGCAGCCTGCTCGGCGATTCTGCGTTCTTCAATCAGGCGGGCTGTGCCTGCTTCCTTGTGTGCGGCGGACTCCTTGTCCCAGGCTGTCCAAACTGTGAGGCGATTAAGTCAGTATGTGATGCTGGGCTTTGAGTTGTGAAGATTGAGTATGCCGAAACGAAATCGAGATGGAAATCTTCGAGGTTCAAACTGAACTGAACCGACAGCGATCGCATGTGCCGAAAAAAGGGCAACAGGAAAAAGGAAGTTGAGAAACGACCTCACAAGACATCTGGGAAAGGAAAAGGAAAGAAAAGAGCAACCAGCTCGAGGGCAGACACGAGCAAGAGTAAAAACGTCGAAAAAAAACAAACTTACGAGGCAAATCACTCTTCGAGTGCTTCTTGAGCTGCGCGACCCACTCGTTGAAGTTCTCCTGCTTCTCTTTGCGGTTCTCCAGCGATCTCCTCTGCAACTCGGGGTTGTATCTCTATATTAGCAAATCATGTCAGCTTACAGCTCTAAAGACCAGGAAAAGAACCAGTCTGTTGCCAAAAGAACAGATCGCAAAGTTGATAGAGATCCGTCGCATGTTCGAGAGCCTTGACGATTGCACAAGACAGAAAAAGTGACTTACCATGAACAATTCCTCCTCTGTCGGCGTGACGTAGTAGATCAGGTAAGGACCGCCGATACACAGGACAGCGCCCCTAAATAACAGCGTGTCAGTCTAAACACTTCCATATAGGTTGACCAGCAAGAGAGAAGAAAGCGCATACGATCCGATCATCTTTGCCCACAACTTTGCGCCTGGCATGGTGGCGATGTAAAAGCTTGACTAGGTTTGCGACTTTTGTCTTTGGGTATCAACAATTGAGTTGAAGGGACCGAAGTATTTGTGACTGGTTGTTCGAACGCTATGCGATAGCTTTATGGCGTTTTTTTGTTCACTGGGATGGGAATATAGAAGATGTAATGGATGTCTCTCGAGTGGAGCCGTGGAGGTCGGCGCACAAGATCAAGCCACAAGTTCAGCCACAGTCGCTCGCAGCCACATCTTGGCACATCACCAGAGAACAACCTAATGCAGATGATGGTCACTCCAAGAGGTATTTGCTCATAAATACTATAGACCCTTTATGAGAGCGAAGTTGACCAGTCAAGTACGAATCGGAGTCTCGTAGAAGAATATCTCATCCAACAACTTGTTAGAGAACCTCATGTGCAAGTCCTTCAGAGTCCATCCTTGTCGTTTGCCGATCATCTCCAATGTTGTCAGACACTCGGGAATCTCGGTCTTATATGCTGTCGTCCGAACATACTCACGAGCTGGAAGACCACTAAAACGCATTTTCATCCACTCTTTCCCCCAATGTGGGCGAAGCCTACCTTGAGGTGCCAGTGCAGTCAATGCATCTACCAAGCCTTGACAGAAAGTCTGCCACTCTTCTTCTGTAACAGTATCGGTGACCGAACCAATCTCGAGAGCTACGGTACCATGACTGTTTCCACGTTGAGGAGCCATGGTTATGTCACTGTCACCTGTGATCCTCATGTCCATTGCCAAACGCATTGGTGAATTGGCCGAGCGGTATACCAAGTCGATGACACTCCACCAAGCTTTCCTTACCATTGTCCAATCAGGCTTGCTCGCGTCCGTCGGCAAAGGCGGTATCGGCAAATCAAGTTCCATGTTTCTGGCGCGAGCATAGTGGCGGCCGCGCCGGAAGTGAAGTGCATTTGGCAACTTGGTCTTGATCTCGAGATCGTCTGGATCGGTGGTCAATGGCGACAATACTGCCATGTTTCCTGTCGCGAGCAGTTGAGATTGCCATCTCGCTGGTATGTCAGAATAGAAGTCAGTCCCCACGATGACTGCGGTAATCTACGCCGCTACCCATTGCAGAAATGCTTGGACGGGAGTTGTGTAGTCCTCTTATCCTTCCGCGTTGGGGACCGTCGACCACGTGTTGACGAGGACGTCTGATTGATAAGAAAACCATGACCACTCGGCATAGTGGTCTTGCCCAGCTCGTCGTTCGAAATCATTGATTGCTTGCTTGAGCTCTTCAGGGCTGGTTTCAACATGCAATGCTTCGGGGACTTGAGTTGGATCGGGTGGTGGAATAGCGAGCATTGTCTTTACCTTGCGAGGTTGCATGACTGCAAAGGTCATCTTCTTGACTTCGTAGGTGACGTGTGTGATTATTCCCACTAGTCCAAAGCACCCCAATGCGGCGTGCAGTTCCGAAGGTTCTGTAACTGTTTGAACAGCGCCGTTGACATCGACGTATTCGAGCGATCTGATATAATCGTTGATGGACTTGTGTGCGAAGCCGGCGCCATGACACATGGATCCAATGATGCCGCCAGTGGTTATCCTAGTACCCGTCAGCCGTTTGTCAACATTGACATGGTGACTTCTATGTCCTANCTCATCTGCTGTAACGTCCACAGGCAGTGACCAGCCGTCTTCGTTGGCCTATTCTCGAAGCTCTTCTGGAGTCACTGCCACACCTACACGGACTCGTTGAGTGTCTGCTTGACCTGCTTTGGGAGGAAAGACTTGAACGCTCTTCAGCTCTCCTGACACCTCGGCTTCGTTGATTCGATCAGTAAAAATACTGATCATCTCCGGCAGAACGCTTGCAACGTGATGCAGGCTGACAAAGGAGACGAGGATGTCGCCGTCTTCTGGAAAGAAGTCAGACCTAGTATGTCGATAGCCACTGCATCGAATGCGCTTCTGGGGATATGCTTTGATCAGGTTCTGTAAGCCAAGCACGGTGGACGGGACGAAGGTCAGAGCTGATCTGGTATGTACATTTTGTTGCCAATTGAGGAAGGGAGTATCGGCGTAGACCTGAATGTGCGTCAGCGAGCGCTCGAGTTGTACCGCCATGTTCATTCAGACCTCCATGATCCTGGTCTTTTCGAAGTCCTCAAACACGATTGGGCGATGCTCCACTGCATCTATCGTTTGTTCGACCTTAGCATAGGCACGACCTCCGAAGAGGCGATGCTTCTTGTGAGCATCAGGCAAATGACCGCCGAAAGGATGTCTATGGAGACTCAATGGGGCTGGAGTCGGGTCGAAGCCTTTGGCTGCAATCGTTTCTGCCGGGGTGCCACTGAGAAATGCCGAGACTTTTGCTTTCAAATCAGCATTGAGCTGACCGTGCAGCACTCCGAAAGTGAAAGTGTCCTCGAAGACCTGACACAAAGCACGGGTCGCATCCTCGGATCCAATCCGATCACTCCGTACACCATCGGCAAGCTGACGAAGCAGATCCAAATCGACGGTGGGATGAACATCGGCCAAGGCAGTAGCTTTCTAAGCAATTTCCCCAAGAATATAGTAGGTGTCGAGTTTTGAAGGCGGCGGTTGGTAGAGTTCTAGGAGCATGATGGGCGGCGCAAGACTCAGTGAGGCCAAGCAAAGTAATACTAGGAAGGGGAATGAAGAGCGATAAAATTGATGCGGGGCGCCTGGCAGATATCGACCTTAGGGAGGTTGAAGCGGTGGTTGAGATTGAGAGTCATGTCTTGCTGCACGTGTTTTGCTGCGTTCAGGGAAAGGGCGATGGCTGGACTCTGCCAGCTGGCAACCCTAATAGCTCCAAGGAAGGTCCGACAGAACTGCGAAGGGGTTCAAAGCCAAATACAAGGCCTTCTGGTCCAGCGATGATCTCGAAAACACGCGAGAGCGGTGGGACAAAACTCCGCGGCCATCAATGGCAATTGTCACACGCAAAGGAGCGGTGGACTACTGTCTCATGTTGTGATGTGTCTGCTTAGGTCGACCAAACCTGAATGATGTTCGGGGATTTACGGACGAGAGACCCGTAAACTTATGGTACAGCAGACGTTGTAGCAGGCCAAGCCCACCACGAACAGCAAAGAATTTACTGAGACTATGTCGGGTACTCGAGTAGGTAGAAACAAAGAACCCGCACTGACAATGAATCAGGGAACGTGGAGGTTATGAAGGCCATAGACAGCAGGGGAATGGAGAGGTGGAAACAATGGGTTAGTGGGGCGGTGACATGCGAACGAAACCGGCTGGACCATCTGGTGAGCACGCGACAGCAGGTCCAGTTAGATGATCAATTGACATAGATAGATGGTGTTGTGCGCATGAAGATAGGCCTGGCCCACTCGTCGCAATACCGATAGACAGGAATACGGGCTACGTGGCGTCTGCACTGGCAGCTCTTGACTAACAGCATGCTTCTCTCATCACGAATCCGGCAGCAACAGGCGTTGAGGAATACTGCTCTTGAGATCGTGTAGTTGCGGAAAAGTGATGTTGGCTCGGTTGAGCCGTGCGGAAGACGCCTGTTTAGGACGAGGGGAGAAAAGCATGGGCGGTTTGGCGACTCTGATTGGTTGAATCTTAGCTGCTCTCTCTCCAGCAGTTGTGTTTTCTCCAACCTCACGAGCGTGGTGAGGCCAGGGAAATCAGAGAACACTCCACTTCGTGGTTATTAGGTTGGCGGCATTTGCCAATGCTCACCGAGGACCCTCTCAACAGCCGCCGGCAAGCTGCTACGTGTACGCGAGACTCATCTGACGCCCTTTTGGAACGCAAACACGATCAATCTCGCCTGAACCCATATGTCATAAGCATCGCAGTCCAAATAAAGGTCAAGCCCGCCGCTCATCAGGAACTTTGCGTCGCTTGCTTGCCAATCACGTTCCGTCATTCTCAACAACAGAGCTGTTCGACAGCCCCTCCACGCCATAATTCTAGAACACCGACAAGACATCCCTCTCAGCCAAGATGTGCGTTGTTACCAGAGATTCCTGCTTTTCACATCAAATGTATCGTCGTCATCTGACCATCTTGTCATCAGGAAGTTCGGCAAACACATTCAGAAGAGGCAGCTGGATATCCCCGAATATGCTGCCAGCTTCGTTGACTACAAGGCCCTCAAGAAGGTAACCACTTCGTCGTGCTGCCGCTTTCACCTTGCACACACAGGGCATCCATGACTATCTCATACTGACACTTCACAGTTGATCAAGAAGCTCAGTGCGACACCAGTCATACACGCCCAGGACCTCACAAATGCTGGAAGCGGCCTCGCAGACTCGCAAGCCTCATTGCAAGCAAACAAGGCTACATTTTTCTTTCGACTGGTAAGATCATGACTTTGCTCTCAATGAGTGACAGACTGACCATGACTTAGNGAGCGTGAACTTGAGAAGGTCAACATCTTCTACCTACAGAAAGAGGCAGAGGTATGTTGTTCACGGTCGGATTTTTGGTGCTTCTCTGACACCAAGTCTCAGCTCAAGTTACGGTTGAAAACCCTGGCGGACAGAAAGAAGTCATTACAGGCTCGTGGTTTGTCCGCTTCGAAACTCTCCACAGTCTTTGTCACGCTAGACGAAGGCTTCCGACTGTTCAACAGTGATCTCGACAAGCTCCAGGTTCGTCATGCTGAATGCATCTTGAAAGTAAAAGCTCTAACTAGAATANNGCAATTCATCGAGATCAACCAGACTGCCTTCTCAAAGATCCTCAAGAAGGTGAGATTGCAATGCTCGAAAGCATCAGTTTCCGATTGCTAACATGGAATAATANNGTGGGACAAAACTTCAAAGTCGCGCACGAAAGAGCTATATCTCTCACGAGCAGTAGAGATCCAGCCATGCTTCAACAGGGATGTTATCAGAGATCTTTCCGACCAAGCCACATCAAGTTTGCTTGAACTCGGCGCTTGGGCAGAAGGTGAGAAGATTGAATACATACCCAGTGGCGATCAACAGCAAAGACCTCAAGCAGGTGCGCAAGAGGACAACGACATCGAGATGCAAATGCAACAGGCAGTAAACACTGGTAACGAAACACTAATCAAGGAATGGATCTCGAGACTGGGATCCACAGATGAAGCGAAAGAACGCATCAACCGCATTTTCCTCAGCACAATCAACGATGCACCCTTGGAGATGCAGAACACCCTACTGGAGACAAATCTAGTTGATCTGAATTACGTGGATGAGATCAACGAACGTACTTGCTTGCATGAGCTCTCGATCTCAGGTAGACTACTCAGCCTGCCGATGGTGCTCGAACGTGGCGCAAATCCCTTGGCGACTGATATCTATGGTCGTATTCCACTGCACTACGCCTGTATGCGCGGTCACGTTGATGTGGTCAAGGAACTCGTCAGGTACGACTCGGCGAATGCTATGGAAGGCATAGAGAGCGCCTCCACGAATAGTGCACCCGTCGCCGAAAGCGTCGACTTCAAAGACTTGGACAACTTCACGCCTCTCATCCATGGTATCGTGCATGCTCGTTTTGCAGCGGTCCAGGCAGTCTTGGAGCTGGGAGCTCGCGTAGACCCCACTAGCGAAGCAGACCACATTCCAATTAACCTGGCTTGCCAATACGGATCAGTCCCGATCGTGGATCTGCTTCTCCAATACCACCCACAGATTCTGCCTGATGCAGAAGGCCTTTATCCACAACATCTGGTTCCCAGATCAGGCCGTAGTCCGCAGATCTTGCAGATGTTGAAGAATTATGGAGCCAACCTGGATCAACCCGACAAGCTTTACCAATGGACTCCAGTCTTCCACGCTGCGAGCGAAGGTCACTTGTCTTGCCTACAGGCTCTACTCGAATTGGGTGTGGATGTTGATGTATTGGATGAGAAAGACCTCTCTGCCATGTACTACGCTGCATGGGAGGGTCACCTCGACTGTTTGCGTTTGCTAGAAAAGGCAGGCCATGGCAAGGGTATTGCCCGTGAAGAGCCGACGCCAGCTCCTGCCACTTTCCAATCCATCCTCAGCTCAAGTGCACCCATTGCTGCAAGTGCAGACATGGAAGCAATCCCCGACCTGTCTTTGCCTCCACCAATCATCCCTCTCAGACGCTACGGTCACAATTTCCTCGACACAACAAAAACGTTTATTGTCATCAGTTTCGATTCACAGGACTCTCAAGCAATTGAGTTCTATGGTGACAACAAGTATCCTGCCGCAAGATTGACGATATCATCCAAGTCTTCAGATCTCATCCCCCGCAATATCCCATTGCCGATACAGGACGAGTTCAGAGTCATCTCTTTCCAGATTGACAATCTCAACACCTTCTCGATCGATTTCGACATCTTCCCCACATTTGGCTCCAAGGTGATTGCCAGAGGTGCAGCGTCATCGCTTGTGTTCTCGAGCAGATACAACAGTTCTGGAAATTGGCATCTGGAACTCTTCGACCCTAGACTCCGGGCTATTGGACGTATCAGCTTCAAATATCAAGTCGTCACACCATTCCACGGCATTCCCATGGAGATTACACAGTTTGCTACATACTGGAAGGCAACGAGCCAGATCAGCTCGCAGCCCAACGGACTTATCACTGGTTCAAGTTTGAGCGGAGACTACATGCGCATCTTTGTGCAAGCAACTAAGGATGGGGTACCAGTCCTGTATCCCTCATGGGCCATGCCATCGACACTTGCAGCATACGGCGTGAGAAATGATCTCATCAGTCGTCTTACGTACGACCAGTTCTCTGCTATTGGCAGAGCTAACGGCAAAGGCCCTGAAAGCTTGATAGCGCTGCTTGAAGCTTCACCCGCCTTGTTGGCAAAGGGACTTGCAGAATCTTGGTGCTCTCTCCACGACGTGCTCGAGATACTGCCTCCGCAGATGCATCTCGATGTGCACATGCTCTTCCCCACAAAGGCAGAAGAGGAGCTGCTGCAACTTGGCCCAACGGGTAATATCAACGAGTTTGTAGACGCATCGCTGAAAGAGGTGTTTGATCATGCACGCCGACTACGTGGAACCAGCGAAGGCTTCATTAGATCGATTGTGTTCTCTTCTTACAATGCCAATATCTGCACGGCGCTCAACTGGAAACAACCAAANCTGTAAGTGTTGGTCAACAAATTTGTGTCGAAAGCAAAGCTGACTCAATCCCCAGATCCCGTGCTTTTGTGCAACGACCTCGGCATTGAACAGGCAATGTCGGAAGAGACAGATTGGCCACTGTTCAGCAGCGGACGTACCACTACGTCTGTCAAGGAAGCCGTGAGGATCGCACAGAGCAACAACTTCATGGGACTGATGTGCAGCTCGAGATTGCTGGTGAGTGATGGCGGACAAGGAGGGAGAAGTGAGTACGGGCTAACACGATGACTANNGGAACTGGTACCAGCACTGATCGAGTCGGTCAAGACGGCAGGACTGGTGTTGATTGCGGATGTGACCAACTCGACGACACAAGAGCAGGTTGCGCGTGCGTCCTTTGACGCGCTGCCCGACGAGGTGGACGGCTACCTCGACAACAACGCAGTTTTGCGATTCCACGAAAGCATCGACATGTAAAGACAGGCCACAGATATAAGGGCAAGGCAAGGCAAGGCGCAAGGCGTGAGACATAGAAGGGGTGTATTGCATGGCAGAAAAACAGGGCGGTTATCACGGGAAGGGTGCACGATATTGATTGGGGATAATCAGATTCAGGCAAGGAGCAGAAAGAAATCAAGCACCCTTGTAATTGTACTTGAGGCGTTCCAAGCTGGCGACATCGAGCGGGACAAGTTGGGAACGGGCGTACATGGTGACAAGGAAGATTGCTGTAGAAAGAGAGTCAGCGGGTGTTGACAANNAAAGAGCGGTAGACAGCGTAAACACACCACCAGGCAANNAGGCGCGCCAGGCTTCGTCGACCAAGTCTCGTCTCCAAGCCAGCACACCAGAAAGAGCGAGTACAGTACTCAACGCAGCATTCAACCACGGCAAAGCAATATCCAGCGGACCCCTACCGTCAATCATGGCAGCAGACAATCTCAAGCTGTCCACAGCGGCAGGCGCAGACGGAACACAGAGGAAAATGTAAACAGTGCCACCCAGAGCAGTCAAGGACAGCAAAGCCAACAAGACATGTCTAAAGGCCTCGGCAGAGAACAGAACAGGCAAGTAGATCAGCGCTGCAGCAGCGGGCAGAGCGACAAAAGCGCGACGGTAGAAGATTGTGTTGTCCAAGTCGCGCTTTGCCAGATCCTCGATGATTGTTTCCTGCTCTTGCTCGTCGAGTTCTTCGCGGTCGCTGTCGTCGCTGCCTGCGTCTTCGGTCGGGTAGCGGAATGTTTTGCGTAGACGGGCGGCCATGGTTGTTCAGCAAGGCAGTTGCGACCAGCTGTAAATGTTTCGAGAGAGCCCCTCAAACCTCCAAAACGCGGAAGACGCGCCGCGAAACCGAGAAAAGCTGCGAATGACGACGTGCAGCAGCTCTTTGCCCGATGAAAAGCCGGCAGTATACCATTCGACTTGCAAGCATGACCAGATTTCTTGCTTTGTACAGATATAGAAAGACCGATATCACACACACATCTCCTACAACATGCCACCAAGATTACCGCTCCGCAAGCCCCTCGAGGCCCTCTTCAAGCGCAGCAATGCCACCACCCTCACACCCCGCCGCACCCTCATCGCCGCGCCGAAACCAAACTCGGGTCCTCTGATGGAGCGCCGCGCCGACCGCGCCCTCCCCGACATGACACCCAGCAAATCATGGATGATCACGTTACCCCTCTTCCTCGGCGCCATGGCCGCCTCCACCCTCGCCATCTTCAACTACCAAAAGCAAAACTCGTCCGTGGTGACCAGCACAATGTACTCGTTGCGAACGAATGCGCTTGCCAGAGAAATCCTGGGCGATGAGGTCTATTTTGCCAGCAAGATTCCTTATATCGGTGGAGAGATCAATCAGTTGCATGGAAAGATTGATGTCGTGTATTGGGTCAAGGGAACGAGGCAACAGGCAAAGATGAGGTTCAAGAGTCACAGGAAGACGAGGATGGGAATCGTGAGTTTGAGAACTTATCCGATAGAGGGCAAAGTGCTGACACAAGATGACAGNTTTGAGACGACGGAGTGGAGTCTGGAGTTGGAGGACGGCACTGTGGTCGATTTGCTCAAGACCACTGATTCCGATCCTTTTGTCGCTACACCAATGGAAGCAAAGGCTATTGCTGCTGAGGCGTAGAGCAGTCATCTGGAATCTTCTTGGAACACGCCTTCCAAGCGCTCTTGCCTTTTTATTTCGTCAACTCGATCTGGACACAACACATTCGAATCGAGAAAAAGAAGGCCAACCACCTTGCATCAAAGCACACTGTAACACTAGACATGGCTTACTGCTCTACCCAAGCGGCCACATTGTACATATACCTCCCACCAAATGAGAAAAGAAATGAATCAAAAAGACTCCTCATACTACCGCATATCCACTATCACCGTCAAATAGCACCATGCTACTTGCGGTCTCGATTGCATGGCTCTCACTCGACGGTTCTTCTCTGCTAATCAACAACTACAACTCACCACACTGCCGGCTCTAGGAGATGATGCATCAGTATATCTCGCTCACGAACCGTGCTGTACGTCTTTCCCTACTTGCCATCATTCTACTCATCCCAGATAAGGACACCACGCTGTAGATGAGCTATGGAATTGCACAGATATATCAGGATCAAAGACGATGCCCACAGAGAGCTAGATCTCCACCGGCTTTTATTGAATAACTCTCTCGATCCGAAGATAATTGTGCATCTTCATAGTTCTATATGGTAGGACTCTGTCTGATGAGGGTCAAGACAATCACCCCTCCTTCCTGCCAGGATATGTGGCTTTGAGTAAGCTATAAAAACACATGGTTGTATTCAGATCAGAAATCATGTCCAGAGAGAGGTGTTGAAAGCATGGCTCTCACTGGACACACTCCTACTCTGAAGAAAATTATGCACTTGTGTAGTTACTTATGTGATATACCATGCATATCGAGACTCTATCCTCACTGGTCACAATCACAAGAACAAAGACATTGGTAGTTGTAAGTTTTGATTCGGTTATCAGTGCGCTGCACATCGTGTCTCGCATACGAAGAAAAAACGAAAACAGGAAGAGAAGACATTGATGTTATCTTCCCAAGAAACACCAAAGAAGAAACACCTTTCCAGTTGCTCCGCGCTTTCCATTCGAGTCGGAAAAATAACGTCCACTTCCAAAACACAGGGGTATCGAGTCGTAGTCGTTGGTTCCTAGCATGCGTTCGTCGTATCATGTATTCGTCCTCTTTGCTGTTTGCATATTCAAACTCGTCTTCTTGTTCACACAGTGCTTGCTTGCTTGCTTCTTTGTGTCTTTGTTGCTTTTCCTTCGCTTTTGCATTTGGTTGACTCTTTGTTCTTGAGTTGTACTTCTTCTTTTGTTCTTAGTAGGAAACATCTGCTTCGAAGGTACAGAGATGATGCAAGGCGTGATTATTGTATCTCGTCCTCGTCGTCGTCAGGATTTATGTTTGTTTTGTTGATCATTGCAGACCACATGTTATCGTTTATGAGGTTGTCGAGCGAGTCATCGAATGCTGATGTGCCGACTAGCTGGCTGACATTGGAGTTTGCGGTCGTGTTAGGGGTCGTGGTGGAAGCTTGTTGTACAGCAGCTGTAGTCTGAGAAGCCGGAGGTGTTTGAAAAGCAGGAGCTTGTTGAGCCGTGGTTTGTATGATAGGCTGAGCAATAGGCTGAGGGATAGGTTGAGGGATAGGTCGAGTGATATTTTGAGAGGTACTTGATGCTTGGGCTGTAGTCGGTGGATGCGAGATAGTTGCTGATTGTGGGGCAGATGTTTGCAGAGCGACGGAAGCTGAAGGAGAGTTGAGGATTGCTTGGACGTCATGAGATGGTTGTAATGTAGCGACTGATTGTGCTGTAGGGGGTGACTGTGTGACAGGTGCAGTTGTGATCAACAGTGTCGTGTTGTGCGACATCTGATCGGAGTTATTGCAATAACTCAGAGAAGTGTCCGATGAGTGAGGACTTGAGCTGCTGGACGATCGAGATGAGGAGTCGATTGTCGATGACGAAGTTGAGATAGGAGCATGTGCATAGACAAAGGCGGGTCTAGAGACAGGAAGGGCAGGGGCAGGGGAAGAGTTGTTTGACATCTCGTCGTCATCATCGTCATCATCCTCTTCGTCGAAAGGCATATGGTTACGGCGAGGGGCTGCTTGAGGGAGAGGCTGAGGTTGTGGACGAGCCGATCTCTTCGATGACAGCTTCTTCGAGATACCCGCAGGTTTCTCGCCGCTGCGAACACTCTTTGCCATGTAGGACTTCTTGCCGGTACGTATTGCCTTCTCTAAGTCCTTTAGGGAGGCGTTGAGCGAGTAGGCAACTCTTTCGAAAGAGTCCTTCTTCTTGTTGAGAATACTCTTGCCAAGACGCGAGGGGTCTGACAGAGGTACCTCGATGGCTTGGGCGGCTGGAGGTGCTACTTCATCCATAGGGGTGTCGAGAGAGCCTGAGGAGAGGGCAGGGGTAGTCGTCTGCGAGATGAACTTGTGGTACTGTTCTGGGAAGGTCTGACCACTGCTGCCTCTGAAAAGGTGCATAGCGGCGTTGTGAGCGAGAGATTTGGCGGGAGAGATGGTGGCATGCTGGCTGTTACTGGCCAGTGCCATGAAGTCGAAGGAGAAGGAATTGATTTTGTGACGGAAGAAGATGCTCTTCATGCCCGTCTCAGCGGCCAGTAAGGAGGTAGTGGCCTCATGACCCGAGGCAGCGACCAGGCCATTGTACCACTGACGAAATTCGTGCTTCTTCTTCTCCTTTCGTGCTGTAAACTCTTTGCTGCTCAGCAGCACAGACTGGGTCTTTGAGCGCTTTCTAGGCAGCTCGCCCATGCTCTGGTACAGCTGACAGAGGCTACGCTTGGTGCCCTGAGGCGAGGCAATGGTGTCGACATCCATGGGGTCGAAGGAAAGAGAAGTGGGCAGCACATGGCTGGGACAAGACATCGGAGTGGCAGAACGCGGCGAGGGCGCGTCTGACCAACTCACGATGGAGGTCTTGACTGGGTAGGGGAAGAGAGAGAAGAACGAGAACATCTTGAAGATGATGATGAGGATGGAGGTACGAAGATGAGGGACACAAGGTTTTCTGATCGACGTGAGAGAAGGAAAGGAGGAAGAGAGCGTGAAGCGCGAATAACAAGACCCGCGCCGAGAAGTGACGACGACGCGAAAAGTGAAGCGTGCAAACGGAGAGTGTTCACTTAGACTCTCCGTAGGTATTGATCGGTTTTGGAAGTCGTTCCTACATTTTCACAGTTGAATTTCAAGTGTGCTTGGAGGCTGGGATACTAAACTTCGAAACCAAAATCAGGGGCAAGTTTGAAACCAACGCCGGGTGCTTCAACATTATACACATCTTACTTGGCTGATTATATATCGCAAGTTTTGTTCCCTCTTTTGTGTATATCGACAGTCATGGCCAGAGAGTGCTGTTGGTTCGGAAGCACTCGACGTCGAATTCAAATTCAGGGGTAGCATCGAGGTCGCCTTCTCGACGCTCGAACGACGCCAATTGTCTTCTCTTCTCAACAGAGAGTTGCTCTCTCATCATTGGTATCGTATATATAGTCGTGCTGAGATCTTCCAACGATGGTGTCGTGGAGACTGCATGTTATCTATCTCGCATGGGTGTCCTTGGTAAGCGGTATCTCCTAGCCTTTCGAAACACGTTGTATACGTACAATTATCTCAGCTCGGAGTTGTTATAGCGGAAGGTTCCTTCTTGATTACCTTCAAGACTTCTTTCTGGGTGGTGAAGTAAGCCTTACTTCAAGAACTTAGGGCATCCAGCGTACTATATCGATCGTTCCTTCCCAGGCGCAAAACCCTGTAGGATACATAGCTATATACAGGCACGGTACTTTGAATATAGAGGATAATGTCCACTGAAAAGGCACCATATAGACAGCTCTCTGTGGAAATAGTCCTAGTCTCTACAAGATCATGCCTTATTATAGCTCGATATCGCTCCACCTCGCTGTGAGAGCGTCAAGTTTGACAAACTTTGAAACATCAATATGTTCGAAAGACGACCTGATACTGGAATGGATTTGATGTCTTCGAGCTCCAGTATTACAAAGACTGCGATCTGACTAGAACAAGCACGATGTGGAGACAGATTCTACTCAAAACAATTTTGTTCTGTTCTTTGTTGCTTTATTGTATGTGCTTGCGAACCAAAAAAGAAAATGAAAATCAAAAAGACTTCCAACTCCCAAGAAGCAGGCCCGGTATTGGACGGCATCAGTCTTGAGAGACCCAAGCAAAACGACCCAAAGAAAACAAAACGTCATCATTAGAAACCAAAGTAAAAGAAACAAAGAAGAGGCAACGAGTAACAAAGCCAGAGAAGCAGCGACAAGCGGCGAGACTGGAGAAATAGCAACAAGAATCTATCGAACCCCTGCAAGACAAAGCAGGTAATCTCACAGAAACTCCGTATAGGTGTTGGTGAGGTCAGCAATCTGCTTTCCATCTTCAACATCTGATTCCTCCTCGACGGTCGGAAGAATATAAGGTATAGGTGTTCGTGGTGTAGAAGCTTGATCGGCCTCGAACTGGCATTGCTCAGGAGACGTCGGGGTGACAAGTTGCTCAGCCTCTTCGAATTCGAAAGAGACATCTTTGTAACGGTTGGGAGTGCGAATACGAGGAGGCGTGATGTCCAGAGATTCTTCTGCAATCGGCTTCAAGTTTCTTTTTGTGACCACTGACAGAGGTTTCTCGACAACCAATGCCTGTGATGCTTCTGCCAGCAACTTGCGATTGTTTGCGTTACTTATAGCCTGGGCCACTGCGGCTTCAGGGTTGCGTATGCGTTGTTTTTCCATGCGCTTGAGTACCTCTTTCTGTCGCTCAGACATCGCTCCCCTTTGCTGGCGATCCTCTGGCTTTTTCTGTTCCTTCTTTGCAAATGATGTCTGAACAAGTGGTAACACAAACTTCACACGCTCCACACCTGCCGGCAATTCCACAGCGGCATTGAATTTGCGCTCGCGCTTCTCTCCTTTGTGCTGATGTTTCTCGGCCTTTTGGTTACGTTCCTCGTGCTTTCCGGAACTAGATGGTCCCGGACGTTGCTTCTTTGGCTTTCCGAGATCCTGCTTGCCATTGTCAATGTTGTCAGCTATGGAGAGCTTGTCGGTCTTGCGTTGTTGTTTGATGGCCTTCAGGAGGTACTTGAACTCGTCATGGCGTGGCTTGCTGTTTTTGCTAGGACGGCCGTTCTCCTTAGAACGAGAAAGGTGACTTCTGACAAGAGCTTCAATGGACAACGCGCGTGTACCGACATCGATACCTGCATCGCTATGGGCGCGGAGGTTACCTGATTCGGAATTGGGACTCAATGCAGGGTCGTCGGAGACTTTGGCCTTCTGTTTCCCCTTTCTGACCTTCTCCAAGTCGATGAGCCATTGCCTCTCTTTCGCCTCCTGAGTGATTTCGCGGCGCTCAGCAAGGTCGGGCTCAGGCATATCGACCTGATCAGGGGCACTGACCTTCTTCTTGCCCTTTCTGGCTTCCTCCAGATCAATGGCTCTCTGCTCTTCTTGCGCGCCCTGAGCGGCCTCGCGGCGCTCAACAAGGTCTTGCTCTTGGGGGAGGTTGTCAGGAGAGAAGGAGGTCTCATAGGCCTTCATTCTCTCCCTGTTTGCCAGCTCTTTCTCCTCCTCCTTCTCCTTGTCAAGATTCTTTTTGGCTCTTTCGAGCTTTCCAGCCAGGCGCCGCTGCTGGAGGGAGTAGAGAAGGCCACGCGACTCGTTCTTTTTCTTCTCGGCTCTCTTCAGCCTCTGGGCCCTCTTCTTCTTCTGCACCTTGTCAGAGGCCCTCATCTTCTTGATCATGTCTTCCTCGTTGAAGTCTTCCCAGTCCTTGGGACCCAATGGATGCACCGGCGTCTTGGCTGCGAGCTCGGCGCGCTCCCTCATCCTGGCCTCGAGCTCGGCGCGCTCCTTTGTATCGTCGACGCCAGGGATAACGACTTCAAAAGGGATATGAGGCATGAGCAGGTTGGCGCCGTCGCCTGGTCTGCCATATAGGCGGCGGTTGAGGAAGTTTCTGATGCTGATTGTGCGCTTCGAGGGGCGCAGAGAGTGCTTTGTGAAGCGAGGCACATAGGACTTTTCGTAGAAATAGACGTTGCCCGCGGGATCACGCGCCTTGACGTACTTGACCTTGACGTTTTTTCTGACTCTCTGCAGAATTGAGACGGCCGTGCCTACAAAAGGCTTGGGAGGAGCATCGGGAAGAGGCTCTGATGATTCAGGCTTGGAAGGGAACAGGTCGTCCATCTCGTATGCCTCGTGAAGATCGCCATTGCTGGCCGTGTGCACGTATCTGGTGGCTTCTCTTTGAGCCGCAGAGCGGCCGCCGTAGTAGTTACGACCGCTCTTCTTTGTGCCACAGAACCATCGGTGGAGAAACGATTCCTTAGCAGGCTTAGCGTATGGATCGATCAGGAGCTTGGAGGTGGGCAACCTCTCATAGAGATGGTAGGGGTGGTTGCGCCAGCCTCCACCATAGGGACGTGGATAGGGGTTGTCTCCATCGAGTCCATTGGGGAAAGTGACTTTGGTGGGGTCTGCCGGTATGGGACGGGGAGTGTAAGGCTTGAAGCGAGTCTTGAAACGTGCAGGGCGTGGAATAGAAGGTTCAGCTTCGGGTAAAGAAGGTCCGGCTCCAGTAGGCGTAGTTTCGGTGACAGTAGGCGAAGGTGCGGTGTGGACTGAGGTTGAGGCCGCAAAGCGAAAAGAAGAGCCAGCATCAATTTTTGAGTTGGGGAAGACGATGTGCTTGGGTTTCTGGAATGGTTCGCAGAAGGATGAAGGAGCAGTGATGATGGGCGTTCCGTTGTGGGGAGAAATAGGTGACATGTGTTTGTCCACGATCATGGGCTTGAAGTTGTGCGCAGACTTGGAAGAAGGTGAGTCTTCGATGATAGCCGTCTTGGAGTTGTCGGCAGACTTTGAGGTGGACAAAGCAGCGGGCGTGAAGAGGTGAGAAGAATCAGTCGGGGTCAAAGGAGCGATGACAGGCTTGAAGACATGAGGAGACTGTAAAGAGGGCTGAGGAGGGGTGATGGGATCAGGGACGTGAGCGAATTGGGGCGAGGAGGAAGTGTTCGAGGAGTGCATTGTGTGTGAACGTGATACCACAGGACTACCATTTCCATCGGCAGTCGAACGATTAGGGCGATGCGACGAGGACCAACGGGTGCTCGAGGAGCGCTTTCGATAGGGGTTGACGCCGCTCAGTTCTTCCTGCCTCTCAGGCGCGCTGGATGACTTGTCAGTGTGATCTCCCGCGCGACGAAGATTACAGGGGCAACTTACAGGTGGATGCGCGCAGGCTGCGGCGAGTCCAGTCCCATTTCGAGAGTGACTTGGCTGGCAATGGTTCGACGCTGCTGGTTGAAGAGATGCTCTCGGAATAAATGGCAGGAATACTCGATCCGTCGGTTGCCTGGGGGAGGTCTGTCGGAGAAGATGGAAGGGGTGGATTGACGCTGCGTGCAGGAGAGGATGGCGACGACACAAGACCTGGAAGATGGTAGGAGCTCTTGGACCTGGTGAGCTTGAAGTCCTTGATCTTCTCCTTGGTGGCAGACGAGAGCTCGGCAAGATTCGTGCTACTCTTGCTGGCAAAACGAGCCAGCCCTCTGTAGATCTTGGTGTGTGTCTTGACCCTCTCTCTGGGTGGATCGGTGGTCTAGGAACGTCAGTTGTGATGAAAAATCTGATAGTCAGGGGCAACTCACGAGAGTGAAGTGGTCGTCGTTCTCAGGCAGCAAGATGCTTCGCGCACGACAGACGTGAGCCACCTCGAAAGTGTCGGTCACGCCGGAGTAATCACTTCCGATGGACTCGCTGATGGACTGACAAGTTAGACGCTTGTCTGCGCATAGATGGAGCAGTACTTACTGGAAGGCGGCTGAGATAGTGTCTCCTGGGAGGTCTCTGAGGCAATGCGGCTTGAGCGCGTATGATATCAGACAGAGGAGTAGTGGCGTTGACGATTCGAAGGTAACGTCTCTCTGGTTCGGTGAAGGGGTATTCTGGAAGGTCAGTGTCGCTGTGAACCGAGCCCATTTTCACAGCGGAAGCACAAGCACCCTAGTGACGCGCTAATCGATGCGGTGACAACAAGGGTTAGCGCACACGTGGAATGGTCTTGACAGCGTGGAAACGAATAGTGAGTTTTTCTGATGTTGTGGACTCGAAGTCAAGGTAGAGAGAATAACAGACCATCAACCAAATCACCACTCTGTCCACGCCTCTGTGTGCTCGGCGACGACTCCAACCTCGTCCGGCCGCCACGAGCCAGTACCTCTACCCACCAATAGCCCATACCATATCCTGCAGCCCTTCCTCTGGGTATCGACGAAGTAAAAGAAAAATGAAAGGGAAAAAACAAAGAGTAACTGTGTCTTGACCAACGCGGCCATAAAGCACATAACCGTACTACATGACGGTACAACAGTTCTTCTTGAGGAAACGAATAACCTTGGGGAGGTTCTTCTTGATCTCCTCCTCGTAGTCCATCTGGTGGGTTCCTTGCTGTTGCTGTTGGTTGTTCTGCTGGTATCCTTGTTGCTGGGAAGGATATCCTTGTTGTTGATAGCCTTGCTGGTTTCCAAGAGGGTATGCGGTCTGGTATTGAGGCTTTCCATGGTGTGACTGGTCGTACTGCTGGGGTTGACCATAGCCAGCGGGAGGAACGGCTGCTCCACCAGTGAGGTTGATGTAGATTCTGCCTTCATTGTGCTCGGTATGGTATTGGAGGCCTTGCTCCTGGCAAATCTGCTCCACACGCGGCTTGATCTTTTGAACATGGTTGACAGAGTGATTGCCCTTGCCGACAATNNGCTGTATCTACCATCAGAAATGTGGACAGCAGCAAACCAAGCGGACAACTTACACATGCAAATGGTTCTGGCCAGTGCTCTTTGCATACTTGATTCTTTGTTCCAGAATCTCCTCTGCCTCCTCAACAAACTGACCGTGCAGGTCAATGGTATCTCCATCAACTCTTCCTACGGCATTGTTCTCGCGGAAGATGAACTCGGATGCTTGTCTGTTGTAGTCGTCTGCCTTTTGTCCATGGTTCTTGGCTTCTTGCGACAGGTCGTGGGCAGCACCTCCATCACCACGCGCGTAGGCCTTCTGCGACTCGGCGGAGCAGTGCTGGCGTTGGCCGTGTTCCTTTCGTGCGAGGTCTCTCAATCTATCGTATTCGGCTTCGGAGTCGCCAGACTGCTGGTGGTTGAAGGCTGAGGCTTCGCGTCAGTACCGTGCGTGTGTTTGCGACAGGCTGAGATACAGCTACTTACCGCTGCCGCCGATACGCGTCGAGGATGGGAACGACATGATTACACACTATGGATATGGATATGGGTATGAATGTCAAGCAGGAAAACAGAACAGAGACGGGAAATGAGAGACCGCACACCCACAGGCGCTGCCAGAGTCCAGATCAGCCACCATCGAAAGTTACCTGCTGCTTGACCAGTCGTCGGTCAAACTGTTTGCTTGGCAAAGAAACAAGAAACACAATCCGGGGTTCAAGGGTCCCATCCAAATCAGATCTTTCTCCTCCGCATGAACCACACACTTGGCGACCAATCGTCCTTTTGTATCATGGAACAGGCATCAACGCCCTTGAGTGGTTCATACGACGTTTCGAGTTTGCGTGATTCGGACACCTGAGCTCGCAACACGTTCATCATCCTGTCGACATGGGTCAATTGGACTCGTTGCCTCGAGAACTTCTATATTTGACTCTCGAGTACTGCAGCCTTGAGGATTGCAAGAATCTGCGGGCGACATGCAGGTATATCAGTGGTCTTACCAATGAGAGAGTCTTTGAGACGTATCACATCGCCTTCTTTCGATCTCATCTAGAGAGATTTGTGGAACTTTCCTCAAACCCAGTCATTGCGAGATGTATCAAACGTCTTGTCTTTGTGGGTGATATTTTACCAGATGTCGAGGAAATAGATGAGTTTAACAAGTTAATCGATATGCGCGAGCCTTGGTCGGCTTTTTCCAAACGATACATTGAGGTAAAGCAAGCCCTTGTTCTCGTCAAAAAGAACGCCAAAAGCTCACAACATCTANNGGACCGGATTACTATGGACCCGACGCGTATGGAAAATCGCTCATCCTCGGACGAAGAGTACGACTACCGCATACGAGTGCTAGCGGAACGACAAGATCTCCGTCTTGCCGCGTTGAAGGAATACAACAGCATGCACAAGCACACTCTCAGTCCTGACCAGTTGAAATATCACTTCGATCAGTACGCAAGATATCGTCATGAACAAGAGAATTGGCGTTCTGACGATTCTTTCCTTGATGCGCTATCACGCCTGCCAAATTTGACTGTGGTTGAGAACACAAAGCATGGCTTTGCTGACAACCATCTTCGGTTTCCATGGAATCGGATGAAGAAGGACATACTCCTTACTCCGGACCAATGGATGCATCTGAGTGCTGTAGAAGTCGACGACGACGAGGGACATCGTGTCATAGATCTGGAAAGAGGTCTCATCTACATGAAGCACGTGGACTGTCTTCTGGCTGGGATCGGACGTCGCGCAGCCTCCTCTCTAGTATCACCGGTTCGGACTCTGCGTCTTGTCAATATCGGCGGACAACCACTTCTCGACATGAGCGCGCACTATACTATGCCAGGAACCCCTGACTCCGAGAGCGCACCTGACATGCGAAACGAGCTGCCTCAAGAGACCATATCAAACGCATTACAAGGTCTGTCGCACTTAGAAAGACTAGAGCTGGACACGAAATTCGAGACTGCGACCCCTTGGCAGACACGGCAACTTTTTCAGGAGATCCATGCTATCTTGTCGGCAGCAGCACACTCTTTGAAGACCTTGAGACTCGAATGCCGCGATGATGACTATGCCTGGGCTGTCGTCGAGGAGCCCACAGAAGACGACACAATCGCCCATCTCGACATTCCTATACTGCCGCAATTGGAATCCCTACGAATCAGTGTCAATGCAACTGACGAAAGCCTGGTCGAGCTTCTTCGTGCGCAATCGAAGACACTGCGCTGTCTGGAAATTGTGGATTGCAATTTGGTCGTGGGCACATGGAATACCGTCCTTCGCCAGATCCCAGAGATATTTGATACCGGCTTACAACGCATCTACCTGGAAGGACTGCACGACGAGGATTATTCGCTAGAATCTGGCGACGAAGCCTTGTTCGAAGACGGCTTAGACGTCGGAGAAGGCGCGCATCCTCACGATCGTGCGATCCTCAAGTATTTGCTCCACGGTGGAGAGATGCCCGAGCTGGATTTCAACACTTGGTATGAGCGCAATCGCGAACTTGCCGACAGAGGCATCACCGAGTGGGAAGACGAGCTCCTCGATTCAGAAGTGCCTTAAAGCCGTGGGGGATGGCACATGACATCGTATGAGCTCGTCTTTACAAGAGTCATTGGCATGCGACTCGGCACAAAACCACGCGATATCATCGACACTAAAGTAGCGTTTGTAGGAAGCGATCGAGAGGTTCTTTGTAGGGTCGCATACGCGTAGCCACGATAGATTGGCCTTTAGCGATTCAATAGTGACCAAATTCAGTATCTTGCATCCTAGTATATGGTGATGCCGTGGCAGGAAGACATCCCCAAAGACAATAGATTGCGCAAGTCCTCCGCCCGTCTGACCGGCATGATGATCGCCCGTCATGTATGAGGATGTGCAAAAATCATAAAGACTGCCCGACCTTTGTATCCCGATTCTTAAGACACTGGTAGGCGAAAAATCGCGGCGTGACTCGGGTGCTCTTCAGCTACATGGGTCGTTGAGGTTACAAAAGACCATTATAGACCATGGTAGACTTTTTCTCTCAAACCATCGTTGAGTTTAAGCGTTGGACGGTGAACTCTGGAGGATTGCTGGCGTCGGCAACCAGGGCCCGCACATGGAAGTGGATACCTCGTATGTGCGTTTGGTGAGGTAAAAGGAAGCCACAAAGAATATTCTTAAAGGCCGGGCGGTCGGCCCAGTACGGGTGGAATGGAAAAAGGTCCTGGTGCAGCGAGCGGGCCGTAGCGGGTCAAGACACCAACGGCTCTCCGGGCCCAGGGACCCGTGAACAAACACCGGACTGCTCACAAAAGCATACTGCTGTTTCCAAGCAGGTCAATTGGATTGAAAGAGGTGCGGCAGTTGTGAAAGGCGGTTGGATAGCGCGCAAGCAGAGACTGTGCGGTCCTGCCGTGGCTGAGCTTGGCATGCTGCAGTGTAGCTCATGCATGGAACCCTTGCTTCTCTGCAGACTGCGTACATGCCTGAGGCGTGTGATGCAAGCACGAAAGACGAAGAGCATTAGAAGAACACATGGCTGCAGCTTTTAAGTTTACAGACAGTTATCTCCTGGACCGCTGGCAGACCGGATGCCAATATAGGGTTTGATGATAGTGGACAATATATATAGCTGGACTATGCGCGAGTCAGAAGGCAGGAAAGGTCGGCGGCTGGCATGGGCCTTCGGTAGGACAATGGGCCATGTAGGCCAAATCTCGCGTGAGACGGGAAAGATGATCAAGTGAAATGAAGCCCTCACACATGTGGAAGGCATGCGATGAGCGTGTGTAAGACGGGAAGGACAGACGAGTGCTTGGTGTTCCCTCAAGGGAGGTGCGACGCTGCACGCGGTAGAAGAGTCGCGGAGGTTCAAATTTCTCCGACGTGTGCTCTGGCAGCTTGTTTCCTACAGAGAGATAACGAGCTGGATGCCGGGCACAGACGACTATCCCAATGGGGTCGTCCAATACTTGGGCGAGCGGAGCAAAGACAGAGGCCGGGTCCTTTGTGAGGGTACTCGTAGCACGTTTCAGGTGGCCTCTGCATGCTTTGAACGGGTGAGGGCCGCAGTGCACAGATGGTGGCAGACTAGCACCAAACCGAGTTAAAGCAGAGACCCCACTGTTTGATATGCGCGCTGCCCAAGAACGAACAAATACCACCCTCTCATATCTCGGACGCCTCCCTTGCCGATTCCACGTTGCTTTGCCTCTCGACTCGCCTCGTCCTACCCGACTACTCGATCGCGCCGCTGCTATCCCTCCCGGTGCCTCTACTCTTCCATTGATATCCGTCGACGCACCAGAGATTGCCTCATACGATTGTCGGCTCGGCGAAGGATCATAGCTCTCAGACACAGACCCCCGACTCTTCTTTTGTCGCAATAATCACTCGTTCCCCTGGCTTTGTGTCAAATTACCACCCCATACAACACGCACCCTCTTCAGTCCTCTCCACCTCGACCTAGCCAGTGTAATCCCACTGGCGCGTAGCTCAGACTACAACCACTCCACCACCAGAACCGCTCCACCAATCGAATGGGCTTCATGTGTTTCGGAAGTTCCAAGCAGGACGACCCGCGTGCGAGGAAGAATGCCGACATTGAGAAGCAGTTGAGGGCGGACCAGAAGAAGCAGGCAAAAGAAGTCAAGATCCTACTCTTGGGTGCGTGTATACACAGAGACACATAAGACAGGCAAAAATGCTGACATGCGACCCCAGGTGCCGGAGAGAGCGGCAAGTCAACCGTGCTGAAGCAGATGCGCCTGATCCACACAAAGGGCTTCTCACAAGGCGAACGTAGGCAATGGAAAGTGACCATCTTCAACAACTTGATCCACGCCTTCCAATGTATTCAGGGCGCCATGGAAGAGCATGAGGTCGCTTTCGCGAACCCTCAAAACATCAAGTCCATGGAAGTCGTCTGCTCGGAACCGGAGATCGGAACCGACGACCCGATGCCGCTGGACTGCATGCACGCTTTCAAGAACCTGTGGGACGATGATGGTGTACAGGGTGCCATTGCNAAAGGTCACGAGTATGCGCTGCACGACAACCTTGAATAGTATGTCTCTTTACTTTCCCACAAAGAAACCCGAGGCTGACATACGCGCAGCTACATGAGCGACCTCGGCAGACTTTTCGAGAAAAACTACGTTCCCGGAGATCAGGACATCCTGCGTGCACGCCTTAGGACGACAGGTATCAGCGAGACCGTCTTCGACACCGGAAACCTGACCTTCAAGATGTTCGACGTTGGCGGTCAACGTTCGGAGAGGAAAAAGTGGATCCACGTCTTTGACAACGTACAGGTCGTCTTGTTCCTTGTAGCCATCAGCGGTTTCGATCACGTTCTGGTCGAAGACAAGAATGGAGTAAGACTCCTGTCTCTGCCCTAGAGTCGGCCACTTCCATGCTAACGATGCGACTAGAACCAAATGCATGAAGCTCTAATGCTCTTCGAGTCTATTGCTAACAGCCGCTACTTCGAGAAGTCTGGTCTGGTGTTATTTCTCAACAAACTCGACCTCTTTACCGAAAAGGTTTCGTCAGGCCGAAGCCGCATCCGCGACCACTTCCCAGATTTTCAAGGCAGCAACACGGACGTTGCAGCAGGACAAAAGTTCTTCTCGGACAAGTTCCGCAACCTGGTACGGGACCCTACAAAGGAGGTTTATGTGCACGGCACGACGGCCACGGACACCAACCTACTGGAGAAAACAATGAAGAGCGTGCAGGACATGATCGTCCAGCGCAATCTGCACTCATTGATGTTGTGAGTGGACGCCCCTGCGACTATTGCGATTCAAAAGTACACACAAAAGAACAAAGAACAGCACTTCCCGGATCTTGTCTATTGGACCAAACCGGGTGGATCCCTTCCTCCATGATTCTTCACTTCGCGCACACTGCATTTTATTCTGGCCCTTTGTTACAACGAACGCACAAAAGACAACACATTCTGATATCGACAGCACCTGAACTGAAAGAGAAAGAAACACCACAAGAAGAGCAAGATTGCAAAAGATGCTCGATTGGAGGACTTGGTTTAGGGCAGGGCTGCATTGTCATTTTATGATTCACCCGCTCCATGTTGAGCGACCGGTTGTTTGGAGTATTTGAAAGGGAGTTTGGTGTCTTTTTCATTTGGGAGGGCATGGTTTGCAAGTGATTTGAGCTTCCTTTTTAATTCTCCAATGGTTTGGAGAGATTATGTTTTTCCTGGCGGGCAAGCAAGATCAAGCGGTATTTCAGCGCTGGCTACGGCTAGATCGATTAAGCGACTTCTGTTTTCTTCCCCATGGCCTGTCGAATATGATCAGCAGTGACAAATGAATATGGGAGGATGGAAGGAGCTGCTTACAAAGTCCTGGAGATTGGAAGTTGTGCCCCAATTAGGAGGGAATACTGGCCAATGAGCGGGCGGCATGGCGAGCGGGACGGTATCGGGCTTGGAGGGGCCCGAGGCGGGCAGGTCGGCCATTTCGGCTCCAGAAACATCGATTGAGTAATGACCCTGAATGATGACAGCGCGAGACTTTTGATCTTGCACCTTGTCCGTCTATCTCGTTGCCCAATTCTCCTTCTGACCCTCACACTACTCACTCAGCGACCATGTCGTATCCCGCACATGCATCGCCGGCACTGCCGCCGCTCAATTCGCCGCGCCCTCAGAATACCGCCCGTTCAATGTCACACATGTCGACCATGTCCGACTACGACCTCGAGCACAAGACCGCCGAACCCTCGTCGTCCTCGTCCGTCAAGCCTATCCCTGACCCCGTAACTGCCGCACCGCCATTGGTATCACCCTCATTGACTCCCGAGCCCGCCAAGTCTTCGTCCGACCCCGCTACCCAAGATGCCGACGCCCACGAGGCCGAGCCCACCGCCCCTCCCGCCTTGCTAGAAGAGCTGCCCGAGGTGAATTGCGAAGTACGCGCCCGCATACCTACTACCTCGGGCCAGGAGATGTTCTTGCACCTCTACCACAATAGTGCAGACAACAAGGAGCATTTGGCTATTGTCTTTGGCCCTCATATCCGCAGCCGCAGTCTCGATGCTCCGAGGGAGGGCGAGACGGAAAAGGACCGTATGATCAGAGGTGCGTATGTTGGCAAACTATACCCTGGCCGCACGTCCAGTCGCCTGGATCAGATCAAACAAGATGCCGGTGTCTCTACCGCAGAACTGTCACGAAGCCCCACGCCCGAAGCCGTAACGACAGAAGAGAGACAAGATAAAGCCATGAAAGTTGCCGAGTCACAAAACATGCCCTCGCCATTGGCGCCTCTGGTACGCATACACAGCGAATGCTACACCGGCGAGACGGTATGGAGTGCACGTTGCGACTGCGGCGAACAGCTCGACGAAGCAGCTCGTCTCATGTCTCTACCTTTCGACCCCACCGATGCATCTATCCCCTCGCTCGGTGGTGTAATCATCTACCTCCGTCAAGAAGGCCGCGGCATAGGTCTGCTCTCAAAACTGAAGGCATACAACCTGCAAGATCTGGGCCACGATACCATGCAAGCGAATCTCCTCCTCAGACATCCTGCAGACGCGAGAAGCTACGGTCTGGCAACAGCCATGCTGATGGACTTGGGTCTGGGTGGTGACAGAGGCATTAGGCTGTTGACGAATAACCCTGAAAAAGTGCGTGCGGTCGAGGGACCTGGCAGAGAAGTCGTGGTCAAGGAGCGTGTACCCATGATCCCTCTAGCCTGGAGTTCTGGCGGCAAAGAAGGTGTCCAAGGGCCTGAGTTGGAAAAGTACATTGGAACGAAGGTAAGCAAATCTTTTGTCAGACCACCTCGAGACATTACTGACTTTTGGTCGTTGCACAGNATTGAGAAATTCAAGCATATGTTCAGCCCTTCTTGATTGCATTTTTCCAAAGAAGAACAACAAAAATTCGCATGGCGCTTTTACAGGAAAAAGAAAGAAGAATTTGTTCATACAGTACAACATATACCCCCCCCCCCCCCCCCCCCCCCCCCAACCATATCATTCATCGTTTTTTTCGAAATAGAAAACGCAAGACATATATACCAAAGAACCCCGTCGGATGTTCTGTAACAAGAGTGATTAACGCTTGGTTGCGCTGTTTTGTCTAAGTGATTAATTGCGTCTTTCTTTTTATTGTTTATCCTCGCTACTATCTCTGCTTTTTGTCTTTGTTGTTTTGCCTGCCGATGAGCTCATGGAGCTCCAATATGTGAATGGGTGTTGAAAATCATGACACTGTCAGCAGAAACATCTGATGATCCGGCGCGAGCAGATGGAAGCCCGACGAAAGAAATGGCCATATCGAAAGATAGAGAGAACGACCAAGTCGACCAATTCGAGCATCTCAAAATCATCACGTATGGTTCTGGAAGGTTGACTTGGACAGTTGGTAAAGAAGGGGCTTTTTGCTCTGATTATTAGACTGTGCTTCTATTTACTTGTGCGAGACTTCGTAATTCGTGAGTAGAGGGAAGAGGTGTTCTGCTGTGACAATGTTGGTACAAAAGGAGGCATCCAGGACTCAAACGACTTCTTTCTCGGGCACAGCGACAACTGCCTCGACCTTGGCCTTCTTGATGCTATGCATACCCATACCCAAGCAAGCAATTGTAGCTGCTGCGGCTGCACCAGCGCCGAGGTAGAACACATGGTTGATGGCTACGCTGTATGCCTGCAATACCTGAGGCAGCACAGCAGCAGAAACGGCATCTTTGACTCCTGTAGCACCAGCCGCAAGGATGGTCTCTGTAGCGACCTCTGGCGCATACCGTTCAAGTGCCGAGGAGAGACCAGTGTTGAAGACGGTTTGTGCGAGAGCAAGGAAGAGAGCTCCACCGAATGTCTGCGAGAAGATGAGTAGTGACATGGCGACAGACGCCTGTGACTTGGGCAGCAAGTTTTGGATGGCGATGATGGGCATTTGGATACCACAGCCACGTCCAGCGCCACCAAGAATCTGGTACCCAATCCATTTGCCCATGGAAGTATGAGGTCCGAGCGTGCCCAGGAGACCGGTTGAAATGGCGGTAAGAATGCCGCATGCGATCGAAAAGGGAAGGAAGTATCCAACCTTTCTGACCAAGACTCCAGAAACGATTGCGAAGATCATTTGACTGATTATGCTAGGCAACATGTCGACACCACTCATCGTTGGCGAGGCGCCGCGTACAGCTTGAAAATACTGAGGCAAAAAGAAGTTTACGATGAGCATAGATGCAAAGGTGAAGAAGACGGTCAGGCAGCTGGACCAGAAAATGCGTCTTCGAACCATGGAGAAGGGTACCATAGCATCGTCGCCTTTGAAATACTCCCAGGTCAAGAACACAAGAGCAGTTGCCGCACCGCCACAGAAGAGACCAATGACGGTTGAGCTGTTCCAGGGGTATGTGGTGCCGCCCCATTGGAGCGCGAGTAGGAGTTGGATAATAGCGGGTGCGAAGAGAGCGAAGCCGACAAGGTCAAGGCCGCGAAGGAAGTCGCCAAAGTTGAATGTTTTAGCCTCTGTTTNTTCGGGTCCAGCTGGAACAGGAGTGAAGAAGAGAACGACTGCGACAACAGCGCCAACAGGAAGGTTGATATAGAAACACCATCTCCAGCTTGCGTATTCGGTGAGAGCACCGCCAATCAGGGGACCAAACAGTATGCCGAGCTGACTGAAAGCCATCATGAAGCCCATGTAAAGGGGTCTCTTCTCAAGGGGTACAGAAGCCGCAATGATCGAGAGGGCGCCATTCATCAAGCCAGCACCACCCAGTCCAGCTACTGCTCTTCCGATGATGAACATGTTCGAAGAGGTAGCGACACCACACAGAAGGGATCCGAGTTCGAAGACGGCGAAGAACCAAAGGAAGGTCCACTTGTAGCTAAACTCCTTGTAGATTTTGCCAGCAAGGGGCTGCAGAGCGCAATTGGCGAGCAGGTATGCACTGCCGTACCAGCCAACATCTTCAAGAGAGTGAAATCTGGTGGTGATTCGTGGGATAGCCGTGGCCACGATAGATGTATCCAGCATCAACAAGAAGACAACGAGTACTATTCCAACAAGCACACTTAGCAGGGTGAGGCCGGTGAGATATGCATCTTCCTCGCTCTTTGGTGGCGATGCGTCGGTTCTCGGCTCCTTCTCCATACTTGTGGTACTTTTGGTAGACATGCTTTTGTGGTATGTTATGGCGAGGTTATGTGTGAATCAGTGCCAAAAAAAAAAGATGGTGAGGAAGTAGAGTTGAAAGTTGTTTGGGAACAAAAGATACCAAACCCAAAAAACCTCGTGGACTGAGGTTGTTCATATACACAAGTTCCACAACAACGATTTGTTTCTCAGACCAATCAAAGCGGACATCTGTGGCTCAAACAAACTCCATCCGGGCGGCCAGGCAGCTGGATTTTGGAATGCGCGGGCGTTAGAATCATGCGTTCGGGACCGAGCATGATGGACGGGACCGACAGTCCATAGATCCTACCCCTTCGAAGAAAATGGCGTTCTTAATTCCACCGTGCCCGACTCAGGCGGGTTTGAGCCCATCGTTCTTCTCCTGAACTTTCATTTCACTGGTTGAAAGGACGGAATATTGGTGACTACTAGGGGCAGGAGCAACAAGACGCCGGTCGCGGCTGAATGCATCGTCGCTGGTCTCAAGCCACGTCGGCGGTACGAACGCCGGTCACCGACTACGCCGCGATCCTTCATGAGCTCTTCTGTAACACATTCATCCTGAACAAGATATGGTCAGGCTACAGTCAACCGCGGTGCACTACTGGCAATCGTGCTTCAGTAGCGACTCCCCATTGACTCGTAGATTTCGTTTTCTTGAGAAATGTACCAACCGATAGTGACTACACTATACCCTCCTTAGTAATCGTACAGCGAAACCAAGAGACGTCTTACCAGTAGTTAGGTAGCCTTGCTCTCACCTGACACGTCTTTGACGCCAAAAACAACGCGATTGCCTACAGCTGCTACTGCGACGATCTACTCAGACCGCCATGGACTCTCCATGGACCTCTCTTCAAGAGTCATGGTGATGCAAACACTCAAACCCTGCAGACATCTGCGTCACAGCTTTCCTTGATTTCTCCCGTTTTCATTTGCCAATAAACTGTGGCTTCCCTCTTCTTCTTTTCACCTCTCTATGGAGCGCTGTTCTAAGAACATGCCTTTGCAAGATACACAAAGATGTGTATCACTCAAGCTGTCAATCGAACCGACTCATATTGTATCCTCATGAAGACCATGCATGGAGCTCCTATATTGATATAACTGTATGCGGCAGTTGACAGGAGACATGAGGCAGAATGAAGGTACGATCGCTGTGGTCATTTGCTTCTTTCTGTCTATCACCATTATGTCTTTGTTGCGACAAACCTCTTAGGTGTATGTATGGTAGGTTCTCTTAGTAGGGGCTTGTCTGCGGTTCTTCATTGTCTTCTTTAATGACTGGCATGGCTGTAGAAGGCCCTGGTCTACAGTCTTGCTATATATACTGGTATAAGCAGTGCTCTTGCTACGTGTCACCCAACGATACCATGTCAAGCTCCATCGTCCCACCAGGTCTGACGCCTCTCGAAAAGCGGGCTCTGCTCGACCAGATGTGCCTCGCCTACCTCAAGAACGCATACAACGATCTCTATGCTATCCACCTTGGCTTCTCCGACGGCTCTCATCTACCTCTAGCCCATGCTTTCCAAGCTCTTCCCCCTCCTGACTTCAACGCCGGAATCCATCAACAAGTGGCAGCTCTTCGCGACCGCGTGACGGACAGAGGCAAGACATGGCACCTAAGAATGGGAGAAGACGCAGAAGTCATCGCAGAGATCCAGGGTGGTGTTCGTTTGTCCACAGCAGCGAAATTGGTATGAGGATATACTCATTAGTGATAGGTTCCTGGTTACGACATCGACAAGGTTGACGTTTCGACCAGCTCCCCGAAGACTTCAAGCAGGGCCTCAAAGACTACTGGGCACGTATCTGTTCGACCTACAAAGAGTACAAGAAGTGCTCTGACGAGGTATGTTCCCCCGAAGCTGGCCGGAGAACCTCAGCTAAACCACCGCAGGAGAAGAACGAGTTCAGAAGAGGATGGTCGCTGCCGCTATCACCGCTGAGAAGTAGGGTCGAGAAGAGAGGATCACTGGGGTGAAGAACAAAAGAAAGGTGTTGTATTGACTTGGACAGTCATGAGTGGAAGGATCTTTCACCAGCTCCGTTGTGACTTGGATGGCTCGACGTTCGTTCTTGAGGTCTTGTGTATCCCTAAGCACTTCTCTTTCTGCGGTACGCATTAAAAACTTCTGTGTCATCACGAACAATACCAACCTTATGGTAATCAGAATCACAATTTGCTCTGTTTCTTTACTTGCAGTGTCTTCTACCACCTTGAACTGTCCGTCTCTTATATGAGGCTTCTATTCATGGACGCCTCCAGCTCTGTAATCAGTCGTTCACAGCGCATCATTCTACCCGTAACGCTAGATTCTATACAAAACGAACACTACACCCTCATGCTTCATGTTTGAGAGCATTACCAGCGCTCAGCTGTTGATATGCTGTCTGTATAAACAGGTGATGTTGAGAGGCAGGGTCACCTGCTCAACAAAGATCTCAATCTCGATCTTGTGGTTGATCACAAGCTGTCTTCCATGGACACATGACGTTGATGGGAGAAGATCCGTAATGACAATGAAGAAGCAACATGTTGGACGGTAGAGAACAGAGGTTGCTGGTCATGGACTTAGGAAAAGCATAAAAACGGGATATCACGTGTGTGCCAAGCGTGGCTGTCTCCGACGGCCAACGCCTCGAGACAACCTCAAATCGTCACCGATACCTTTGCGCGCTCCCTTGGCTATCACATCCGCTGTACTCTCTGCTCCATCACCTCCGCCTCTACAACCTCTCAATCCCGAGCAGACCCATCACACATATCGCCAAGATGCCTTCCGATCTCTGGTACGTCGTCCCCTGGAGCATGTTGAGCAGGAAGGTCTGCGCCGAAGGTCATTGTCAACTTGCCTTCTTTGGCTGTTGCATACCCGCAGACCTCTTGGGCAGCGCTTCCATATCATCTGATGCCTTTCAGTATGCTGACTTGACTTGTCTATAGCCCCGTTTACGCCGTAAGTCTCGCGCGCTACCTCCCACGCCTGTCCCAACGCCAAAAGATGTCATAATCCGCCTCCGCCCCCTGCTCCCCAATCTTTATATCGCCATCTATCGTCTTGCATTATTTCCGCTTTCCCACCGCTACGCGTAAACCCGCTCTACAATGAACAAACACTTACATACCTGTAGCCCTTCTTCGGTGCCATGGGCTGCACCGCCGCCATTGTCTTCACCTGCTTTGGTGCTGCCTACGGTACCGCCAAGGCTGGTGTTGGTATCTCGGCCATGGGTGTCCTCCGCCCTGACCTGATCGTCAAGAGTCAGTGCCTCGATAGCGAACGGTTCTGGTATACATGCTAAACTCGCCATNNAGACATTATCCCCGTCATTATGGCTGGTATTATTGCCATTTACGGTCTGGTCGTTGCTGTCCTGATCTCCAACGATCTCACCCAGAAGATGGCCCTCTACACCGGTTTCATCCAGCTTGGTGCCGGTCTTTCGGTCGGTCTCGCTGGTCTCGCTGCTGGTTTCGCCATCGGTATCGTTGGTGACGCTGGTGTCCGTGGTACCGCACAACAACCCAGACTCTTCGTCGGAATGATTCTTATCCTCATTTTCGCTGAAGTTTTGGGTAAGTCATATCGCTCTATGCGCCTGGAACGCCAATCTGACATATTATCCNNAGGTCTTTACGGTCTGATTGTTGCTCTCCTCATGAACTCGAGAGCTCTTCCCGCCGAGTGCTAAATGCACCATCGATCTTGATATGCGCAGCCCTTCGACAAGCACCTATGCGCATGTTGTCTTCGATATAACACACCCTGCCATGACGAACCATAAGAAGTAATTGGAGGGTAGGATAAAAGAATGAATGCTGGAGGATGGAGCCGTAGTGAGGTATCATGGTGGCAGAGGGCCGCCGCAATTTTTCTTTGCCCTGTAACATTGTCTTGTCTTTTGAGGAGCATTTCTGTACCGTTGAGCGGGACGGTTGGCTCGCTGTACCTATCTAGAAGTAATGAGCCAGTACATGCAGTTCATCATCTTGCCAGTCCGTATCTGCGATTGAGATCACCCGTAAGAGGTTCTCCTGGTGTTATTCAGCAGACTGTATGGTTTTGTTCGAGGCCACAGTCTTGAGCTCTGACTGTGCAACTGCTTGGAATCCGGATCCATGTGTGGAATTCAACACGCTCGAAAGGCACTCATTTGAGTGATGCACGCCCGCCGATACTATGTCTGAACAACGAACTGAAGCATTGTTCAACGTTTGTTTCCATATCCCCAAGCACTTTCGTGGTCAGTCCTTGGTTTTGCTGCAACGGAGATGCTGTCTACTTTTGATCGTTCATGTCGGAGCGTGTGGCACCTCCGCACGCCGCCGCAGGAGCCAGAGCTCTGCGACTACACAATCAGTTCAAATTGGTAATGTTAGCGCGCAAGGGCTAGTCATAGAGTTCTGGCTGGCCGTTCCGACCCCTCTTGATATGGTTATCCATGCCGGAAGGATGGGCAATGCGGAACATGTTGCCTGTTTGGGGAAATCGCGTATAAAGCAGCTTGGAGCTGCCTTCCAGCTTCTTCGACAGCAGCTACAGCGTTGCTTTCTCCCTTTCAATGTTCAAGAATATCGCTGTCCCCTTCTCTTCCTCTCCTCTTCAACTCACTTCCTTCCTCTCATCCTCCTCATCATCATCGTTACGCACCCCTGTTGCTTCCGGCGTCCTCCAAAGTGCCCGCATCTGCCGAAGAAATAAGTCCGAACTATCTCCAGTGATCGGGAGTCGAGTGACAGGCCCCTCCAAGCTACCCCGCGTGCATAATAAATCGACATCATCGGCCGCCCGTATCTTTCCCGCCCAATTTCTCCCTTCTCCTTCTCAACTCATCTCTCAGACATCCAAACACTCATACGCCACAATGTCTGCCGATACCGTTGGAAAGACCATTACTTGCAAGGCTGCCGTCGCCTGGGAGGCTGGCAAGGACCTCTCCATTGAGGACATTGAAGTTGCCGCTCCCAAGGCCGGCGAGGTCAGAATCCAGATCTACTACACTGGTGTCTGCCATACGGATGCCTACACTCTCTCGGGCAAGGATCCTGAGGGTGCTTTCCCCATTGTCCTTGGACACGAGGGTGCCGGTATTGTCGAGTCCGTCGGCGAGGGCGTCACCAACGTGAAGGCTGGTGACAACGTTGTTGCTCTNCTAGTAAGTTTGGACGGATCTGTTTGTTGTGAGGCTCCACAAACTGACATATAATGCAGCACCCCCGAGTGCAAGGAGTGCAAGTTCTGCAAGTCTGGCAAGACCAACCTCTGTGGCAAGATCAGAGCCACCCAGGGCAAGGGTGTCATGCCTGACGGAACCTCGCGTTTCAAGTGCAAGGGCAAGGATCTCCTCCACTTCATGGGTACCTCGACCTTCTCGCAGTACACTGTCGTTGCCGACATCTCGGTCGTCAAGATCACCGACAAGGCCCCTATGGACCGCACCTGCTTGCTCGGCTGTGGCATCACCACCGGTTACGGTGCTGCTGTCATCACTGCTGGCAAGGGCGGTGTCGAGAAGGGCTCTAACGTTGCCGTCTTCGGTGCCGGCTGTGTCGGTCTCTCGGTCATCCAAGGTTGTGTCAAGAACGGCTCTTCCAAGATCATTGTCGTCGATGTCAACAACAGCAAGAAGGAGTGGGCCGAGAAGTTCGGTGCCACTGACTTTGTCAACCCCATGGAGCTCAAGGATCAGACCATCCAGGAGAAGCTCATTGAAATGACTGACGGTGGTTGCGACTACACCTTCGACTGCACTGGTAACGTCCACGTCATGAGATCCGCTCTCGAGGCTTGCCACAAGGGTTGGGGTGAGAGCATCGTCATTGGTGTTGCCGCCGCTGGACAGGAGATTTCCACCAGACGTAAGTTACCTGATTGAGACACTATTACTAGCACCCGACTAACACAATCATCAGCTTTCCAACTCGTCACTGGCCGTGTTTGGAAGGGATGTGCCTTCGGTGGTGTCAAGGGTCGCACCCAGCTTCCCGACCTCGTCGACGACTACATGACCGGCAAGCTCAAGGTCGACGAGTTCATCACCCACAGACAACCTCTCGACAAGATCAACGCCGCCTTCCAGGACATGAAGGCTGGTGACTGCATTCGCTGCGTCGTCAACATGCGCGAGTAATCGGACGGACAAGAGCAAGAATGAAATCCATCAAACGATATAACGATAATGCTTGGAGCTGAAGCTGCTTGGTTCGGATGAAAAGAGCGAGAGTGATTTGACGGCAGTTGTTTGTACACGCAATACTTGTAGATACCTTATTTGCTATACGGCTCTTTTCCAAGAGACCAAGACAAGAACTGAACACTTTTTGGAACCATTCAACCTCTCTTGCTTCCCTCTTCATGTCCAATGTATGTGCTGTCTGGTCCAGCATCTTTTGGCTGTTCCCGTCATCTTCTACCTCGGTCTCAGATCTACCGAGCACTGCGAAACTATCCCCGACAAACGCCGATAAGCGCATAGCCGATGACCGAAGACAGAGTTAGACCTTCTCGCGGACTCCGCTCGTGGCCAGAAAACATCATTTCTGACAACTCATATCCCATTCTTTGACCGTTGCACATAGAAGCGACAGCGCATTCAACAAATTGCAAGCCATACCGAATTGCGACAGGGTGATGACCGAGCGTTTGTCAGCATCTGTTGACGGTCTCCACTCGACAGTTGCCGAGAGGGCCCCGGGTCTTCTCGAAGGCTATCGAAGGCAAATGACGTGCACGGTCAATCAATTCTTCGAAACTCGTTGATGGGTTGCCATTGGCACCGAGGCAACCCAGGCGAAAGGGCTTTTGTAAGCATCGAAAGAGCATTGATACGGTGTGACGTTTCAACTAGTCAATTGCATGCCATAAGTATTAGAGATCTCCCTCTCCCTTTCTTCACAACTCTCATCTGTTTGCATTCAATCCACATCTTTCTATCACACATACACATTTCACAAACATGGCACCTCCTCGCTACGAATCCGACGATGTCTCGGCTGCCCCTTTGGCCCAGCCTCTNGAGTTTGCCTTTGCCAACCGCTCGGCTCCTAACAGATTCCTCAAGGGAGCCATGACGGAGCGTCTGTCATCGTGGGACCCTGAGAACCTGTCTGCCCGTGGTATCCCCTCGGACAGACTCATCAACCTGTACAAGAGATGGGGTGAGGGCGAGATCGGTCTGATCTTGTCTGGAAACATCATGTTCGAATACGACCACCTCGAGGCTGCTGGCAACCCCATCATCCCCGTCGATGCTCCTTACGAGGGCGAGCGTTTCGAGAACTTCAAGCGCATGGCTACTGAGGGAAAGAAGAACGGCATGCTTATGGTCGGCCAAGTCAGTCATCCAGGTCGTCAGGTTGAGAGCCGCATCCAGAAGAACCCCATCTCCGCCAGTGACGTGCAGCTCAAGGGCGACGTTATGGGCATGACCTTCGAGAAGCCCCGTGCTGCTACCGAGCAAGACATCTCCCGCATCATCGAGGGCTTTGCCCACGCCTGCGAGTACCTCGAGAAGGGTGGCTGGGACGGTGCCGAGCTCCACGGTGCTCATGGCTACCTCCTCGCCCAGTTCCTCTCACCTACCACCAACCAGCGTACCGACAAGTATGGCGGCAGCCTCGAGAATCGCGCTCGCCTGATCATCGAGATCGCCAACGAAGTCCGCAAGCGCACATCGCCCAGCTTCATCCTCGGTATCAAGTTGAACAGTGTCGAGTTCCAGGACAAGGGCTTCGACCCCGAGGAGGCAAAGGAGCTGTGCAAGATGCTTGAGGACAACAAGTTCGACTTTGTCGAGCTGAGCGGTGGCACCTACGAGCACCTCGCCTTCGGTCACAAGCGTGAGAGCACAAAGAAGCGTGAGGGTTTCTTCATGGAGTTCTCGGATTTGATTGCCCCTGCCTTGACAAAGACCAAGGTGTACGTTACCGGCGGTTTCAAGAGTGTTGGCGCCATGGCCAACTCGATCAAGTCAATCGATGGTGTGGGTCTTGCCCGTCCTTTGTGCCAAGAGCCTCGCCTTTGCAAGGACATCATTGCCGGCAAGGTCAAGGGTGCTATCAAGCAGCGTCCCGATGACAACAACTTCGGCATCACCAACGTCGTTGCCGGTACCCAGATCCGTCAGATCGCCAAGGACCAAGAGCCTATTGACATGAGCGACGAGAAGAACGAGCAAGACTTTATGAAGGACATGGGCGAGTGGGCACAGAAGATGTCGCAGGACAGCAAGATGGCCAACTATGGCTACATCGACTTGACTTCTGCTACAGCTCTGCCCTACGGCGGTGCCTCTGTTTAAAGAGAGGAGTGAGATTTTCATAAAAAGTTTAGACATATACGATACCCTTTTAGACATGTAGATACAATTGACGACTTTCTTCTTTACCATAAAACTTTGAGCATTGCAATTGTGATATATGGGTTTCGAGACGTCAAGAGCATAGACGGAAGTGATCCCGCTAGCGCATGTCGGAAGTGGGCATCGGAGGTGAGGGGAAAGTGTAAGGTAAGGCTATTGGTGTGAAACGGAGCAAGTCACGGAGAATAAAACCACCATGATGTCCCTGTTAAAGAAGAATATCCTACCTTTTACTTCTCGGTCAACTCTGCTCTTTCGTCACAGCATTACTACCACCACTTCAATTCGCAACATGGCTTCAGCGGCTTCGAAGCAGGTGCACCGCATCACTCTATTCAAGATTTCCGAGTCGAGTGATGTTCAAGCGGTGCTGAACAAGTATGCCACAATGGCTCAGGATGCAAAGAAGGTAAAGCTTAGACCTCATCAATCGATGCACATATGACCTTTACTGATATAGAGGAATGAAACANNGGACGGCAAACCCTACATCCTTCGATGCGTAGCAGGACCGGCAGTGGATGATGCAAGAAGCCAAGGGTACACTCTGGCAGCGCAAACGACATTCTCAAGTCTGGACGACATGAAATACTACGATAATGAATGCGAGGCACACGCAGCATTGAAGGGCGTGGCCAAGGGCAAGGTGGAGGGGCCGCCATTGATGGTGTGCTTTGACAATGCCGTTGGTACTTCATCTTGAGCTTTCGATGGAGAAGAGGTTGGCATTGAACACAAGACGATGAGAAGGCAGGTCAGGTTGGCAAGAGCGATGGAGGGTGAATGAACAATGCAGCATACAGACACGGAGTTTAGGCGGAGATATGCACATGATCCAAGCTTGCATGTCAAACAAACGTCACAAATCCAAAAGATTATCAAGACCATCAACACAAAGTATTTCTGATAGAGCGAGCGTGGCAGCGTTTTCATTGCATCTTTATTGTTCTCTTGCCGCGCCAGTATACCATATATCCAAGTCTCGGACACCCCAGACGCAAACAGACGAATCCATCACTCCCTCGGCAGCGTCGCATGCCTCGACAACAATACTAAGCCCACGATCAAAGAATTACAGCACATGCCCTTCAAACGCAACATCCGCTTCCCTGCTCGCAACACTAGCGTCGACTCAACAACCACAACCATGTCTTCAACCACTCAAGATACACAAGCCACCACGGCACCCACAGATCGCCTGTCCGAGATGCTCGACTCGTCCGCTCGCATTGAAGAACTGTCCTCGGCCCAAGAAGAAGAAATCCAAGAAGCAGATGATGACGACTCCGACTACGAGACGTCTGACAGCGACGACGGTCAGAATGTACATGGCTGGATGGCCTCCAAGCTCCCACCGAACCTTCCTTTCTACTTTGCGTCTCCCGGCCCTCTACAAGACGATCTAGAAACGTCCACATCAGTTGCTCAGGAAAAGACAATGAGGGAGGTCATAGATTTGATGACGGGAAAAGGCCAGACCATCTTGGATGTCAATACATATGGTCTGCCACACCTTTTGAAGAACAAGCATGCTGCCTTTCTGCGCACGATATTGGGCAAGTACCCTCCGCCGTTCCAGGTCATGGATGCTAGTCGACCTTGGCTATTGTACTGGGCTCTCAATGGATTGAGAACGCTAGGAGTCGATGTCAGCGAGTACAAGCAAAGGTGTATTGACACTTTTACGCCATTGCAAAATCCAGAGGGCGGCTTTGGTGGTGGTTATGGCCATCTTTCTCATGCTGCTGCGAGTTATGCTGCCACGTTGAGTTTGGCCTTGGTGGGCGGTCTCGACATGATTGATCGTAGAGCCATGTAAGTCTTTTCTTCTCTTGTTTCTCAGAAACAATCGCTGACACAAAATCAAAGGTGGCACTGGCTTGGCCAAGTTAAGAACCCCTCTGGCGGCTTCAATATGGCCGTCAATGGCGAACAAGACGTTCGCGGCGCTTATTGTTGCATGACCATCCACACCTTGCTTCACCTACCCTTGACTCTCCCACCTGCCTCTCCAGCCCGAAAAGCCGGACTCGAAACATTTACCTCCGGCCTCGGTGCCTGGATCAGCAAATGCCAAACCTTCGAAGGCGGCCTCGGCGGCGCCCCTGATAACGAAGCCCACGGCGCCTANCGCCTTTGCGTCCTCGCTTGCCTCTGCCTCCTCGACTCCCCCGCCAAAGCCATCCCCACATACCTCGACACCAAATCCCTAACCCACTGGCTGGTATCACGTCAAACATGCCCCGAAGGCGGTTTCAGCGGCCGCACAAACAAACTGGTGGATGCATGCTACAGCCACTGGGTCGGCGGCTGTTGGTCTCTTCTCGAATCCGCCCTCGCCATCCCCGCCGAAACATCACTCTGGCACCGAGAAGCATTGGTGCGCTACACATTAACCTGCTCGCAAGCTAAAAAAGGCGGGCTTAGAGACAAACCGTCCACCAGACCTGATGGCTATCACACCAATTACTCGTTGGCGGGGCTGAGTGCTGCTCAGTACATTTACACTTATACTCCAGCCGAGCAATCGGAAGAGCAAGTCACAGAGCCGGAAGCACTTACTGCAGCATTTAATTGGAGTTTTCAGCGTCCGTCGCAGCAACAAACGAAGGCTTGGTGTTTTGACAAGCAGGACATGGTGGAGCCCGTGCATCCCGTCTTTGTCTTGCCGTTTGACATTGTCGAAGAGACGAGGGCCAAGTTTGCCGCCAAAGTCGGCTTCTAGAGTTGTTTTTTTTTTCTTTCGTTTGATGAGAAGAGTTGAGTCGTCAGGAGTGGAGATGTCTGCAATTTTTTTGGTTGCTAGCGAGTTGGTTCTTGTAATTCTAGATACCTACAGTCATGGAAGTAGCAATGGTCTCGTTCTTTCTCTGTTCTTTGCTTGCTTGCTTGCATCAGTCTTTGTCGTTTCACCTTTACTTGCCCGAGCTCGCTTTGCCACGGTTGCATGTCGTATCGCACACAGCACTGATCGCTCGTGGAACAAAATGAGTTGCAGTATCGCAGTCCCAAGACTGTATCACAGGATGCCATTCATGATTGATATTAGCCTATAGCTATGCTCCCAATGCTAAAAAATAGTCAATGCTTTTCAAGTCTTGAATGCCCATCCGCAGTATGAAACCTTGTACACCACACCATGCATGTCTTCCTTCATTTTCCTCAAGCCTTCTTCTTTCGAGCTCCCTTCTTAGCCGACTTTGGCTCGGTTCTCGCTGTTTTCAGCTCTACCTTTGCTGGTGGAAGCTCTAGCGACTCATCGAGCAGCAGCTCTCCATGGACGATGCTTGCTCCCAGAATGTCCTTTCTGTAGACCGTCTCCCCTTTCTCTTGCAAATCAGCCGCGACATTGTCGTCCTTGTCAGCACCAAGATATAACGTGATAGTACTGGTGTCGAGCTTCGATAGAGGCCCAGTCAGAGGGTTCGTGCCACCGGCTTGTCTAATTATAGCCATAACATCGTCCCATCCCCTTCTGTACGCCGATCGCTGTGCTGGCGTGACATATATGACTTGGTCAGTGAAGATTTTCGTACGATCCGAGTGTTTGGTTGCTTGAAGCTCCTCGGGCAGGAACTCGGCTGTGTCTAATAAGAAACCAGCTGCGACCGACTGCGACACCCATTTGTCTGTAACAATCGTCTTGTTCAGTGTCAGACTGTGCAGCAGCTTTGGAGTCTTGAGGAGCTCTCCAGGGCCGACGCACAGGAAGTTGGCGCTCTTGATATCCTCGGTCATGCTTGCACCCTGTTTCTTCAGACCTTTGATGATCTCGGTTTNTTCAGTGATCTTGGTGTTCGAGTATAGAATAACAGGAGGATCACTGCTATAGCGTCGACTCAGCTTCGATGGCGACCCAGAATGAGCACTCTCACTGTCGGTGCTCTTGTGCCTATTTGAAACACGTTNTGGAGATAGTGCTTGGTGGCTCTCGTCCAAGCTCTTCCTTCTGGAAGAACTTCTGGTTGGAGCAGATCCTGACGGCGTCTCTAAACCTTTGGATGTACCTAAACTTCTCTTGGACGCAGTGCTCACTGGCGTGATACCAGTATTGCTGATGTCGGCTTCAACAATTTTCGTTCTCTTCATCGACAACGCAACGGAACTGCTGTCCGAGACCTTCTTCCTCTTTTTGCTTGTGCTGGTCAATGACGGAGTCTGCTGGATGGTAGAAGTGACCGAATCTGATTCGATGATGGCAGCGTGATCGTCTGAGACTTCTGTCTTGCGCCTGTCACTCGTAATCTCGTCATTGATGATATCCACTGGCGAAGCCACCTCTTCAGGTGCAGCGGCAGCTGACTCATCAGCTGGAGGTGCAGTTTGTAATTCTGGCGAGCTCGTCTCTGTCGGCTCTGCGATCGATGAATCCTCACGGAGCTGGTGTGAAATCATAACTGGCCCCGGTGTTTTCTTTAGTGAAGTGAACGACGGCGTTACTTGCGACGGAGGATTGTCCTCGTTCAAGTTTGAGAGAAGCTTGTCAACGCCAAAGCTCTGGTTGAAAGGAGATGGAGTGTGCTGAGTCGGCACGCGGAAGTGAAGGGCTTCCGAGGGCGAAGTATTTGGCAGCTCGCCGGTATGAACATTGGGCAGAATGTCCATTGAGTCATTGTCAAGAGCGGAAACGTGGTTGGGCTGTGGACTCTCCGGCTGGGTAGACTGTGGGTGCTCCGGTTGTGTAGACTGCGGATGGTCCGTGTTTGTGTCTTCCATGGGCAGACTCTCAGGAATGGCGGACTCATGCTGAGACCTGATTCTGCGGCGGTTAGGTGTCTCCTTGACCACTTGTGATTCACGTGTGGCTGGACGTGGCATCGGACTAAGATGCTCACGGCTCGTGGAAAACAAGTGTTGAGACTCTTCGGCTGATGTGCCACGACGTGCGTCTCTGACAGGTTGGGCGGCCTCGTCGTCGGTTTCGTCATCACCGTCAGTATCTGCTTCCTTCTTGATCTCGCGACCGAAGGCCCCAGGTCCTGAAGACTCGACTTGGACATGAGGGTCCTCTGAGGTCGGGTCGACTATAACCTCAACGCGGGCATCTGTGGCATCGAACTCTACCGTATCTCCGTGGCGCAACAGTATAGAAAACTGTTTGTCGTCTGCATTGAAAGGCAGGCGAACACGAGAAACAAGTTCATGGACTGGCGGCGGAGTCGAAACGTAAGTGTCCACCACATCAGAGCTGAACTGGAGAGCACCCCCACAAAGACTAGAATCCATATTGATTAGAATAGCAAAACGAGATGCGACATTGGAGAGAAAGCTCACNNTGAACTGAGAGATCCAGTCGCGCCTAGGCTGAGTCTTTTCATCGTAAGTGACAAATCTCCATGTGTCAGCAACTGAGGTGTCCCCGTCGATAAAGATTGTTGTGTGAGAATCTGGGTAAATATCCTGTTGGTGAGCATCGATTTGCTTGCCACCGCGGCTGACAAGATTAATACGCCAGGAAGGCATTGTGGTCCATGCTGCTCGCAGAGAATGAGAGTGAGGAAGGAGGGTAAAGAAACGCGAAAAGAGCGTAACAAATCACGTAGGAGGGTTCAGATGTTGGAAGAAGACGCGATGTATGTGATGGTGACGAGAAAGGAAGGCAGCTCTCGCGACGAGTTGCCTGTGACGCGCATGTGAGAGAGCAGCTACCCCACACTTTCAGCTGCATATGCTCGAGGTCACCCTGTCCAACTCTGCTGAGAGATTGTCAACTCGTGGTTGTCTGATTCTTCTAGCCTACGCGACCATCGCTCGTTATACTGTCCCCACGCGCCGGTAGAAGAGACATGAGCGAGTAGTCATACTTGATGTCAATGCTATCCAAGGGAATCACACGTCTGATCTTCACACCTGTCCTCCCCTCCTCCTTGCGCCACGAGAGCATTGCTTTCTTTGATCTCCGTCTCCATTCTCTCCTGGTCAAGAGGGCTGAAGGTTTTGGAGTCGCACCAGCTCGCGCCATCTTGACGCCAAAAGGCATCCTGGCTCCGTATACTGTCTCATCCCACACCGTGTGCTCGGCATGTCGACGTAAATCCTTCCGATCTCCTATGACACAGTTGTCGAACTTGTCATATAGACCCGATACACCAGCAGTGATAAGATTTAGCGGCATGGGATAGGTCTTGTCCTCAATACAGTCTCGTATCAGTATCGCGTGCCCATAAAGTTCTGCACGTTGCTCTTCTTGCTCCGTCATGGCATCCAATTTTTCAGAATAATCTATCATTCCCGAAGCGAAAGACACATTCTCTTGAACTACTTCTATTTTCGTGGCAGCTGGGAAACACCCTGATTTGTATGCCGCAGCCAGATTGGAGGTCAGTAAAAGCGGCTGTTGATCAAAATAGCCACCTCCACGGGGCCAAGGTTGTTGTGCTCCGAGATCCAGATTGGATTGGAGATCTGGGCATGGACAAAACGAGCAACCGGCACTCACGCGAGGAATGAGGCAAATGCTGAATGTGGAAAGATGATTTGCTTTTACCAGATTTCCAGGAAAGAATGATTGAGGTTGGCACAGTTTTGGCTCATTTCGACGATCATCCGGGACATCGGGACGACAAAGCAAGACCTGACTGCACAGGTTGTGGATCCTCAGCTTTAGGTGATGGAGCCTGGGTAAGACATACCAGATGTCGGAACAAAGGTGATGTGACTCGTCCCCAGGTGACCAATCAGTGCTGCCAGTGTCAAGCTCGAGACTGGTGCACGATGCAGGAAGATTCCTCAACAGAAAGCCTAGGACTTCGGTCTGCAGTCTGAACCCTATGCGCAGCTGGACTCCAGCATTCTCAACTCTATGGCGTTCCTGAAATGGAATAATCGGAGGGTCGTCAACGAAGAGCGAGAGAAAGTCCAGAGATGTAAGCTTGGGTAAGATCAGAGTGCTGAAGCGATCGATTGCTTTCAGTAGAGTCTGATTCTGCGGGAAGCCATGCAGCCTATACAATGCGAACGCATCGGGGTCGAAATGAGGGAGGGTCAATGTTATAACCTCGACTTGGAAAGTCACACTTCTCACAGTCTCCAGTCTTTCGGATGCATCCTTATAATTGTCGACGAAGGCTTCCAGTGTATCGTTGGTCAAGACAACATGGGACCATAGCACCGGTTGAGCAACGTCTCGCCAAGCCCTGCACACCGAAGACAGGTCTATCAGCGCGCGAAGGCCTTGCTCCTCGCGAATGAGGATGAATATCGTCCTTAGGATTTCTGTTGATAGTTGTGCCATCGGTGGATAGAACGATGATTTGTCGACGTCTGGGTATTGTGTGTCGAGCATGTGGTGACAACTGCACAAGTCCAAGTAGCCCGCCGTATTGGAAGTCGAGGGCAAAGAACTACTATAGTGAAGGAGCTTTGGCGGAAATACAAGGGGTGTTGTCATTATGAGGACGATGCGAGATCAACGTGGTAAATCTATGGTAGGCCTGATTCGGGGTCCCTATAGAGGGAATAGGCCTGGACCCTGAGACGTTTCAAGTCTTTGACCATGATTCATGACAAAATGTTGTAAACAGAATGGTTCGATCTCACCATCATAGCGTTGTGGTTTGGTCTCTGCAAGCCAGATATTTCGCAATCTTCCAATCGGATATGGCTCTATGATGAGCGGATTCAAAATGTCGCCAAAAGTTGGCCACAATGCACATTTGGCAGATACGGTCTCGATGCTTGACCTTTTGAATGTAGACAATGGCACATAACGAATGTAGTCGCAATTCGATTGACCATGCTGACAAGGCTTGTGGCAGAATCTGACTAGCCTGGCAGCTCGAACTTTACATCGAGTTGACCAGACCATTTTCATACATACGGAGCTTGGAGGAGTTCACAGATCAATTAGGCCCGGGTCAATTGTGGATGTGGACAGTCGTGAATTTGAAGTATTGGTAGATGAGGTGGCAGGATGCGACAAGAGTAGGTTTCGTGGAATGTATGGGAGCCTAGTCGTGCGTGACCTCAACAGATCATCCGGACGGGAGTCGCAGACAAAGACGCCAACCAAGTATATAGCATGTCTGGTGCCCGCCATATTCATCTGCATATGAAGATGGCTACGGACAGATTTGAACGCCGACCCCTGTGCCATGTGGTGTAAAGAAAGACACAGCCACACGTTTCCCGTGCACTGTTTGATTCTGACAATCTCTGATACCACTACAAATAGCAAGAGTGATGAAAGACATCTTGGATATCTCAGAAAGGACATGTCCAGAGAAGATCTATCCAGCCAAAAACTGATGCACAGAAACCCCCGCTCTAGAGCTTTAATACCACGGAATTGGTCCGCAGTAACGCTGAGGCGCAGCCTTAGCATTGGTTTGTTTTTGTGAGCTTCCCAACCACTACACTAAAGGCGTCCCTGTAGCGACCAAACGATGGAAGAGTTGCCGCTAGGAGAATGCCAAATTTGCTCGTATATAATGGTTGACGCAGAACAGCGATCTGAGGGCTTCAACACCTCGAAGCTCCCACGCTTCTACAGGGCATGGTGATTCGTGTTCACTCTTGTCATTGCAAGCGTTTGCTAGTTGTTGATAAGCGATGGCATCAACGTGCACCGGTCGCACAGCTCCATTTAGGCCGGGTCAAGATGATACACAGGACCGAGTAGACGTGTGTGTACGCGGAGCGAAGTTCGTGGGTTTGTTCTGTATGGGTCCACGACCCTGCACAATCTCAGAAGCGTCGTTACATGGTCCGCCCCTGCTTTGAGACAATCTACTCCTGCTGTTGTTGCTCTTGTTGCGGCTTTCCGTCGTGTCTTTGGTAGAGGTGAATCTGGTAGCGCATATTCTCGAGATCGATGGGGTATTTCAAATCCTCATCGGGCAGTCTGAACCATCTCGACTCGTCAGAAACCAGCTTTTTCCACTGCGCGGGTGTACCCTTCTCTGCGTCCTTCTTTGGCGACAACAATGTGTGGTCGAGCAGCCATTGCATAGGATACTTCTGTGAGGCACCGTTGAGTGTGACGGTAGAATAGCTTCCAGGGCTGTCCACAACCAGCAAGAGTGATCCAGGACGCATAGAAGCCGTCAATGCGTACAAGAGCCTCTGAGTTTTTGCTACCGAAGTGCTGTACAGCTCGTTCAGTGTGAACATAATGGTGACAATGTCGCTATTGGTAAGCATATCGCTGACTCCAGCAGCGTCGGTGTCCAAGAGATCTTGCTGCTTAAAGCGGACATTGAAGGCTTCCGAAGGTAGGACAGCCTTGTTGGCGGCTTTTGCAGCTGCGGAAGCATACTTTGAAAGGAAGGGAGGAGTGATGACGCCTTGGTGGAGATCTTGCATGACTTTGTCCCAATTGGCAACATCGACACCAAAGATGTCGAGTTTGGAGATGTTCGGTTGAGGTTTGTCGTCAGATGGAGGTGCATCGTCTTTCAAGTGTCTGAGCCAGCCGGCAAGACCAACAACCTCAGCACCTGCTCCACCACCTAGGCAAAGAATGTTCAGAGGTTTCGACGAGTTCGCACTTTCTTCCAAGTTCAGTTTGCCTTCGAGTTGCTCTGATAGCTCTGAAGTGTCCTTGCTTGGCTCTTCAGTCTCTGATGACTTCTGGTCGAGGAGCTCGATAAGTTCAGGAGAAAGATCGGAAAAGATCTGAGCATAACCCAAGGCTCTGCTAGGACTCCATCGCGCAGCGTATGCCTCAAGATAGTCATCCTTACCAAAGGCAGTAGCGAAGTCGCGGTTGAAGAGGTGACCCTTTACTTCTTGCAGGATGTCTTCGATCTCGGCCGGCGAACCCTTGTTACAGGCATTACGGAAGACATTTAGCAGAGACTGCTGAATAGCGGTTGGAATGGCGTTGCTCTGTTGGTAACCCTTTTCAACTGGTAAAGGGATTGGGCCTTTGTTCTGCTTGGTAGCTCTTTGACGCTTCTGCAGCGGTTGCCATGATGATTTATCTCTGGGCATCTTGTCGGGTGTGGATGGAATGGTGTTGCATGACAGAGTAGAGATTTAATAAGCAGAGGCTGCTGCAAGAAGCGAGTCGAGGCAACTGCAGCCGAGGCGCGTCATGCCGAGCTTGACAGATGCAACACGAACCAACACCCCTTTAGCATTGCTTCTCGCTGTCCCTACGACTTGATCTCGGAATCTGCTGAGGAATACATCATGGCCGACGTGGACGACAAGGAAAAGGCCGAGAAGCTTGCCGCTGCAAAGAAGCGCGTACGTAGCCTTGATCGGCACAAGACAGCCAAAAGCACCACGAGCTAAACACATGCACAGTTCGAGGAGTTGAAGAAGAAGCAGAAGGGAAAGAAGGGCGGAAAGAAGAAGGCAGACAAGGCCGATGCCACAGAAGAGAAGGATGATGCGACAGCAGCAGACGGCGAAGCGCCCGACGCCGACGTGGATGCCCCTGCCGAAGAAGCAGCCACCGACAACACACCAGTAGCCGCAGACACAACAGAAGACGCAATTGCAGAGAAGACTGAAGAGGTGTCTGAAGAAACTGCAGCATCAGACGAGGCCCCTGCCGAACCACCGACACACGAGCGCAAACCATCCCAGTCTGAGCAATCACGACAGCGATCAGCCTCTTTCAGACAAAACTCTGGCCTCACATCGCCCAGCCTGGCCAAATCGCCTGCTCTGCCGTCCATCAGTGCCGAGGACGAAGTTCAAGACATCTACCGCAAGCAAGCATCGCGGATAGAGGAGCTGGAGAAGGAGAACAAGACGCTGCAGGATGCCCAAGCAAAACTACAGAAGGTCGAGTACGAGTTGGAGCAGTTGAGAGAGAGCAGCGGTGATGTTGCCGAGCTCAAGTCCAAGGCTGCCCTGGCCGACAAGCGACATGAAGAGATTGAGAAGCTGGTATGAAGCCTCGAAGAGGATGCTCTCTGCAACGAGACTAACACGCTACAGACGTCCGACTTGACATCGATACAGCGACAGCTTTCTCAAGCTCAGCAGCAAGTAGCCGACAAGCGACGCAAGTCCAACGCAAGCCCTTCACGCGAGATTCAGGCCCAGCTGGCATCCAAGACGTCGACAATCGAGTCGTTGGAGTTGGAGCTGTCGAATCTTCGAAACCAATACAACATGTCGCAATCGTCCGTCTCGGCTCACGAGGCCACTATCAAGGAACTGGAACAGCGTGCAACCACGGCAGAACAAGCCTCGGAAACAGCACAGAAAGAGATAGAGACTTTGAAAGAGACCATCAACAAGCCTGTCGAGACAGAAAAGAACGATGCTGAAGACCCGGCCGCACTCCAAGCAAAGATTACAACTCTAGAGTCCGATCTACGTACCGCCCAGGCATCTGCCGACACAGCGACCAGCCGCGCCAGCTCTCTCGAACAAAAGATCGAGACCCTGACAAGACTCCACAAAGACCAAACCAGCACCCACGACTCCCAAGTCAAGGATCTGACTTCCAAGCTCGCATCGCTGAAAACGTCCCAGACACCCGCCGCGAACGATACAGACTCCATCACAGACGATGCCGACGAACTTGAGCGCGAACAATTGCACCAACGCATCCGCGACCTCGAAGCCGAAAACACCGATCTTCGCCGTGGCGTATGGCGCGATCAAAGAGCTGCCTTGCAACCAGACATCAACGATGCCTCGCCAGGCTACGAAGATGTGGATCTCAGCAACCCCTACGCTGCACCATCGTCAGCACAACGCCCACATGCCCGCACAGGCAGCAGTTTCCAAGACGTGCTGCAGAGCGGCATCAGTGCATTCACAGGTGGCCAAAGAAAGCAATCACTGGGTCTGCTGAGCGAAGAAGACTTTGACGAAGACTCATTCCGTCTTGCCCAAGAAGAAGAGGGTAAGAAGAGGATCGAACGAATCAGAGAAGTAAAGCGTGGGTTGGAAGACTGGAGAGGATGGCGTGTGGATCTCGTGGACCTAAGGGCAGGAGGTCTAGGCGGTGGTGCAGCCACTGGTCCCATGTTCGAAGTTTGATTTGACTACCCTCATCATTAGACACTGTCATCTGATCTGCACGACTTTTTGCCTTCTTACCAGTTTGCTCTCTCAATCCCGACCGTGTCTTTTTCTCTTGCGTCCTCTTGTCTCATCCTTCTCATCATCTTGACCTTTATCTTCTCCTCNNCATCTCCCAGACTCACATCCCCCAGTTCTCTAGTCTTGCCATGCCCCCTCTTGACACTAAACCTCACCTTTGGCCTCTGACCCTCTCTAAACCTCAATCCAAACACCACCACCAAACTCGGGTCTTCAGGATCCCCACACACAATCTTTAGTTTCAGGATACTGGGGTGATAGTCCTGTTTCCAATGAACGTGATTCTTTCTGCGCTTGGGTTTTATGGTTGAAGAGCCTGAGGATGAAGATGAGGTTGTTGGAGAAGAAAGGTTTAGAGGTGATGGTGGATTGTTTGGGTCAGGATCTGGTTGGGGGTGTGGGTAAGGTTTTGTTGTTGCTTGGAGAGGTGGTGGGTTTTGTTTTGTGGGATTTGCTGATCTTGGGTAAGGGAGGAAGTAGGGATGCATGGTTGATAGCGGATTTCTTGTTTGCGATAGTGGAAATAGAGGAAGGTGGGGAGTTGGAGGGGACGACATTATATGGTGTAGAGGGCAGGGTTTTGTTGATTTGCTGCTCAAGTCATAGGGGAGGGACTCTTGACCTTTATGGAATTGTCTCGTGCGGTGCGTGAGAGGGTGTGTCGTCGCCGCCTGCTGATAAAGTGTCTTGGAAAATGTACCTTGGTGGTTTCGTCACGTGCTTTGGTGGTCCACATGTATCTCTTCCTATTAGCTAAGAATAGTGTGGAAGGAGGCGTAAGCACTCTTTTGTGGTTGCAAGCTGTGAAGTGGGAGACTTTGGTCATTCTAGTCTAATCTAGTATAGGAAAATGGGCGTAACAAGTATCGGACACTTTTCAAAAGTATTTGGCAATCAAGTCTCCGATCTCAGCCTCTGACAAGCCTTTGACACCGAGCAACTCATTGTCGTTCTTCTCGTTCCACAAATTGCCATAGCCGTCCTTGAAGATGGAGATCTTGACAAAGTCCAACATGGCACTACCGATGTCTCCATTTTCCTTGCTCAACTCTGCGTAAGCATTCTTCTCCACCTGCGCGAGATCGACACTCTCAGTCTCGGCCTTGAAGTCAGGGTTGACCTNTTGCGCAATCTTCAAGGCTTGGTTTTGGCTGAGGGCAACGGTTTGGACGTAAACTCCACGGTTCTTGGTTTCTTCTGGGTGGTTGAGGATACCGGCGACAGCTTTACCAACGTCACTGAGAAGAGTAAAGCTGTGGACACTGTTGGCGTCGTCGAGGATTTGGGTCTTGCCCTTCAGGTTGATGAGCCAGCCCAGTCCAATACCCCAGTCCAGGAACAATCCGTTGGTCAAAAGGGTATAGCTAATTTGATCCTGCTTGGCACGCAAATACTCCTGCGTCTTGACTTTGCCGGCAAACACAGGCAGAGCACGAACATTCTCATTGCCGACAATATTGCTGCCAAACTCCGAAGGGATAAATCTCTGGACGCCAGCAGCGATAGCGGCGTCGATAAGAGCAGGTTGGTCTTCATGTTTCGGGATTGCCGAGATAAAGGCTTCTTGACCGCGAAGAGCAGAAACCAGGGAGTCTTGGGAGGAGAAATCAACTTTAGCGACTTTGATTGCTGAAGGTAGACCAGAGGTGTTGCCCGAGGCTGTGAGGACGGTGACTTCGAAGCCTTGGTTGACTAGCTCGTTGACGATGTGAGGACCAAGGTTGCCAGTGGCACCTGCGATTGCGACTTTCTTGAATGCCATTGTGGATGTTTTTTTGTTGGATGATTTTGAGCGATGGTAGATCGAATAATCTGGTGGTGAATGGATGGTGGGATGATGAGATGGACCAACCTGAGAGACCTACATGTGTTATATACCTATCCGTTCTGATGATGAAGAAGCACACCATAGTCTGCCATTCCGCTTGATGAATCAACATCAGCAGAGACGATTTGATAAGCCAAGACAAGCCATGATTTGGCGTCTGTAAGCAACAAAGCCAGAAGGCTCGAGTTGCCACAACGCTGAGCGGCGTTGTTCCGCTGGATTTGGTCAGCTTCATGATGCAAAATGCTGCGACGAGATGGCGCAATCTCGCAGAGCACCAAAGATGATGCGCAACCAACCTCAGATTCATCAGCAAGTCCAAGCCGAGTGGTATTTGAGGATTACATCTCTCAAATCAGTTTTTGAGATCGACAAAAGGTTATGGAAAAGTTATGCGGACTCATCTCCGGTCAAAGCCTCGCGACAGCTTTGTCATCAGGCACGAGGACCTTTGGCTTCTGGTCACAACACCCAAAAGATGGCCTTGCTTTTACTCTGCAACGATCATCTCTCGGGAGGCCTCTGAGGCATGACTGGTGACAGCTCGCTGACTTTCCACATGAAGATCCCGTGAGCATCGTACAAGTGCGGCGGCCGGATGCGACTTCCGAGCCCTAAACTCGAGAGTCGACCGCGCGCAACATGCTGAAACCAATCTTGAGTCGTGGTGCTTCTTTATCAGGATCATCTTCGACAAACCCTTCCTGAACCCGATCACTACCACTATTGTGCCTTGATATAGCGATTTGATCTTGGCTAGGTCCTGTCGCGGTCGTGTTCCTCGCCCAAGCGATGAGATTAACGATCGATATGGCGAGCTACTTAGACGATCTTCTTGGAGTCCCCACTTAGCGATGGCTTCGACGTCCTGAAACCGCCATGACCTTGGTGGACTGGGAAATAAGCCTCGGTCGGTTCATGGCAGCTTTTTAAAGAGTCGTGCATCCGCATGTAGACTCTCTTGCTTTTTCTGGCTCTCGCGGCCTTCAGCATGTCTCTGCTCAATATATTCGGCCGTCGCAATGAAGCCTCGTCAACGTACAACCCTGTATCAGAGGACGAGGACAAATTGCTCGACGAACCTGTACAAACAACCAGAGCTGAGCTAGAGAAACTCAAGCAAGCCAATGCAAACCTGAAGCGTGTATTGGCCGTCTTTGCCGCCTTCTTCCTAGCCTTTCTCGCTCTTATAGCATTTAAGAGCTGGGAGTCGCATGAAAACAGCCTAATGTTTCCGCGCATCCTCAAATCGCCTGTGCCGCCTAGTCAGTACCTTCATCTGCCATGACTTCTTGGTTGCTAACAGTTCTCNCCAGTGCCCATGAACATCCAGACCTTCGAGCGCAACTCCCTCTACGCAGACCGTCCCTCTCCTGAGTCCGATGCAGCCTGGAACGCACTCCTCCCCGAAGGTCGCGGCTTCGTCTACGTCTCCGAGTCGGAAAGCTACGCTCTGCCACCGGGCGAAAAGACATTCTACGGCGAGATATACTCTGTGTCCTTGTTTCATCAACTGCACTGTCTAGGCCAACTGCGCAAATACTATTGGTTGTTGATCGATGGAATCTCGAGCAACAGTACGAGTTTGAAGCCAATGGTAGAGGGCTTGTTGGGACCTTCGGGTGAGCATGTATCGCATTGCTTTGATTACTTGCGACAGACACTGCAGTGTGCAGGAGACATGGCGTTGGAGTGGCCGAGAAAAGAGGAGGATGGTAGTAGGTTTGCTGTGGATGGATGGGTGAGTTACACATCTTCTTTTACTAGACTGCGTGCTGATCATCGATGCAGNGACATCCCTCACGAATGCCGGAGCTGGGATCATATTGTCGATTACATGAAGGGCTCATACTTTAATTTGTCCATGAACAGCGACATTGCGCCTGATCATCCTATGCATTCCGACGGCAAGGCGAAGTTATGATACGAGATGTAGCTTCCAAAGAGAGGAGAAGCAGGTCTTTCCCATTGGCAAACACAAAATATCACCATAAACCCTGATTGCCTGTGATCGGCTTGTGCCATATTAATCCACTACAACACTCGAATAGTATCTGTGAAAGACGCCAAGAAGATATACCTCATGACTGCAATCGCTCGTCGAACAGTCTCTCAAAGTCATGGGAGTCTGGCGTCGCATCCCACTTGCAAGACAGGAAAGTGCAACCCATCTATACGCCTGTAGGCAAGAGCAAGAACACCTCAATACAAAAGGAAGGTGCACATGAGACATATTTGTTGCAGATTTGTGATATTCGGAGCAGGTATATCACGCTAACTGTCCCCGAGCACGCCGTATTCACTGGAAATCCTCAGCCTAGCCAAGTCTAGTAGAGGTCGCAAAAACCAGTGTCGGCTTCTGCGTGTGCTGTAATATCTGTCGCGAACATTTCCACCTCCTCGCGCTTGACTTTGTGATTGTACAGATTTCTCCAACATTGTTTTCCCAACAGCCCATGTTCCATGTTTTGGAAATACAGCTTTATCCAGATATGGATCTACTGTATTTCGAAGTTGAAGTTGCAGCAGAGACTTTGCGAAGATCCCATCCCAAAGGTCGTTCATCCGCGGAGTCTGTGGTTTCGGTCGAGGTCCTTTTGAAAGTCCAGCCAGAATGCTCGCTGTGGTACTCGGCATACCCTCTTTCGGTCTTTTGGCAGTCTGAAGGGCCATCGCGTATCATACTGTGCCGGGGCGAGGTATTTTCGCTGGGCACCCATTCGCGTCGCTCGAATGGTTCGTCCTGAGTATACCCGATAGAAGATCGTGGTATTGATGCTGGCGAAGGTGGTGATGATGTGGTTGATCTTCTCTTGAGAGCGGGTTTGAGAGATGAGATGGATGGCTTTTTGAGGGTTCTTCTCAGGGATGCGGTTTTGCGACCTGGAGACAGTTTCCAGATGACGGGGTTGAAGATCACTGAAGATTCTGGTGTGACTTCCTGATCCGCGGTGGTAGATTTGATGGAGTTTCTGGGTGTGTGTTGTTTGTCGACGAGGGTGCGGACCTTGTCGGCTAGTCTTGATGTGGTGGAAGTCCAGCTTGATCTTGAGATGGTTCTCGGACAAAGAGCGGTGTTGTGTTCTGATGCGGTGCAGAGCATAGAGTCGCGGAAGCTTCGTGAGANCCTTTTTGCGACCTTTTTGGAGAGATCGCTTGCCCGTGAGGTCAGGCTGTGTTTGCTGGATGGACTTGAAGCCTCTTCGCTTGTAGCGCTTTCATGGGCTCTCAACTTTTGTTGGACAATTTCGGCCGTAGCGCTCAACTCCTTTTCCAAGTTCAAGAGTTTTTCGCATGTCAACTCAGTGCGCTTGTCATCCAACTTCTGTCTGTAGGCCTTCAACTCGTGAGAAAGTTGTTTTGTCGAGGGCGCGGTGCCACAGAAACTTGTCGAGTTGATTCTGGTGAGCTTTGACAACATCTTGGGCACTCGATGAACATGGTGATGTCCTTCTGCCAGGCGCTCCATGTAGATACATATCGAGTCTCGGATCCGCTTTTCTGCTGAGAAAGGGATGGTATCTGACATGGGACATGGTGTGTTGTCGTAGTGGACTGTAAGATACGGCTCTTTCTTCTTTTCGATTGACCATGTCTCAAGGTCGTTCTTGCATACTTCTGAGAGGTCGATAGGATCCAGGGCTTGAAACCAATGTTCTGACGTTTGAGGCTCGATGGTTTTGGACTCGGTGTTACAACCCATTTTTGATATGTTGAGTGTTGCTGAAATCTTTGGAAAAATCTTCAAGCAGTATCTTGTGGTTGGACTGTAGGAAAGCTGAAAGAGAGAAACCAGAGTTTGCAGGCCATGATGTACTCGATGCACGAACGAAGTACAGATTTTTTTCTCGTGGTTAGCGTTAATGTGCTCATGACTACCTAGACTTGGCGTCGTGGTATAGGTAAATGATAAAAATGTTCCAGTGCGCGGCCGCGAATTCTCTCATGTATTCGAAATGATTCAGAACCAATCAGTCATACCCTGCGGTATATAACAGAGGCCATGCCCATCTTGATTAACCACGGTTGTTTGACTCTTTTGGTCTGACCAAGTCCTGTCAAGATGAATGCCGATCATATCGCCAAATTGTCGACCGAGTTGGTTCTCGATATTTGTCAACATCTTCCCTTGCGAAGTATTGCGTGCCTAGCTCTGACCAAGAAAACATATTATCATGCTCAGGCTTTGCAAAGGTTATGGCGGCCGCAATTGAGATCACAAGAATCAATATTCTGCGGTCCCACGGATTTTGGAGCACGCGACCCCAGGCCGGAACGGGAAGAACGAGAGATGCTCTACCTTCGAAAAGACATCATCAACCATGAGTTGTTGTGGTTTCTCGACTTGTTACATCGCGATTTACCAGATCACTGGCTTTGCGATCTTTGTATGAAGGTGCATCGGCGAGTCGGCTACACCAAGAATGGTGTCCCTTATCGCTTTTGTTGCAAAGACGAAACCCAGGGATTGTTTTTCTGTCTACCGACATGGAACTACCAGTTTCCATTCCAAGACGCGCAGCAGGTTGTCAAGCGTCACAGACTAGGGGCGCCTCATGGAATACCTCTGACAATCCTTCGAAGAGAGCAAGAATGGGAGACCGTCAGCGACTGGCCAACCCACCCATTCGTCGCCCCGGATGAGCAACCACCCTTGGTCTGGTATAAACAATTGGAAGCCACACCCGAGGTTGTGGAAGACAACAACAAAGGTCCGATATTGACCCTACGGGTAGAACAGCGCCTTTCCTTCCCCGACGATTATATTGGAGTTGTCCAATTGCGGTCACACGACTGGGTCAGAGACATCGGTCANAAAGCACAGGGTCACTTCTCAGTCTGCTGTCATCAGCATGAGAATGACATTGGGAGGCATGTCGCTGACTTTTTGGAGGATCCAGAGTCGTCGCGGAGAATCGGTTCAAAGTTAAGACGTTGTGACGTGTGCTTGACCGAGTATGCCTTCCTCATCCTCAAAGGTCATTGCGGGGGCAGTCTCCAAGTCACCTTGTCGACATGGGTCTCGCTGGGATCCTGTAGATATTCATTTTCACCTGCATGGCTGACTAGCTCGTGGCTGTCAAGGGGACTGAATTGGTTTAAGACTCGATCCACCTCCATCCCGAGACCAGCAAGACCTTTTGCTAATGACTACAGCGAGCTTTATGCCGACCGAGACTTGGAAAGGGCTGTGATTCAGAAACGAATGACTGTTTCTCGTCCTTCTGTTATGCTCTGGCACCTGCTACCCTCATGGTTCGACAACCCCGAACGGGCACGATTTAGGTTAGATTCGATGACCAGCATTGTCAAGAGCAAGTGGAGCTGAGGCAAGAAGGCGACAGATACGGCTCAGTCTCCTAGCGCGAGTTGAAAGTAAACAGAGCGCCGTCGGTGGAGCTCTGTAATGGAAACCTGGATCAAGCAGATCTGGCGGAGCCTAAGGATGCGCCGTGCAAGAGGAAAACGGAGAGGCTAGAACCTGGTGAACAAAGAGTCTTCAAGATGGGCGACTTGAGGGAGGTATGTTTGGTCGTGAATCATTATGCAAGTTGTGAAGTTGTGTATATATCACCTCGTCCTTCGAGTCAATCTCTGTCGCCTGATCTCCGCCATACGACATCTCTGTTGACGCTCATAATCAGGATCATGGTTGGCTTCGTCCGGCTTCTCGTCAGATGTAGAAGCATAGGTCGGTCTCAAACTGGGCACGTGTGTGTATTGCTGCTGAGGTGCAATGATTTCTCGCTGTGCAGCCCTTTTTAGTGCGTTGTCTTGATCAGCGACCATCTGTGAAGCGAGCTCTTTTGCTCTTGATGCTTCAGGCTCGGGGTTTCGCGGCATAGCTTGCTCGAATTTGGCTTTTCTTCTTCCCTGTGCTTGTCGGAGCTCTTCCAACATTTTGACGCACTTAACCTCCTTCTGATCAAGCAGATAGAGGCGTCTGTTGTCTTCGGCTGTGCCCTTATTCTCGGCCTGTCTTTTGTGGATCTCAGCCCTCTGATAGTGGATCTCTCTCTCGTTGTGCAAGATCTCGTTCAGCATATCTTCAAGCTCGATCGCGTCATCTGACTGCTCATTTATTAAATCTAGGTTGTCCTCGATTTGGCGATTGTGCTCTCGGCTGATGTAATTCTCCATCACAATCAACAGATCCCCGAACAGAAGGTTGACGGCTTTACACGAAGGAGGCCTCGTGTCATCGAGCCGGATGGCCAGCTCGAAAGCCCGACGGCCGATCAGACCGGCAAGTCTAGGAAAGCCGTAGAAACCTCTGCTAAGCCAGAATACGAACTGCTCATCCCACAGTAAAAGAATGTCCCGATTTGACTGAGCAATCTTGACGACATCTCGTTTATACTGATCGAATTCTTCGGGACCAATACCTTTGAGTCTTGGGGGTTCGTTGTTGGCAAAGAACTCCGAGAGTCTCTTCTTGCGCTGAATCTCTTCTGGCTGCGCGTCGACGTAAGCTTTGACGATCTCCAAGAACTCGGAGTATTTGAGGCCTCCGCGACTGAGACACTCTCTTTCGACTCTGGTGCGGAAGCTCTTGGGTACGCTGCCATTGGAACAAAGCCACGCTATGAACTGGTTCATTGTCAATGAGTTGTACTCCAAAGGTCGTAGGCAATAGTTGTAGAGGATGTCGAAGACCTCAAGCTCCCAGCGTCCGACTTCCATGGGTTTGAAAGATTGTAGAACCGGTGGGCGCCATTTCCACTCATGCGCAAAGATGGTAAAAGCATCTTCCTGGTCTTCCGTATATCGCCTTGATACAGCCTCGAAGTCATCGATGACCAGATTGAGTCCCACAACACTGTTCAGAGGGAACCCTTCGCGAACACCATCCGGCTGAGTGTCATCCGAGGCCCAGTCCATAATTAATTGTGCAATTCCAATTACACGAAGATCTCGGTCTGACATCAAGCGATGGCCATAGACGGACAGATGTTGGTCTTTGAAGTCGGTGTTCACATCTGGATTTAAGACTGTTCCTTTGGGCGGATCTGGAAATAGAGCCTTTCGTGATGCTGCTATGCTGGCCTTAGAATTGAGCTTTGATCTGGGGAGCTTGGCTCGCTTTCCCATGTTGGCGGAATATGGTGTGGTGACAGCAGGTGCGAAAAGTAGCAAAGATGGAGTGAGAGCGGATTCGTCCTAGTTTATATTGTTGACAGCCTTGACAGTAACGCTTGTGAACGTATATTGATGCTGCAACTAGTATAGGTTCACACCAAATGTTGACTCTGATAAGATCGTCTCATGGTCCTGGCGAGCGGGAGCAAGAAAGAGGTTTGCAGTATAGGTTCGATCGGCTGATGTCGGTCTGTACGGAAAATTCGCGTTGACCAGCCAACATTGGATCGCGGCTTCCTCCATATTGATCACAAAAGACAACTTTCAGTCACTGACCGATAATTCAAGTGAGCGCGACGATCATGGAAACATAACTTGCAACACAATCGCGTGTGTTTCCACGACCTGAAGACGAGTTGATAGATTGTGACAGATGCACGTTGAGGCGAGGGGTGGGGTTACCATCGCGAACGCGTCAAAACAAGGGCTTCCATACCCAGCCTGCTTTCCCGAATATCTTCTGTTTAGAAACAATGATTGCGAAACTATCCCGTAGGTGAAGACACGAGCTACTGATAAATTCGCGCCTTTTCGCAGTGTTACGGGTACATCTTGTGTGGCCGGCGAGGCTGAGAACCAACACGCCTTCTGCCTGATGCTGCCTTGAGTCTCAAGCCACTTTCCCCAGATTGGGCAAGCATCAGGCAGAACTTCGCCGCATCCTCCATCATTTCACCAGAGACAGCGTTTCATCTCGTGTATCTCAGGCTGCACCGTCGCCACCTGAGTCGTAAAGTGGGGACGGAGGGACGCATATAACATACAGCATGGTAGGTCGTTGTGTAAGTCATACCATCAACATCACCATCCTTTCACATCCACCCATAATTCAATCGCCTTGTCCTCATCATGTCTTTCTGCGAAACCTCAATGCCTTCAGGCCTCAGTCCATCACAAAGACTACAAGTGATGGGTACCTATATGTACTCGCAATGCTCGACAACAGCTCTTACACTGGCACGGTCGCTGCTTGGTCAAAAGAGGAAGTGCGACAGTCCTGAAGACGACAACCACGACGTCGATGAATCAACAACCGGATCCGAGGCACCTGCACCTTTCAGAAATCTCCGAAAGCGCCCACGAGTCTCTTACGTGGAACCCACCGAGTTCGACATCGAGAGCGACGCAGACTCGGGCTACAACTCGGACTCGTCTGTCGAGTGGGGCTCTTGTACGAAGCAAACCAAGAACAAGCGCCCACGCGAGAAGCCTGTAAAGCCATTCCCTTTCTTGTCATTACCCACCGAGCTGCGCAACAAGATTTATCTGCTGGCTCTGCAGGACCCTGATGGCATGGTCCTGAATGAAGGCTGGCGTGCCTACCGTCGCGTGCCTCAGCGTGGCCAATATCATCGTTACAACAACAATAATGACAGATATGATGGTCTAGCGAATCTGAACTTCACCCGCAATGTTGACTCTCAGGGCAATCGCTTACCGGATTCGACTGTTTGTACTCTGCTGCCCTCGCTGCTCGCTGTGAGTAAGCAGATCTACGCCGAAGCTGCAGCCATCCTTTACGCGCAACCTCTACACTTTGAGAATACAACAGCGTTGCACAGCTTCCTAGCTCCACTGAGCAGCCAGACCGCATCCCTCATACGCAGTATAACCATTCATACATACGAGACCTGGGGCCGCGGAATACGCAAGGCAATGAACGTTTCGGCATTGACTCTTCTCCGCAGCTGTAGCAATCTCCAAATGTTACGTATTGAAGCCTTCGATCACTATAATCACTGGGGACGGTACGGTGCTAGGCCATCCGCACAAGAAGCTGGCAAGCGCGAAGGCTCTCGGATAGCACAGCAAATCTATCGCGATGCCGCATTTTGGTTGGACACCATCGATGCAGAAAAGGCACTACAGATCTTGGATCTCAAAGGACTGCAGCGGGAGATTCATCCCAACTCTCAGCACCCGCAGGAGTATGACAGGGCTGTGGAAACACTCAAAGTGGCCAACAGTGCTTATGCGGACGAGTTGACGTCTCTGATCATGCGAACAGGTAAGGCTAAGAAGAGCAGCAGAAAGTCCAAGGCAGCCTTTTCTAGTGACTAGAGATATCACAGGCACAGACGGCCAAAAGAGCTGATACACTGTCCGCACGATATGCACATCTATCATATACCGTTCCGTCAATGTATCATCCCATCTGTTCCAATCTCATGTCGTATCGTTCCATCAATCACGTCCACAATCCCTCACCCACCAACCAAAGTCACGCTACCCAGTGGTATTCTCGCTATCGCGGAAATAACAAATCACGACATCGGTACCTCCAACCACGAATCCTTCAATATATACACTCCAACATCTCACTGACACAACACCACCTCATCTACCAAACCTTCCCTACTCGAGTCAACCCAAACACCAAAACCAAAAACAGCCCTTTGTCCCTGCCACCGCACTAACCCCAATCCTCCCCAAAAACCCAGAGTTTTTTCCACTTTTTCCATTGGTTATCTGACAACCCCTCCCTTCCATGCATACATCTGCAGATCCCAAAGAGAATAAACCGGGAGCAAAAGATACTTGTGTACTGGTACGATAAACCAATGAAAAAGAGTTTTGAAAAACTCCCCCCAAAAGAGGGTCAGAAGGGCGGGGAGATCGTATACTTGTATACATGTCAGGTACAATTGATTGCTGGATGATCGCAAAGACAGCCTTCCAACTCCTCGGGTCTGGCTCCGGTTCCGGTTGCCCGAGGTATGCGTACAACAAGAGAGCAAAGCCGCGGTTGATGTTGATTGGTTCGGAGTGGGCTACGAGGCTGCTGGCTGGACTCTTTGGTTTGAGTTTTTGGGGGGGATGGAAACAGGTCATGACGATTGAGTGGCTCATGGCGTCGGCTGCGTACGGTATGCTTGATTACCAGGGACAAGGATATCAGAGCAGCAAGCAAGAAGAAGAAGTGATTGTAGAAAGACGGATAGATACAAAGTGCACCCGAGTGCGCCAACTATATAGACAGATAGATTACCGCTCTGAATAACAGGTACCCCTATTTGATAAAAGACATATAGACAAAGATGGTCGTGGGTATAAAAGAAGCCAAAGTATAGTACGCAAAACACGAATCGTTATATCGTTCCTTGTCAGACTTGAAGAGTAGCAGTGTTCTCTCCCCACATGCTGCTCAACATGCTGTGCTCATCAGGGGTCAATTGTGGCATAATGATGCCTGCGTGGTAAGCTTCACTTCCATGTGTGCTGCTGCCACTGCCCCAATCATTGCCAAACAGCTCATCACCAGTAGCAGTGCCATCCTCGTCAGTGCCAATGCTGAAGACACTCTCGGGGTGGGCGACACTACCAGCCATGCTGCAGGTCATGGCGTTGATGTCGGAGTTTGTGACAGTCCAGACGTCGGGGGGTGACTGGTGCCATTGGGGAGCCGGGTTCGGCAAGCTTGAAGCCATGGGGATAATGTGCTTTACATTTTGGTGGTGGTGGGCGTCAAGAAACTCAACAGGTGGGCCGCCGTAGATGTTGTCAAAGATATTAGTTTGGCCGTTATCCAATGAGCCGAGCAAGCGTTCCCAATCTGAAGGTTCCTGCTTGATGGATGCGTGAGCATCGGGTGAGTGTGTCCGGGTGGGAACGTTGCTGAAGGACAGATAGTCTAGATTGAGCTGCTGCTGAGGGAAGGATCGAACTGGTCTTAGGTTTGGTGGCGCTGATGGTCGGGCGGACGCGGATGCGGGTAGTGGTGCGGGGGAAGGATTGGCGGGGCTGTATGCAGGTTCAGAGGTTGAGACCTGAGGTATGATGGGCTGGCTCTGCGTCTGGATCGCATTGTGGTGCAGTGAGATGTTCGGGAATGTCGCCCGCCTTTGATCATGACGGTCGAAGGGATTCTTGGCCATGAGCCTTTGAGCTGCTGCCTTGAATCGATTCTTCTCTGTTGGAGAAGCACTTCCATGGTTTGACGAAAAGCCCATAGGATGAACAGCGCCATCGGAGTTGTGGCGCGACAACGGCGGTTGTTGCTGTCTGGCTGTATGCTGTGCTGAGATGGCTGGACCGGACTGTGTGAGCTTTTGGAATTCTGTTGCAGAGGGTGCCTTGGTCTGAGTTAAAATATTAACGACAGCCGAAGTCATTTNTTGGTTGTCCTTGACCAGCTTGCTGCTCTCTCCGAGTTCCAAGCTTTGGAAAAGAAGTCCCAGTCCGGATAGAACAAGGAGCTCATCTTTGTTGATACAGAATGAGAAACTAAGTCCTCTCTCGCTCAGCAGTTCGACAATCTGAATACTGTGTTTAGAAGATCCGGCTACTGCAAGCAGAGACGAAGAAGCTCGTGGACCAAGGGAGGCGCACACTGCTGGTCGGTGGATGAGAGCGCGGATGAAGTGGTAGGTCAATGANNCTGTGGAAATTAGCCAATGGTTTATTGTGACGCCCGAGTGACATACCAGCAAAGGAGATCGGCTGCTAACAGTTCCGGTGGTCGGTTTGTCGTTGGCAAATGGAAGTTGCAGGTGTGGCGCCAGGGCGTTGTGCCACGCGTCGAGTTCTTCCGACAAAGCCGAGAGCTGTTGGAGAGAGAGATCGTAAGAAGAACGAGCGGGATATATCTCTTCCAGCACGCGAGAGAGAATACGAGCAGCGCGGAAGAGCGCTAATGCACTAGACACTCTAGTATACTCGCCAGGGCAAGGCGCCTTGAACCCAGTTTCATCGACGTACTCCTCATCGGCATCACGAGGCTCTTCGCAGTGGACGTCCTCATCCTTGAGCTGTTTAGGAAGACCTAGAGTGACAGCAGAGANAGCTAATGTGCGTTAGTGGTGATCGTTGAGACGATGAGTGTGTTGGTCAACGTACCAGTCAACCGTGTAGAGAGACCAGAAGACCTTCTTTCTCATCTCGCTAGTGGAAGCACCGAGAGCAAAACGTTTCTGTGATTGATGCAGGCCCAATCTAGAGGAAAGCGTAACGGCGAGTGCTTTGTATGTCAAGAGCCTGTCGTAGTCCCCACGTTGCATGCAGTATAGTTGTGCGAGGACAAGACATTGCAGAGTAGGCATGCTGTGATCAGAGAGTATCGCATCAATAGCTGCCTGCCATTGGGTCTCGTATGATTGAAGTTGAGATGTGTCGCGTGANNCTAGACTGTGTCAGCCGTGGTCGTCTCTATTACCTACGAGACTACTTACACCACTAGACAAAGCAGCGATTCCAAAGACGAGATTGAGCTGAGCATGACTGCAGTTGTCTATGACGTTCTCGGGCGCGGACATGTAAGACTGGTAGAGCTCGAGGAAAGTAGGACGATGCAAAATGGGGAAGAGCGGTGCCCACTCTTGGAAGAAGATGCCGATCAATTGGTCGGATTCGAGTCTGGCAGGTGCCTTCCAGACGATGGGGTCTGAGAGGGGGTCCCGAGGGGCAATGTGGGTGCTTCCGGGTAATAGATTCTGAACGTTGATGGCTGGTGATGCGCGGCCAAGTTCCTGTACTCGTCTTGAGAAGGCGTCTGTACGAGGTTAGCGATGGACTCGACGACAACTTGAGATTACTGCACCATAGAAGGCCTTTCCGCTGGATGTGCCGGCGAAATGGGCGTTAGTGCCGTTGCCGTCGAGCTGGAGTGTTTGTTGAACTTGAAAAACATCTTGGCTAGTTGTGTTTGGTGAGGGAGCTGCTGGCGAGGCTGATGGCCGCCGCGGTGAGTTCTGAAATGCCGACTGTGAAGAGGCAGAGTGCAGTTTCGACAGCATGTCAATCTTCTCGTCCTTCTCGTCGAGCAACTCCTTCAACTCTCTGACCTCGGCTTCTAGACTCCGCACTCTTTCTTCCAGCGACTCTGTGTATCCTCTGGGGAAGGCGCGACGGCTCAGCTTGTCGCTGGTCTTGCATTCGAAGCCGACGCTGGTGCATTGTGAACAACTGGGTCTGATGCCGTCGCATCTAATCTTCTTGCTTCGACATCTACCAGACATGAGTATATGCAGCAGATGGGGGTTCTGACCAACATACCTATCGCAAGCCTGTGCGATACGAGATTGGGCGCTGGTGCCAACCTTGATCACCTTCATAGGTAGAATGCCTGGCATGGTGCCGGTATTGGTTGGTGGGGAGGTGTGTGATCCAGTCGTGTGTGAGGGTCGATGGAATATTGGTTGGGGTGGCCGGTGATTTAGGTGAGCACGAGATAAGCGGTGTTCGAGTTGGGGATACCGAAGGAATGGTGCATGCGAAGGGAATCGGGTCCAAGAAGTAGGGTGCGTGGAAGGAGGCGTGATTTATGGTTATGTACGTACAAGTCCAAGTGTGGAGATCTCGACGTGACGAAGAAACAAGGACGGATGGTGGTCAAATCGAACCGTGCGAGACTCGAAACGCACTCCAAGTCTGGGGTGAGCACACACAAGAGCGGCAACCCCCAGACGCCAGATCCCACTCAAGCCTCTTTGAGAGACCAAACTAGACTCGAAACGTAGACAAAAGCCTCGGACCTGTGTCGGCGGTTCGTCCAGCGCTCTTGTGATTGGTCTACGAGGCAAGACTGACAACCCTGCCATGACCGGTACTCTTGTTCGTTGCGGGGGAGAGCTGGATGCGTTGGACGATCATAAAGCCTAACGTTATCGATGGCGCCGAGTTTGAGGCGGCGCTGCTTCGTAGTTACCTACACCCGTGAATCTCCGACCGTCATTGCTTTGCCCATGCACGAATCGAGATGGCTGTGACCTCGTTCAAGTCTTGATCATTGGCAAAGCATCACCAACCGAAGTCATGTTGTTCGTGTGCTGCTTCGCGGAGCTGACGACCAGGACAATACGACAAGAACGTTTGTCGGAATTTGGAAACGTTCGAGACCAGGCTTCAGGCCATTGCAGAAACCGGGGGAAACAGTTCCGTGTCGATTTTTAATCATCTGCGTACATAAGCTCAGCATGCCACTACGTACGACCAGATTTGTCACATCCAGTAAGTAGTAGGATCTGCGGCCGAAGTCCCCAGAGCCAAGTCCTTGGACATGTAAATCAATCAGACATGAGCTTGATCAGGGTGGTCGTCATGTGGGAACAACAATTATGACACGAGAAAAGCATGGGCGTCACCCATTTTCGGTGGTCAGGCCTCCAAGGCTTGACTCATGACTACCAAACTTGAACGCTGTCGCGGCTCTGTAGCGCGGCTTTCTTGCTGCGCCAATTTGCATCAATTGTCTCATCGCGAAGTTTGCTATGACTGTTGATGTAGATCTTTGATAGAGGACGGCCTATCTTGATCATTACGGGCGTAGATGGTCACGGCTGTCAAGCTGTTCGGGCTCGTACCGCTCGGGAACTGTCATGAGCCATACAATAGTTTGGGCGGCCGTGGAACAACAAAAAAGGGGTCATGATTTCTCCAATCAAAGCAGGTGGGAGGCTGCCTCGTGGAGATAAGGTAGGTGTGGGGTCCCGTATGTACGTGCGTGACCAGTGGTCATAGAGCAACAATTTCAACTTCTAACCTCAACCACGACGTCGTGTGGTAGCATCTGTGGATGTTGCTAAGCTCATGAAAAATCTTCATCTGGCTCAACGTCTGGTCCTGACAGATATTTCAACACAGTCTCACTTTGCATGAGTTGAAGTTTCTACAAGGCAAAGCAGTTAGCATGTGGAGCAAACGTCAATGTTCTGACATCTCCGTGGTCCTGCCGGAAGCCGTCCGTATAATCTTGCAGATATTCGGAAGGAGGTCTGTGTAGCCAACTTACCTGGTCCTCGTAGTAGCTGTAAGCTTTCTCCAGTAGCTCACTTTCTAGCAACCTGAGTCGTTTAGCAAGATGCCAAGCTCGTTCTCTGATACCAGTGCCATCGCCGTGCTGTGTGGCATTGACTCGGTCATCTGACCCATAAAGGTCCTGTAGCTGACTCGCCACACGTTCCTGTAATATGCTCACAGCTCGGAGATGATAGACGTCCCACAAAGGGTCTTGTTCCAGGATAGACCGGAACCCTTCGAAACCGTGCACCGGTTCGTCCTGCCATGTGGCGATCAGCTCTCTAGTACCTTCGACGGTCTGTTGGATCCGAAACGAGAGTCCATCCTCCTCATTGACGCAGATGAGCCAGACGTATGCACCTTCGAAGATCACGCCATCCTCGGCGTCGACGATCTTGAAGCCTGGAGCGCAATTTGCAACTGCCGATTTTGCTCGTCCTAGTGGGTCGTCGTCTGGGATCGATAGGTCGAGAAACAGCTCACGAGCAGACTTCATCTCCTCCTCGATGAAGCCATACGAAAAAAGCATCTCACAGGCGCCTTTGTTATCTCCATAGGTAATGGTAATCTCCCCGTTTTGCTCGATGTCCTTTCCATCTCGTAACAGCAACACCGCGTTGCCTTGACCATCGGCTTCGTAGATAGCAGCTGTGCCGGTACCGGAAGAGTGGTTGGCCATGTCGATGCAGGGGACCATACAATCGCCTACCCCAGGATACTCAAGCGCTCTAGAGCGGTAAAAGGCATCGACTTGCAGCCAGTCGTCGAAACTGATGATACCGTCAACTTCATCCCACCATTCTTCAGCACACCATGGTATGTTTGATGTTGCGGTTTGAAGTTGTTCGAATTCGCGATTGAGCGAGTTCAATTTTGCAGTCAAGGCAGGAGCGAGCGTGGTGCCAGTCAGTAGTTCGCACTCGGCGGGAGACCAGAAGGTAGGAAGCGGTTCCATTGGCAGGTACTTGACATACTCGGTGAACGGACTTGATACGCCCTTCTTGTTTCGAACGGAAGGGCATGCAGTGAAAGATTGCATGAGTAGAAAGGCCAAGATGGCGCCTCTAGCAGTCTGACACAAGGTCAGCTGTTGTTGGGAAGGAGTGGTGGAAAGTTGGTAGGCAAGTTCTATGCCGAAGAATTTCGATGTCGTAGCTCATGAAGTTGGAAGAAGAACAACTTATCTTAGGACGAGGTGGAGAGATTACGTGCTCTAGAGGGATAGAGACTGTGTGGTGGGAGGAAAGGACAATGTTGCAAAATCACCTACCCTGCCAAATTCATCGAGGCCATCGAGGACAGCACGAAAGTCAGAATCTGACTTTGCATGGTCGTGTATCCTGTCAAGGGAAAGAATAAGGTCTCTGGGTACGGTCATGAGGGGNNGAGGTTCATGACCGCCCTCGAGAGNACGCTTTGCAATGACAGTCGAGCCACGGTCTTCTTTACCTGGCAAGGGACCGATACTGACGCCATCAAATGAAACAGCATTGAAGGCAGCCCATGCAGGAAGGGTGTCGACGGGCAGAGACAGCCAGCCTTGGTGTTTACCGTCTCGGATCATACCTGCAGGATGTGCAAAAGGCCGCGGGTGACGTATATAAGGAGCTTGTTGTTGGTATGTAGCAGGCAAAAAGCACAAATGGTCGCCAGGCTCGAGGGTTGCACCCGACAACCAAAGCGAACGGTAACAGAGCCCGTGCACTGTTCACGCCCCCCGCTGATGCACGACGAACTGAGACGGGCCATGGAGGCAGCGACCTGCTATGTACACATGGTACTGTGCGGATGACTGATACAAGACACAGTGTCGAACTTGTGTGAGAATCTATAGAGGAGAGCAGCAGAGGACAGCTGAATACATGTCTCACACATGCGATAGAAAGACTGGAGGGGCGAGGCTTCCACAGCGGGGAGTGTCTCGATCCGGGCAGGGCCAAAGCTTGCTTTTGGCTTGGCGATGCAGTTGTTGACATGCGGATAAACAACAACATTTCGAAGTCGAGCTTCTTCAAAGGTGTTGATCCNNCGGATCCATCGTCACAGACATCTTTACTCGACCCCATCGACTCCCAGTTATTCTNTTCTTGATGCTGTCTGCGCCACAGTGATCACATCTCCTTCTCACCCCGCCGCTGCACACCACCCTCGCCGCCCAACCCGAGGCGCACCGCTGTCTCGTTGTCGCAACCCGAGGCCCTCGACCCTCGACCCTCGCCTTTCTTCGCATATCCCATCGTCCAGTCGCACCCGTGTTATCTCTACCACTCATCACAATGCCTCAATCCGACAGCCCTTCGGCCGCTACGAGCTATGGCCAGGTCATTGAGTACATCCANAGGTCCGTGTCGCATCGAGCATGCCATAAACCAACACTCGGTCTAACCGCACTAGACCGCCTCTACCTGGCTTCATACACACACAAGCCCAATGCGCAAACGCCTTTCCCTTACACAAACAAGTCCACCAGCAAATCGCCGTCCAAGCGATCCGCCAGATCCCAGTCGACCATAGCCGCTGCCCCTTCGCTTCCTCCGGTATACTTCTCGGTCGACAAGCACTTGCTGTACAATGCTTTCCACGCAGACTTTGGCCCGCTACACATTGGCCACCTCTACCGCTTTGCTGTCATGCTGCACGAGGTGCTCGGAGACCCCGAGAACGAGGGAAGACCGGTTGTTTTCTGGTGCAACGCCGACTCAAGGAGTATGCATACACTCAAACGACTCTCTGGCTGTTGTTACTAACCGATGGCTCAGGTNCGCGCAAACGCTGCATGCATCCTCGCTTGCTACATGATTCTGATCCAGAACTGGCCACCGCATCTTGCCCTGGCCCCTATCGCCCAGATGGACCCTCCATGCATGCCTTTCCGCGACGCCGGCTACAGTCAAGCTGACTACGGACTGACCGTGCAAGACGTTGTATACGGTGTTTGGAAGGCAAAGGAAGAGGGTCTCTGTGGTCTGAAGGACTTTAGCCTCGAAGAGTGAGTTTCGCGCTTTCCTTTGTCCGCAAAGATCAAGGACTGACAAGATTGCAGATACGAAAAGTACGAAAGAGTCGACATGGGTGACTTCAACTGGGTTTCGCCTTCCTTCCTGGCTTTTGCTTCTCCCCAACATCAACCCACTCGTGTCATTGCACCCACTGACCCCGAATGGGCCAATCTTCCTCGCTCCCTCTCTGCTCTCCACCGCTCGACTGCAGTCCCCCAGCCATTCAAGAACGTTCTTTCTCACTTTGTGGAGCGCGGCATTGGTCTCGTCGTCCGTCTCAACTCTGAGCTTTACTCGCCCTCATACTTCCAGGCTCTGGGCATCAAGCACCTGGACATGATCTTCGACGACGGCACCTGCCCTCCCCTGAGTCTTGTTCGCAAGTTCGTCAATCTCGCACACGAGATGATCACCAAGAAGGGCAAAGGAATCGCCGTCCACTGCAAGGCTGGTCTCGGAAGAACTGGTTGCTTGATTGGCGCATATCTGATCTACAAGCACGGCTTCACTGCAAACGAGATCATCGCATATATGCGCTTCATGCGTCCCGGTATGGTTGTCGGTCCTCAGCAACATTGGCTCCATCTCAACCAGGGCACCTTCCGTGAGTGGTGGTTCGAGGACACCATGAGAGAGAAGATTACTGCCTCGATGGTGCCCGCGACTCCCACCAAGGCCACTTCTGGAACCAGCAGACGCCTCGCTAGCAACGGCCAGACCTTCACTCCCCCTAACGGCAGCACCAAGCGTGCGGCTCTGGGTGAGATAAGCCACATCAATGAACAGGAGCCTGCATCTTTCGCCAGTAGCACCAACAAATACGCCGTCAACGACGAGAATCTGCCTGCGCCTACACCCGGTCAACCTCGTAAAACTAGCAAGGTTTACGGCCACGTTGCCGGACGCAAGGTTACCAGAACCGAGAATGAGCCTTTCGAGATCAGACCCGACACCGAGATTGTCAGCATGCAGCGCACAAGCATGGGCGAGAGCGAGAGCGAGGAGGAACAAGCATTGCGTGCCCTGACCTCATCACGAAAAGCATCACAATCCCCAATCAGCCGCAGCGGCAAGCGTCGGGCGGTTAGCTGCACCACGACGACTACCACAACAACAAAGTGGGGCGTGGACGAGAGCGATGTCGAGAACCGTCTCGCAGAGATTCACGAAGACTCGGCAAGTCCTCGCAAGCCCAAGACACCTTCAACCAGATCTGGCAAGGGCGACATCAGCATCGGCAAGCGTAGTTCACCATCACGTCGCAGCACCGAAGGCAAGACCAGCGTTCGCAAGACAAGTGGTCGTGTTGGCAGTGTGGGCGCCAACGTCCCTCGCACTCGCGCTTCATGAATGAACAGCATCTGATTCGTGATGTTCAACCACCCCTTTATCAACCACAGCGTGCTCTTTTCTTACTGCATAGCATCTGTCAACAAGCGCCATACTAGCATTCAGCGTGCTTAACACCTTTGCATCCGCGACGACAACACACCAGCGCATCTGCATATCGGTCTTCATCCTCACCAGCATGGAAAAGGTCCACGGCTCTATATCTCACGACGTCCGGCATTCGAATGATCTGTTCCGAACCGCCTGTCAAGAGCCCAATTTCGTATCTCCTTCTTACTTGTTCCTTTCTTGCTTCTTCTTGCTGTTGGATTGGCGTTTTGTGTCTTTTCTCTCTTTCCTTGTACTTTCAATGCATAGTGGCATTTTGGAGTTTTATCCGGACAAGCAAAGTGCAATCGGTCGCACTCAAGGCACGCACGGGGCGTTATATGTGATTTTCTTCTGATTTCAAGGATGGCCCAGATGAAGAAAAGAGGACAAGGGTGTGGGGAGGCTAAAGGGGATGATGATGATGTCTATTTCTTCTCTTTGTGGGAGATGGTGAATGTCATGTTCGTGGGATTGTTTCTCTTTTGATCTTTGTGTTCGTTAACGAAACTTTTCTAGTCTCTCATCGTTTGTATGAGATGCGAATGCAATCAAAGGGCTTTCTTATTCTTGACACCTTTTCCCCCATCTTTCCTACTGTGCTCTGTCTGTGAATGGAGTGACAGACTAGTGTGGGATATACACTTTTGCAGACCTGAATGTGGACAGGAGATTGTATAAATTTGCTCAATGTCCTCTCTTTCAAACGAGGTCTTTTGTTCACATGACCGGACAATCGCAAAGCTGGAAGCTCACGTATACATGTATATCGATAAGTCTTTGAATGCTATAGCAATCGATGTAGTCGTCCATATCCCACCTTTTGAGTGAGCAAAAACCCCATCGCTGCGAGGACAACCCTGGTCTGAAACTCGACACCAGACTCGACTCGATCAAGTCTCCCAAAAGCTTTATCTTTGCCAAAGACATCCCAAGGTCTTTTTGTGTCCAGGAAGTGTCCTGGAAGGAAATGTCCCCTTGACCCATGAGAGCCATCTCTTGCTCTTGTCCCATACTCTTTTCTCCAAGAATGCCATCGTTCTACTCTTTGACATAGTCGACGGGCAAATCCATACCCACCCTCCTGGCCGTCAACCTCACTCTCTCTTCCTCATTCATATTCATACCAGGATTATACCTCTCGACCAGTGTAACATACATCCTCTGCGCCTTGAGGTATTGCGCCAATTGCTCTGCCTCTTGCACTTTTTGGAGGGACGACTTGGTGGCTCCGATGGCCGAGAGACCGGATGAGGATGCCATGGTTGCAGATGTGGATTCGGCGTCCGAGAGGGTGGCGCGTGTAAAAGCGGAGGTGGGTGTGGTGGGTGAGACCGAGGCAAAGGTGCTGCGGAGGTGGGTGGCTAGTGGTGAGGGTGTGGGCGAGGTGCGCGGGGGTAGTTCGCGGAGGAGGGAGCGGTAGAGGCTGCGGAGGGTGGTGGGTGTGGGTGTCGACATTTCTGGCGGTGTTGTGGTGGTGGAAGTGCTGGACAGTGCTTTTTGTTCGCCGCTGGGTACAAGCGCGGGAGATTGAGGTCGTGTATCGAGGGAGTTTGTATAGGGGTGAGAGAATTGGGTTGACTCGATTGCCTTGGATTATAAGCCGGGTCGTACTTTTGAATGCGATGGTTGATGGGAGATGCGATGGCTTGAATCGACTGCGGCGAAAGTTGGACGCTTCGGCGGTGCTTGGGCCACATGCTTCGCGCAACTGTTTTGGCATCTATTCGTTCTCGTGTCACGACATCTCTTTTCACTTTCATGATCCAACACAAGAACAATACTCGACTAAAGGCTTTTGCTTTCGTATCTATATGTTGCTGCTCTTAGCTCAAAAGAACTCAAGGCTTCGAGAGATATATGCCATCTCCCTCCTATCATTCGCCAAACACAGTCATCCAACCACCTAAGCCTTGTTACCGAACAGTGCTTCGTACGTGTCATATGTGTACGCCAAATCCAAATGCCAGTAGTTTGGCGTGGTGGGGCAGGTAATCAACCAGGCTTCATCAAGAACCTTGACAACTTCCTCAGGCAAAGGTCCCTTCTCGACATCCTTGAGGTTGCCCTCGAGCTGTTGTTGGTTACTGACACCAATGATGATACCATCGTTACCGCCGTCCTTGATGTTGAGTCCACTGTGGTGAACCATCCATCGGAGTGCCGTCTCAATCAAAGTCAGGTTGTGCTTCTGGACAACAGGCTCGATGACACGCAGAGCATCGAAGGTGGCATCTCTAAAGTAGCGCTTGCGGTACATGCCACCCATCTTGCCGACAGAATCGCTGTAGCGGCCCTCGGTAGGCACCTCACTGGTCTTGTACTTTCCAGAGAAGATGCCTCCAGCCACCGGGTTGTAGACGACAATGTCCAAGCCGTAGCGACGGCAGACAGGAATCAACTCGCGTTCAATGCTGCGGGTAATGGCGTTGTACATGCCTTGGTAGATGGTAGGACGGACCCAGTTGTTGTACTTGCAGTGCATGACAATCTCGGCTACCTCGAATGCCGTGTAGTTGGACAGGCCGAGCTGGACAAACTTGCCCTGCTTGTGAGCTCTGTTGACAGCCTCCAGTGTCTCTGTGAATGGAACCGAACGGTCTGGTGCGTGGAGGTAGAAGATGTCGACGCAATCAGTTCCCAGTTCGGCCAGACTCTTGTCAAGAGAGGCGAGGATGCTATCAGCCTTGTGCATACCAGGCTCATGAGGATAGCACTTGGTAGCCAGAGTCAAACCACGGTCCTTCCAGCGGGCATCCTTGGTCCAGGCTTCCTGCTTTCCACCCACATAAGTGCGAGCAGTATCGATTTCATTGTAGCCTTGAGATTGCAGGTAGTCTAGTGCCTTGTTGTAGTCGGCGATATCAGTTTGACGAGCACCCGAGTCAGTATCGGGACCNNCTATCGATGTCAGCTCAGTCGAGTGGTATGGCGGTTGCAGACGTACAAAGGTCATGGTCCCGAGAATGACTCGCGGCTTGCCGGTTCCTGTGAGCAACATTCTGGATGGATTTTGTTGGAGACGGAATGAAGTTTTTGATGAGATGTCTCTCAGAACGGACTTGAATGGAGAAAGAAAAGGCTTGAACATGGACAGAGTGGTGTTTGAGTGAAGGACCCCTCATTGTCGGCAGTGACGAAAGAGGCAGCTACTAATATGGAGATAAGCTAAAGGCCGCAAAGGCTATCGTTGCCGACTTCCTGCGGCAGGTGCAGTCGCTCGCTCGCTGGCTTGTGAAGATGATGATGATGGCCTGCGAAATATATGTGATCCCATCATTCTGAATCGATTATATCCACGGAACAAACCCGTGGCCAAGTGTTTGAGACTTGACCGCTTCAGCTGACGCAGGACGGCGACGAAACCCCCAACGCCCGGAGCGCCTTGTGGTGGAGTCAGTAAGGAGTCCATCAGCCTCGTAATCACGCAAGCAGTCACGTTGCACTTATCCTGCCAACCAACCCTTATCTCTGCTCGACCAGTGCAACCGCGTGCATGAATCCAAACAACCACTCGCTGCTTCCGCCGCGAAACCCCTCTAGCCCCCATTCGTCGTCGGCCACCAGTCCTGTACATATTTCTAGGGACACCTCGCCCTTTACCGACCTGCCCCACCCTGATGCCTTGGAGCTCGAAGACTACAAGAAGCACCGGCACCAAGACGACGACGACGACGACGACGACTTTGCCTGGGACGACAACTACGACCAAGACGATATAGCCATGCCTTCCGACCTACGGCACCCAGGAGACAGCAGATCGCATGCTGCTCCCTTACTCTCNCCCGAGACCAAACATCGCGACTACGAGTCCTCCCCTCCAGGCAGTGCCGCCCTCCGAGAGCGCCGCTCACGTCTCAGAGAGCGCGACCCCGACGTGGCCGCCGCCCATGCCACCAAGCAAAAATACACATATGCTGCCGCCTTTCTGGTCCTCAGCTTGATCTCCTTCACAATACAAACCGAGACGGCTGTATACATCCAACACTCGTTGCATTGGAACAAGGCATACTGCATGCTATACTTTACTCACGGCAGCTGGATTCTGCTATGGCCTACACAACTAGCCATTTTGCGACTGCAGAAGCTAAGCATGCCTTGGGAGTCNTTTTGGCGCAGACACAAGGCCATTCTACGGAGTACAGCCCAGATGGTCGAACATCAGAGATTGGACATCCCACACCACATGCAAAAGCAGTCGCCTATTCCATACTTTATCAAGATGACTTCCATGGTCACTTGCGCGCTCACTGTCGCTGGCGGCAGTTGGTACGTCGCTGTCGATCTGACCACAGCCTCCGATCTGACCGCCATCTACAACTGTTCCGCCTTTTTCGCATACGCCTTTGCTATCCCGCTATTAGGAGAACATTTCAAATGGAACAAGGTCTTCGCTGTGGGAGTTGCCATCGTTGGCGTGCTGGTTGTCGCATACGGAGACGTCAGCCCCAGCAAGCACGGAAGCAAGTCCGGTGGTGGCGCAGGCGGCCCTACCGCCCCTGAACCTGAAGAAGCATCCAACCGCGCCCTCGGTAACCTCGTCATTGGTGTTGGCAGCGTGCTCTACGGCTTCTACGAAGTCTTGTACAAGAAACTCGCTTGTCCTCCTGAAGGATGCTCCCCTGGCCGTGGCATGATTTTCGCAAACACTTTCGGCTCTCTGATCGGTCTTTTCACTCTGACTGTCCTCTGGATCCCTCTCCCTATCCTACACTACACTGGCATTGAAACATTTGAATTGCCTACCGGAGAGGCAGCTTGGATGCTTCTCATCTCCGTTATGGCCAATGCCACGTTTTCTGGTTCTTTCCTTGTTCTTATTTCGCTCACGTCGCCGGTGTTGAGTTCCGTCGCTGCCCTGCTGACGATTTTCCTGGTTGCTGTTGTGGATCAATTGCTTCCTCCGCCGCTGAATCAGCCCTTGACTGGTGCTGCTGTTGTTGGTGGTTTGCTTATCATTGTAGCATTCTTATTGTTGTCATGGGCCACGTATAGAGAGATGGCTGACGAGAGGCGCAAAAAGGAGAGTGAGGCTGAGATTGAAAGCGATATCGAGAGTGTCATTTAGAAAGTTTCCAGGTTCTTTCTCTATCGGGACTGAACTTCTCGCGTTTCATTGATATAGTGCTGTCACTGGACCGTTCTTGGGTTCCGCTAAGAGGATGAGATTATGTGGTGGTTTTGCTTTTCCTTGTGCATATAGCTACATCACAAACACACGCTGCATTGGGTCGGCGCCTTTTCTCTTTTGCATCTTAGTCCTATCCTCAACTCACCTATTGCACGTGTACAGATACAATCCAGCAAGATCAATCTGCATCTCAAAATGCACACGGAGATATACGTGTAGGTCTAGACACAATGACGAAAACCAGAAAAAAGAAACATTCATGATAGCTGTTCCCTTGTGAGGAATCAAAACACGACCAAACAGGAGATCTATTTGTTTTACCATTGCAGCAGCATCCTCAAATTTCTGCACCCACAATCCATCGTGCTCCTCATCATCATCATTCCTTCATACCTCGACCATACACCTCTTATCTACCAAACGTCAATTCCTCTTCACTATCCTCATCACTGCTGTCAGTACTACTCTCCGCCGGACTCATAAAAGGATCGGAAACCGTCCTCTGCATCGCAGGTCTCTCGTCTTCCTCGCCATCGTCAAGAGGAACNNCCTTTTCTTCGCTTCCGTAGTACTGGGACGGCGTTTGAGTCCTCCGCCTTCTGAATTGCCTCCTCCTTCACCCGGTTCTTGTGTTTGNAGAGCCGAGGTCTTCGTCATCAGACGCAGAGTCCAGGTCTGAAGAAGATGACGACGACGAGGAAGACGAGTAAGCGGAAACAACTCTGTCGGATGCACCGCCAGTGTTGCCGATCAATTCGTTGATTTGGCGAGTCGTCACTGCAGACAAGTCGAGGTCGGGAAGGTCGGATAAAGGCTGCATGGGCATTTCAAAGGCTTGTTGCACGGCTGCTGCGTCTGCCGTGTCGGGATCTGTGCCTTCGAGTGAGGAGGTTTCTTCGGCTTCTTTTTTGCGCGTGCGGCGAGGCGTTCTGCGAGTTTGTTGCGNTGCGCGGCTGGGTGCTAGGTTCAGGGGTGCTGGTGGGTTCACCGAGCCAGGAGAGGGTGGGTTCTGGATAACAAGGTATTAGTAAGGGTGTTGCATTGTGGGGTGGTGGGAGAGAACTGTGCTTGTTGTGCTAAAGGTGCGTACCTGACGATGGATGTGCGATTTGGGTTTGTGGATTGGTAGAAGAAGCCTCCTACACCAAGGGAAAAGGGTGCATGTGAAAAGGATATGGATGGAGGGAAAGAATGGCGAACAGTGAAGAAAGAATCTTGTATAGTACAGATAAGATGCTCGGATCGAAAAAAACAGCATGGAAGAGAAGCCTCCATGCCCCTCTCAAGTAGAGCATCTCGTCATCAAATCGTTATAGCCAAAATCTCATTACAGAAGCCAAAGGACGCCGATCAGAGATATTTGGAGCTGGATTTCCCACCTCTTTGATCTCCCATGCAATACACAACGAATGATGCAAACAAGGCAAAAGGACAGGATTGGGGGAAGAGAACTGCTTGTGTAGAGAACAGACAAATCTGTAAAATGTGCAAAAGGTGTGTGTAGTGTGCGTGCGCAAGTAGCATTTATCGGAAGTGGTTGATGTCAACATCGTCAAACGAGAGTTCACCGACCTGCTCATCATCGTCGACCGCCTTTTCCCTCTTCTCGCCAGTTATCGACTCCTCGAGATCGTCGTCATCGTCATCGCCATTACCGAAGCCACTGAGCAGGCCTGAGGAGCCTGTGTCGTAGCTGCTTGCGTCTCCTGCTTCTTGCAGCGCCATACTGTCGGCTGGCACCAGGCCTGCATTGGATAAAGCGCTAGAGTTGTTGCCACCCGAGAAGCCGCCCTGGCCAAGCATGCTGTTGCCGCCCATGCCGACTTGTCGAGCACCAAATCCTTGGTCAGGCTTCACGCCACCGAGAACAGCGTTGTCGCGATCTCTGGTCTCGGAAAGTGTTGTCTCGAGATATTGAATCCATTCATCGCGGGTGATGCGTTCCATAATCTGTTCGCCAAGAATCTCTGGGGGTTGACGATCTTGCAACTTCAACACCTCCTCGGCAATCAGAGTCAAGTGACCCATGTAACCAAGACGCATACCCTTCTCCTTTTGAGCATTGTCAGAAGCGGCTTGTCCATCGAGAATGCGCTGGGTGACGTCGGCTTGCGAAGCCAGGTCGGTGCAGTTGGAGTGGCAGAAGAGATCGATAGCAAGTGTGCGGTTGTAGCCACGCTCGAAACTGCCATTGAAGACTTGTTGTACAACATCGTATACAACGTTGTGGAGGAAGTTGTTCCAAGGGAAACGGAAGAAGAAGTCCTACAAAATAAGTATAACAAACAATGCTCAAAAGAAAAAAGCAACTTACAANNGGATTGTGGGGACGACCTGATGCTCGACAAACATGATCTTCAACAAGTCTCCAACAACGGGCGAACCGTCCACATCGGCCTCCCAAAGCCCGTTGTCGCCCTCGGTATGGTGAGCATCGGGCTGCAGCGTAGCCGTACTATGGCTAGGGTCTTCCTCGTTGGAGCTCGTCACGGATTGACTGTTCTTACTGGGACTGGCAAACAGAGGAGCTGGCTTGTCCTCGGGGTGCATGTCCACGTCTTCTTGGGTGATCCGGGGCTGATCTGATGTAAAGTTGAGCTCAGATTCTTGAATGTGTTGTTGAAGCTGCTGGGTCAACAGTGAGATGCGGCGCTTACCCTCAAGTTGAGGTCCATCGCCCTCTTGTTCAGGGCTGTCAATGTGTAATTGACTGATTTCTTCTGTGACGACGGTCGTGCCGTCTTGAGGTGACTCCTTAGGGACGTGGTGGATGCTCGACGGATCGTCCTGCTTTGTTAGAGGCGGCAGACTTGTATCTGCTGCAATCTCGTTGAACTCGTCGGCTTCTGAAACAGCCACCTTCTCGAAGCCATCTTCCTCGGATGCATTTTGCACTTCGAGTCTCTTAATCTCTTCGGGTGATCCGCTAAGGTCATCGTCTGGTCGTTGCGCATGGTGGAATCCGTGGCTGTCGACACTGCTTGCGAAGGGCTCGTGCTCGTCGTACGAGGAACCTTCGATCGGTTGTCCTGTCAGACGTCCTTCGAGCTTGAGCTTTTCCCTCTCGTCGTCCCTGTGCTTTATCTGAGCATCACTTCCGCGTTCGTTCAGAAGGGCCATGTTGCTGCAGTGCAAGAGCTCGGCCATAAGCTCGCATGTCTTGAATCTGTCGAAGCCCAGAGGTTGAATCTCCTTGCCAAAGGCGGTTTTGAGACCAGGCTTCTGTGCGCGAGAGCTTCTGATTAGATGCATAAAATCGGGGACGTGTTTCGCGAATTGACGAAGAAGACTGCCGAGGTAGATAGGATCGGTCGTTCTAGGCTCAGGACCGACCTGGTTGTCAAGATCATAGTCCGAGTTGTTCTTGCGAATGACCTCAATGATGATGCCGACTCCGACGGTCAACGAGTTGCCTCCTGCAAGCATGTTCTTGATCAGGATGGTTGTGCATTCGTCAGAAACGAGCTGCCTGGTCAATTCATTGGGACCGATGACGGTTTGATCCTGAGTGGTAGCATTCGCAGAAATTGTAATAATCGCCTTCAAGAAGTCACCAGCGGCTGTCTGAGTAGAAGCGCTGTTTTCAGGTCCGAGGTATGACAGAAGAACGGGGATGAGGTCCTGTGTTTGCAACCACTTTATGGAAACTGTCAGCAACTCGAGAAGACAAGAAGGAGCGACAAGACTTACATCAACAATGCCTTGGCCTCCCGGGGCTTTCTCCAAACTGATGATTTTCAATAGCAGATCCATGATCATGGGACAGTCGACATGTTGCAGCATATCGGGAACAATGTGGTCCAGCGATTTGAAAAAGGCCAGCATCTCGTCCGTCTTCTTATCCAGCAGAGATTCATTGACCTTTGTGAAGTAGCCAGCCTGTAGAGGATCGAGCGGTGCAGGGCGGCTGACATAATGCCAGAAATCGCGAAGGTAGTTCTGGTACTCGAGCACGGCCTCGGTGATTGACCAGACGTCCGAGGAGAGGACCTCACAAGCGACATAGGCGTACTTTTTGCGCAAGGCTTCGCCCTTGTCTTCCTCTTCAGCGAGCTCGGCAGCATCGCCGCCAGCGTCGGACTTGTTGACCGACTTTGAGCGCGAGCGCGAGGCTGACTTCTTAAAGAAGCTGATGGGAGACGATCTGTCAGCCTCCTCATCCTTGATGGAAGCCTTATCGGAGTGTGGGGGCTTGTCGGCAACGACGTATTCCAGCAAGGTCTGGAGAGTGGACTCTTCTCTGAGAAACTCGATGAGTTTGGAGTTGTTCTGCTTGAGCTCCTGGATCAGGTCGCTCTCGTCGAGCAGTTCGTCAAGCGAGACATTGGGCTTCTCGAGGATAGAGTCGATTGAGGAGATGTTGGCATAGCCGCCAAAACGCCAGAACATGGTGGATCAAGTAATGCCTGACTCCAGGGCGGAGCGAGGGCTTTCGTCGGGGAGGGGGTCGGGAGCTTCAGGACAGAGATTGACGTGGTAGACTGGCGTGGGCATGCCAGGGTGCCGGGTCGTGTGGGCGAAGTGAGGCAGCTGTCAGGACGTGTGCATGCGGCGAGGATAGGTATGGTGTTGGCGCGTGGTCGGGCAGGGCGGACTGGAGTCGGATCGAAGTTGGACGAGGGTCGCGGACCTTCGCTGTCGATTGCCAAGCGTAGATTTGTGTTTGTATGCAGCGCGATGTCGGGCCTTTTCTGTGTCTCTGCCGCCTGTGCTGCTGTCTATCTGATGTGCATGTCCTTATAGAGACAGATGAGGGTATATTGCAACAGGCAGATGGATTACCGATTAGCTCTCGTGTGAGAAGACACGGTCACAACGGACATGGCTAGTCGGGCCTCGTGCCCTGTGCGCCTGAGGGCTTTCGACCACCGCCGAGCGCGCGCGCGCCGATCTGCCGGCCGGACCTCGAGAGCGTGGGGGAACTTGCCTAATGCAATCACATTGTGCATACCACCAACTCTCTTCTTACACCCAAACACCACCACACACGACCTCCTCGCCATCATGAACCGACTCTTTGGCGGAAGGAACACGGGCCCGAAGCCCACCCTGAACGATGCCATCGGCAATGTTGGTGCCTCAAAGCTTCCCTCCACCGTCCCTCGTCATACTGACCGACCAACANNGATGCAAACCCGTGTCGACACCATCGACGTCAACATTGCAAAGATCAACGGCGAGTTGACCACCTATCAGCAGAAGCTCTCCCGCATGCGCGATGGTCCCGGCAAGAACGCCATTCGCCAACGCGCAAAGGCCTGCCTTGAGCGCCGCCGCATGTACGAGAGCCAGAAGGACCAGCTTATGAGCCAACAATGGAACATGGAGCAAGCAACAATGATGCAAGACAATCTGCGCAACACCATGACCACCGTAGACGCCATGAAGACCACCACCAAAGAACTCAAGAAGCAGTACGGCAAGATCGACATTGACAAGATCGACAGGCTACAGGATGAGATGGCAGACCTGATGGACATTGGCAACGAGATTCAAGAAAGCATCAGTCGCAGTTACGACGTGCCCGAGGATGTCGACGAGGCCGAGCTGGACGCCGAGCTAGAGGCTCTGGGCGAGGAGGTCGATCTTGGAGAGGCTTCATACGAGGGTGCCGACTCGATGCCTGCTTTCATGATGGACCAAAGCGCTCCACCACAGTTCATCGACGAACCCCCGGAGAGCAACAAAGTCAAGGAAGCCGCTGGCTAAGCCCGAACTGTCTGTCTTTATGAATTACGACGCTCCGCTCGATACCCATTACCACTCCCGAACAACTGCTCTACCCATCACTGCTTCTTACTCGGAATAAAAGAATGCCTTCAACCACAGCTTCATGAAAGCTTTCGCTCGCTGCCCTCATGCATGATCTCTGTCAAACTCACAGCCGCCGTGATACATAAGTTTCGTTATCCGAGGTTTGTGATCACACCTTTCTCCCGCTCCCTTCTCACATTCTGTATTTATTAGCCTTTCGCTATCCTTGTTATCTGCCTTGTTTGCGCATTGTTGAGCCACTACATGCATGTAGTCTGCTTCATGCTAAACTGCCTCGCTTGGCCCGTAGCGAGCCCATTCAACCAACAAAATACTTGAAAATCATATCGTCTTTAACTCCAAAGATGTGCAGTCCATCACTAGGACATTATCTAGGGTTTGACAACAACAGCGAATCAGACTGGGGAAACAGCCAACGCTGCCCCTCGTGCTGATTGATCGACCACCTACAGCCTTGGCGGTCAACCACCACTCGAACCTTTTGTATAACATGCAGGTCCACGGGGCTGACCGCTTCTTGGCTTCTTCCATGCGAAACTCGAACGGGCAGGTCGCATCGTGTTTCATCGTGAACACATACACGTGGTGATCACGGTTGGACATCTTGACCATGCTTCTGCACGAGACCACTGCGACATAGGCGACTGCCGAGTATCAGAATCTGTACCCTCGGAAGAATGTTTCCGTTTGACGGAAGAATGACTTTGGACTCGAGATACACAAGCTTCTTGACCATAATATAAGCTCAGTGGTTGTCCAGCAAAATGCTTCTCACATCCAGTTCACCTTGCAGTCTCCATCAGAAATACCACTTCCAACCATGGTTTCCCAATCCATCCTCCTACTCGCTGCCACTGCTGGCCTCGCATTGACAGCACCCATTGAAACTTCCCTCGAACGTCGCGGCAACCTTCCCGAACCCGTCTCGGCCGCAACAGCAATCCAATACCTCTCCTCCATCAAGGTTGCCGCCGAGTCCAACAGCCCCGCCTACGACAGAGATCTCTTCAAGCACTGGATCACCATCAGCGGCGAGTGCAACACCCGTGAGACCGTTCTCAAGCGCGATGGCACTGGTGTAGTGACTTCCTCTGCTTGCGCCGCTACGTCTGGCTCTTGGTACTCTGATTATGATGGCAAGACGTGGACAGCGGCCGCGGATGTGGACATTGATCACTTGGTTCCGCTGAAGGAGGCTTGGGTTTCAGGAGCCAAGGATTGGACGAACGACAGGAGACAGCAGTTTGCTAATGAGTGAGTTCTTTCCCAACTTCTCATTCAGTCAGAAGAAGGAAGACGTTGAGGATCGTAATTGGCTGACACAATGCTCGATAGTCTTACTCGTCCTCAGTTGTTGGCTGTTACCGATAGTCTCAACCAAGCCAAGGGCGACCAAGATCTTGCAGAGTGGCTTCCTCCCCGTGTTGCATACCAATGCGAGTATGTCCGTGCTTGGGTACAGGTCAAGTACTACTACGGCTTGACCATGGATAGCGCCGAGAAGGCTGCCGCCAGCAAAGTCTTAACTGGCTGCTAAATATTATTGTTCGTTTCCTTCTACAGTTTCCGTATCGTAAAGATATCGGTAAAATGAAAAGCTTTCTTGCCATCAACCGAGCTATTTACAACGGTACTTTTACTGCCAGGCATCATTGAACCAAAACATCTGGAAAGGTAGATTGACTGCCTAAACCTTGTGGCTATCCATTTTGTCTCGCTTCCTCGGCTCCAGCGCCAAAGACTCAAACACGTGCGCAATGGCCCAAGTCGTAAGACTTCCGAGCTTCCATGCTACGATTAACAGCAAGCAGATGATCCACAAAGTCCCAGCTCCAGATCACCTCCTGCGGTCACCATCTGGTATACTCGTGTGCGCGCCACCATATACGCTTTTCGTCAAACATTGCCTTTCGCTCTTCAAATCCCCACTCACGATTCCCTTCGCACACGGCCTCGACTAAATACTGGAGTGTCAGGACGTAATCGTGGTCGTCGTGCCATTATATGTATGTACCAGGATCTCTAGGCCGGAACCAAAAGACAACAGCTCAAACTCTCACATTTGTAAGGGATTTTCTGAGCAAATGACACAAAACTTAGGGTCATTCCCGAAAGATTTGCGGATGAGCAATAATTTCGAAGGGCAAATCATCAATCACAGAGAAATGTTGTCTTGATCGTTACCTTGAGACACGATCGTGTTATGTCTGTGGCCTGCTATTTTGCTTTCCATCGCTACAAGTAAGCACTTCTGGGGGACTGACTCTCAACATATCCCTCGACAGCTCTTAGGAAAAGTAAATCACGTGTGAGTACGACTGTACATTCTGTAGCTTGAAAACTTGCTCCATATCTCGCGGGAGAGTGGTCAAGATGTGAATCATAGCAACACATGGGAGGTGACTCTAGTGAGTAGATATCTTGATGACTCTTGCGTTAGTATTATGATAAACATTCCATACAAGTATCGATCAGAGCACCGCCAAAGTACATTCTAAGTTTTCAAGACAACGATCCTAGAAGAAGCAACCAAAATTTTGGGACCGAGCTACCTCGACGCCTGGGGGAAAAGAAAAATGTCTAATAGATACATTGATCACCACGAGTCCGTCTACAACTCCATCTACGCCACGACCCTTCGCAAATCGTACAATGACTTGCAACTTTTCAAGTCTGTCGTCATCCTCAAGATTGAAGACGAACAAGTCCCTGCTCATAGACTTTTGTTGGAAACCGCTTCAGAAGTGTTCCGTGCTGCATTCAGTGACAATTGGACCAACGCGGCCACNTGGTCAGTCGAAGGCCATCCCAAGAACGTCGCAATCGCCATGATAAAGCACATCTACGGGTTTAAGTTGTGTGACATTAAAAGCCATACCGAAGATGAGAATATCAAATTTCTCCTGGATGTGTACATGATCGGTGAAGAGTATCTGATTACCTCTTTGCAAGTCGAAGTCATCGGCAAGATCAAAGAGCTGCTGGAAAGACTGCATGCCATGGAGGATGATAGGCCTTTGGAACGACTCATCGAAGCAATCATCACACTCTACGAGACCAACAAGCTGCGAGACTGTCGGACCCCTGGTTATCATCGCGTCAGTGGCACATTGCTGGAGATCACCGCACGTTTCTGCACAAATTACGGCCCTGCTTGTGTAGAAGACATGTGTATCCCACCAGACGACGGTGAGCAGCCCCGGGAGCGGTACAGGATATTTGTAAAGGTACTGAAACAAGCACACGACAATGGGCATGAAGATTCTCGTACCATGCCTGATGGATGTGAACTATGCGAACCTGAATTTGGTCACCGTAATAAACTCGACTGCGCTTGCGAGCGGACATTTGGGGAGTGGAGTCGAGAATTCATAGATTGGGTCGCGTTTGGCAGAGACTGGAGAAGAGACGATGAGGACGAACATGACGACCAGACAAACTTGTCAGAAGCCGAAAGTCAATAGATAAAACAGATGGCGACTCCAGGAGACCATACAGAAAGTAGGTCCGGAATACTGATTAACAACCTTTATTGCTGAGAAGAGAACATGACTTTCCGGTACTTGACAAGACTCAAATAGAAGATGATATTCCGACCGCAGGATTTACTCTGCCACTTCGAGTTTTTGCGAGCCAAGCTAGATGTGCTAAGAATGCAATGTTGCCCAGGGCCTTCTGATCGTGGCTTCTATATGGTTTGCGCGACCGTAAATCGGCACCTTGAGATATGATTTCCACGTCTTGGTCCCTCTTGGAGCTGCGGCATTCGTGTATGGCATATGTTGCTACACTTTTCTTATGTAGTTGTTCCCGAACGACTCTTTCGGTGCCACCTGTTCGCGAGCGATATGTCTGGGTCTGGCCCAAGTATCGTAGATCATCCTGTGGGGGCGATTCATGGCGTGTGAGTATGCAGTGTCTTGTTCCGTGACTGGTTTAGAAGCGTGTCGTTGTCCTTTCAACCATCAACAGTAATGGCTGTCTTTGGTCTATTCTTGTTCAAGCCCTCAAGCAGCATGCAAGCCTTGCAGATGGCCTGAGATGACATGTATCCGCAGCGTTCACACTTTCCAAGTGTCTGCTTCGCGTTGGCTGGTGGGGTGGGTCCCTTGGTCTTCTTCGGTCGTAACGGTACTGTAGCCTGCTGTTTCTTGGCCGGCAGCTTGATCTCGGTCTCTGTTCCCTCCTCTTCGGCCCTCTCATTCTCTTGTAGCTTTTTCTCCATGTCTCCCATCTCGCCTCCAGTTCCTCTTCCATTGCCACTACCGCAGCCACCGTTGCCGTCGTCTTCCTCATCTGGGCGCATGCTGCTTGTTGCCGGTTGTGCTTGTGCCTGGCTTGATCCACATGCACCCTTGCAACGTCCATCTGCGTCCGGCACGAGCATGGCCATGTCGATGCCGCTTCGTACAACGTCTAGAATGCTTTCCGGGCGTATGCGTTCGAGGTTCTTGATGAGTGTGCGTGCGCTTCCGCGGAAGGCTTCGGGCGAGTAGAGACATTCGGTGGAAAAGTAGTCGAGCTTGTTGTGGTGGGCGTAGAGAACGATCTCCTTTTCGTAGGCATACATGAGCGGCTTGGAGCGCTTGACATTCGTAATGGCGACTTCTCCGTTCTCAGTGGTGGCTTCTGATCCGGTGCTGTCGCCAGCCTTGTTGTCGGTGACGATGCTAGTGGCTCTGCTGAGTCGAGGCAGATCACCACGCAGTAGGTTCATTAGCACTGTCTCTGCCACGTCGTCGGCATTGTGTCCGGTAACAACGTGCTTGACTCCCAGCTGCGCAGCTCCTCTGTCCAGTGCCTGTCTTCGGAAGACACCACAGTATGTGCAGTTTCCCTTCTTTCCAATCTGCGCAACGACCTGATCCATACTCCAACCGTAGAGCTCCTCATAACTGACAATCTTCAGCGGCAGCTGGAGAAAGTCTACATTTCGCCTGACGGCATCCAGACTGTGATCACGGTATCCTTTGATTCCCTCATCCACCGACAGCAAGATCAGGTCCAGACCCCAGTTACGTCTCTCATTCAGCGTCTTGAGCACAGCAGCCAACACACACGAGTCTTTTCCTCCACTGGCACCAATAGCCACACGTTCTCCGGGGTAGAAAAGATTTGTTGATTCGACGGCTTCGGCGACTTCTTTTTCGAAAACGGCGGTGAAACAGGTGGCGCAGAGTCGGTGGTGGTTCTTGGGTCGTAAAATCTGTGCTCGCTTTTCATTGCACGCAGAGCACAATCGTGAGGCCATGATTGCTCTGGATTTGTGGTGGAGGGGATGTAGTCGTGAATCCGAGAATAATTCGTTATGCGCAGGCTTGTCGATGGATTCGGGTGCTTGCTCGTCGTCGTGAGGCTTGTATATTCTTCAGGCGAAACGATTAGAAGCATTCATCACTCAGGAAAATGATCGTCGAAATCTCGGCTGTTCTGATCTTTCGGCCGCGCGAAACTGTCGTGGCAAAAAAAAAATATGAACTCGTCTCCATCCCGAGATGCGAATGTCAAAAGCAAAGTCCCGTCCTTCTGGAAGGCCTTGCCAAGCCTCGACCATCTTGTTCTTCGTACCTACCTTTGTTGTCTGAATATCATGGTTGAATCCAGACGACTTACCGGAGGGTTGATTGCAGCTTGCAGCATCCCAACCTCTGGAATGTGCTCCTCTTCCTTGCATCCCTTCATTGTTCATGCTCAGCTCTGATATCCATCCGATCGTCCTGTCACGCAAAGCCTAAATGTCGCGACCGATTGTTACGCGGGCAGCCACGGAGACGGCGAGCCCGCGACATCGTTGACAAGGGAATCCTTCAGCTCCTCCGTGTCTCTGCGTGCAAATCTCCGTTTATCAACTGGAACCAACAAGAGATCAACAGGTACCATACTGTTCGTCGAAGATACCGGACATGCAGAAGTTCGAGGCGAGTCAGCAACAACACGCTCGGCCGAGATTGAATACATTGAACTGCTCTAAACTGCCTGTGATGATTCCATCAATATTGCTTGTCGACTCTTTTCTCTCCTTCTCTTCGCTTATGAGTCAAGAGGAACATCGCTGTGTTATCCCTGTCTCGGTACATGCTGTTGTAAGTCATTATTGTGACAATTTCCCAGTCGTGGCAGTTGCGTGATATGCTTTGTCGTGAACCGGTCTATAAAACCGTTTGCCTTGTTCCCCTGGAAGATCCAGCCAGCCACCTGAGAAACTATCAATCAACCCCCTGCATGCATGGCCAACTGGTACCTGATGATCACTGTGGAAAAGAGATGAACGAAGGGCAAGGTTGTTGTTTGTAGAATGCGAGCTCTATTGCGAGTCGATTAATTAGTGGTGTGCTACCTAAGTACTATCTATTGTATGCACCAATGTCGTAAAGTCGTGCTGAACAACTGCTTTCGCTGTTCGCTGATGCTGCTCCTCCTGTCCAAAAAAAAAAATGCCTAGCCGTCTTCCCAGAGACGCCTTCGCAATGCGAATGTAGAATGGTATCCTGCACAAGAAACGAAAAAAGAACTGAACGATCGACAATGCCTTGACCCGCAAAGCTTGCCCCAAAATCTCCCACTAGCTGAACAATGGTCCTCTAGTGAGCAGTGGAAAGGAACCTTGAGAAGATGTTGTTTGATCTGATCTTCTTGGCTGAAGGTTGTTCGTAGTGGTCGAGAGTAAGCTTGGGTTGCTGAATCTCAACCATCGAAGGGCAGTCACTGTTGTATCTCTGAATTCTGACAGGCACATCCTCATATGTCGCATCCATCGATGATACAATGGAGTTGGGAGAGTCGACAGAAGAGGCAGCAGAGACGACAGAGTGAGCGCGGCTAGGAGGCGAGAGAGATGGCATGCGAGATGATCTGCGAGAGCTTGCAAGGCTCATGGGTGTGTCGCAGAGATTCTGACGAAGGTCGGTGCGAGATGTTCTGCGCATGTGCTCGGCAGTGATGGAGAGATGGCGTTGCTGTTGCATCATCTCCTCGCGGAGCTGAGCACGCTTGGCCTTCTCGGCTTGACGAGTCTGCCATAGTCTGATGGGAGCAAGGAAAGGCTCGAGGTGGAAGTAAAGATCGTCCTCACGGACAATGAGGTCCCAGTTGAGAAGGTTGAGAAGCTGCTTCTCCATAAGGTTAACCTCGACGAGGTTGAAGCCGAAGCCTTCGTATCCCTTGACAGCAGTGTAACGAGCCCAGTGCTTGTTCTTAGGGGATGAGTCATTGAGAGACTTGGCAGCAAGAATGAGGGCAGCGAGGAAGATGCGGTGGGTTGTGCAGCGCATACCCTTGGCGACAGGAGGAAGACGTTGTTGCAGACGACCGAGGTAAACGAGGGTAGTCATGAGAGTGGGAACCTGAACCGATGATCTGTCGACGAGGGACTGAATGAATTGCTCGACAGAAGGAAGAGTAGGTTCTTGAGAGAGGTCGAAGCCTTGCTCGGTAGGGGTGATTGGTGGTGTAGGAGGAAGATCCTTGTTGTGGATGGGAGTGTTATCACAGCGAATGACCTGAGAAGCCTTGAGTGCCAAGTAAGAAACCATGTCCTTGGAGACAGGCAGGTAGATGAAGTGGTTGAGAGCCTCGGCGTTCTGCTCAGGAGTTGCCATGGTGTGGGACATTTTGAAAGAACCAAGATGACGAGATTTTGAGAATGATTTGACAAAGATGGTAGAATTCAAACAAGAGAAGGTCGGAGTCGAAGATATTCGCGAATATCGATCCTCTGACAATAGGCTGGACCAGAATGGTTTGGACAATGCTGAGGTCGACAATAGAAGAATGGCAAAGACGGAGTGGTGAAGCTTATTCGAGTTGCTGCCGGAGAATGGTCGAATAAGTGATCGGTATTGTGGTGACTCAAAGAATAGAGTATTATTAGATTGAAGATGCAGAAAGATGGTATGAAAAAGAAATCGAAGTCGCAGGACGGTCGATTTTCTTTATGTATAGCTTTCAGGAGCAGGGAATTAAGACTTTCCGGCCAGCGGACAGGTCGAATTGAGGCAGGACCGTTAGTGAAAACGGGGGCAGTAGGAGTTAAACGTTGTAGTCGAGCCGCGTTGTTGCTGGTTCGATCGAGAACCACCAAGAAAAGTAAGACAGCGTGTAGACGTTGGAAATAAACGTGCGTGACGAAGGGCAGAGAGAGAAGTGAGTGTTCAAGGGCTGGCTAGCACGCCGTTGGTTGTATTGGGCGACTGAAATGAGAAGATGGGCCATCGTGACCACCGGCAGCGAGGCAGATACTTATTTCCTCCTGAAAATGTACGCGGCAACGCAAGGCAAGCATGGCCATGGACACGAGGCCGTTTTTGGCAGCAGGTTTGAGAATGTAGGCGGTTCGACGTGAGGTGGGCGTGTACGAACGCGCTCTGGCATGCAAAATTGTCCCCTCCAACAGGAATCATGTAGGCTGCTGCCATACAGCAAGTTTCCAGGCCCCTACAGCCACGCGCTGTCTCAGACAAACGACAAGAAAGCACCACAGTCGCATTCAGTTTCAAGATGCTTGCTCGTAACGTCTGCCGCCCAGAGGCCTTGTTGGTAGAGATCCCAGAGAAGGAAGAGAAACCAATAATAGGGTAGGCGCCGAAGTGGGGTCGCACCTTCCCCTTTGCAGCCGCCCGGCAGACTGCCGAGCCCTACAAGATCTATCTTCTCGCGAGGTGCAACACAGCAGTAAAGGGCGAGGCCGCTCCCGTCTTGGACATGAAAGACATCATTGACAACCACAATTGACTTCGATTACTGTTTTCGGGGTAGAGGGTATCGTGGCTGGGAACCCGGCCACCTATCGCATTTATCTCAACGTGCGATATGATATTCTTGGCAGTAAAATACCCAACTGGTGATGAGTCGTGACGCTTTCGAGCTGTTCGCTCACGCTGGCAACTCGTGGAATGTTCAATCCAGCTCAGCCACTGTGGATTGCAACGGCAGTCTCCACCAGGCGCCTTCTCCTGCACCTACGATGTTCTGTGGAGAGCATGGCCGAGAGTCTACTCCTATAATAATCTGCGAAGGGGGTTTGCAACTCACAGGAGGTCCTCGGCCGCTAGAATCTCAGGAGAGCGGCAAGCGAAGACAAATTGACCCTGAAAGTATCCGCTCTGCTCTATGCCATCTGCGAATGATCGATCTCAGTTGATGCTTACTTGCGTATTTGTTGGTATTTTGAGAGAGACGTTCAAGTCGATACACTGCATCCTGCATGATCATTTGTAGGGGCAGCGTCTCAGCAGGCGCTGGCGATGGGTTTACAACAAGAATAGCCTTCTCGTGCATCAAAGGAAGATCAGGACCTATCTCATAGATAGCCTCATCAACCTCGCTGCATGAACAGTATAACAGAACAAAGTTGTGTCCATAGCGAACAGGGGCTTGTGCAAAAAGATAAGTTTTGGTCCTCTGAAAAACAAGCGTCGCTCGACAGTGCTTGCGCAAGCAGCCAAGGGCAACTGGTTGTGCACCACCTTTTTCCCTTCTTCCAAGGACGAATGGCAGCTCTAAATCACGAAATTTTCGACCCCTCACAAGGATCACAAGTCATGACGAACCGTTTTGTTGTCTATAGAATGGATTTGTGATCATGAGCGCAACAGACCAGGGCTTGGGCTCGGAGACACACGGGACCCGACACGACTGAATCCAGGTCGCGATGTCTAAGGGTCAGAGGCGATGCGATTTCAATGCCCTTTTGGGTCATGTCATTGGAGACTTCTCACGGAAACCGGCATCTTTCACTGAGAAGACCGTGCCTCTTAGCAAGTCGTCATCTACACTCTGGGCAAAATCGCTTCCTCCGGCTCCTTCCGTGTGACTTCACGATCTCGAGTACCATGATGGCCGAGGTCGAACAATTTAGGAACACGACGACTTGGACCCCTTCAAGTCGCTAGAGTCATAAACCATAAGCAGCTTTTCGTATCTTCTCATCCAGCCCATCGCAGTCATCATTGACGTTACTCTCACTCTCCGCGTACATATAAAAGGGATTTCCGCTTCTGACTAAGGGACACGCGACACACGAACAATCACAATGAACAGACCATCACACGAAGACGACGGCTGGGACCACCCGGAATGGAACCAAAACCCACCTGCTCTGGCTGGAGACTTGACGACCAGGAATGATTTGAATGGCATTGTCAATTCTAGACGAAACCGTGACCGGAGCATAGATGACGACGACTTGAATCGCATCCATCCAGAGCCATACGAACTCACTGAGGTGAACGGAAAAGGCAAGGCTTTGCCTCGGGTCACGGAGGACCCGTACCCTGGCCCTAGTGGCCACCAACCGGAGCGCTCGTCGTCCTCGTCGTCGACATTGCGTTCCGCCGAGATGCCTGTGTCTAATAGCAGGCGTCTCAGCAACCGCATCATGTACGTCCTGGCCAAATACGCAAAGTTCGTTGGTCCCGGTGTCATGATATCAGTCGCCTATATCGATCCCGGAAACTATTCTACTGCTGTCGCAGCTGGCTCTACTTTCCGGTTTAGGCTTCTCTTCATAGTCTTCTTGTCCAACATCTTTGCAGTCTACCTGCAATGCTTGTGTGTCAAGCTAGGCTCAGTCACTGGTTTAAATCTGGCAGAAATGATCAGAGCTCATTGCCCTCGATGGCTCAACTGGATTCTATATCTTTTTGGAGAGGCAGCAATCATCTGCACTGACATCGCAGAAGTGATTGGTACTGCTATTGCTCTAAATCTCCTTTTCCATGTCCCTCTGGTAGCTGGCTGTGCTATTTCTATTGTGGATGTTCTTGTGATTCTGGTGTTCTACAAACCAAGTGGCACTGTGCGAGGTGTTAGAATTTTTGAAGGCTTTGTTGCTTTATTGGTCATTGGTGTTGTGGTTTGCTTCTGCTACCAGCTTTCCATTATCACCAACACATCAGTCCGCGACGTTTTCCGTGGCTACATCCCTTCTTCAGCTATTGTCAAGTCTAAGNNGGGTATGTATATTACCCAAGCCACCGGGGATGGACCTCTGCTAATCTTGTCTAGCCTGTACCAATCATGTGGCATCTTGGGTGCAACTGTCATGCCTCACTCGCTCTATCTGGGATCGGGAATTGTGCAGCCACGTCTGAAAGAATATGATGTGCAACACAACAACATACCGGCCGCCTCCGATGACGATGATGGTGGCCCAGTTAAGTACCGACCCAGTGTGGCCGCTGTCCGATCTTGCATGAAATACTCAATCGTCGAACTTTCGACATCTCTCTTTGTCTTCGCCTTGTTTGTCAACAGCGCCATCCTGATCGTCGCAGGAGCTTCACTCTACAACACCGATGCCGCCAGTGCCGATCTGTTTGGCATTCATAAGCTGCTGGCTCATCAGCTCGCTCCCGTCGCAGGAACCATCTTCGCCCTCGCTTTACTCCTCTCCGGTATCTCGGCTGGTATCGTCTGCACAATTGCTGGTCAGATGATCTGTGAGGGCCAGTTGACATGGGCAGTCAAGCCTTGGGTGCGCCGCTTGATGACACGCTCAATCTCCATCACGCCTTCCATTATTATCGCAGGTGCCGTAGGAGCAGACGGGCTTTCCGCCGCGCTTGATGGCTCACAGGTTGCGCTCAGTGTCATTCTGCCTTTTGTCAGTGCGCCTTTGATCTACTTTACCTGTCGTGAGAGGTACATGACCATGTCTGCGAGCAACGGCGATCTGATCAGTATGCGCAACCATTGGTTCACTGCTGCTATTGCGGTCACAATCTGGCTTGTCATCGTGGTTATGAATGTCGCGCTCTTGGTGTTGTTGGGCTTAGGTGTTGACTAGGTTACGCCGTGGTATGTCGTCTGTGGTTGTCGACATGGAATCGAGGAGTTTACTTTAGTATAAGGAAAGGTTTGGATACATAATGTCTATATCGGAGAGGCGTTCTGTTGCGGTTACACTAATACTCATTCGTCAATGTAAATACAGTTTCGTTTTCTTGCATAGATTATTGAATCTGGATGTCCTATCACGCAGCCATCACATAATGTCTACAATTTGGCCTTTGCAGTCTCCCAATCCTTAACTCTCTGTTTAGCCTTCCTGTCCAGCTCCTCATCCTGCTTCTTGACCTTCTCCTTATACTCACTCTCCTCATCAGGCGCATCCAAAAACGCCACAGTCTCTCTCCACATCTCCCTCTTCAACAAGCCATAAACCCCCTTGTCCGTCTTACTCACCAACCCCAACTCCTCCACAAACGCAACAACTTCATCCAAGCCTCCAACTCCGTCAATAATACCTGCTTCCAGTGCCTCTAGAGCTTTGAAGCGCTTGCCTTCGAGTACCAAAGTGCGATAGGTTTGCGGCGAGCACTTTTGGCGGAAGATGGATGACATGGCTGCTTTGAGAGGAACGCCTAATTCGACTTCGTTGAGGCAGATGTAGCCGCGGTGAGGGTTCATGATTCTGTAGTCGTGCATCATTGCGGTCATGAGAGCGCCGGCGAAGCCATGGCCGTTGATTAGGGCGATGGTGGGCATTGGGTAACTATGCGGATATCGTTAGCATTTGGATTGATGGCCAGGGTGACACCATATGCATGGCAGAAAATGGCAAGAACGACTATAAGTGCATGACCAACGCCTTGAGTGCCTTCTAGAGTTGGTGTAGGCGTTGCTTCGGCCGCTCAAATAAGGTTGCTAGAGTGACAGAGCAACAGCCCTCCCAGGTCGTCATGTGCAATCTTTGCTCGCAGAACATCTCTCGAATCTCAAGAAGCGGATAGAAATACAAGACGATANCAGAGATAGAACTTACGTCAACAGTTTCTTCCATAGCGCAAACAGAGAATCTTTGGTGAAAGTCGGGTTCGAATTCGCATGCTCGAGATCCAATCCATTGCTATAGAACTTGCTGATGCCAGACGTGGTAATCACAACGCCATGAGGATACTTGAGCGCCAGGATGTCCAGCGCAGTGTGTACGGCATTGCAGAATGNACTGGACATATCATTAGCAATGAGGGGAAGGAGCTTGAAAATGGCAGTGCTTACGGTGGTGAGTCGGTTGTCTGGTGCAGAGTTCCACATGATCATGTAGACTCTTTCCGCCAGCCTGGTGACGACGACTTTGCCATTGTTGTCGATTGGCACCTCGAACAGTCGGCCTGACTTATAACCCATGGCTACAATAGTTGGTCTTGATCGATAATTCAAGTGTAAGTATTATCAAAGATGGACGCTGCCAAACATCGGAGAGAGGTGGAAGGCTTCACATGCACCATGATCGTACCTCGGCTTTAAGATCCAGGCGTTTACAAATCCATGACATCTTCTGCGACAGAGCCAAGGAGTCGTCACATTTTGAGGTAGTCTCACAGTCATGGAATCGAGTTCGTTAAGATAAATATGGTATACCATTCGCATGAGATCGGAGAAAAACAGATGCAATGCGCAGATAGATCTGCAACTGTACGGCCTAGAGCATACCCATGATACGATGGAAAACAGCAACAAAGAAAGCAGAGACTAAAAGGTAGATAACAGCAAAGATAGAAAAAACAACACGCCATTGCTATATCATCTCTGGCCAATGCTAACCTTCAAATATAAGAAAAAAGAGAGGAAAATAAGGTCATCCCGGTCATGAAGCCATCATAGTCTCGCATTCATCAGTCTCTCCCTTGCGCTTGGGACGAAAACGAGGAAAAGGAGAAAGAAAAACAGCAAAGGTATAGAAAGTAGATGCGAGAAATAATGAGCCTGAAAAGTGCACCGAACTCCTTGGTACACCTAGAGGCAATGAACGCCGATGTGCCCTGTAACACCAGCAATGCGGCGTTGCTTATTTGATGAGATGATAGATGTTTGATGATTATTGGCAGAAGAGCTCGATCTCTCCCATGCCGCCGACAGTCTCGCCACGTTGTTCGCGCCAAGTTTCGAAGGCTGACTGCACGTCTTCATCGCTTTGAATGCTAACGTAGTCGTCCTCATCCAAGTACTTCAGCTTGACCTGATTGGGTGTACGATCACTCAGACTGATGTTGGTGCTGCGAGATAGCTTGGCATCGATACGATCCCTCAGAGAGTGGTATGAGATGTTCAAAGGCACAACAAGGGTTAGAACCGTGCTCGAGGCATGCACCTTGATCTTCAGCTGATTCAGACCGAAGTCGGAGCTAGAGGATAGAGGAGGAGATATAGGAGAGTCATAGCCACCAGAAGGCCCCGGGGTAGGTGTATTAGTGCGAGCTGATCCGACATAAGCCAGTCCTGGGTTGACTCTCAGGGCGGGTGGACCGTCGTGAGCGTGTGGAGCATCTGCGTTGGATCGAGTCGATGATCGTTCGCGCTGATGTGGTGATTGCACGGGAGCATGGGCCAGACTGGGCGAATTGCTCTGACTTCTGGGCACTGAACTGCTCACAGAGTACTGAGCAGGGAACGGTGGGACAGGCACATCAGGCACTGGCGGTCTCGAACCATTTGCAGCTCTACGCTGGACATGGTTGATATCTGGGCTGCTTGCAGATCTGTTTCTTGACGTTGCAACCTGCTGAGAACTGTGCATGCCAACCAATCCAGGTCTAGGTCCAGAGGTACGCTGACTGGCTGCGTAACTCGTTGCAGAAGCCATGCTGTTCTCGCGTGAAGCAGTACGGCTCATAGCTGGTGCAGTATAACGCGTTTGGTTGTCGTGGAATTGATTCGGGAAATAGGACATGCCTGAAGAACCACTGGTTCTCTGTGAAGGCAGCGGGGTCTCAACAGGCGAGAAGTATGAGTCTTTTTCCATCGAAGGCGATTGTGCGTAGGGCAGTTGCTGAGTTCTCAGACTGAGCGAAGGCTGACCGCCGATTGCGTTGGCTGGGAGACGTGGTGGAGGCATACGGCCTCCTAGACTCAATGGAGGACCACTCTCGCCAGTTGTAGATCTCGAACGAAGGCTTGTTGTTGATGCGTTTCTGCTGCTCATAGTAGAGGACTCGAAGGAAGAGTGCGGTGCATATGCAGGGAATGGGGATTGCGGCACAACTGTACCCTCTTCATCATCGTCGTCAGCCTCTTTGTAGGGATTCACAAGATCTTCTTGGTTCTGCTGAATATAGGTGAAGTCGGTGGCGGAGGTACCAACAGAAGGTCTGTGAGAAGCAGTGGTACTGTCGCTGCGTCTTGCGAGATCGTTGCAGACAGCCTTTTGCTCCAGCAGCTTTGAGTACCATTTGCTCATTGTATCTTCGGTAGGGAAGCGAACGACGAAGTTTTCGATACCCGGATCGCCCTTCCAAAAGATCTGGCAAGTGTACGAGCCAGGCTTTGATGCCTTGACCACGTCTGTAACATTCTGCATGAAGATACGACCTTTGAGCTGCATCTTCGGTCTACCCCTCTTGTCGACCAACGAACGTGTGGACATCTTGTTCTTCGGCTTGTTGCGGTCAATGTCCTTGCAGCACAGCAGAATCGACTCGAAGAAGTAGACGTGGTACTCTCGTTCCTGGTCTTTTCCTGGCGCGCTGTCGCTCTTTATAACCGTGTAACTGCCAAAAAGAAGAAGACCACCGAAGCCTGTGACGCGATGACCTTTCCAGTCTTCAACGCGACCCTTGAGATCTTCCAAGGCTTCCAGCTTGTCCTCGTTTTCGATGGCGGTGTTTGTGCGGGTCAGAACGGTTGTGGCACATTCCTTGCCTTTGGAGAGATCGGCCATAATTTCTTCGTTATAATCACCTTTCTTGTGCAAAGAATCCAAAAGCAGTGGGTATTTGGACAGTCTCTGGAAAGGCTTCATTAGGAAGCCGTATAGAGTTGGAGGAGATTCAACAAGCTGGCGCATGTCGATGGTACCGCCGGCTTCCTTGAGCTTAGCAAACTCTCTCATGACAACCTCTTCACATAGTTTCTGATTGGCAATATAAGGTTCGTACACCATAAAGCCTTCATTTGCCTGGATAAAGATCTTTCCCCAGTTTTGTTCATCTTCTGGCATAGCATTCGTTTGCTCCACTCTGATAAGAAAGCGGCGTTGGAAATTGAGTAGTGCATCAAGATTGTGGAAGATTTGATGACTGACATCACCAGAAACGACACCCTTGCTCTCGCAGAGTTGCTTGAAAGCTTGCAAGAGTTCGAGGTGCTGTACGTAGGTTCTTTCGGTTTGGACCAGTTCTTCGACGATATGTTGTCGCTGACTGCGTTTGCCAGAATGAGCGGCGATCTGATCCGGGCGGAGGTCTTCGATGATGTTTTGTTGCACCATAATGTCGAGCAGTCTTGAGACCATTCTTACAANCCTGGACAAATTAGAAATCGCGATGCGTATGGAAGAGGAGGTTATTACCTTGACAAAGCCACCAATGTCGTCTTGGTAGAGATCGTAGAGAATAAAACAATCCTCGACTGAGAAATTGAGACCGTTGATGCAACCACGCAAGAAACTCGAGGTGAGGGCTTTGCCCTGTTTGGCAGCGCTGATCTTGGATACGTCAACCTCAACAGGCTGATCGGGCCGTAGAATGTTGTATAGAGAGACGAGCGGGTGACCAAGCTGAAAAGTCTTCCAGATCAGTTGCACGACATCGAGATCTTCGTGTTGTTGTTCTGTTTCCAAGAAGTATTCATCGAAGCCAGGAACGGCCAAGAGGCGTTGGCGCAGAGTGATGCACATCTGAAATAGCGAGGCATCCTTGTCGGCGACCTTGTTCATGACATTGCCGGACGGCTCGACGTTTCCCTGGATGGTGGAATTTGAGGGCGACAGGGTAGGTGTCGGCGGCACGGGAAACAGCGTGGATGTAGATGTGCCTTGCGTTGTGTCGGAGTTTCTTGAGAGGACGGACTGAATGGAGTGCGAGGAGTTGGTATGGTTCTGGGACTGAACCAGAGGGGAGGTCGCTGAAGGCATTTTGGAGAAGAGAGCCTGGGGCGCGGTGTGTGCTCGGGTCAAGGAAGCATGAGAGGCGACCTGCATGATCGGGGACAGAAGTCGGAGACACGCGCAGCCGTGGTATATACCGGCAAGCACACGTGGGCGTAGGTGTCGAGGGAAGATTCAGGCTGGAGGACGATGCTGGCGGGCAGGTCGTTGTCGAGGGCAAGCGCGTGCCGTGCGCGGTCGGAAGGTGCAAAGGCGCGATGCAGGAGCGAAGATCTACTGGAGCATGTGTGAAGGAGGTCGTCTCTTCCTCAGGTGACAGTCCTTGGTTCGCCGGACGGAAGTTGGGCAAGGAGAGTGAGTGATTGCGGCGGTGGGGCCCGTGTGGAAGCCACTTTCTGGCCGTGGCTTTGTATATGTCTTGTTGACGAGTGAAGGAACGGCGACGACTCTAGCGGCGGCGGGGTCACGACTGCTTTCCCGGTGGACTGGGCTCGAGACTGTTCGCTACTGCGGCGACACGACGACGACGACGACTTGGGACGGAGAAGTGAACAAAGAAAGGCAGGACACAGGCTCACACAACGAATGGCGACCACGGCGGACGGCCCTTCTCAAAGGACCACGACCAGGACCCTGCTCTGTCTGAAGCCCCGGCTTTTTCCTTTGTGAAACACGCTTGATCCCTTCCACTTTTTGACCCTACGAGCATGCATCCGCCTCTGTTACAAGACTTGCCCTCTGCATCGCGACCCTTCCGGCCCTGCCTCGACTGCTTTTGACCTGTTCAGCGTTGTTGTGCGTGACTCTGTGATTCCGTGACCGTCTCCCCTGCAAAAATACAAGCTGCAAGGTCAACGAGCCCTGCTTTTGCGGCGATCACGCGAGGGCCACCTTGTTCTCCTCGCTTTCCCTCGCCAAAGCAGCGCAGATTGACGATCCTCCGTCCCGCCCGCCCAGCGACCTGACTCTTGTCAGCAGCCAAAGTCCTTGTTGAAGCAAACTTTGTTGATTGGCCCACGGGGTCTGACTCTGCGAACAGGTCCTGGTGCCAGCTCCCTGACACACACAGTAAAGTCTGAAGCGCCTCGAGACTCTGATCGCGACTTCCGTTCCGACATTTAGCCCGTTCGTGTTTACCAAACCATCTGTCTTGCGTCGCCCACCAAAACAAAACACTCGCTCGAGTAGACGCCTGATATGGCCCAGGACGAAATGAAGGTCGACGAGGGCTATTCAGGAGGCTCCGAGGAAACGAGAAGCCTATCCGACAGTGATTCTACCATGCACATCGATCCCGTCGACGGCCATGTTTCAAAGTCATCCACACCCACGCTTGAGTCGCTGCTTTCGCCCGTACTGAGCCTGCCCCCGGACCAGAGATCCGCCTTCATGACCTCGCTGCTGCGACTGCTGCCAGAGTCGGAGCGATATGGTATTTGCATAATCTCCTAGTCCCATCTATACACCACCCGTCTGACATTCACTNNAGACACCGCCTATACAGCTCTCCGCTCACTGCGCACTTCGTCCATCGCATCCATAGTCGAGCGCCTCAACCCCCTCCTTCATCTTGACCCAGTAGTCTTCCTACCACCCGAGATTACCTCGCAAATCTTTCTTCATCTCTCACCCTCCGATCTCCTCCGATGCTCGACCGCTTCCCGGCTCTGGCGCGAACGTGTCTTGGACAGCACTCTGTGGAGGACCTTCTTTGCCCGTGAAGGATGGATGCCAGATCTTGCAGAGGTGAGAAGTGGTGAAGCTGCCGAAGCCAGGCGCCGCTTGACCTTCTCGCGTAACACTCCTCAAAAGCCCCCTAGAAGGAAGCCTGACGGCGAACTCGAAAGAAGCGGTAGTATCAAAAGAGCAAAGGAATCCGTTGATGGATGGAACGAACAACACAGCACACTTGAGGCCGACGATGATGCGATTGCGCAAGACCCAGAAGACGGTGCTGCTTCCCTATCCGCCATGAGCCTCGCTTCCGAAGCCGACTACCTTGACATAACCACAGGAACCGACCTCTCCTCAAGTTTGCTCCCTCAGCTCTCTCCGTCGCTCTACAATACATACAATGCTTCACCACGGGTCAATTGGCTATATCTGTACAAACAACGGCGCCGTCTAGAAGACAACTGGAATAAAGGACGCTACACGACGTTTCAGCTGCCACATCCAGATCATCCCGAGGAAGCCCACGACGAGTGTGTCTACACGATACAGCACTCGCGTGACTGGCTAGTCAGTGGTAGTCGCGACAAGACTATTGCCATCTGGGACCTGGAGACTCAGAGACGTGTGAGGACGTTGTCTGGTGCTCACATCGCTTCTGTACTATGCTTGCAATTTGACGAGCGTCCGGATCAAGACATCGTAGTATCAGGCGGAAGTGACTCTTTTGTCGTCATTTGGCGCTTCTCGACAGGTCGCATCATTCGCAAGATGGATGAAGCACATACCGAATCCGTACTCAATTTACGTTTCGACGACGACCTGCTGATAACATGCTCCAAGGATAAGACCATCAAGATCTGGAATCGTAGAGAACTCTTTTTGGACAGCGATATCGTTCCAGCAGTCGCAAAACGTCAGCTTGAAGTTGGCCATCCTATGAATCCCATCAAGGAGTACTCGCTACTACTTACACTTCTAGGCCACGGTGCAGCAGTTAATGCAATTCAAATGCATCAAGGTCAGATCGTTTCTGCATCAGGAGATCGAACCATCAAAGCATGGGATATCAACACTGGTACATGCACAAGAACTTTCACCGGGCATACCAAAGGTATTGCCTGCGTGCAATACGATGGTCGCCGTATCGTGAGCGGCAGCAGCGATAACACCGTGCGTATTTTCGACGCAGCCACGTCTGCCGAGGTTGCGTGCCTTCCTGGCCACAGTAACTTGGTGCGTACTGTGCAGGCTCGCTTTGGTGACATGAGCGTCTCGTCTGAGCAGCTCGAGGCCGATGCACGTGCTGTTGATGAGAGATTCCACGACGCTCGTATGAACGGCCTCAACCCTGACCAGAACAGAGCCCGCGGTCAGCGCAACGCTGGCTCGAGCAACCCTAGTGAAGTATGTGCGGTCGGTGCGAAGATCCCACCAGGAGGTGGTGGCAACGCCTGGAGCCGTATTGTGTCAGGCTCTTATGATGAGACAGTCATCATTTGGAAGAAGGATTCTGATGGTAAGTGGGTTCCAAGCAGGAGGCTGCGGCAAGACGAGATCCTTCAAACTAGACGAAGACCTCGCAATCAACCCGCAGCGGGCCTTCAGCAGGTAACGCAACAGCCACCCCAAAACAGCGCAGATGAACAGGATACAGCTGCACATCCAGGCATACCTGCTGCCTCTGTCACAGCCCCGGCGATATGGTCTCCATCTGCCACGTCTACTCCAACTCCCCAGGTCCAACACCAGGCCCCTCAGCAGATGCAACAACACATACAACAGCAGATCCATCAACATGTTCACCAACAAGCACAGAATCACGCCGGCCCTGCTGGTCCACCCGCTAATCATCACCACCATCATGGCCACCACGCAGGTGCTGGACACCACGGCCGTCATCGTATCAGAGAAGACAGCAACCGTGTCTTCAAGCTCCAGTTCGACAGCCGGCGCATCGTGTGTTGTTCGCAGAACAGAGTCATTGTAGGATGGGACTTTGCTGCTGGTGACTCGGATCTTGAACAGGCGAGCCGCTTCTTTGGAGAAACTGATTAGGTCGTGGCAATGATGGTGGTCCACGTTCTATTTCCCAATTCATGCATATCTTGATGGTCTGGATCACTGCTTGGGCATCTTCTTTCCTGGTGAATGTTGTACTTTAGGGACACAAATCTCATAGCGTGTGTACATATGTTGACATGACCATGTCCAATGTACCACGGCCTCGTCTGATGGTATATCTGGGCCATGAGCTCTTCCATGTGTGGTGACCCTGGCCCGCTCAATGCTTGTGAGATGCAAACATCACCTGATCTTTTTCGGGTCGAAATGTGCTGAATTGTTTACGTACACGCGAAATACGGAGTTTGGAGGGTGCGAGTATAAAGAGGATGCAGGAGTCACCAACTGGAAGCTCCCCAGCTTCACCCATCTTTTGATCTCAGCCCCACCATCCCCCACGCAGGTGTCGTGTCGCGACGGTTGGACCAGCTGCAATGCACAGCGTGCGTTGTTACCAGAGCTTCGGTTAAGCAGTCAGTGCCGTGCATTGAGATGCAGATCGGCTTTAGTGGTTCAGCCTCCAGAGAGAGCCTCGTCGATTCACAGTCGATAGGTACGAGTAGGACGAGCAGCGGAAAAGCATAGAGGCGCTCTGTTGAGCTGCAAGTGGTCGAGGGTGAGCGAGGCGGTCTGCAGCTCGATTTGCTTACGGCATGATTTGTGTGCAGAGATGGTCGCATCGCAGGGCGCTATCCGAGACATGTTCCTTGTCCTGACGAATCGTCATTTGGCAAAGTTTGGCCAGCGAAGCGCCGGCAACGGTACGATGGGCCATGGCAGCTTCCCAACAGCTCGCAAGCCGAGAGGAGAGCCAGAGCCAGAGCTCCCAGTATTTGATAAATCCCTAGCACACCTGCAGCTGCCAAACGGCCATCTCTCATCGCCATTTCCTAATCGATAGCAGAAGCACACACGGCTGTGTTTGTCATTTCTTCCGAGGAAAAAACACCGACTTCCAAGACCATGTCAGAGCACACCGGACCCAAGGGTACGTGAGTCAAAAGAGCCATCGTTGCTTTGCCGCCATCGGCCCAAATCCTTATCCTCCTTCCATCACACCCAACACCATGCGGCCTCTTGTCCAATTCGCTGTGCGAGCCTCCCGCTCAGCCAGACCACTGCGTGCATTCAAGCCTACCCCCAGTCGCTGCTTCCACTCGTCACCACGCTGGCTGTGTCCAGACTCTGAGAACGACGATGACTACCGTATCAATGCCCCATCGACTCTGACGTGCGACCGAGCCCAATGCTGACCACGTCTTCCAACAGGCGGTTTCGCCCACACCCTCGCCGAGCGCGTAGAGGAATGGAGCTCCAGCATGGAGCAGTCCGACCCCGAGTTCTTCCCCAAGTCGGCAAAGGGCCAGTCCCCCAAGATTCTCTGGATCGGTTGTGCCGACTCTCGTATCCCTGAGTCGACCATTCTGGGCTTGAAGCCTGGTGAGGTCTTTGTCCACCGCAACATTGCCAACATTATCACACCTACCGACATCAACTCGCTGTCCGTCATTGAGTTCGCTGTTGCACACCTCAAGGTCGAGCACATCCTCGTCTGCGGCCACACCAGCTGCGGTGGTGTCAACGCCGCTCTCGGAAACACCAGACTCGGCCTGCTCGACATCTGGCTGCAGCCCATGCGTCAGCTGAGAATGGAACACACAGAGGAGCTGGAGAAGTTCGACACGCAGGGTGACAAGACCCACAGACTCAGCCAGTACAACATCTTGCGCAGTCTCGAGGTTCTCAGAATGAACCCCACCGTTATGGACGCCATGGCCGAGCGCAACTTGGAGCTTCACGGTGTCATCTACCACGTCGAGAACGGCAAGCTCGAAGTCGTCGAGTCCTCCGAGGACGAGACCAAGCTGAAGAAGCGTCTGGCTGCCTTCACCACAAAGAAGTCTGCATAAGTGCAAATCACACGTTTTGGAAAGGCCATTGGCCCTGTGGAGTATTCGGAGTAGGCATTGCACGCCCAATACGGCATATCACGATAAAGTATGGTACTGGAGGGAGGACTTTTGGAAGACGCTATACAGGTTGTCCGCGCTCAAGCGTAGCAACACATAATCAACAACTATCAAACCGACTTGCTAAACGGCCATCTTCCAAATTCGTGATGAGTCAGTGTATCCACTCTACGGCGCGATTTGCCGGTGTGCTCGGACATAGCATCATAGCTCCATGGTCAACATAAAACAACTCGACGGCATGTTTCTAGCACTTTGTTTTTGTCGTCTACTGTGTCAAGAAGCCCAATTAACAAGATGCACGAACTAGCAGCATACGCCAAATCGCAAGAATCCAAGATGCAGTACCACTAGTGAGTTGCACTTGTCTATACACATAAGCCGTCTATATACAGACACTGAAATCTATCTAGCTTGGGACAATCGGGACTTAAGGTCTCACAGATCATTCTAGGAGCCATGTCCTACGGCTCCTCCAAGTGGCAAGATTGGGTCCTGGACGAGGAACAAGCACTGTAAACAAACCCAACATCATCCTTACGGTCAGGAGACTACTGACTGTTCTCCAGACCTTTACTCAAACACGCCTATGACCGAGGCATCAACACTTGGGACACTGTAAGCTATACCTCGAGTCCATACCCCCAGAACTCATACCTAACCAACACACGAAAAAACTAGGCCGACGTCTACTCCAACGGCCGCAGTGAAGAAATCATCGGCACTGCAATCACAAAATACAACATTCCTCGCCACCGCCTTGTTCTGCTCTCAAAATGCTATTTCGGCGTCACCGACGAAGACAATTCTACCCATCAACCAACAATTCCAGAAATGATGAACAATGATGGGGACTTGGTGAATAGGGTTGGGCTTTCGAGGAAGCATATCTTTGATGCCGTGGAAGCTAGTGTTAAGAGATTGGGTACTTATATTGATGTGTAAGTTTTTTCTTCTTGGCTTCTGTGATGGCTGTGGTAGAGGGAAAGTGCTGATAACAAGCAACAGNNGCTACAAATCCATAGATTGGATAGAGGAGCACCCAAAAAGGAAATCATGCGTGCACTTAACGACGTCGTCGAAAAAGGATGGGTCCGCTACATTGGGGCCTCTTCAATGGCAGCTTGGGAGTTTCAAGAACTGCAGGTAAGAGCCTCTTCCATTCATCGACGAGCATATGCCACACTAGATATTGACAAGAAACAANNACAGAACATCGCAGAAACCCACAATTGGCACAAATTCATCAGCATGCAAAACTACCACAACCTCCTCTATCGCGAGGAAGAGCGCGAAATGATTCCTTACTGCAAAGCCACTGGTGTAGGCTTGATCCCCTGGTCGCCTATGGCCCGCGGTGTCCTCGCTCGCCCCTGGTCTTCCCGCTCCTCCATCCGCGAATCCTCGGACAACACTTTGAAAGCGCTGATCCGCAGCAAGGAAACAGAAATTGATGAAAAGATAGTCAAGAGAGTGGAGGAGGTTGCCAAGAGGAAGGGTGTCAGTATGGCTGGTGTGGCGGTTGGGTGGAGTATTGCCAAAGGCGATATTCCAATCTTGGGGTTGAGTAGTAAGGAGAGGATTGACGAGGCGTGTGAGAATTGCAAGGTCAAGTTGAGTGACGAGGAGATTGCAGAGTTGGAGGAGTTGTATATGCCAAAGGCCGTCTCTGGGTTCTAGGAGACGTAGAACAGAGTTCACAACAACTAGAGACTCAAGTAGAGCAGGACCAAAATTTTCCTTTTCAATTATTTCGCACTTCTGATATGCTTGCCACTTGTTTTTTCGCGAACTCAGTAAGTTCCGGCCTTGCCAGCACAGCCCATGTTGTCAATCCAGTACTCGCATTGCTTCTTGATCAAGTCTGTGCCCGTCTCGAGCTGCTCGGTTAACGGCACCTTGCCAGTCTTTTCAGCCGTGTAGGCAAAGTAATCAGACAAGACCATCTTGTTGACATTGACGCGAGTGACACCTCTCTCGATGCACTTGTTCAAGATCTCGGGGATAAACTCATTTGTGCCGTGCAGAACAATTTGCACTCTGTTGTCGACCTTCTTTTGAATGGCCTCGAGTCTNNAAGACATCAGCATTAGCAAGGCTCTCAAGAATGGTATAGCAGAGAACGAGAAAACTTACCGCTCAAAGTCCAGATGAATGTTCTCCACACCATGGTAATCACCATGCACATTTCCAAACGCCGGAGCCAAAAAGTCAATCCCCGTGGCGATGAAATCGTCAACCTCTTCGGCGGTAGTCATCATGCCCTCCAACTCTGCAGTGTCCTTGACACCGTCTTCACCACCTTCGATTCTGCCGGGCTCGGCTTCGGTAGCAATGCCCTTGGAATGGCACAACTTGACCAACTCCGTCGTCTTTGCTAGGTTCTCTTCCTTTTCGTAGTGTGACATGTCCACCATGATGGAGTCGAACATGGGTGTGCCGTCGTGTTTCTTGAGCTCGGCGGCGCGCTTGATGACTTCGGGGTCTTGAGCGTGATCCATGTGGAGAGTCACTGGGACCGAGGCGGCGGCACATGCTTCAGCGGCGGCGGACACAAAGGATGGCGAGTAGTGGAGTGCCCAGGGGAAGAGGAGGATCTGAAGAGGTGCCTTTTTCGACTCGGCTGCGCGAATGGCACCGATGATGGTTTCGAGGTTGTAGGATACTACACCGAGCACGCCGTACTTGCCTTTGGCTGCTGCATTGAGCATGCGTACAGCGGGGTTGTCGGTGAGCTTTTGAAGTGCCATTGTTGTGGTTGTGCTTTGTTTTTTATGCTGAGTACAGCTTGTTCGTCCTTCGGAAGCAGATAGTATAAAATTGAAAAGGTCAAGTGGTTTCGTGTGAGTACGAAATTGTTGTTCTGCTAATGTTCAGGATATATAAACGAGGTCATTGCCCCGCTATATACCCCACCGGCATTCTTCCCGACGTGTCCCGCGTTGCCCACCTTGGGGCTTCCGAATCATTCTGCCGAGAGGTCTAGGTGTGGATGCACCCTCGAGATCCGGAGGATGTACTCCGTGGTATCGGTGATTTTGCCGGAGAGGCTGTTCGGTGTGATATAAGCCGATGCCGGGAATTGTGTGTCATGCTAGAATGATGAATTCGAATATGTGGTCTATAAAAGGTATTGCTAGTTGCTCAAGTGTGAATCAGGAGGCTGCCATGCTCTTGGAGAAAGGAGACGATGGACAATAGGGCATGAGAAAGAAGAGACAAGAAAGAAAAATATAGTCCAATAAAGAATACTTTTCCACACATGGCGTCGTTCAATATTTGATGCAAGGCATTAGTCATTACCGACCAAGCAGTTGGCCGAGTCTCTCCCAAGAGCGTGTTCCTGAAGGCATGAGTGCCAAATTGTGTTGGCGAGCTGGCATGCGTCAACGCTTCTGGCGACCTCGTCCAAGCCAGAAGCTAGTGCACAGCTCCGGAGGATGGCAGCACTGTGTTTTTGTGTGATACAGCCTTCCGATAGGGCGTACTATCACAGATACCTGCCTGTTGAGCTGCTTCAGTGTCGTCTTCGAATGCTGCAAAGATGCCGGTGGGCTCAAAGAATCCATGCAACAGCAAGAGGTGCGAGTTTTGAGGGTCGTGGCAATGCGTTGTCCTAGTTGGCATGTCCGTTTGCAGAGACCTTCTCTTCAACCTCAACGTACTTGGCGCATGCAAAGTAGCCTTTGTTTTCGACCACACCGCGGTTCTTTACGACTGCCGTGTATTTGATGACCCATTGAGGAATGACCTGACCTTGCATCTTTTGGCCATTCTCTTGTCGTTTTCTCTTCTCGCCAATCTTCTCCGAGGCTTGCGACAGTACTCCGGCACCTTCATGGTCGAGTAGCCCTCTGATGGTACCACGAGGCATGATATTGACCGAGTCATTGTTGACGAGCAATTCAACATTCTTGCTCTTTGCCAGGCTAGACAGGGGCTGAGGTACACTGCAGCAATCGCGCAGACTGATCTGGTTGACCGAAGGCTGGACACTTGCCTTCTCGAGGAAGGGTTGCAAGCGGTTTGCGCCAAACTCGGACACACCGAGTCTTCGGACCAGCCCGTCTTTGTGCAGCTTCTCGACCAGTTTCCAGGTCTCCAGCTGGTTGTCCACAGGCTCAGGAGAAGACTCCTTGGTTCCTCTGCTCTTGATCTTGTCTGGACAGCACTCGCTCTCCTCGTCAAAGTAAACGCCAGGGAAGGAAACGATCAAGAGGTCGACGTTGGGCATGTGTAGCTCTTTCTGAACCAGATCGACGGCTTGGCGAAGATGCTCCTCTCTTGCTGAAGTGTCTTCGTCGGACAGGAAGAAGACCTTTGCGGTTATGTCATATTGGTCCCTCTCTTCATGCAGGGAGCTGTTGGTGAAGTCGAGGCGTGGAATGTACATGGTTTTGGCGTCGTCCGAGTATGAGATCCAATCGACCTGCTGACTAGCACCATTTTGTTTGACCTTCTCTTGAGATAGCTCCTTGGCCTCGTGTCTTGCACCCTCGAAGTTGTCGCGTAGACTCCAAGTGAGTTCGGTATGGGAATTATCGGCGGCACCCACGCCTTGTTGAAGCATGGTATTGCTAAGAGAGATAAGCACAGGCTGGCATAACGCGACATGGTGGGCATTACCCGGTGGATAGAATAATAGATTCAGCCGTCATGGTGGTTGAGGTGGATTTCTAAGCGGAAAAAGTAGGAAATGATCAGGACGCTCAAGAAATGCAGAAAATGTACAGAATGCAGAAAACAGTAGGTTGCAATGAAAGTGCGGACGTCGGAAAGGTAGAGCGCAGACAGATATGGCGTGAGCGGGTGCAGGTATATCTATCTGGGAGAAAAGAGGTGGGAGGGAGCGGGATTGAATTGTATGATTCGGGGATGAATCGAGGGAAAGCGCTATCGCCGAGGTTGGCCGAAAGCCAAAAAGGCAGTCGCGGAGGGCCAAAGTGTGGAGCTGGAGCGAGCCAGAGGCAGAGGCAGAGCCAGAGCCAGCTGGGCGAGCGAGGCTGCTGGCTGTGAGCGTCTGTGACTGTTGTTACTCAGGAGGGGCATTCCATATTTTTGACCCGACAAGCTACGCTCCACCTTCAACCACCAAGATGCCCATCAAGTAGGTAGCACTCTGTAGCTGTCAGCATCTGCTCGCACTAATGCGCTTGTCAGATATTTAATCCTCCTGTCAAGGCAGGGCAAAGTGGTGAGTGCAGCGGCGTGCGTGCTTGCCAGAGGCAGGAGCTAACGCAACCACCACAGNCGCCTCGCAAAGTGGTTTACAACTCTGTCGCCCAAGGACAAGGCAAAGATCATCAAGGACGTGTCGCAGCTAGTCCTCGCCCGCCGCACGCGTATGTGTAACTTCCTCGAGTACAAAGGTCGGTCGCATCATGTCCCCCACCCACGCACCAATCCACAAGCTGACGGATTCTGTCAAGATTCAAAAGTTGTCTACCGCCGCTACGCTTCCCTCTTCTTCATCGCCGGCTGCGCTTCCGACGACAATGAGCTCATCACCTTAGAGATTGTCCACCGCTATGTCGAGCAGATGGACAAGTACTACGGCAACGTTTGCGAGCTCGACATTATCTTCAACTTTCAAAAAGCATACTTCATCCTGGACGAACTACTGCTAGCCGGAGAGATGCAAGAGAGCAGTAAGAAGAACGTACTCAGATGTATCGGCCAACAAGACAGCCTGGAGGACATGGAGGTACGCATATCTTTCGCTGCACACCCGGCGCCGCTTGACACTTTTTCTGCACACTTGTTGTCGCTTCAGACATTTTCTGCCCCCATCCACCTGGCATCTGCCAACACGCACTGAACTCACACTTGGCACAGGTCGAAGACGAAGCCGTCACACGCATCATGTAGAGGCAGTCTTTCAACAATACCGCCGTCTCATACTCTACAGCACTCGCAGCATTTTTATGGCGTTACATCGGAAAACAGGCGTTACTGGTGGTTTTGTGATTTGCATTCGGACAACGATACCACAACTTGTGCACTACTAGCAATTCAAATGAGTGTCCCTCGCCTTAGGCAGGGCTTCCGGGTCTTAGACCTGCTGCTCAATTATAATGACCATCCAACGATGCCCTTTTTGGTTCAGGCTCTTGGTGTGACTCTGCTGCTCTTGCTCTTGCTCTTGCTACCGTTCCTCTTCTCTCTCTCTCTGTTCTCATGGTCTGTTGCTGTCATGTCTGACATGACGATGGTTATCTTGTTGTTGACACCTCATGGTACATTAACCCTTGTCTCTGTTTAGGTCCTTGTCTCGACTCATGGTCTATCTCTCAGACGTTAAACAAAAACAACGACAACAAAGCGAAATACGACCAGGGGCCACGTTCTCGACATGTTGGCCGATGCATCAACTGAGACGGTTGTGCTGCCAGTCAGATGTTTGAGGCCAGTGCTTTGATTGGCTCAACGCAACGACGTCACGAATCCCGCCGAGGAGAGGNNGCAGCCGCAACCGGCGGAGAGGCACTCCCACTGGACAGTCACGATTCCAACGTCCGCTCGTGGCACCGCNGCAGCTATCACGACCCATTCTTGCCCTCTCCCATCCCCCAGCGAGCTATTATTCGACCCACCACGCTTGTCAACATCCGCGACCGAGTGCGACACTTGTCTACTCGATTGATCGCTTATCGGCAGCTACTCGACTCCTCCTTGCGTACTATCGCCAACCGTCGCATCCCGTCGCGCNGTCTCAAAGACTCCCCTCACAAACACCTTTCACTCGTCTAGCAATCATCAGGACGGCTTTTGACCTCTCTCTACACCAAATTATCCTTATCGCACCGCGCCACATTCCCCGGGCAACCGCGCATCCGTCTGCAACATGAAGGTAAGCTCACCACCGACGCGACACTCTCGACACCCCCAGTTGCGTCTATTCGCTCGCAACCCTTGCAGCCATCCAATGCTCAAGAAGTGCTTTGTGAGCTTTATCTGACCACTGCTAACGAGTCTCCAGTACGTCCCCCTACGCGACTTCCAAGTCGTCACAGATGCCTTGAACTTCTCGACCACCGACCTCCATGTCATTGGCAGTTGCGATCTCTACACAACGAAAGCGGCCGGCAGCGACAAGAAACTGTACAAGAATATCGAGACTTCACTCGAGAAAGAGCATGGAAACCTATTACGCTTGGCCGCTTCGCTGTCACCCCCATCGCTCCCTATCGACAGCAGAAAGAAAGAGCGTAAGCCATCAGTCCACATGCCAGAGATCAATCTCTCTCGCGACAGCCCTTTCGGTTCCTTCAACCAAATCAGTGCAAGACGAACATTTGCCTATCTAATCGCAACCCTCAACGCCTCACACCCCGACTACGACTTCTCGCACATTCTCCGTCCTACCGACTTCCGCAAGACAACAGGCACATCAATCAGAAGAAGTGTGGATAGTACTCTTCTAAACATGCGCCCCCGTCGCATGTCTACTCTTCTGTCACCTCATGCCAAATCGTCTCTGAGTGCTGGTTCACCTCAAGGCATTACATCACCAAATGCCGAGTTCGTATGGAGCGAGCACATGTGGAAATTGATAGACATGGAGATGGATCTCAAGGCCTGTGAGAAATACACATGGGACCCCGAGGATGACCCTTTCGAGGCCGAAAGCGCTTTGTGGAGCCAACACTACTTCTTCTTCAACAAGGACAAGAAGAGAGTTTGCTATCTCAACTTCCGCGCATTTAGTGTCTTGTCACACTCACCCGCCAATGGCATGCATACACGCACGGTTCCCATCACCAACCTTCCAACCCTTGGAGAGGGAGCAGGAAAGAGAGCTCAATACTGGCTCGGTCACAGTGTCGACGACAACGACGTCGACAACTGGAGAGAAGACGATGATCTCGAGTTTGAGGACTCGATGAGCATCGACAACGACAGCAATGAAGGCGAATACAGAAACGATCTCGATGATGTCCGCGACAAGCTCGAGGACGGTTACTACTCTTGGGCCGATGGCACTGTTGACTCGAATGATGCCTCTGGCTGGGATCCTCGTCGCATGCACCGTGGCTCTAGTGAGGGTCCTGCTGATGCGATGGAGATCTAATCTGCCGAGTCAGATGTGGCCTTGATGGCCGTCATGGCCGGCAATATTCACGAACGCTGGACGTCATTTTCTTGTTCATACTAAGTTCTAATTTGGGAGTCGGAGTGGTTCAGGGCAGGCTGGCAATGGCGTTTGGTTGTTTTCTTTCCTTTTGTTTTATGACTATATCAGGCGCTGGGTGCTTGGAGTGGGAGACAATCAAGCGATCCTACCCTGGATGGTTGTGTTAATAGCGTATTCCTAAGTTTGTGTGTTTTTACTTCAGAATCGAAACCTTTCTCTGAAGTCGAGTTTCTCACCTTGTCATAATTCAAAAGCAACACCTTGATGTTCGATGCATAGACAGCATAATTCGCAGGTGGATCCAAGCAATATCCCGGCCGCGCCACCCGAAAGCGATCAGATAGACGGCGAGGAAAGCAAACAAAGGATGTTGTAGGAGTATGGCTCCGAACAATCTGCCGATAGAAGAAGACGCGAATATGGTACGACACGAATAGCATGGGAAATTGAGAAGGATCCCAGCAAAGCCCCAAAGTGCTGCATCATTTCCCCTCCAAACTTCAATCATCTCACCCTCTCCACAAACACCAAAAGTGATCCAGGTCGTTGCAACAAAAAAATGGACTGTTCAGACGATGAGCAACAGTCGGTCTACACTGTGCTGGTTACAGGCGCAAACAGGTAAGGATGCGTACCGAACTCAAGAAGAAGCGATCGTCTGACATGTNNGAACAGCGGGCTAGGCTTCTCGACCTGCTGCCGTCTCATTGACGAATTCCTGCACCTGCGACCGCAAACCCAAACCCTGCACCTCATCATCACCACACGCTCGTCCTCCAAGAACAAAGACACCCAGACCCGACTATCCGCGCACCTCCAAAAGACACTGCAAAAGGCCGACAAGTCGACACCGGGGATCAGCCAAGTACTCGCGACGCGCATCAAGATCTCGGGCGAAAGAGTGGATCTGTGTGACTTACGCAGTGTCAAAGAGCTCGGGGAGAGATTGGTACAGAGGGGACACCGCATCGATGTGCTCATCTGCAATGCAGGCATTGGTGGTTGGAAGGGGTTGAACTGGCCCAGTGCCATTTGGTCCATGCTCACAGATTGGAAACACTCTTGCACATACCCAACCTACAAGCTAGGCTTTGTAGGATCCGTCGCACCTCAAGGCTCGGAAGAGAAGGAACAGCAGTTGGGAGAAGTCTTTACGGCGAATGTGTTTGGTCACTATCTGCTTGCTCATGCGCTTGCGCCTTTGATGAAGGGAACAGACTCTCAAAAACCCGGCCGCATCATCTGGATATCGAGCATTGAGGCCTATGCACACGCCTTTGATCCAGAAGACCTGCAAGCATTGACCTCGGACGCAGCCTACGAGTCCTCAAAACGCCTTACCGATCTTCTGATTCTGACCTCTGAATTGCCATCCACTGCGAAGTCCACCTCTGCTTTCCTCCAGGAAAAGGACGACAAGCAAAAGAAGCCGAAAATGTATCTCGCACACCCAGGTGTTTGCGCAACCAGTATCGCAGACTTGCCATTGATGCTGTGGTATGCCATGTTGTTGGCGCAATATATCGCTCGCTGGTTGGGTTCGCCCTGGCACCCCGTGTCCTCATATCTCGGCGCCGTGTCTAGCGTTTGGCTCTCACTGGCACCCTTCTCCTCTCTCTCGAACCAAGAAGCCAACGAAGGAAAAGCAAAATGGGCAAGTTCTACAGACGTATTCGGCAACGAACGCGTCGTGCGGACGGAAGTCGGTGGATGGGGATGGGGTGGCAAGGTGGGAGAAAAAGCAGACGGCAAAATGAGATTGAGTGCGAACAGGTGGAGAGGTCAAGAGGACGTGACCAAAGAATCGAGAGAGGAGTTTGAGGTGCTTGGTCAGAGGGTCTGGAGGGAAATGGAGGAGCTGAGAGAGACTTGGGAGAAGAAGTTGCAAGCTTGATAGTAGCTCGACTTTCACTCTCGCCCACCCATCAACATCATGATATGTTTGACCATCATAATCCGAGCATGCATCCATCACTCTCCCTTACAATTCTCTCTCACTGGCTTGTAAGAGAACAAGAGTCGCAAAAAAGTGAAAACTCCGACCACAAGAATCGAACCCTGACCCCCTCTCCCTCTATACCTCCCCATCCCCAAAAGGAAATATTCTTCTTTGGTATACCAAAAGAAGGCTTGAACAAATCAAACGTTCGTGTGGGTTCCAAAGATTTGAGTAGGCACTGTCTTTGCTCTCCATCCCTGTTTGAATTGGTAAAAGGCAAATTCGAAGTCAGAATAATGGAAGAGCAGTGCTAACCAGAGCAGGATTTGGTTGGAATATATACCTATGCACTTGAGGAAGCTTGGCAAAGAATGCAGATGAGAGCACCCTGGCCTCCATCATCCACAATTTCCTTGCTGTCAGTTCATGCTTGTGTCGTGTCGACTTGGTCTTGAATAGCCTGCTCCAAGGATCATTGCAAACCGTGTCAGTTTTTAAGGCATGGTCAAAATATGAGAAACGTTGTTTCGTGAACTTATCTTACAATGTCGATCAGACCATACAAAAGTCCTCCCAGCACGGCCATCTTCTCCCCGCTCAACTTCTAAACACCTTTATCAAATACAATAACTAGTCCAAGCCATCATTCTACAACACGAGTACTCTGTTGCCATCAACCCCATCCTCTCTCCTCATCTCCTTGCATTTTCTTGTCCCCGATGCCAAAGCTCATCCACGCCAAAGCAAAAAAGAAAGCGGTCAAACCACCACAAAGGTCACCGTCAGAGTAAAAGAAAAAAAAAAAAGGGGTCCTCGGAGATATCTCCTAATCACAAGTGTCTCGGCATCACTGTGATGATCGTCAGAAAAGAAGCAGACAGGAGGACAGGGAAACACGGACCGTTTGTGTGCAAGTGATTAGACTGTTTGTTGATCCTGATCAGCAGGAGCAGGAGAAGGGAATCACATGGTACTTTGTTGGAAATAATGGCATCTGAGCGGTAGCATAAGCTGGTCGAGCATGATTCGCATTGGTTTAGATAGAGTGACTACGAGGAGATTGACTGAGGAGCACTGTTCGAAGTATAGTACATTGCAAGGACAACTGAGAGTAAGAACATATGCATGGCGAAATGTGTATTTGTCTTATGGAGAAGAATGTTTTGGTTTATTTCTCATACAATACTGATATATGCAAACATGGTAAAACCCCGAAAATGCTAGCGAGTGTATGTATGTATCGAGACCATTTAGATCGCAGCCCGCCGACCCAGAGACTCTACGTAAAACGTAGGACAGAAAACAAAAAAGAACAAGAATGATAAAATCTACGCAGCTTTCCTCAACTCATTGGGAGGAGAAGGCGGATCGAAATATGGTATCTCAGAAAGTGTTTTTATGCAAGAGTGAAGAAAAGAAGAAACCGGAATATGCTGAGACGCCGGACGCTGTGCAAGATTCGAACAAAAGAAATCGTTGATGCTCTTTTTCTTTCGGGTTGCATGTTTGAGTTGTTGGAAAGAACTCATCGGGTGACGTTTTCCATGGCGCGGTCCAGATCCGTGCTACGACGGACTTCTTGCTCGATGAGCTTGTCGACAAGATCAGAGTGCTGAGCTGAGAGCTGCGCCGCAGCTTCCTGAGCAGCGACGGCGTGAGCAGCAGCAGACGACGCATGTGCACCTGCCAGCATGTAGCCATCCTGACCTTCCAGCTCGAGCGGCGTCACAGGACCAGGACTGCCTAGTGGTGCAAGGCGAGGGCTTAATGGCTTCTCGAAGCGAGCTGATTGCGGTCTTCCAGAAGTTGCATTTGCAGCAGCGGTGACGGCAGCCTGAGCAGCCAAGATTTCACGTTGGTAAAGATACAGTTGCTTCTGAGCCTCGGAGTAGAGCCTTTGCTGAGCTTTGGGGCTGGCTGGAGGATTGGATGGCGACGTGGGGCTGGTACCGGGAGTGTTTGCAGTGGATGATGATTGTGACGAAGGGAAGTTTGCTGGATGGAACCGAGGCAGACCAGGCAACTTGAGTGTGTTGGCAGCGGCCGAGTTGCGGTGACGCATCTGAGAAGATGTGGCGGCAGAACGAGGATGAAGACCGCGAGGTGATGGAGGCTGCAGTTCGTAGCGTGGCGTGGGTTCAAAGCGGGACGACATGGGCGACGATGGCCTCAGAGCAGGCGAGGCGCGAGGAGAAGGCATGGTGGGAACGCAGCAAGTGTCGGGGCTGATGGTCAGAGTCGAAGGGTGCTGGGGATGTTGGAGCATCATTTGGCGAGCGAGGAAATTGAGAAGGCGACAGTCCGTTTTGTCGGTTCCAATTCAGCTCATTCGGTTGCAGAAGACTCTTGAGAGGTGGGTGATGCGAGGCAAGCACGAACAATCGTTGATTTTGTCGTCCGGGTTAGCAGCAGAAAGAGCGAGTATGGCCCGGTTTTGTTCAGGGTTGGCCTCTTTCTTTAAATTCGATTGCGGAGGAAAAGCAGGGGAGATGGAGAGGCTCGGTGCTTGATGGAAAGTGAGACGCTTTTTTCTATGATACGAAGGCCCAAAACATGGGCTCGGGTCACGACGGTGGGTCCGCCATGGCATTATTATATCGACCTGTCGTCGATGTCCACAACTGCTCGATACGCGATCGAAAATGAGGGCCCAAACCACCGACCAAGACCTCCCCCTCACCAAGCACCAAGCACCAGCCTGCGTCATGCATCAAGCACGTACGCTCAGGCCGTCAACAGGTACTCGCGGCTATTCCTAACCTCTATCAAGCACGCCATGTCAAGGTTTCAAACGAGCCAAACCCTCTGTTCTCTGGGAAGCCTTGTCGCCGTGTCGCAGCTTTGTGCGAATCAAACCTTTTCCAAACCCATGTCTTGACTCTTCAGGTTCCCATTCGCGACCAAGCACTCCAGAGGCTCAGCTGAAAGCTAAAAGTCCACACACGACATCGCCCGTTTTGGTACACGTGCAACGTCGTGTCAAATTGGAAGAGAAGATAAAGGCTCATGCCAATCTTGCGATAACTCGTACTCGTAGAAAAATATTCCCGCGATGGTTGGTAATTTGTTCCGAACCACTTCGAGCATGTCACAAGTGGCCTGCTGCACTTTGCGATGTCGTCTTCATGACCCCTCGCTTCCAATGTCCTGCTGCTAGACAACCTTGGGAGTCGGCTCTGCTTGCAGCATCAAGCTTGACGGTTATCGGCACTTGCATCGTCATATCTTCGTCTTCTCCCAACTCTACGCATGACTCTTGTCCTGACGGCCTCCCAATCTCCGAGTGGCTGAGATTGCGGAAGCACACCTGCAGCGGTTTGTCAGGCCAAGTCCTGTGCCAATTGCGTTTGTCACATCACCAAAGAGATGTGCGAAGAAATAAAAGTGGAGGAGGCCAAGCCAATTCGTTGGCTTGTCTGCCCACGCTGCCGGACCTGCGTCCCGCGGCGGCGTGGCTGTCCATTGGCTTTTCCTTCATTTTGCCCTCTTTCTGCCGCCTATGTGAACTACTTGTCTTGCTCACGTGATGCGCGCAACATACCTCTCCTTTGGCCCTTCTGGTACGTGGATCATCTTTCTAGCTGTCATGGAAGGCAAAGACTGCCAGTTGCGGGAAAGTCAAGCGTGGCCTCGGGGAAACAAACACTCTGATCTCTTCCTTTGTTCGGCCAAGGAATCCTCTTTGCTTGCTACGGAAACCCATCGCGCTATTGTACAATAGATGGTCCCGCACCGATGATCTTTTACTGTGTTGGCAGCCCGCAGAAACCCGCCTTTTAGGTCGCTTGAACCAGAGGAGAGGAAGGAGAAGGTAAAGCGGGCTATCATGCATGCCCAAGAAGCGCGCGACTCGCAAGTTAACAGACACGTTTTCCGTATGGGACAAATACATCCGCCTAAGGCATACAAACGCCGGTGGAGCACAAACAGATCGTCCTGCTGATGTGCCATCTTCTTCATCGGCACTTTTCCAATCGCGACGTCACGGACAAGGCTAAGTAGACACGACGAGAGATAGAGATCGAAGGTAAGTCGATGCGCAGCGACCGCACATCAGAAACTGTATCTTTGGTCCTCTGTTCTGCCCACGCAACATGCCTTCTGTCGAAGCCTACTTGTATGCTGTGTACCTGATGTGCATCTTCTCTGCTGCCGTGTCATGCTATGAGGTATCCTGCTTCGCCATGTTTTTCCCAACTCGACTCGCATCGGCGATGTAGAGTTTGACACGAGACTACGGGTCGCCTACTTGTCTACCTATCTCCCGCACTTCCTTTGGCAAAAAGGCATACTTGGACGATTAGAGATGCTTAAAAGCCAATTGGATAGGCAACAGCTTAACGACCTTGATATTCTGGCAAACCATGTAGATCGCACAAACGTGGTGCTCACGGAGTTGCATGCTAGGTTTCAAGGACGAATCTTATCTGGCCTGGCCACGATCAAACCGTTTCCTCTCCTTTTGTAGTTGGTCACTTGGAACGAGTATCGCAGATGGGCAAGAGTAAGAGAGTTTGTATCTCAGGATGACTTCGTTTGCAAGATTGCAAAAGAACAAGGAGGATGGATCCTGGCATGTGATGGAGTCATGGCAATTGGTTGGTTGGAGTAGTAGCAGGAGCCGTGCAGGGTGATGATTCTGCTATGCACGAGTACAAATTAGGATGGATACTGTATAAAGATGGGCGGGGGGTGTAGCGGAGGAGAGCCAAGCTTCAAGGTGTTGTTGTATTCTGATGGTTAGCCTCGTACCCTTCGTGATACACACGTCTACTCGTCCTGCCAACGCATGAGCTTCTCTCCTCAGCCGAGCGTTGATCTTGGTCAGTCTATCGTTTCCGCAACTTGACCATCCAGTACAATCCTTGAAAATCGAAGCGAGAGACGAGCGGAATGAATGGCACAAGTACACAGGACGATAAATTTACATTTTGTTCAAAGCAGAAAAAGCGAAGTGACTGGTTTACAATTGATGCTAGTCGAGCTTCGATGTTTGCAAAAAGAAAGAGGCCCCTCAAAAGTAATCTATACGTTTACTCGGCGTCGTCGTCGGCGTGCTCCAGGCGACCCTGCTTGGAGTTGAGGTACTCGTTGCTGCGGAGTATATTAGCTCAGATTCAAGTTTTGACCGGTCCAGAAGATGCGCTGTTCGAATCGACAGCCGAGAAAATGGAGTGAGAAAAAGCGAAATTTGGTGAACGTCAGGAGAGGTTCCCCGACCGCATTGGGCTTCCCACATCCATCTCTTGGTGTCGTATCTTCTGGAGCGGGAAAAGAGAGTCTTTTGGCTGCTTACTTCTCGGTGGCCCAGTTCATGAGCTCGTATCCGATGAGCATAGGGACGGCCCAGTAGAGGATTTGACCCTTGGTTCTGCGGTAGGTGTTGAAGACAGCGGCGTGTGCGGTACCAGCAAGAGCACGCTGACGGTTCTGGGCCATGGCGTAGGTAATGATACCACGCTGCGGCGGGGAGCCTGAGCGAAGGAAGAATGGTTAGTGTTGGTTCGATGGATGAGGCGTGGAACATGGCGGTGGTTGAGTCGGGCGAATTCGTCTATCGGTGATTGCAGGTCGAGGAGATGTTGCACGATGTGTGGATTAGAAACAAATGTTAGGAGAAAGGCATACCGAGGCTACCCCACCATCCCATGTACCTGAGAGAGAGTTAGCAATGCGCCGTGATGTGTCGAGGGTCGTTGATGCGCCGGAGTTGGTGGGCGCTCAAGACGACTCGGGGGGCTCAAGCGACTCACTGGCCAGGCTTCTTTTCTCCGCCACCACCCATTGTGATAGACTATGTGTAGATTGAAAGGGGAAGAGAGAGGAGAGTCGTGTGGAACAGAATGCGGCGTGCTGTCGTCTTGATGGAGGCAGGATCGAAGTTCGCCATGGCCGTGGTCAGCACGCCGCTCAGGCCTTGCGGCCGCCAAGACTCAGTTGTCGGAAGAGACAGCAACTGGACCGACATGCAAAGCGTCACCACCTGAAGCTCTCTGTACAGCTACGCGCCACTGCACAATACAACATTCCAACCATGGCCGCCAACGCTCTCGGTGCCATCTACAAGTGGGCTGTGCCCGCCGCCCTCGGCCTGTCTCTCGCAAATGCCTCCATATACGATGTCAAGGGCGGTACCCGCGCCGTCATCTTCGACCGTCTGTCGGGTGTCAAGGAAGGCGTTATGAGCGAGGGAACTCACTTCCTGATTCCCTGGCTGCAAAAGAGCATCATCTACGACGTCCGCACAAAGCCCCGCAACATCTCGACCACCACCGGTTCCAAGGATTTGCAGATGGTCAGCTTGACTCTCAGAGTTCTGCACCGTCCCGAAGTCAAGGCCCTCCCCAAGATTTACCAGGTTCGTTCGCCTTCCGGCTGCGCATAGAGTCGCTCGCATGAGCTCACCTTGAATGTCTAGAACCTTGGTCAAGACTACGATGAGCGTGTCCTCCCCTCGATCGGAAACGAGGTCCTCAAGGCCATCGTCGCACAGTTCGATGCTGCCGAACTCATCACCCAGCGTGAAGCCGTGTCCAACCGTATCCGTACCGACCTCCTCCGCCGTGCCTCCGAGTTCAACATCGCCCTCGAGGATGTTTCCATTACCCACATGACTTTCGGCAAGGAATTCACCAAGGCCGTCGAGGAGAAGCAGATCGCACAGCAGGAAGCCGAGCGTGCACGCTTCATTGTCGAGAAGGCCGAGCAGGAGCGCCAGGCCAACGTTATCCGCGCAGAGGGTGAAGCCGAGTCAGCCGATGTCATTTCCAAGGCTGTGGCAAAGGCCGGTGACGGTCTCGTCCAGATCAGAAGAATCGAGACACAGAAGGAGATTGCCCAGATGATGGCCAACAACCCCAACGTCACCTACCTGCCCGGTGGTAGCAACGGAAATGGTCAAAATGGTGGCCAGGGCGGCAACTTCCTGCTTGGTTTGAGATCGTAAAAAGATGTCGTGTAAATCTGTTATACCTTGGGCTTGTTATTACCACGGCGTTTGATGCGGCATGGCAGGCATGGGCATGAGCAAAACTACTACCTCTTCTCTTATCTTCTTGTATACATATCTACGTACGCACGACCAGCGCTTCTCTTCGCTTCCAATATGCCACTCTACTGAAACGCCATCGCTAACGAAACACACGAAACCGAAAACACACATATCACTCTCCGTTCCACCGCAACGTTTCGGTATAGAAACGCACCAAGGCTTCATAGCCCAGCTGATCGCCCTGGCGTAATAGTTGGGCGGCGTCGATGTTCAAGGGACTGTCAGGCTCGGCAGAAGTAAGAAGTTGCTGCACGGCCTCTAAAGTCTGTTGGACGGAATACACGGGACTCCAACTAGACTTGAGCAGATCCAGACATATCTCTCCAGTTTTGAAATGTACATTCGGATGGCAGATGGGGGTGACGAATGTGATGGTAGGAGGCTTGTTGGGATATGTGTCTGGGATTATGATGTCGAGTTTCCACAGGCCATCTAGTGTTTTTGGTCAGGAAGTGGGTAGGAAGAGTCACATGGGATGGTTGATGGGTTTACTTTGGTATGCGGTGCCTTCGACACCCTTGAGCACAGCAGTCCAGTGGGTCAGCTCTTCGTCGTTGAGGGGACCGAGGTGGAGTAGTGCATCACTTGGATCCTTTTCATAAGATCGTAACTCATGTAGCAGTCTCTTGGTCACCTGCTTGGAAGCCATTCGGTAGCCTGATGTCTTTGGTGTGCTTGAAGTTGTCCTTTGGGACACGGACGAAAGTGCGGGGATGAGGTTGACGTCGATGATGCTTGGCATACCATTTGTTCGCCGAATGGGAATTTCTTCGTCCTGTCGCATTCGATCTCATTCCCGCACAATCCTCAGTACCAACATGACGGTCCCTTCAGCAGACGTCTCGATCCTCCACAGAGCAGATGGCTCAGCACGATACTCGGCGGCCGGCTACACAGTCGTGGCGGCCGTCAACGGTCCCATCGAGGTAACACGCCGTGATGAGCTGCCCCAGCATGCTGCTCTCGAGGTCAACGTGCGCCCTGCCGTCGGTGTAGGCAGTGAGTGCCAGCCTCTTCGATACTGAGCCCGATCAGATCTAACCCGACATTCGCAGGTNCCCAAAGAACGTCATCTCGAATCGCTCATCCACTCGACACTACGCGACATTGTCCTGACGCACATGCACCCTCGCACCTTGATCCAGTTGACTCTGCAAATCGTCAACACTCCTGAGCAGGAGAATACTCTCCTTGCCTCTTTCGTAAGCCTTTCTCAGTCTCTTGCATGATCTCCAAGACTGACAGGGACACCANNGGCCCTCTCACCTCTGCCGGCTCTCCTTAACGCCTCTATGCTCTCTTTACTCAACGCTAGCATTCCCATGAGCAACACTTTCACCTCAACTCTCCTGGCCGTTTCATCCTCGGGCGACCTCTCCATCAATCCTGCTCCCAAGGTCTTGCTTTCCGCCTCCTCTGCACACGTATTTGCTTTTTCGTCGACTGGAAACCTCATTCTGGATCTGAGTGAAGGAGAGTTCGATCTGGATACCTGGGAGAAAGCACACGACAAAGCAAAGGAGGAATGCTGCAAAGAGCAGCTGTCAGAAGATGCCATGGAAGAGGGAAAGCCTAGCCTACAAGGCTTTGTCGAAAGAGTGGTCGAGGCCAGAGTCGACAAGGAGAGAGCTTGGAAGAACGGCTAGATGCTGCGACTCGACATCGACACAGCAGGAATCTGGATCCAACAGAGACTACCAAGGCCGAACATGAAGTACATGATGCCAGAGGGAGACACGCGAAGAGCAGCATCGCCTGAGACTTGGTGGACCACATTACTTAACGAACACCAATGTTGGTCGTTGAGAATCCGCGACCAGGCATGGCAGAGAGTCTCACCACTGCCTAGTACAGATGGAGGCACCATAAACTATATCACAAATGGCTCTTCTGTCAAATACAGATGCAGCTTCGGTGCCTCTAACCCTTCGGAATGAGGGACCAAACACTTCTCATACTCGAGCCGTAGAGACACAAGACGAACTCGTTGCAAAAGTTGTGGTGGAGATGGTGTTTCTGTCAGTTCTATGCTCAAAGGCATAGAGTCTATGAACTTGGTCAGCTCGGGGTGAAGAGAGTTTATAATCAGCCAAGATATACCCAGATGACAGACCATTGCCTGTTGACAATCACAAAAGACCACTGAACATACAGTTCAGCCTGCCGACATTGCTTCACTCACTTCATCTCACCCAAACCCACCTCACTCGCCCTACTCTTCACGTGATATACGGAAAGCTATTCCATGCCCCTATCAGAGATTGGTACTGTGGCTCGCACAGAAATCACTCGATGGAAACTGGCGTAAATAGAATCCAGAGGTGGTGAGTTCGACTCTCTGCCTTGGTTGGTCGAACTGTTTCCCCCAAGCATGCTTGGTTTTTTTTTTGTTGCTGTGTTTCTCTCATACTTTTGTTAGTCCACTCTCTTCTTGTGTTGGCACGATCGCTCCTTCCCTGATTAGGTGGTTGCTCCTTCCTCATGATTGAATACTCCTTCCTCATGATTGATCGCTCTTTCCTCAAGATTGGTCGCTCCTTCCTTATCTCTGCTCCTTCTTTGTATTCGCTCCTTCCTTATGAACCGTACCTTCTCTACCAATAGCACCTTGCTTATAGATCACACATTGCCTACGATCACTCCTCATTACAGTACCTCAGAATTGCCTCCTTCTTCGGTCTCGCCCTACGCTTCGCTCTACCATCTTCCTCTTATCATCGTCTATCTGCTTGTATACAACTTGCCACCTTTTGGATCATCTTTTGTTTGGATCAATCTTTGGTTGTGTCATCTACCAGTTTCCCAAGATATATCTTCTGGCTCTTTGTCCAGAGCCAGAGGTTTACGGCGCATTGGGAAGGAAGAGTACTCGTGTGACTGGGCAATCTTCCATGAGTACGAAAGGGAAAGTCGGAACAAGGGGAAAGTACGATCGAAAGGTTCCTTCCAACATCAGTGAGAGGGGTTCAGGGAAGAGACGATTGACTTGGTCTACTGAAGGAAGGCACGATCAAAGTGGAAAAGCGAGGAAAGAATGGCAAGAGTCCTTGCACATTTGATGAGAGACAGATCCAAGTAACAGATTCTTTAAGAAGCCACCAACAATCAAACAGGCAGCGTAAGCGTAGGAAGGGTACTTTGCATTTCACTCAGGTATACAAGAGATGCGTCCCACCACAACAAAAAACAAACAGACAACAACAAGCCCCCCTATGCAAATCGTAGCAAGTCATTTATCTCTCAGATCCTTTTGAACCCTTCTTTCGTGTCCTCTTTGCTCCAATCAATCGTCACGCCCTTCTCGTCCTCTTTGTACAGCACATTGCAACACTTTTGCAACCTATCAAGTACACTGTCGTAGCGACGTTCACACTCTTTGCACACCATCGAAACCATTTGTCGTGACAATTGCTCTTCGTCCGCATCGCCAAAGTGCTTCTCGATACGTTTGCGCAACGTGTCGATGCCGCTGCGTATACTCTTGCCGTCGTGCGAGGCGAGCAGCTTTTTGGTGTTGTGGCGAGAGTAGAGGGGTCGGGAGGCTATGCTTGGGCCGGTCATGTTTTGGTTCAAGAGACCTTCCGCACCTTCGATAAAGTCNNCTGGAACGAGAATGTCAGTATAAGCACGATACTTCGATGTGAGATCAGAACTTACGATGATCTTGCCGAGTGGCCTTCGGACCACACGACCGACGTATTCTTCCATATGTTCGGCGCGGTCCATCAAGGCCTTTGCTTTCCACTCGGCAAGCACTGAACCTTCCTTATCACCATCATCCACTTCCTCGATATAGTGGTTCATATTTTCGATCAATAGAATGTGGTAGTTCAAAATCTCCTTGTCCTCATATTCGAGACCATGTGCCGTTGTAGCAGATGCAGCAACGCCAGTAGCGGTCGGTGACTCTCTAGCAATGACCTTAAGAGAGTCCCACATAGCTCTGTTGATGCGAATGTATGCATCGTCGATCAATTGACGTGCACCAAGAACCGCTGCATGACCATCGTACTCTCTGGCTGCTGCAAGATATGTACCTTCAACGGCATTTGAGAACATGGGGAAGATTTTCATGAAAGCGATGACACCCTTGCGCTTCTTGATCTTGACCTTTGTGTCTTCAATGGCGTGGATCTGCTCGTCGACGAACTTCTGGAAGAGCGTCTGCAAGCGTGAAGAAATCTCGTTGAGGTTGTGAAGCAAAAACTCTTGCGATGTTTCCTGCAAGCGGTATGCATGCAAAGCCAGAACAGTGAGGACACCAACTCCTTGGATAGGATCACCAGCGTTCGCCCATTCCATCAGAGCTCTCAATTCGTCTTTCCAGAACGCGAATGTCTCCTCCATGACATCAGCCACACGTCTTGCCATGGCTCGGTCAGGTTCCATTAAACGTCTACCAGTAAGATCGGGACCCATGCGTGCTTCGGGGACGTTAGCCACGACTGCATCTGCAAAGTCGATATTCTCGAGACTAGTGGCGTGGAAAAGGTCGACAATAAAGTTTTGCTCCATGGAAATCAGTGGAACCTGTTCTTCAAGCACACCATTGAAAACCTCGAATGGTGCCATACGTCCAGGTTGCGCTCTGTCAACAGCCGTGGGCTTATCGCCACCAATGCCAGCCGAACGGAAAGATTTGGCCAGTGTTTGAGATCGCTTGACTGTTAGCTTGCGAGCAGTACTGGTAAGACCTTCGGATGTTTCCTTTTCAACCGAGGTGAAGAGCAGTTCAGTAGCTTCGCCGCCAGCCGTACGCGCTCCCCTCTTCCAGTTGTTGGTGTTGTCTCGGAAGACATCAGTATACAGCGGACGAGCCTTAGTATAATACATGCGGAGAGTGCTTTGCCATGCAGACATGTTGGTCTCCTTCGTAAAGAGAAGCAATGGACTGAATTGCCAAAGGTTGGCACGAGCCAGATTGAACCCCGAACCGTTAAGTTTCATGGTAGCATTACCAATACCACCGGGGTGTTGCAGAAGCGCGGGTTTGGCAGCACCGAGTGCTGAAGCAAAAGTGTTGTCCAAATAATGCATCAAGCGTTGGCAGAACTCAGCGCTCTCTCGCATGTATGCATTACGTTTCTCTTGCAAAGCGTTCATGGTACCAATGTCGCTAGTATCGAGACCGGTCGAAGGTCCAGATCGACTCAAAGCATTTGTCGAACGTACAGAAGGATCGATAGTAGCCATAGCCTTGTAAAGAAGAAGCAGCGACGATTCTACTGTCATGAGAGCTTCTGGGTTGCTGAAGTCTCCGTGTCTAAGGGGCTCTAACTGACGCGGTGAGATTGAGATAGTTTCAGCCAGCTTCTGCAGCTCAGTATGCAAGATCTTCTGGTTAGCGGTTTGAACTTGAAGACCTTGTGATTGCGCCTCAATAAAGGCAATGTCGTCGTTGAGAGTGCTCAGTTCAGCGGAATAAATGGTCAGGAGTCCGTCAAGCTCATCACACTCAGCGATTGCTCGGTCAAGCATTTGGTCAACAACGTCAACCCGATCATCTTTTTGTTCAAGATGACCTAGCCAGCTACCAGCCTCGACACGACCCAGCTCGCGTTTTAGATCAGCCTCCAGATCTTCCAGTTGCCTTCCTTTCAAAAGGCCAGATCCCCAACCAAAGTCGGAGAGAATGGATTCGAATTGGATCCCTCTGCCGTCGAGTAATCTTGGGTCAATGTTAAGTGAGCGAAGGTGGTTTTCTTGCTGCGCCGATCTACGCTTTGGTCGTCTGGGCTCTGGTACTACCACAGGAACTTCAGGTTGTTTCGGCTGTTGTTCTGCCTCAGGCTGGTGGAAGTAGTCCTCTGCAGTGGCTCCATCGATGGGCGTGTGAACTTGCCCTGCCTCATTTGCAACCTTGGGCAAAGATTCCGGCTCGGTGTTTCTGATCTCTGATACAGGCTCAGCCACAGACGAAGGGAACTCGGGTTTTATAGGAGACACCGGGAGTTCCGATCTATCAACGTCCACGCTCATCTTTCGCAAAGGAGCCGGAACGACACCAGTGATACCGTCAGGTCCCTGTCCCTTAGTAGCAGCCTCTGCCAAAGCTCTCATACGTTCGGCTGCGCCACCGGCACGAGGTTTGAATGCACCCTGAGCTGCAGCAGCTTTTCTCAGGGCATCCGCGAGTTTAGGCCCGGTTTTCTTTTTGATCATCGGTCCAAGACCAGGGCGATGCGCTTCCTCGTCCGACAGAACATCTCTGGGTTCAGAACCTGGAGATGGTAATTCTTCTGGTTGTACAAGCGGAAGAGTCGGAGCCTGCGCAGGTTCTGGTTCTCTAGTCATAAGTTGTGGTGGGGGAGCTTGAGATGACACATCGGCACTTGAAGCAGTCGGCGTATCGTAGAAAGCACCAGGTATGCCATCAGAGGTCGATTGTGGGGGCAAGAACTTTTCAATTCCCAAACCACGAGGACTCGAGGGACGACCGACAGTAGCAACAGTACTGGCATTTGTGCTTGCACCGGATACATTTCGGCTCGTTGAAAGTGGAGGTGGGCGTAATGCTTCTGACTCTGGATCATTCTCGCTTGGTGTTGCACTATATTGTCGACCTCCCGCCATGAACGGCCGCTTGCGCTCAGGAGGAACTTGGATGTTATTAGAAAACTGATCAGACGGAGCGGTGGATAGATCTCTCTCCCGTTGGCTCACAGCACCGGGCTGCCGCTGGTTCTTCAAGGTTTCGAAAACTGAGGGCCGAGGCTCGGTCGGTTCAACAGCGGCAGGATGAGGCTTCCTGGGAGAGGGTTGTCTCATCGGTGAGACTTCGCGCGACGGAGGCTTCCACTGGTTGAGCGTTGACGTGAACATACTGACTTCGGTTGTGGCTCCAGTCGACTCATGACTACGCTGACTCTGGATACTTCGCTCGCTCCGCACACTCTGGTAACTCTGCTGACGTCCTTCAGCACGAGCAGGAGCCAAAGTTCCAGGCTGTTCGTTCGGCTGATTTAAATGTGGTGGAGGCTGATCAGAGAGCAGGGGATTAGACCTGATGGACGAAGCGAAAGAGGCGTTGGGCGAGTCAGACATTTGAGGTTGTTGCAATTCAGCCTTTGAAGACTTGGGAGTCAAACGAGGTCGGGGACCAGGAGGAGGACCATTGTTCAGTGGCGGAGGAGCAGCACCTCGTTGCATAGGCTCTCGACTTTGAGCACGTCCGGGCTCACGGCTTGGGGCACGCATAGGCTCGCGACTGGGAGCACGCATAGCTTCACGACCTGGTTTCTGGATACGCTCTCGGCTAGGCTGTTGTCGCAAACCTCTGTCCTGTGAAGGCCGAGGCTGAGAATGCAGAGCTCCAGGCGGAAGAGGCTCGCCATTTTCAGGCGGTGGTCGAAAGCGTTGGCGAGAGTCTTGGGACGAGGGACGATGTTGTTCGACAAAAGGTGGACGAGGAGGGGTATTCTGAGAAGGCTGGCGATCTTGGACAGCGGGCGAACTGCGCGGTGCTTGTTGCTGGCCAGCAGCCAAACCGAGCATCTGGTCTACATCTCGAGGGTCGAAGCCACGTAGGTCTGGAACCTGGCCCTTTGTATATTTGCGGTAGATCTTGACCAGACTAGCGACGAAGAAATCCTTCTCTTTGGACGTGGCAGCCTGCCAATAGTAGGGCTTGGAGATGGTGACAACGAAGCCGACGCTACCAGCCCATTGGTAGTGGTTCTGCTTGGGTGGAGGGGCATTAGGATCGGGGTGCGCAAAGGACTCGATGGCGGACAGGTCCTCGAGGTTCCAGGTCTTGCCGATGGAGAAGGAGCCGTTGTTGTTCTCACGAGCCTTGTGCATGCGGACACGGCCAGTGCTACGGACGGCGACGACGATGATGCGAGGCTTCTTGTTGTCGGGAGCTGAGGTGGGCGGGGGAGGGGTCGAGGGATGGGCGGCATCTTCAGATATGCGAATATGCGTAATGTACGACTCGGCGACTATTTGATCGTGTCAGCGGGGGCCGGACAGTGGATGCAGACAGCGATGCGACTCACGCTGACCGTTCTGGTCGAGCTTGGAGAAGCAGCTCTCGACCATGCGTCGCTTCTCGTCCTCGAAGCGCTCGGCACGGGTCATTGTGTTGTTGGTGGTCGGTTGGCCTTGTGGCAGCGAGGGCTTCCTGCCGCGGGCGTCATGTTGCATGGCCGAGTCGGACGGGTTGCGCGACTGCGAGCCATTCATGCTGTCGACGTGACTACTGGATCCTGCGATTGTACTGCATCTGGAGGTCGGCCAGACTCACTGAAGCTGACGGACAGCGGAGGATCAAGCGCGAATTGTGGCTGGGAGTATGAAGACGCGTAGGAAAGATGACGGATAGATTGCTGGCAGCCGTTCGACTCCCGGCACAGCGAGCAACCCAAACCTCAAGCCTCAAGACTCACAGCCCGGTGCCTCCCTCCTTGCCCGCCGAGCTGCGAGTCTTGGCACCTGGGGCTCTTATCGCCGACTATGCCCTAATCCCCGTCGGCAGTGCGGGCCGAGCAGGTGTGTCTACCGACTGAACCTTCGACTTTTTTTCTGTATCGCGACTGCCTTTTCGCGACGCCTTCCATCACAATCATTTTTCACACAAACCTCACACCATGTCTTCAAAAGCTCCGTCACCCGAGCTCCTCGCTCTCGTCAACGACTTCCTTGCCAGCAATGGCTTTGAGAAGGCCGCTAAGGCTCTCACAAAGCAAGCCAAGGACCAAAGCATCGCTCTGGCCACTGATGGAAAGACTACCCTGACCGCCCTCTACGATGCCCGTCCCAAGGAGACGCCCGCCNNGCTGCAACTGCCGACGACTCCTCCGACGCCAGCGACAGCAGTGACGACGAGTCATCTTCCTCCGACTCCGACTCCGACTCCGGTTCCGAGAGTGAAGACGAGAAGAAGCCCGTGAAGAAGGAGGCCTCCAAGAAGCGCAAGGCCACTCCTCCTAGCTCCTCCGACTCCTCCGACTCTTCCGAAGACAAGAAGCCCGCCGCAAAGAAGACCAAGACCGTCAAGAAGGCCGAGGTCTCCTCCGATTCCTCCTCTGCGTCGTCTTCCTCCGAAAGTGAAGACAGCAGCGACTCTTCTGATTCTGAATCAGACTCCGACTCCTCCTCATCTTCCGACTCAGACAGCTCCAGTGATTCGGACAGTGACAGCTCGTCGTCCTCAGACAGTGATTCCTCGGACAGCGAATCCGAGTCGGAAAGCGAGAGCGAGAAGAAGAAAAAAGTCCGCAAAGGTCGTCAAGGCCGAGAAGCCCGCAAAGAAGGAAAAGAAGGAGAAGAAGCCCGTCGTCAAGGCCGAGCCCTCGTCCGACTCCGCTGCTTCGAGCGTGACCCTCGCCGACGTTCCTGCGCTTGTCAAGGCCGAAGTCGACACCATTATGGTTCCCGCAAGCTCAGCCCTTGGCCAAGCTGAAGGGACTGCTGCCCCGTCCACCGACGCGGACGAGCACATGCACCCTAGCCGCAAACGCAAGCTCGGAGGTGCTTTCGGCGAGGCTGAGCAGCAAGTTGCTGTCCCTGCCACCGAGGAAAACATCAAGCGTGCAAAGAAGGAAAATGTTCCTTTCAGCCGCATTCCCAAGGATCAGTGGGTCGACCCTCGTCTTCAGAGCAACGCTTTCGTGCCTTACGACTACGCTCAGAGGGCACACGAGGCATTGATCGTTACCAAGGGCAAGGCTTTCACCAAGGCCAAGAACAAGGGCAAGCGTGGTAGCTACAGAGGTGGTATTATCGACCAGACACCCAAGGGTATCCAGTTCGAGGACTAGAGGCCTCGAGGAGGCTTGGAATTGAAGTATAGACTACACAAAAGTCAAAGCGTGGAGTTTTTGTTGCGCAAAACAGGTTCGGGGTTTCCTATGTCAGGTGTTTTTTTGTTGGATAGAGTACCACACATTTTCCAGGCATGGCTCACTTTCTGTAATCAGAGCCGAATTTTCACAATCGCTTCAACCAACGGATTCATCATGTACAACAGTCTATTATTTCCTATGCACTGTACTGTCAAGCACGGAAGGCCTTTCGAGTCAAATATTCTCAATGCATGTTCTGAACGGTCCTTGGCTTGACAAGGTTAATTGTCTCGAACCTCGAGCTCTTTGCTATTGCCTTTAACAAAGCCCCGCATCCACGACCCTATCAGATCACCACCAGAATGATACAGAAAACCCAAAGACTCTCGTTCGGACAAAGTGTAGACTGCACACGCATCTTGTGCACTTCGGAAAACACTCTTCAGACCACGTCCGTACTCAATGTGGAGGCATGAAGGTGGCAGAGCAGATCCAGCTTGAGCAAGATTAGGGTTTCTTGCTCACACCCAATTCAAAAGTTCACATCATGAGATCTATAAAGACCAACCATCATTCCCAAGAGTGACACGACATTATCAGAAAAGAACGTGGGAAGAGCGGGGATCTGGTACTCATCCCACGGAGGGAAAAGAGTATAAGTGCTGCTCACTCTTTACTTCTTTCCCTTAAAGCTTTCTTTCTTGTACTTGTTTGTCAACAAGGGTTCATCTCAACACTACTCAAGGAAACCCTGCCTTCAACATGAAGCTCACAGCTACTCTCCTCGCTGCCCTCAGCACCACCGCTCTGGTCACCGCTGTTCCTGTCGAACCTTCCTCCGACGAAGCCCTTGCTAGAGCAGAGTTGAACGAGCCTGCTGGCTGTTACTGGGCACGAGATGTATGCAGCTGGTTCAATATGATGTAAGTCTATTTTGAGAGAAGAAAAGAAAAGAAACAGACCCTTTGCTTGTCATCCAGCTAACGCTCATTGTAGTTGGTGCACGAGTAACGTAAACGTCTGTTACGAAGAATGCTTGACGAAAAAGGGCTGCCCAACCCATAAGTTGCCAGAGATTCCACCTCCAGAACTCGAAGCTTCCAAGATCGCCGAGCTCGCCGCTCCTGTCGACGCCTCCTCCACAGAGGCTCTTACTGAAGCCGAGTCGAAAGAGCCTGCTGGCTGTTTTTGGCTACGACAAAAATGCTCTTGGTGGGGCGCAACGTAAGTGTTTCTCCAACAAGAAGGATCATGCTCGTCATGTGGCTAACGCTGTTATAGCTTCGTATGCACCAAAAACTCGGACGTCTGCTATGCAGAGTGCTTGAGAAAAGGTGGCTGCACCGTTCACCCCAAGATGCCAGATGGAGGGCCTAAAGAACGTGAGCCTCCCAAGAACCACGAGCTCGAGAGTCTCGATTAGAGAGAGTCGGGCGGACCAGGACGTTACGGGAGACAACCTCATTGTAACGAACACATGTTTGACTGCTTCACGAAGGAGGAGTGAGTGATATTTTCCTGCAAAGAAAACTCCCTATCATCCTTCTATCTGACTCATGTGTGCTCTTAGCCTCAACTGGGCAGTCAACGACGACAGGGTCTACGGCAATTGCATGGTCGAGCATTGCTGTCAGTATTCGTCGATGTGGGTGTGAGTGTGGAAGGAATGTACGCCGGTCAGACAGGAAAAGTTTTGCATGGTTCAGATTGAATCTTCGATATGAGGGTCAGGTCTTCGGACCTTACCTTTTGTACTTTAGTATGGATTTCCATGAATCATAAGAAATGGTTCTTTCGAAATTGTCTGGTGGTCTCTTGTGTGCTCTCTCATGTGTGCGCCTTATATTGTGTTGTGTATGTCATTGCTCAGCATGTTCTGGAGGTTTTAGTAATACGACAGTCGCTAGACCTTGAGCTACATGTAGAAATTTCCACTTCGGTTGGCTTATGGGCTGTCAGGGCTGTGAAGAGTCCACAACTTGCTACCGTGGCTGTTTTGTATTGCTGGACCATCGAGCTTGTCAATAACGGAGGTGTTCGTCCAGTGTTTGGGCGAAGAATGTTTTAAGGGCTCCAGTAGTCACGAACATGAAACAACTCTGTTCAGCCTAGAAAAACTGGTGAAGGGTTTGGGGTAGGAAACATGGGGTTCCGATGCCTAGAGCATGGGAGATGTCAGACCAAAGTTCGCCTAGAAGCATGTCATGTCTCGGACTCGTCGGAAGAGAAACACGGACAGGAGTTGAGAAAAAGTCCAAAGGCGAACCGTGGCGACTTGTAGAGTAGGGGTCCGACATTGGAAGCGGTAGTCGCGTTAAAAGAGCAAAAAGCTATGAGCAAGGCTGAGGCGTCGTATGCAATGTCACGACGTTTCGCGTGCAGCTGGAAAAGAAGAATCCTCGGTGGCGCAAGCAAGAAACGGTCTATGCTATCTTCAGGGCTGACGAGGTCAATCGTACCGAGTACCAGGTTCTTTCAAAANGACATGTTGGACCGTTGTTGGTGGCTGGCGTATCATTGGAAGATCAATGTGCTTTGNACATATATGATATGCAGGAGTAACGAACAGTCACCTCATCGAACAGTGAACGCTCCGAGTTTTCCGAGAACAAGTATTTGTAAGNNGCAGGAACATGCTAATNNGATATAGGAGATAAAAGGGGTATCTAGATGAGCTTGGTAACGAAAGAAAGAACGAAAAAGAGAATTGCTGGCGGCAGCACCACACCATAAGATAGAAAGAACAGATAAGACACACTGGGGTTTTGTTACATAGAAGACAGCAAGGAAGATGAAAGAAAGAAAGTCCAAAATAATGCGCCATGTTTTGGGTTGCCCCATTNNTCCTCCTGTTCGCCAGTGTAAGNNAGTTGTACAAAGCCTGTAGTCCTTCCTTCCAAGCACGCGAATGCTGTAAGAACGTTCTATCCGCATTGCATGATGCAGTGAACANCGCGAAGGAAGAAAGATAGGGAGATAACGCCAGTCGACCGATGAGAAGAGAGCAGATAACGCCATTTTGGGACTGTCCGCTCTTTGCGCCAGATGGAAAAATTGAAAGAAGTCGCGATTCTTTTTTTGGTCGAGATTTTTGATTTGCAGTGTTGGTCGTTCTCCAGAAGTGGAAGTTGTTCCTCGGAATGTGGAGAAGAGAAGGCAGGGCCAAGAAATGTGTAAAATTGATCATGAAACAAAAGCCGTTGATGCCGAGATGAAACCGTCAGATGGGGTATATTATGCGAAAGAACTCCAGGAACCAGGTAGCGAAAGATGAAGCAAAATGCTCCAGTGTGTGTGGCGAGAATGACAGGTTGCTCTGTGCTTTGCAGCAGTAGAGCAGTGGGCGATGATTGTGTTCGAGAGAGTTGTGCTCGAGAAAGTTGTGTTCCAGAGGAAGCAGCAAGGACTAGGAGTGTGGGTTAGCGCGAGTCCACTTCAAACAGTCCGGCCGTCCCGCGCCGGACCAGAGCTTAAGGCAGACTAACCCTTGCGGAAGCAAGTATAGAACAACGCCAGCGCTTGTTTCCTTTGATTGCTGTGTCTTCCATTTCCTCTTCCGGCCGCAAGGAAGAAGGAGAAACGGAATGACAGCTCATAATACTCTCGTGTCAGGCGGGATCACAAGATTATCGAGGCTTTGGTGGCGGAGGTTGGCCAGGCTTCAAAGTGCCTGTCGTGTCGTACGCTCCTCGGCCCATGTTGATTGTGACGACGTTGCTGTTCCTTCTGATCATAGGGAAACTGACTGCTCTTGGAGAGGAAGACTGGGTGCGCAGTGCAAACTGTACGTGAGATCAATGTCAGTATACCATTATATCTTGTCGCATTTGTCATGCCCGGGTGATACAGTCGGGCAAGGAGGNGCAAGGCTTACGATGAGTAACGGTAATCAAGTCGAATGTCCTCGTGAAGAAAACCACGAGAACCAGAGACTCCGTCTGACGGAAGGCGGCCGAGATATGGCTCTGTAGCGAGGGCGAATCGAGNNTCCTTTTGATACACGNGGACTCTTCCCAAGAGAATGTGTGTGGAATGCTGGTCTCACCAAGAAACCGAAACCAAGAATTATAAAAAATGTATACGCCTTGCGCAGGGACTGAAAGGTATGCGAGGATGAACAAGAGAAAATANNAAGGAACAAAAAAGGTGGCATATCCATGGCGAAGGCGATACGGGTTATATCTATCTCGACTCTGTCTACANNAACTGCTCGCGTCACCACGCATGCCATCTTTGGNGTGCAACCCCTTTCCCATAGGTGTCTCGCTTGGTAGGCCCCAGGGAGATTGAAATTGACGTGCACCCATTACTTTTTTTTTNNTGTCGAGCGCAGACTGACGCAGACGGGGCAGCCGTGCGCCTGAGCTTTTTCTGTTTGGCTGTTTCAAGTCCGATTTGATGCGCGCAGCAAGGGTGGCCGATCTTGCAGCTTTGATTGATTGACATGCCCGGCAACGGTACCAACAGTCAGCCCCNNCCGGCAGCGGCGCGGCGACTTGAAGAGCAGGGGNGTGATTTGGCAGGAGGATGAAGCGCCAACAGCAGCAGTNCGAAGAGATCGGTTTCCAAGCCATTCTCTCCGTCCCGCCGGGAACGAGGCTAAACCCTGTCAATCAATTGCCATCTAATGCAGGCACACCCGCCTCAAAGTGTCCGCGCATCTGCTTCCAGCCCACAGCCGCTGCATGCACCTTCGTTGGTCTTGCGTTTCTGGCGGACGTCAAAGACACTGGACAGGAAATCTGATTCAGGTTTACTGGTCGTCTCGTTCTTGGCTCGTATGTCTATTGCAGAATTGAGAGAAGCACTGCATGCTTGTCGCTCTTCTGTTCCAACACGATCGACTAATCTCCCACTTCTTGCTTCAGATAGACGCTACTGGGACATCAGATGATGGTCCCGGATTCCGATATACTACGAGAAACCGACATGACATAAAACACGAGGCGGCTTCGCGGGAGGTATCAAACTAGAATGCCACTAGAACCAGCGCCTCATCTCCGGGGCCTACGGAACAACGGTCTTACCGTGAGCTTAGAAGAGCTATATGCTTTTCTTCTCCAATCTCTTCCTGCGTGCGATTGAATGAAGAGCTGAGTTTATCACGGCGTCGATGACTCGTCGTCGTCCCTGGTTACTCGTCGGCGGTTGTCCGACTGTATGGGACCTGCAAGTGCCATTCTTTCGGATCTCGCGGCGAAACGGATGCAAGCTTGTGCATCCCGCTGCAGGCTGTCAGATCTGTGCTGTGCCTCGACCCTTGATACGTCAAGTGTGTTGACTCTGCTTCCAGTTTGCGTGATCAAACGAGAACCCTCCGCCCCTTTCTCCCATTCTTCTTTGTTCATGCCTTCAGCTGCCCAGCCCTTGTTCTTTCCTTCTTTCCGAAATGGACCATGCTTCTGAACTATCTTCGTGAGCAAAGACGAGAACTGATCCTGATCTTCCGTGGCCCATGTCATAGCCTCGAAATTGTCATTACTGCCCGAAGCCGTGGGCAAAGCAAATTAAGATTGTGACAGCAGGCTTCCTTGCATCCTCCATCGCACTGTTCTGGAAGAACCGGGTGCTCGGCTTATCGAACTGCCACTATACCCTACTTACACAACCTTGCTTCGACCTACCTCGGTGTGAGCACGTAACATTTTCTGACATTGATACCCTGCAAAGGAAGCATGAACGAGCAAATAGTCTCCACGAGTTTTACCATTTTTGATGCTGAAGAAAAACGGGAAAACAATCTCCTGGACCGGCACGGAAGGAGCTCGCAAACAAACTCTCGCCAACCCTGGCAAGCCACCAAACAGGCGAAAGACAAAGAACAGTCGCTGGGCGCGGCAAAGTACAATTCGCCTGTGCATATCAATCAGAGGTTGATTCCTGTGCATCGTTTTTCTTCATGCAAGACGCCGGTCAAAGGCGGTACGACGCAAGCCGGGATCCGATGCAGCAGTTCGCAGACGATTGTCTGTTGGTGTAACTCTGCAGCAAACCGGGTTGAATTGTTCATCCAACGGAAGATCTGCCTCTAGCAGACAAGCCGTGTCTACTAAGGATCTTGTGATGGTTGACAAACAGCATGAGAATCAATCCTTGCATGGTGAGCACTGCACCGGTTGACAGTGTTGTGTTTACTGTGGAGTTTGACTTCCGCAGAAGATCAATTGTTCCTCAAATGGCCTGCCAACGTGACCTTGAAGCTGATGTCGAGAGCTGCTGTCTAGGAGGGATTTGTCAACTCAAAGTCATGTTTTCTGTTGGCGATAACGAAGATCGGTCCGAGTCTCACAATCAGCCAGTTACCAAGGACCAGAAACAGGCCAAGTGTCAAGGATATTGGCCTTTCATATTCCGCCAGTGTTCCACGCAGAAACTTCTCCCGCTCATGCTATATTAATTTGAATGACGTTCGGTTCGAGGAGTTCGGCAGTTCAGACTTTGTTAGTGGTCAGCCGTGTCCGCGTACTGAGACAAGCGACTTTATGATATCAACGAGGTCCATAATTGGCAACCGAAGTGTTCTTGTGCTCAGGGAGACGGCTTATTTTGGAGGCGGCGGTAGAGACATGACCAGACCAGGCACTNNCGTCAAGGGTGGTACGGGCTTGGACATCCTAAGGTGACGGCGCATTACTGTCAGCCGAGATGAGGTTCACAGCGGCCCTGGCCGCGAGAACTCCTGGGGCAGGCCGGTCATTCGGGAAAGGAGGCTCAATTCAGCGAGGAGTGAGTACTCNAAGGCGGTGTACTGCTGCAATTCNACTTATCTGACAGGACGATCAGGTATCAGTACGCTGCTCTTGNNGACTGGGGATCGAGCCTATGTTCATAAATGTGCATTTTGCCGTGTGCAAGACGCGAGTAGATATTCAGAAGCTGTTAATTGGAAACAGGCTGGGTTGAGAACGTCGTTGGGAGCGGATTCTCAAAAGGCTTGGNNCTCATCAGGGTTTCCGTCATGGGCGGTACCTGCGAACGCGGCGGCGCGAGTCGTCGTCGTCGTCGCCTTGGTCCTTGTCACCGGAAACTTGCTCTCAACTTTGTCGCAACCATCCAACATCCATACAGCAGTCCTGTCAGATCTATAATCCACATCTCACAATGAGTGATGCATCGGCACCGAAGCCCAGCAGCAGCGTCAAGCTGGTCCTGCTGGGAGAGGCTGCAGTAGGCAAGGTACGAATGTCTAGACCAACAGCCACCGCCGACAGTCACTGATGCCGCTCTCAGTCATCGCTGGTCTTGCGCTTCGTAAACAACGACTTCCAGCCCAACAAGGAACCCACCATCGGCGCCGCTTTCCTCACAAAGAAGATCTCGCTACCTGCCCGCACCATCAAGTTCGAGATTTGGGACACGGCAGGCCAGGAGCGTTTCGCCTCGCTCGCTCCCATGTACTACCGCAACGCACAAGCTGCTCTTGTCGTCTACGACCTCACCAAGCCATCTTCGTTGGTCAAGGCTCGTCACTGGGTTGCCGAGCTGCAACGCCAGGCCTCTCCGGGTATCGTCATCGCCCTGGTTGGAAACAAGTTCGATCTGTGTGGTGAGGAGGGAGACGACGCCGAAGAGGATGTCGCTGCCGAAGCTGCCACTGGTGAAGACGAGGACGGTGCAGATGCAAGGAAAGTGAGCACGCGCGAGGCCAAGTCATATGCCGATGAGGAGAACCTGCTGTTCTTTGAGACTTCCGCGAAGAACGGCACCAACGTCACCGAGGTCTTTACCGCTATTGCCAATGCCATTCCCGAGACGAGTCTCAAGGGCCCTAGAGGAGGCGCTGCCGCCGCCAGAGCTGGTGCTGGTGACGCTGCTGCCCAAGGTCAGGAGTCAAGGGTCAACTTGAACAGCATCAGGGAAGCCGGCGCAAAGGAGGGTTGCGCGTGCTAGTCTGCTTGTTGCCGTTTCTGCTCTATGGTGTCTCGTTTCGGGGAAAGTTTGAATGCTGGTAAACCGACTTTTGTCTTTGTCTCTTTGGGGTCATTTCGACAGAGCTTTTGGACCATGCTTCGAAGGGTTTGGTGTTTTTATTACTGGCGTTCTCCGATCATTGCGGTACTGGATCGTTTCTTCTTGCTTCATCTTGTTGATATCCACCTCGAGTCTTGTCAAGGGGTCTGCTTGAACCCTTATCTACCCAATTATGCCTCCTGAATTAATTCTCCCATCAGAATTGGCTCTGAACTGTTCAAAATTTGGTCATGTTGCCCGCAACAGAGCTCTCAGATGAGGCCTTCAACCGACTCCAAGAGTGACTCATCTTCCATCGTCACTTATACAGGTTTGTTACTTGGATCATTCTCGGGTCACTTTCTGCAATGACAAAAGACGATGTGCGAATCAGGTATCTAAGAAAAAACACAATTAATTTCAGACTATGAGCGAGTCTAAAAGGGCCGCCAGCATTACGACTTACTCGCTGATCAAAAGCAACAGCTGCTCCGTCGTGGTTTCCTCCTCGGTGTCTTGAACGTAAGTCATCCATGATGTCCAGGGCTTGGAACCTATAAAAAAGTGCACTGCACCTTCCCAACAATGACAGGCATCTTCCCAATTTCAAGTATCATCAATCCCCAAACTTTTCAAGACACCCAAGCACACTGTTTCAACCTTAGTTTTACAACTGCGCCTTATCTATCGATTTCGTATTCATCAACAGCATCCCATCCGTTTATTCAACATGCGTAATCGGTACACTATCCCTCCAACGTATCACCTCGCCTCAAAACAACCTGTTTTCCAACCGTTCAGATCACTCAAAGATTTGTACTACCAGACTCCCAATAATTTTTGGCGTCAAATGTTTCTCGAGCAACGCGCGAATCGCAAGCGAATCCTCGAAGAACGATATTCGAACTTGGAAGCTTGGAAAAGATACATGCAGAGCAAGAGGCATCGGCAAAGCATATATCTGAAGTTTTTGCAGAGATGTCGGACCGATCGAAGAGGATCTCAAAGTTGTTAGACACCATGATTGAGGTAACCGAGGCAATTCGAGGCAGATGTAGTGTACCCGAGGCGTTTTTGGTGAGTTGTATATCCTTCTCCTTCAGATACCGATATATCACAATATAGTGATGCTTTGCTCCATGTCCTGATGCTGTTCCCCCACAGCAGACATGCCATTCATTGTTGCTTTTGCATCTATGCATGCATCTTCCTCAACACTCTGTCTCAAGCGCTTTGGACGACTTCCATGCTGACTGTAGCAGGACTATCTTTACCAGAGTCGTAATCGTCCTCTTACCTCTTTCGCTTTACTTCCAGATGACGAAGGACGCAAGACTGGAGTCTGAGGAATTTGCCAAAGCCCACAGACAGAAGTCGAAACCAATGGATGGAGCACTTTATGAGAAGAAAGCTCGCAAAGAGGTCAGAGCTGAAGATAGCGAGTCCACCGAGTCATTCTTTTAGCCAGTGTGATTTTCTGATGGACTTGGAATGGTGAAGCAGCACCACTGGCGGCTCTGGCAGCTAAACTTTTCCAAGATACACATCGTCCTTCATCCTGAACTCATGTTCAGTTAACAGCTTATGAGGATAAAACTCCACGTCCAACTTTTACGTTCTCTTTTTCTCAGGAGAAAGTCGCAAAGGGACATCACTATCTACAAGTCAAGTGATCGGCCTGCCACAGAGATCATCAAAACTTTAACCACTGGAAATAGCAAAAAACCAGAGCTGAGCTCATATGGGAAAACCACCCCTCTGTTTCCTTGATTATAGTCACCAGATGTCGGTCACCTGGGGGTCAACGAATTAAGACGTACAAGGCAGGGGTGAAGTTTTATCATGAATCGTGAGTGTACAAGCCGTTACACCACTCAACCGATTATGTTAACAAATAGATTCTGAGGTGATTATATAGGTTAGTGAAGGGGGTCGGGGTTCGAGTTGGGAGGTTGGCGGTTTTTCTTTTGCATCACTCTCTCCGAAGGCTACGGCATCAAAAGTGTTGTGGCTGCCGAAAGCTATGGAGTGGTATGCTTTCAGACAGTGAGGTAAACACGTTGAATGCTTTTTGCTTCTCATGGCCTCTTTCATGTGCACTTCGTGGATTGTTGTCATGGACAATTGACGAAGAACTCGAACTGTACGATTTCCAAGAAAACGAGAAACACAAATTTGTCTTCTGTAGGCTCGGATTCTTTCTACTCGTCCATCCTGGAGTAAAAGTTTATGCTCTGCTCAAATCAGAAGATGTAAAGTCCATGGTCTGGACCCCTAGCTTGCTGTTTTCAACCTCTTCCTTTCTTGCGCGACGAAGAGACCTGTACACAATTTACACATCTTTGCAAACTTATAACTGTTTTATTTTACATGTGAGAGGCATCATTATGCAATGGAGATTGCTGGGTCTTTCTTCATTCGAGTTCTACATCGAAGCTTGCATTCTTGTGAAGTTGTGATGACTTTCTGTTTCNNCATCACTATCCCCATCGTTACTTCCTTGTACCATGGCCTCTGTGTTCTCCTTCTCTTTCTCGATCGGTGGAATGCGCAGTATGGTTGCAGTACAAGTGGCAACGATCCCCAACTCGGGAAGAAAAGTCATGGTGAGATAAGCCGTGGGATCTCCTTTGCTCGAGTTAAAAGTCATGTCTCCCGTAACTTCAAAGATGAGCGAGTAGACCAGTCTAACGATCATTAGAGGGGTACAGTAAGCCACTGGTCGAATCGCTCTTCTTTCCGGTGACGCATATACAGACATGTCCTGGAAGCGCCAGAAGACCCAGAGTAACCAGAGAGTGTAAACATAGATTACAGTAACGATAGCTCTGCTCGCTTGATCGCAAGGCGTAGGGTCTAACTGATTATCATCTTTATTCTTGATGACAATGTACCCAACAATGGAGATGACGATATCGATCCAGGTAAGCAGTTGCGGCACGTAGAAGTATCGCTTGTGTACCACAGACACTACTCTATNTCCTGCGTCTTGTCAGCATTACACCATCCATCAACTTTCAAAAAGTACATACACTCTATGCAACAACTCCAGAAACAAGAATATGATGAGCATGATACCCAGAGATTCACAGACGAAGACCGTTGCCCATAGACTTTTAGAGTCGTTGCTCATGATGGCCAAGTAACAGCTTGCACTGACAAGCCGTATGAGTGAGAAAACTCCAATGCAGAACCAGCCAATTCGTCCTGTCCAGTAAAATGAAGCAGCGAAGAGCAGAGATATTGAAAAGGTGATGATTTGAGCAACGCAGATGCCATCGCGGTATCTGAATATGCCGTCACCGTACATTTTCACTACGAGACAGAATCTGATGATGGAAAATGTGGTATGGAAGTGGGCTCAATGGCAATGAAAAGCGAAGGATGAAGAGTACTTCGAAAGTTCAACAACAGGGAAATCTGCCAACCTTTATAACTGGCAGGCAGTGCAGAGCCATGCCCAATGAACCATGCCTATCACCCCCCTTACGTCTTCTCTCGTCCCATAGATGGTTCATACTGCAGTAAAAGAGGTCGTGCTTGAAGATGTGAAGTTGGCCTCGTGAGATCTGATTGGTCGGCTCGGACTTTTTCAAAGGATTCTCTTTGGAACAATCCACTCTTGGCGCTTGGGAAATTGATGACCTTTGCTGTTGTCAGCGACGACCTTTTAAAGAGTGGCTATGTATCGTCTAACATGAAGATGTGCGGGTGTGAGTAGATGAGCAAAGAGAATGGCATGTGGCATGGTTGTGCTTGGCAGGTATTTGCTAGCTGAGTTTGTGAAGGTGCAGGGTTTGGTGATTAATGTGTTCTTTTGTCTGATTAACTGTCTTTTCTCTAAGAGATACTGTATATTGCTCGTGAGTTTGTTCGTTTCTAGTCCTAGTCCGATGATCTGTCTGTCCTAGAATGAGGTCATCCTCAAGGATGGTATCACCGCTTCAAGCGAGGGAAAAGATCATGAATCATGGTGTGGAGGTTGATAAGAAGACTTCTCTTTTCATCTTATAGACTTGAAAGGCCAGGACGTGAGGAAGAATCGTGTACACCATCCTCAAACTGTGCTGCTTCTGTTCCGCCTCTACACGCCAGGCATTCCCAAAATGCTTCTGATAGCAGGCACACCACGGGGAACAAAGTAGACAGTGTAGATGACGCCGAAAGCGACAAGGAAGCCTGTAAACTTCTCGAGCCAAGTGTGGAAGTATGCAGCAGTCATGAGCAGCATCCACCAGCTCAAAGCTGCGATGCACAGAGCAACTCTAACGCCTAAGCCCAACTCGTTAGGGACAGAAACGTTGCCCTTGTTGTCGTGGGTCTCGACAGCAGCAGTCTTGACAGCGCCGTCGTGCATGCGGATACGACGGTCTTCGCGCAAGCCTCCGTTTCTGAGAACGTCGGGCAGAATCTCGAGCCAGAGCATTGCAGAGCCAAGGATCAGGATGAAGACGTGGCCACTGATATCATGGCCACCTCTCCACGAGCCGCCAGCGATCTTGCAAGCAGCATGAGTGAAGATTTCTCTGGCGTCGCTCATCTGATCCTGCTTGTAGTTGTTGATGGGGTCGTACTTGTAGATGATCTCGCATTGGCCGCCGGTCAATCTAAAGCCGCGGTCGATGATGGGTGGGCCGAAGAACCATTGGGTGACTGCACACCAGACGGCAGTCACGGCAGTGTAGCGGACGATGGCGCGGATACGGCGGGNGGTAAGGGTTGGTTGGAAGCGAGGGCCAAGGGAGCTGTGGGTGAAGCAGAAGAGGAAGAAGGCGCCTGTGATCCAGAACCAGCCAATCTTGACAAAGTAGACGTTGAAGACATTAGACTTGAGGGCGAAGTATGATGGAGCGATCGACGGAGGGTGGGACTGGAGGTCACCGCTGTAGGGCGTGTTGCGCGTGGTGCTGTTGAGAACGCTGAACAGGGAACCCAGCACTAGAGTGAAGGGGTAGATGGCCAGCAGGACGCTCTCAAGAAAGGTGGGATACCACGGTGACGATGGCGCCTGTTTGAGGCTGCCCATGCTGCCGTTTGAGGACGAGGGAGACGAAGGTTGGGACAGTGCAGACACGGGCACCTCTGCCTTGAAGCGATTTCGGGATGTCATGACGCGTAGAATTGGTATAGAAGGAGAGTTCGTAGCTGCGATGTTGTTGTCGCAGAAAGAGACTTTGGTCCACGTTTTGCGCGTGCCATTATGACGTATATGTATCTACTTGCCAACATTCACCTCTTGCTTGTAAGCAGGAGCACCCTGACTGCCACTGTAGTCAGCACAACATCTGATCGTATTGAACCAAGAAGCCATCGAAAGTTTTGATATCATTGTGCTGCTGCTTGCGTTTCTGTCATCCACCTTGTCGCCAGCTTTCTGAGCGTTTCGAACTTGGGCAGGAATGTTGGACGACCGTCTTTCCAGTTGTCAGAAGAAACCCATACGAGTGCAGATTTATCCCACTACGAGGCATCTCTGTCGAAAGGTAATTCCAGAACGCATTCGGAAAGCATTACATTTGCCGATCCTGGTAGTCCATGGCAGTAAGGCTGCTTGCTCAAGTTTTGAACATGACCGTGTATAGCTAGCTAGCCCATCATTCAATACAAGGTCGCAACACCCTGAGCGTCCCCGTAACCCATATTTTGTGACCATTCAAGCAGAAAGTGAATGGGAAGTCTGATCGTCATGTGCTATTGACCAACTGGAACTTGACAAGTGATACTGACGAGCAAGACGTGAATTGAAATATCATGTCTTCGAGCTCTTTCCAAACTCCGCGGCTCTGGCGGCTTTCGACAAGCAGATCACATGTGGCATTATTGTGGCTCAGTCACGCAAATCGCAACTTTTAGCTTCTGCTACTTTAGCAATGCCCGGATATGGGGGTAAAGTTCACGATATCAGGTAGGCGATCGAGTTCGCATATGCAGGGAGGCTTGCGAACCTGCCAATCGTGGACGTTCGCTGTAGGATCAGCTCCTGACGATCAAAAACATTTTCCGTAGAGGGCATTTTTTTGTGGACAGGACAAGAAATAATTTCTCAGCAAACAAAGCATCCTACCTATTAGTTAGGGCCCCACTCCAGTTGATGCTTCATATAAGCTAACGTGCAAGCTGAGCACAGTGTGGCCAGACACCAAGAGGCGTCTCTGGACCTTCCCCTGTGCTTCCTGACCACCAGACGAGACAATCCAACGTCTGAGGATATGAGGTCGGAGATGTCTCGCTCTGACGTTTGCAGCGATATGCAGTATTCTGATGCAAGGTAAGTCGAGTTGATTTGATAGTTGATGCGATCCAGGCTGTTGCAAGCGCTCGCGGCCTCTGGAAGCTTGTACAACATGCGTTGTTCTTCGGCATCGCCGTGGAATCCTGAGGCCTCAATGGCCAAAGTTTAACCCCGCTCGTCAGGACTACGAGCGCCGAGTGGTAACGTAAGCTGGATTGGCCCACTCTATACTTAACCGGGAGCCGAACGATTTTCTGACTATTGTATCGCGGAGTGCTGCCCCGAAGTCGCGAGGAGTCGAAAAGATGTCGCCAGAAGTCGCAAAACACAGCAGCGATCACGGATCCACCGTGCCAGCTCGGAGTGACGTGAGTGGCCAAGGGCTTGTGCACCGTGCCATGTTATCTTTATGGGGAGCGTTTGATGGAGGAATTGTCGGCGGAGAGCTCGGGGCAAGTGTTTACAAAGAATCTCTCGATCGCGATTGCTGCGGCCAGATTGCGATATCGCAGGCGCTGTGTGTCCAGTCCCGGCGACCCTTGTACACTGTTACTTCCATCGAGAACGGCTCTAGAAGACGAGGCCAGCAAACAAGTGCGTGTGCTCCATGAGGCTGCGATTTGACAATTGAGATTGAGAGATCGGCTCGGGATAAGGATGACGCTTTCGGGAGTGGGGTCTCGGGGAGCGGATGTGGTGATTTAACATGGACTAGACTCGAAGCGGAAAAGGATAGGACAATCGGAGACATGTGCTGTGCCTGAATTCGCAATGGGCGACTCACGAGGCTTCGCCGTTTAGCGGCCACGGGGGAACAAGTGGGAAAAGCAGCAGTTCATTTCATTGTGCGAGAGAACAGCTGTCGAGATCAAGGGACTCGAAGGGCTAGGGACGGGAGCATGTTGGCAAGTACTCTTGTACATTCGGGTAATCAGGAGACTTGTCGTGTCTGGACTCGAAAGTAGGGAGAATGGGAGGGAGGGCATGCGCCCTTAGATTTGCTAGGCTGGAGCGGGACTCAATGAACGAGGCGTTTCCTAGCCGCAGGTCCCACACGGCCACAGGAAGGCGCATTGCGTGCCTCGAATCCCTGCGTGCGTGGTTTCTGGCCGTGAAGGGTCGAGAGAGACAGGATTGAGCAGGACAATGAGAGAGGGTGCTTATTGTCAAACAAAGTCCCAAGAATAGGGAAAGCACAGGGGAGCGCAGGCGCAAAAGGAGAAATTTGGTGGTGAGATAAGATCAGGAAGGCACGTTTCGGAGGCTTTGTCTAGGAAGGAGCAGCTGTGATTGGGCTGGCCGGTCGCTCCACCCTTCAAGCGGGGGATCCGCTAGCACCTTCGGTCTCTTGACCAACTTGTTACCACCTCTTGCTACTCTTCTCCGCCTGACTCTGACTCTCTCTGACACCTGTTCACCCACTGCCCATCCTCGCTCCATTGACGCCCTCCTGACTCTCGACACACCTTCCCACCACCTCGGACCTCTACCGCTCTCGCAATCACTCCACGCACCTGCTCATTCCTGCCGCCTTGCCGATCCACCGTCGCTCTTTGTTGTTGAGGCTGTGCAACCGACAATCTCCAAAAAAAAAGTCTCGGGAGAGCAACAGCAATCTACCTCGAGCAGTATACCCAAGTATACAGCAATCCACACCACAATGACCGTCGCAAGGGTATGTCCACCACCTTCGAGCGTCGACGGGCCGCCAGCTGATAAGCAACCCAACAGGAAACACCGCACCGAGCCTCCGTCTCTGGCAGTCTGCCGTCACGCAACTCGTACTCTCGCTCCCACAACACTCCTTCCATGCTCGGCTCTTCCTACAACCCCACCCACCGTGTCACCCGCCGCAAGAGCACCACCCTGAGCGCTGCAACCTCCGCCCAAGCAATCTCCCAAGCCATCAACATTGACCAATCCAACGCTGCCCGCAAATCCGTCTCTTCACGCAATGCTCTTGGTTCCGTCAGCCAGGCCAGCTACCCCTCTCCTCCGAGCAGCCTGCCTCAGGGTGACAAGTCGGTCGACGACAANAAGGTCAAGGCTCGTCGCGGCAGCGATGGCTCCGTTTTGACAAAGAAGAAGTCGGCTGCTGGCGAGCTCAAGTGCGAGACCTGCGGAAAGGGCTACAAGCACAGCAGTTGTTTGACGAAACACCTGTGAGTCTTGCTATCCTGCTCATCTATATCCTGAGCCCCGTACTGATTACTCCTGCAGNNTTGGGAACACACTCCAGAATGGCAGTACACGTCCAAGCTCCTCATCTCCAAGCACCAACAGGTCCAGTTGCTAGAAGCTGCCTCGGTCCTTGTCGCCATGAACGTAGATGCCACTCCCGGTGATAGCAAACTTAGCGACAGCGACAACTCGTCTGCTTCGCCCGCTGCTTCAGGTTCTGACTCTAGGGAGGACGACATCAGCTCGGCCGAGACCACACCACCTCCCCATGGCGAGCAATCCTTTGGACACAACAAGCGCTACAGCAACGCCAGCAGCTTTGTATCGCGCTCGTATCAGTCCGAATTTTCCGCTCCTTCTGGCTCGTCCCACGCCCGCCATTGGAGCACCTCAAGCAGCAGACCCATCACTGCTGCCTCCTCTCTGGCCCAGAGCTACCCTGATGAGGACCAAGCAGATCTCGCTGCTGCAGTCGGCTTACTAAGCTGCAGCTATGGCACCCCCACCTACGGTCCCACCAGCTTAGGTCAAAATGTGCCTCCAGTCCCTCCTCTTCCCGCAAGATACCAGAACTCGTACCAGCCAAGCTCCCTGGCAAATGCTCACCAGTTCCGCGAAGATGTTGACATGGAGGAGGAATCGTATTCTGAGGACGACGAAGAAACCAGCAGAGCTGATGAAGCTGACGACGGCGTTTTTGGCACAATGGAAGAGTAACACCAACTCTTCTTGTTCCTCTTGTTATCCTGGAAAGCCTCGTGCCATTGGTCGAATTTTGGACCGTCCAGTGTTCAGGAATACACACAATTTCTCTTGCTGTCACTTTTAGCGTTTTCTTTTCACAGCAGCCCAAACCTCCGCAAGGCTGCTCCTTTGGCACCGATGAGTGGGAGTCCAGACGTCCCATGAGGTTGAAGTCATTCGAGCCCAAGAGTCCTTTGCGTTTGAGATGGCTAACCATTCATCCATCTTTCACACTCGCTTCAACCTGGAAACCCTCCCATCCACTTCTCTTGCTAATGCCGTTCATGTCCCTTGTATCTTTTTCTTATCTCTTCTGAACAATCCGAGGGAGAGGTTGCAGGCATTTTCTTTGTCACCATGAGCATCTTCGGTTCCTTCTTTTACTTTGTCATCTCTTCCCCTTGAAACGATATGAATATGGCATGAAAAGACTTGAGAAAGGACTTCCCTCGTAGCAGCAAGCGTTGTCGTGCGAGATGCAGATATGATGATATCCGAGAAATCCAGAACCCGTTCTGAAACCAATGCTTCTTTGATATGTGACAGGCCCAATGTAAAAACGATAGTGTTGAGTTGGATTTGAGAGTAGGAGGAGAGGAAAGAGATCTAGGACGAGAGGAACAAAGCTCCTCTTTAGCTACCTTCTGGAGCTTCTGGGATTGACAAGCCTCTCCGATCTGATCAAAAAAAAGCAAAGAGCTAGGTAACCATCAGCCAGCCCTCTGTCGCAAAAGATAACCGTGATGATTATGATCGTCATGGTCAGGCACGGGCCCTTGGTCTCTCCACATCCCCAGGCTGTCAAGCATCTCAGCACCCGCAAAAGGAAACATATCAACGCAGAGCCTCTCGGTCGATCAACTTCAGTGGGTCAATCTAACCGATCTACATTTGTTGACGAACCTCTTGTCGTGGACATTGTAACTTGTTGCTTCCTGTTCTATCTGCGTATGCTTAGACTATCAGCACCTTTGAACAGGGAGAAGAACAAAACCAAGTCCTCTATACCAATATTTCGAAGTTGTAGGCTATATTGCCTGGGTTCTCAGTGGAAAAAGGAAAGGATGCCGTCTTCGAGACGTGTTCATGCTAGTTCACCCGTGGACAAGTATTTCCCTAGCGACAGTCTGGTGATAGGTATGAATAACCTGCATTCTTCTCTCTCTCGTCATCATATCATAATTGGCTTCTTTTCCTCTCGTACAACAACACTCTAACCAGTCACACANGGAGCTGGAGTAACCATCTTCCACCTCGCCACCGATCGTATCGTCATCTGCAAAGACACACGCTCCTCTGTATATTTTTTGCCCAAAGGCCGCAAAGACGCTAGTGAAGAGATCACCATCACGGCTATCAGAGAAGGATACGAGGAATCGGGGTATAGGTGTAGGCTTTTGCCTTTGCCTGTTACTCACTTGCAACCATCTCCTGCTGGAAAACAGGAGACATGGGTTATAGAGCCTATAGCTACGAGGATGATGCCAGTGGCGAGAGAGTATCAGTATATGCTNTTTTGGTATGCGGCCGAGACGGTGCCGGAAGACGTTGAAGAAGCTTTGAATATCGCGTCTTCGCATGGAGAAGGTTTTGCGGTGCCGGAGGCATTTCCTGAGAACTTGACGTTGAACGAGAGGGAAAAGTTGGATTCAAGAGAAAATGGAGTGTATGAGCCGAAACGACATGAAGGGACTGGAGTTGATGAAGACGAGGCTTTCTATGTTGGTCAACTGGTGTCGGTGGAAGAGGCGATCAGGTTGCTGGGTGGTACTAGCGCTGATGTCGTTAGACGAGCTTGGGAGGCCGTTTGCTTGAGGAGGAAGATGGAGGAGAGAGAAGTGTGACGGACAGGGGAAAGCGCGTTACTGTTGACGGTGTGAGCTCTCTCAGAGGACCTAAGAGCATGTGAAAGATCTGTAGTACACCTTGATGGCGTACTGAGTCATCACGAGAGCTGATTGAGACATCGAACCAGGCTAGCGTGCTACTACGCTGGGTCTTTACTTCTCCCATGAACTGCATAGGAGGTAGAAGATACTATGAGGCAAGAACGTCTCACAAGTAACAGGAGTAGTCAATGAAAGCTTCTGAGTATGCTCGCCTGTGCGGTGAGGCTATATATCTACAAATCCTTGCTATTCTATCAGATGGGGAGAGCAGGATGAAGTCCATGTACTGGGAGGACCAGAATGATTCCCCCTGGACTTGACCGAAAGTAGGTGCCCGCTTTGTTCAGGTTGGGATCAATCGTCGGTCAAGAAGCAACAGCTCCTCCATGTTTGCTCTTTTTATCCTTCTAGGTCGGGCTCCTACTTATGTTTTGCTTGTCTACAGTGTCAGCAGTGTCCATGTTGTTGGTTACGAGCAGCTTGACTGCAGTTCGCTGGTTGGCTGTGCATGAGGTGCTCTGTTTGCTTATTCCACCCGGCTGTTGTTTTGCTCTGATTGAACCACATACGTATTCCCACACTCAAAGTCTCAAAAGGAAGCGACGACGGATGCTCATCTGTTAAAGTGGAGGCTCATGGAGAACGTAGACGATGTCAGACTAGACTAGTTAGACAGAGCACCTTCTGTAAGGACCGCAAGGTGAATCGTAGCTATCGGAATGCAGGAGGACTTTGCAACAACAGACAATGCCCCTCATCAATCTCCATTTCGTACCTTCCCACGACCATAGATATAGCGAAACAGTAAAGCAACCTATGAACTCCTACATTACACTTCCAACAGAACAGAGAGTAGATGAATCACAACAAGTGGTGGAGGTTAATCCTTCTTTGTATTTTCTTTGTGTACTGCAATCCAACAAAAAACAAAAACCCAAGTCAAACTCCCAAAGACCGCAACACGTCAAAAGGAGGAAAAAGGAAAGAAAAGAGAAGGAATGGTGCCCGCATCTAGTAAATGATAGGGTCATTGTAATCGTCCCAATCATCGGCCTCGCGGTAGTTGTTGCCCCTGTAGAAATCGTCGAATTGACCGTTCTCGTTTCCAGGCAACACATTTCTCAGATAGTTGAGCTCATATAGAGCGAACTCTTCGGGCGTTGTGCCGGGATCGGCGTAGTTGTTGTTTCTGTACAATGTATCATAACGACCGTCCCCGTTGCCGTACATGCTTCTCAAATGGCTGATTTCTTCCTGCGTGCCCACATTGCTGGGTGGAGAACCCCACAACTCTGCCTCTCCGTCTGCGGTTGCGTTGTTGTCTGGCTCGGTGTCCATGGAATCAGCTGCAGGTGCACTTATGGTGCCTGTCTGCTCGGTATCCATCGAATCAGCTGCAGGTCCATTTGTGGTGACTGTCTGCTCAGCATTCACCGCGATATCGTTAAACGCGCCAAGATCACTTGCGCTAGTTCGACGTGTTAGAACCGGTTCAAGTTCTGCGTGCCTACGGCGGCCTTCCTCAGTCCGCTGCTGATGTTCGCGCTCGATTCCTTCCTGAACACGCCTCATTGTCTCTATAGCGTTATGTCTTCTACGCTCTTCGCTTCGGCTGCGAACAACTGGAGGGACCTCAGCTGTAGTGGGTGAGACAATGCCACCCAGAGCAGGGTCAAGTGGGCTACCTGGTGCCACAGGGTTCTGTGCAGTTCCAGGAGCAAGGGTTGAGAAGTCATGATTGGGTTGCAACACTGGAGCATTACTGAGTGCGCCATTGGTGAAGTCCGTATTGATTGGACGTGTAGAACCATTCAATGCATCGAAGACATTTGGTGCAGTGGGACGAGAAGATGCCAGGTCGAACTGGTGGTTTAGAGGCGAATTCAAGCGGCTATGGGGAGTCGCCCTCGGGCGATCAGAGAACGCAGATGGAATGGTATCGGTTTGGACGTCAGTACACCAGTTTAGGATATCTTGGGCAGGATCATCAGACTCACCAGTTGGGTTCTTGTTGGGAGATTGGCTGCGGGGCATTGCGATCTTGCGACCCAGAGCATTGTAGGCTCCTGTGTTGGCTCGTACGCCAGGGGCTTCGCTGGCGTCGGCGTCACGCTTAGGGCTGCGGGTAGGTGATCGCGACGAAGAAGCTCTGGCAGGATTGGATGGTTGAAGGGAAGGAGCGTTGGAAAAGGGTGTCTGCTGAGGAGCCGTATTGGCGTCCTCCATCTGCCGATCCTGAGATGTCTGAGCACTGGCGGAGTTTTGGTTCTGATCATCAGCGAGTGCGCCTGCCAACTCCATTTCTGCATCCCGGGCTGCCAGAGCGGTGTTAGTATCTATCAAGGCTTGGTTTGCCCTGTCAAGCAGCTCAAGTTCTCTCTGCATGGTGGAAAGTTGTTCTTCCAGCTCCCGAACTCTCTCTCTGCGCGAACTGCGTAGACCTTCCATGTTTTGCCGCTCGTACAAGATCCTCTTTTCGGCGTCTGATCTTATAGCCTGTTTCTCAGCCTCGCATTTCTCATGCTGTTCGGCATGAGACTGTTTCAGGGCTTCGTGTTCATTCTGCAAGGCTGTACCATGTGCCTTACAGTGGTCAAGAGCTGCCTGCAAATCTCTGCCTCCCTTAAGGTACTCATTGTTCATCTCTTGAGCCCTTTGGAACGCATTCTGCAGCTGTTCTATGCTGACATTGGCCTCGTTGAGAGCAGTGATGTGGCGGTTCAATGCCTCCTCATTCTGCTGTGCCGTAGCAGCATGTTGTTGTTGTTGCATTGCGATAGCTGCTTCACCGTCCGCTCTGGCCTGCGAGAGGTCCTGCTCGAGCCCGGTGATGCGGCTGTTCAGGCTCTCTTCGGACTCTCTCAGAGACTGTGCTGCGGTGGTAGCCTCTTGGTGCAGTCTTTCGGCTTCTATATTGGCATCTGTGGCCTGAGAGAGCTCTTGCTGCAGTGCGTTCACACGGGTTCTCAGTGCCTGCTCGCGCTGCGCCGCATCAACGACATCTTGCTGTAGTCTGGTAGCTGCGTCATTGCCAGCTCCAGCGTGCGAGAGTGAGAGCCTGAGTGTGTTGACCTGCTCCTGCAAGGTCTTGACATCTTCTCTGACCTCCTTTTCTGCCTGCTGAGCCCTCTCTCCAGCCTCTTTGGCTTCTTGCTCCTGCTTGTGCAGCGCCTCGTTCTGCTGTATGAGCTCGGTGTTCGTGCTCTCAAGAGCCCCGACCTTGCCGTTGCAGTCTTCAAGAGCCTTTGCTTGCTTCTCCTGCTCCTCAGCAGAGAGCTTCTTCTGGCTGTCGGCAGTAGCCTTCTCTTCGGCCCCCCTCTTGCTCAGGGCCTCCTTGAGTGTCGCGATCTCCTTCTTGAGTGCAGGGACCTCAGAAGCGGCAGAGGCCGAGCCCCGCAGGTCATACTGCGCTCTGAGCTTCGTTAGCTGGCTCTGCAGTTCAGCAACACTCTCTGCAGAATGCGTGAGTCTTCTTGTGGCGGCTGCCTCGTTGTGCCTGGCGACAGAGCAGGCTTGGTCGACAGCCCTGTCTACCTCCAGTTCATGTTCTCTCTTCAGTCGATCAAGTTCTGACTCAAGAGAGCTGATTTGATCTCTGAATCTCTGCCTCTCTTCAGCACTGACGGCACTCTCAGTCGTGCTCGAGCTGGGCTGGCTTTGTTGGCTGAGAGTCCTGTTTTCATTCCTCAGGCGCTCATTCGCATACTCGAGGTCGTCGATCTTGGCCTGAAGGTCATCGGCCTCAGAATCAAGCTCCACGATGGCAGTCTCGTGGCTGGCCTTGAGCTTCTTGACCTGCTCCTCGTGAGTCTCCTTGAGGGTTTCGGCATCGTCGGTCGCTGATTGGAGGTCGTTGACAGCGGTATCGCGCTCTGCCTCAAGTGTCTTGATTGCGTCCTTGTGGGATTTGGCGTTCTCGTCTCTCTCTTGCTTGATGCGTCTGACCTGTTCGCGGAGAGTCCTCATGGCGAGACCATCTCTTTCAGTGGTGTTCTCACTATCGCGTCGGAGCGTGGACATCAACTCTGCGTTATCCTGTGCGATCTGATCGCGAGCCGTGATGGTATCCTCAAGGGTGCTGTTGGCATTTTCGAGAGTCCTGATTCTTGCTACATGCCCTAGTACTTCCTGTTGCAGATTCGAGATCTCTCGGTCACGGTACCCAGCGGCCCGACTTTGCGCTTGGATGGTGAGATTGCGAGCCGCGATAGTCGAATCAGCCTGTACGAGCCGGGCCCGACAATGGCGCTCTCCGTCAGTGATCCCTGTGGTCTGGGTTCCAGCTGATGTGGTGTTGTTTGTAGTCTGGGTACCAGCTGATGTAGTGTTACCAGATGTAGCAGTTGATGTAGTACTTTCGGATGGTCTGGAGCCGCCTGAGGGAGGGTTGTTATCATCTCCGCCAGGGCCTGGGCCTCCGCCAGAATGGGGTGGAGAAGGGGTGGTGAGGTGGGACCATCAGAAGGAGGTGGGTCCTTACGACGGCGAGGGAAGATCCAGGAGAACCATCTTGTCAGGGGGTCCCAGAAGTAGGCAAACTCAAGTGCATAAAGCGTGAGCGCAAGTGCCAAGGTGTTCAGGCCTTGCTTGCCGCCAGGCAGAAGGGACCAGAGATAGAGGACGAAACTGGCGACAGAGGAGATGGTGTGATAGAAGGTTTGGGTGATGGGGTGGGTGATGAACCACAAGAAGGCGTGGATGAGAGGTTGAACGATCGCACGAAGGTGTGGGTGAGAGCTAGCATCCTCGTCGAAGAATCGAGCGACGTAGGGGATGGCGAGTTGAACGAACGAATTGTTCGCATAGGATTTGGCCTCCTGGACCCACGAGTTGTTCTCATAGGGGTTGCCAGTAGAAAGATCTTGGTAGATTTCAGGTGCTTGGGTTGGGACATTGTCCTTTGTGACTGTTATGTACTCTGTTGTGGTGAAGATCGGAGCGTCGAGAATGGAAGAAACGGAAGTCGATTGCTGGATCGGTTCAATGGAGGGACCGAAGGGGATGTCGAGCGGTTGAGTGTTATGAGACTCGACTGGGCCCTTGTAGACATCGCCGTCCGCAAAATTGTGGGTGTTGAGTTCATGCGCGCCTATCCAGATAACGCTGGCGATGTAGCTTGCATGGAGCAGTGTCCATCCAGTATTGCGCAGCGCCATGGTGACGAGAAGTGTTGGGACAGCAGTGCAATAGAGAACTTCGCGGAAGACTTTGGATGTGCGCGAGTTGTGTTGGTGTGAGAGAGAAGTAAAGCGATGCGATGTTATGCGTTGGGGAAAACAATGACAATGATAAGTGTGATGACAACAAAGAACACAGTCGGAGAAAGGTGGAACTTCGACCAATAAAAACAAAAGCGACGGAAAAAGTGAACGGAGAGTAAACAACCCAGGCTTGCGCTCTGTTTTGCGGACTCTCAATGCAGACGCGCCGGATGCGTCGAGGATTTGTGCTTTGAGATAGATGTTTCAAAGAGAGCGCGGCCGGTTTGGGAAACACGACAATCTTTGTCAACACCAGTGCGTCGATGCTCTTTGTTCTATGGATGGTCAATCTGCAGCAGTCTCGAACGATACGGTGCAGCAGGTCTTAAAATTGTTGTGAGATAAAATATCGTGCCTTTGGACAGGAGGATAAAGATAGTCGATAACTCGAGATGGGCTTGGTGTCTAAAAAGCATCATATCTCTGTCCTAGCAAAGTTGTCGTTGAACGTTAGTACCAACCAGCTATGTGCTAGAGGGACACGAAACTCATGCTGTCAATCAAATATATCATCGTGTTTGATATGAGCAAACTTGTGAATCAGCGGTACAGTATGTCCTATGTCAGTTGAGCAGGTATGATATCCTTATACCACATCTCGAAGCAGACTTGAGGAGTTTAATAGAAAATGTCAAGACGGTTAACTACCAATTGTAGAGAATGACTTCAAGCAATCCTTTGCAAGTTTTATTGAGGGATGGATCACCTTTTCTTTCTGAAGAAACGATTAAGCAGTCGGGACTGCACAACTCAGCAGTCCTGGTGCATCCAGTTCGATCTGGTAAAGTTACTTGCTCGGATTCTGGGCGGCAGTATCCTATGGCAGAGTCAGACATATTACAGACCTCTAGCGATGATATAGCCTGCACTTACTAAGTATACTTGATAGAAGTCCATCATGACCGCACCATCTTGTTTGACTAGGTGAGCTCGAGCAGCCCAGTCGACTGTGGCTTCTCGGCCATCCTTTAGGCCATACTCAACGGTACCATAGAGCATGACTTCGTTCGAGTTGGAACCGAATGGGAATACCTTGAATGCTGTATGTTTTCTTCGGTATACCTTTTCCCACATCCCTTGACGCAAAGATAGGATTTCTGGGCACGTCAGAAGATGGACTGTCGATCTTCTCGGAAGCTTATACAGACCTTCACGACCCTGAACTCTCTTGGAAGCCATGATTAAAGTGGCATCATGCGTGAACTGCTTGGAGTATTCTTCATGAGCCGTAGGAGTATCGGAAGTTTCGTAGAACTTCTCAAAGAAAGTCTTATACTCGGGGTCAAATTTGTCGCCGGCAGGATATTCTGATGTATAGGAAGACATGATTCAGAATCTATCGAAAATTGCAGATTATACACGGCATATATTGGGAGTACAGGAAGCAAAGAGCAAACAACACAGGGAGTGAGGTTGGATGTCATCCAGGCTTCGCCCGATGGTCGGAAGCCGCACCGGAACTCCGTTGGAGTGGGGTGTGATAGCATCCGGTAGCCTTCCATTGCATCTCACACGGAAACAAGCAAGAGAGGCATTATTATGTGGTCGCAACAGAGTTCTTATATCGACACTGATCTATTTTCTGGCCTGGCTTTCGAGACTACTTGGAACCCCACTCATGCGTGTCATTCTCCGACAAAGAAGTTTTACAGTCTCTCGCCCAAGACAAAGCCATACCAAATGGCGCACCCGAATGCGGTCAGGTTGATAATTGTCGATACACTGTGCAGTATGCCAAAAGTCTTGTTCAACTGCTCCATTGCTTTGGAGTGCGGGCCTGCATCAGAATATTTCTTGCCATCGCGAGTTTCTGAAAGTTATGCGTCAGTTTGGCAATTGAAAGAACAGTCCCTTCGCCACTTACCTTGGTGATGACGCTCTTTCATGGTCTTGGTTGTGGCAGGACCGATGATCAGGGAGTTGAGGACGCTGGTAATGAAGATGGTTGCAAGTGGCACAAACACAGGCCATCTATTGCTATCCACTAAGAGCCCGCTGAAGCCAGTGTTTTCCCTGAGATACTGGCCTCCAACACCGAGCAACTTCTCGCCAGGGTAGGTGACCATAAGAGCGAGGCCGAGGACAGATTGGAGGGCGAAGAAGACAGGGAAAGTGGCCTTTTGCAGAGTCGAAAATTGTGCTCGCGGAAGGACCTTGAACGCAACAACGCCACCGATGAAGGATTGGAAGAGTGTGGCTCCAAGGAAGGAGCCATAACTCAAAATGTGGTACGCCTTGTAGTCGGACACTGAAGGCATGTTTGCTGGAAAATGTCTGAATGATGGCAGGTATAAGGAGGGGTCAAGTTTTGTCGAATGGTATATCACGCCAGATCGCTTAAGTGGTGACGTAGGCGAAATTACTGATATGCCTCAGTCGTGACTTCAACAAACACAAGACATTTTCTTCGATTTTATTGTTGTTACTATAACGGGTAAATCTGATCAGAACCATGAGAGACATGTCTTTTGCAGTAGCAGCGTGTTTGATGTGAATCTGAGGAAGAGTCGACACGCTCGTTGCTGCCTGTAAGCACGAAGCCGACACGTCCTCCGCGTCGGAAAGTGCTTCCAATGTTTTTGACCTAAACCACAACACAACGACGATTTTCAAACCATTGCGTCTCGACTGCATACTACGTTTTCAACATGGCGCAGAAAGAGGCGACCGTCTATATCGTGGACCTCGGCGAGTCTATGGGTGAAAAACACAATGGACGAGAAATCAGTGATCTGGACTGGGCTTTGACATACGTCTGGGACAAGATCACCACAACAGTAGGTCGAAAAGGGCCATGGAGCCTTTAAGATTGTCGTGTTGACTTTCTANNGATATCCAATGAACGCAAAACAGCCATGCTAGCAGTTGTCGGCCTGCGAACTGATGGTGAGGGAACAGTCACGGATTGATCACTATCGATAAGGATCTTCCACATCAGCAGATAACTGATCTATATCACAGGTACTCTCAATGCACTCGACAACTCCGATGAAGATGCATATCAGAACATCACCGTATTCAAAGAGCTTGGACAGTAAGCAATGTCTTCAAGTTTTGCAAAGCTAAACTGATCATGTCGCACAGGNGCCTTGATGCCAGATGTACGCCGGCTCAAACAGCAACTTGTGCCTAGCAACACTGATGTTGGCGATGGTAATTTTCCAGCATTGCAAGCTTGCTCCATCATGCTAACTTGAGCAGCTATTTCTGCATTGGTTGTGGCTATTCACATGATTGAAACCGTCACCAAAAAGCTGGCCTACACACGCAGAATCATCCTGGTCACCAACGGCAACGGTAGTGTAGATGCCGATGGTCTTGATGCGATCACCAACAAATGCAAGGAGGACGGAATCGAGCTGGTCATTCTGTAAGCACGGTCCTCGCGCTCTACGGTATATGATGCTGACATGTTCTCAGTNGGAGTCGATTTCGACGATCCAGAATATGGTGTCAAGGAAGAGAACAAAGACCCCACCAAGGTATGTCGTGAGTGCCCTTGAAATTGCACATCCACTGACAGGGTCAGNGCCCAAAACGAAGGAGTCTTCAAGAACCTGGTCGAGGAGTGCAATGGCTTGTACGGCACACTTGGCTTCGCTATCGACGAGATGGTGATTCCGCGCATGAAGACAGTACGACCCGTACACTCATTCAAAGGTTATCTGACTCTAGGTGATCCGGACAATTACGACACTGCTATGGCAATCGATGTCGAGCGATACCCTCGGGTCATGGTTGCAAAAGCACCATCAGCAAGCCAATTCGTAGTCAGAACGAACATGGGAGAAACACAATCACAGTTCGCACCGCCAGATGAAGAGTCAAAACCGAACGACCTGGCCGCCGTCAAGAATGCCCGCACTTACCAAGTCCCTGATGAAGAGGCACCAGGTGGTAAACGCGAGGTCGAGCAAGAAGAGTTGTCGAGAGGTTTCAATTACGGAAGCACCGTGGTGCCAATTGAGGAGGCTGACAAGAACGTGACCGACTTCGAAAGCAAACAAGGCATGGACATCATTGGCTTTGTCGTCAAAGACCAGGTAAGATACAAGCTTGCTCGACTCCGTATCTGTGGCTAACCACAAAANCAGTATGAGAGATATCTAGACATGTCAAAGACTCATGTCATCATCGCTCAAAGAACGAACGAGAAGGCTATCATGGCACTATCATCGTTCATTCGTGCTCTATACGAGCTCGACACATATGCTGTCGCGAGATTGGTACCCAAGGATGGCAAGAGTCCTACCATGGTCCTCCTGGCGCCATCCGTCGATGCCGATGCCGAATGTCTATTCGAAGTCGAGCTACCCTTTGCAGAAGACTTGCGCTCATACAGATTCCCCGCCCTAGACAAGATCGTCACTGTTTCCGGGAGAGAACTCAAGCAACACAGATTTCTTCCCAACGATGACTTGATGGATGCCATGAGCGACTACGTGGACGCCATGGACCTGTCCAGGTTCGGCGCGGATGAGGAANNGGGTTCGTGATCTCTGCTTCTTCCCAAGATCCACCTACTGACCTTCAACAGTAATGCTGCTGAGTATGCTCCCATCGAAGATACCTTTTCACCGGCTCTACACCGCATCAGCCAGGTAATCAGGAGTCGAGCAATCTACCCAGACGAGAAGCTGCCTCCAATCCCGGAGATCTTGATCAAGTACTCCAATCCACCACAGGAGCTGATTGATGGTGCAAAGACTGCATTGAAGGCAATGACCACAGCCGCAGAAGTGAAGNNAAAGGTAAGTATAAAGTACATCTTAACATTACCGAACATGTATTGACCTCCCACAGTACCACCAAAGTCAAAGTCAAGAAAAGGACGCCGCGATGTTCAAAAGCCGTTGTCCGGACTCGACGTTACCGCTCTCCTCTCAGCCCGAGGAGGCACCCTCAAAATCTCACCGCAGAACGCCGTACCAGAATTCAGACAAGTACTGGACAGAGGCGATCACGAAGAAGTAGAGTCGGCCTTCCAACAACTCGGCAAGATCATTCGCGACTACATCAGAAACTCGGTCGGCGAATCTGGCTATGGTCGCGCACTTGAGGCTACCAGAGTGATGCGCGAAGAAGCTACCGATCTGGAAGTTCCGGCCTTATACAATGAGTGGATGAAGAAACTCAAGGTTGAGATCTTGAAGGATGAGCTCAATGGCGACAGAAGAGATATGTGGTTCATGGTCAGAGCGAACCGTATGGGCTTGATTCAGAGCAAGGAGAGTGGAGCTAGTGGAGTGGGAGAGGACGAAGCCAAGGAGTTTCTGTCTGTGAGACTTGCCGTGTAAATGCGTGGTTTTAGTATACCCTAGCTCTCCGATGAGAGCGACCTTGCTACAAAAGACTTGTAAACCCTTCGGCCCTGTCACTCTATCTTCGGCATGCAAAAGTCACGGCATGCCATAGGGACGGAAGAGAAAAGAACGCACGTCTCACGCACAAAGAAGCACCTTCCACGAGATATCTGGAAAAATACGTATCGAAGATGCTCTGTTTTTTTGATCCTTTGTATAACTACTAATTCCCTCATCCTTATTGTACAACCCCTCAACTTCCATGGTTCTTTCCTTTTGTGTTTGTCTCTTTGCTTTCCATCAATTCTCAATAAACAACTATAACGAAATGGAAAACAATGCATGCATGGGATTTATTTCCCTCTCTTTGGTACCTTCTTCTTCCTTCTCAAGCAACGACAGCCCTGTAGTAAGCTCTGCTGAGATCAACGCCTTGGGTGGCATACTTGGCACCAGCAACAGGCAACCTGCTGACGAGACTTCTGTCCACGCCCTTGTCTTCTCTACCCATCTTTTCGACTTCGGCCTTGACCAAGCCAGCCATTTCGCCAACGGCAACGCGCTCTTCGAGGTCGACTTTGCCGGCGCGGCCTTCGAGGACACCGGGCAGAGCGACGGTCAACCGTTCCAGCAAGTCTTTCTTGGTGACGCGGCTGGCGTCGTCATCGCGGTGGACTAGGTCGAGGAGGGCTGGGTAGTCTGAGTAGACTTGGCCGCCTGAGCGCCAGTTTTCCAGAGTGTCTGTGGAGAGTGTGGACTGGAAAGTGGCGAGAAGCTTGCGAAGACCGTCGTGGTCGCGTTGGATGACGGCTGTGGGGCCGACAGTGCGGCAGAGCACTGTATGGGCTTGGGACGAGTCGCCGGCGCGGAGCAAGTGGCCGACTTCGGCGTTGTGGTCGTCGAGCATGGAGCGTGCGTAGAGTGCGCGAGCGTGCCAGAGCCATTGTTCGGGTAGGCCAAAGTCTTGGGTCAAGACGGTGGGTAGGGCGTCTGGGTCACCGGCGTCGTAGAGTGCGGATGCGCGGCGGTAGAGAAGGTCGCGAATATGCTTCTCACGAGCTGACTCGCTGGTCAGGTGAAGCAAGACATTGGTAGCAAAGACTAGCTCGTTGGCTGCCTCGAGTTGGCTGGACAGGGTCAAGGAGAGCTGATCCAATGAAGCGTCGCTCAACTCGGCAGTCGTGAGAATGCCCTTCTTTTGAAGAAGCGTAGCCAGTTGCCACGAGAGACGAGCGTTGAGTGGACTTCCAGAGACAGAGGCTGGAGAGAGAAGGTTGGTGACGAGAGAACGAACGTCGCCAACATCTGAGGAAGGCTGTCTCGAGTAAAGCTTCAGCAGGCCGAGCAAGGTGTCCTCGTTGTCTTGTGCGTTGGCATCGTTCCAGGAAGGTGCGAGAGACTGCTCGGTGAAGTAAGGTACGGGTCGGACAGTTTCCTTGCCTGCAGCGAGATCGTCAGTGTACGACTGCACAGCGTCTGCAAGCGACTCATTGGTGCCAGAGAACCAGAGGCGCAATCCAAATGAACGACGCCAGTCAAGGCCAAAGCGCGATGAGATGCCGAAAGCCGAGGCTTTGTCTTCAGCTGGACCGCTCTTTCCCTCGCTGGTGCATGTGTTGCCAGCAACGAGCTCATACAGCGCGCGCACTGATTCGGTCATCTCAGAAATCATGTTCTGTGACCTCCAACTCTCGATTTGCTTGGCCATCATTTCCTTCGATTTGGTATTGCCAGGAAGTTGAGCAACGATGGTTGCAAGGCGGAAGTCGCGACCCTCGAGAAGTGCTGAACAAGCATTTTCGATGCTGTTACCACTCAAAAACGCAATTGCCTTCTCCTCTGCGGTACCTGCATCCTTGGCATGCTGTGCGGCATCTGCATGAACAAGTTGAGCCCAGAAGTTTGACAATGCATCACGACGAATGCGCGACTCCAACTCAGCAACTCGTGTGACGGAGATGTTCTTGATCAGATCAGCAGATCCTGTCTCGACGGGATCAAACAGAATAGAGGCCAATCGCCAGACCGAACGTTCATGTTGAGCTTCAGGAGATTCCGCATGCGCAAGGCTCTCTGCGATAGCGGCGAAAGAGGTCTCGGCGGAGGTGATGGGCGATTGTTGAAGTTGTAGCTGTAGTGATGTGGTAAGTGTGTCTTGAGGGGCACTGAACTTGGCGAAGCGGACGTCCCTGTGTTCTGACACCAGGGGCTTGCTGCAAGCGACCATGTTGCCAGAGAGTGTAGGAGCGTTGCTGGTAGTACTGTGGACAAGGGTGCCATTTGTAGTCCAGCGTGGCTTGAAGCATGTGTGGAAGCCACGTTCAGTCTCATTCATGTCGGCAAAGGCATCTTCGGTTCTCGACTGCTTCTGGTAGGGCCNACTAAACAAGAGAAACATCTTAGCATTCGTTCACTATTACATATGGAAGGTATCGACATGAACAGTAGACAAGCCGCCGTGACTGAGCACAAATCAAGAATAATTATAAGCAGGCATTGTCGAAAAACCAACAAAAGAATGGGGGAGTCAAACCTCAAAACCTTTTCCACCAGCAGTACTTGTTTGCAATGCATGACCTGCAACAGAAGCAGAAGGTGCCCAAAGAGAGTTCATAATATCCATAGTCGTAGAGAAAGCCTTGCCAGCAATAGACGCGGCCAATGGTGGTGCGGTATCAACAGGAGCTGCACCCATGACACTTTGACGCTCACGAAGAGCCTGACGATCTTGCTTCTTGGGGCTGGCAGTTCTCTGCAGTTGTTCTGCCCAGTCCCCTGCAAGTGTGAGGTCCTTCTTCGGTGTGCCATTCAACATAGTTGATGCTTTGAGGATTGATTTGGGCATAAGAGATCCACTGAAAGAAATACCATAGTCGTTGTACGGAGCTTGAACAGCAGGCGCAGTTCTCGGGAATGATCCTGCCATGTCCTGCTCGTCCATCTCCTCGTAATCCGTCCCCTCCTCCATTTGTTCAACGACAGCTTCAGCGGGAGGTGCGTTGCTGCTGCCGGAAGACCTGAACGGGTCTTCATGCGAGTGTGTGCTTTGCTGTTCAAGATAGGAGGAATCCTCTTCCTGATCCTGAGCATCGTTGTCGTCAGCCATTTCGTCATCATTGTGAATTGGCTGAGCACCGAAGCTGCCAGGCAGGATTTTTGACGGACCTTTCTTGAAATCGAAGGTGTCATCAGGGTTGGATTCATCATCTTCATCGCTAATGACGGAACCCTCCTCGGAAGAGGCCTGAGACATCTCTTGAACAGCAGTGTTGTTACCCTTGGGGGTAGGGTCTTGGCTGGTGTTCATCACATCACTGCCATACTCGGCTTCATCGTCCGACTCGTCTTCATCGTCGAGACCATAAGTGGTAAAGTGAGGAACGCGAAAGACCCAAGAGCCGGTGGCAGGATCGTAACTGATGAACTCAGTGTCCTGAACGCGTTGGAGACGCTCGATGTGCTTCTCATAGCGTTGACCTTTACGCTCGTGGACGGGAAGACGTCCAGCCTGAGCGCGGGGCCATGAGTTCTCAAGAGTGATGGTCGAGGGTACATTGAGACCTTGGCCCATGGGAGGAGTGTTGACACCAGTTGTGTAGACAGTCACTTGGCGCAAGTTGAGCTTGACGATATCGTCAATGATTTCATCCAAGTTGACCTGGGTGAGATCAACAGGATCGAACTCGATCTTGCCGACATCTCGGCGGCCAACAGTGAAGCCAGTGACTCTCTTGAGCTGCTGACGAGACATGTTGCGGAGATCATCCATGGATGGGGTCATCCAGTAGTCCCCAGGTTGAGGGTCAGCCTGCGAGCGTGGCAAGTCTTTTGCAGAAACAGACTTGGTGGACGATGCAGGAGCAGGGCCATCTTCAGGCACCATTGCGAGCTCATTACCTCTGGCTTGGTTGGTAGAAGAAGTACCGTTCACTGACACGCCGTTGGTTGTAGGACGCTCAGCACGGGAGTAGCCAAGATCTTCGGAGGATGGCTCAGAATCAGCTTCAGTGCGGACGAGAGCGCTGCTGGCAGGAGTCTCAGCATAGCCGTTTGTCGAAGTCTTGCCCTTGTCGCCTTCGTCAAAGCTGACGCGCTTAGTGGGAGGCTCAATGGGGGTATTGTCACCGAACAGGTCAGTTCTCAAGGTATGGTCGATCTTCAGTCTACGAATGCTGCCGCCCGTGTATGATCTGTTGTTGGGCGTGAACGCACCAGGAGCGAGGACGCTGTCACCACTACCAACGCTCTTGTTGAGGTTGCTAGTAGAGAAGCTCTTGCCCAAAGAACGACTCAAACCACCTGACTGCAACAAGCTGCTTCCAAGGCCGTTAGATGTGAAGCTTTGTGCGCTGCCAGGGGTGCCGTAAGTGGCATACGAGAATCCATAACCGTTGGAGCGCTTCTGAGGAGTGATGAGACGCAAGCTGGCGCTGGGGTTGATCTTGAACTGTGGGAGCGCGGCAGGGCGCTTAGCCGGCTTCTGCGCTCCTGAAAGAGGCGTAGCAATAGGCCCAACAGCGGGAGCAGGGTTGCCGAGATTGCTGAACAGCTGGTCATTGCCGTAAGGGTTGGTCAGCAGAGTAGCAGCGAAGCTAGACTGTTGCTGGTTGCTCTGGCCAAAACTGTTCGATTGGCCAGGCTGCTGAGTGCTGCCTCCAAACAACGATGTCTGTTGAGGTTGCTGATTCTGATTGCCGCCGAACAATGAGCCTTGAGCACCAGCTGCTGGGCCTCCGAAAAGAGACGAGGGCTTCTGTTGATTGTTCTGACCTCCAAAGAGTGAAGATTGAGCTTGATTGTTGTTGCTTGGCTGATTGAAGAGACCTCCACCGTTCTGCTGAGGTTGTGACCCTCCAANAAGGCCGCCTCCGGTTGCAGGCTTAGCGGCTCCGAAAAGTGAACCGCCTGGAGCTTGAGTGTTGTTTGCCTGGTTGAACAAGCCTCCACCGGTGTTGTTCTGCTGTGGCTGAGACCCTCCGAAAAGATTGTTCGAGGTACCTGCAGCATTTCCACCGAATGGGTTGGGCTTTTGCTGGTTGTTTCCAAACGCACCGGCACCACCCCCGAAGAGATTATTCGAGGTACCGGTCTGGTTCTGTTGCTGCTGATTCTGAGCGCCACCGAAAAGATTGCTTGAGGTTGCAGCGGGAGTGCTTTGAGCATTCTGCTGAGCCCCTCCGAAAGGCGACGCATTCTGTCCAAACATGCCTGAGGTGCCGGTTGCATTTGCATTCGCAGCCTGCCCGAATCCGCCTGTTGATGATCCTCCGAATGGAGTCGAGGAGGCAGGAGTGCTACCAAAGCCACCAAAGGCAGGTTTGCTCTGCGTGTTGTTCGCGTTAGCACCAAACAGTGAGTTGGTCTGAGCTGGCTGCTGTTGCTGTTGCGTGTTGGCCCCAAATCCACCGAATCCAGTTGTCGTGTTGTTGTTGGATGTATTAAACAGGCCTCCTCCTGTAGTGCCAGTCGATGCAGGTGTGCTTCCAAACAACCCTCCAGAAGCAGGCTTGTTCTGGCCAAAGAGGTTGTTGCTCGCTCCGAAGCCCGAGGTCGTGTTGGTGTTCGCAGCTGGTTGCCCAAACGCTCCTGTCGAGGGAGCGCTGGACTGAGCCCCAAACATGCCTGTTCCGGCGTTGGTGGACGGAGTGACTCCGAAGCCCGAGGTAGGAGCCGATGCATTGTTAGACCCAAACCCGCTTCCAAAGCCTGTACTTTGACCGAAAGCCCCGGCTTGACCGTTTGCATTGCCAGACTTGCGGCCAGCTGTGTAGTCTGCAAGCCTTAGCTCCTCGAAGGAGAATGCTTGATAAGGCTGCATGAAGGTGATGGACTGGTAGTGGCTGTTGGTATTGGCCGCGTTGTCCTTCTCGACGAAGGCAGAGAAGGGTGTCGATCCCGTGCCATTGTTTGTGGGTTGGGCAGCTGCGCCAAAGCCTGTAGAGGACGCTCCAAACGCGTTGGGCGGTTGTTGTGTCGTGGCTGCACTCCCAAAGCCGCCGCCGAAGCTCGTGGCAGGCTTAGCCGCACCGAATAAGTTGTTGCCAGCATTTGCGTTTCCGAATCCACCCGGGGCAGTTCCTGCCCCTCCGAAGGGCGATGAAGTGGCAGCCGTGTTAGCCCCAAAGCCGCCTGAGGAAGCCCCGCCGCCGCCGAAGAGGCCTCCAGAAGAAGGAGCAGGAGCACCAAAGGCAGGCTTAGCAGCGCCCCCGAAGGATGTTGGAGTAGAAGTTGCGTTGTTGGAAGCGCCGAACCCTAGGAGCGATATTGGTCAGTAACGGCGCGAGAAAAGTGAGAAGAGTGGCTCGATGTAGTTGCAGAAAGGGATATAGTAAGGTGCAGTGGGGATGGACAGAGTACGAAACATACCCCCAAAGCCTCCGGCATTGGTAGAAGCTCCAAACAAGCTCGATCCTGCGGCAGGCTGCTGGCCAAATCCAGTGCTCGTCGATTGTCCGAAGCCTGGTTTGAAAACACGATGGTCAGCGCTGGCCGTGAAGTCGTGCGCGAGTGCTTGTCTGGCTGGAGGTCGAGGGTTGCGCCAGATGGTGTGTGCCGGCTGATGTAGGGAAAAAGATGGGGACAGCTCTTGACTTACCAGTGTTCGTTGTGCTTGCGCCAAAAGCTGAAGCACCAAAACCCGAGCCGGTGTTCTGGTTCGTGGTCGACCCAAAGCCGCCAAAGCCGCCGAACGACATGATAATGTGTGGATGCGGTAGAAGATGTGATTGATGATGAGCTCAGCTGGAGCGAGGTGGAAGGATGGGAGAGGGCGAGAGGTGGGTGTCGATGCTGTCAACGCGAAACAGACTCGAAATGCGAGACTGGTCGTATGGCGCGAAAAGTCGCTGGGCGATGTACAATTACGCGACAAACATGCGCAAGCTGTGGGCGAGCAGTTCGAGGACGGGCAGCTAGTGGCGTGCGCGTAGACGGCGCAGCAGGAAGGGTGGTGATGGAAAATCGTATGGAGGGGAAACGATGATGTTGGCAGCTCTCGCTCGCACTTTCACCACGACCGTGCAAAAGACGACGTTCAAGGCGCTTGGACCACGTCAGAATGCTTGACTCTCACTTCTCACACCTCAGCCTTGCATAGCATTCAGTCACATCTGGCATGGGTCATCACTCTTTCCCAGCTACAGTAAACAATATCGTAGGCCATGTCAATGTACAGCTCTGCCACTATAAGTGTTTCTACATATGGCTGGCAGAGATGACTGCACGATCGTCCCCATACCTACCATTCTATACAGGACTGATGGCTAAAAGCTGACTGTTTGAGAATGACCATCACGTCCACTGCCCTATGGCAAAGCTAAAGAACAGCATGTGAGCCGTGCAGCTACCAAAGCCCAGTTGAGTCTTCTGCAGATGGATTGGCTCACCAATTAGACACAACGCTGGTGCATGATTTATCCAACCTCCAGGGTCAGGCTATCAGCGAGCCGACACAGACCATAATTCAATCGTCTTTGGTTCCTCTCTCCTGTGTGCGACAGTATGCCACGCGTATGGCTATACAAGTGCACGATAGTATGAAGAGATAGGACGGTATCCATCGAAGAGCGACATTTCATCAACTCTCTTTGGTTATATCCCCGAATTCCGAGACAATAGTGCAATTCTATAGCTGACGCATCGCCCTATGGTGTTGAAGGAGAGGGACAGGAAACACAAGCTTTTGTCTAAGACAGATTCTAGGGACGACAGAGAGAACGAACTCCATCGTAGAATCGATCTCTCACCTATACCATATGACAGAAATCTAGCTTATCTTGCCCACCATAAGATTATGACAGTGTCAAGCACAAGGGAGGGTGCATGGTTATGCAGAGCTACCGCGTCATAATTATTCCAGGCACAAAGCTTGGACACCGACAGCTCAACCACGAGCAACAGCGATACCTCCCCCTTCTTCGAATATCATTTCAACTTCATCTTGTAGTCTTCTGTTTACAAGTGCCGCGAGTTATTATACGGGCCTGGTTCACCCACGTCGTCTGGATCTCTTCGAAAATCGAAGCGCGTGTTCGACTCTTGAAGGAAGGTAAGTGATCAGCGAACCCTCCATAATCACGACATCGCAAGCCTCGAAGATGCAAGAGCTACAAAGCGCGCACGCAATGCATCTACCACAACGGATCCGGGCCAATTGGTCGATATGTTCAGCCCTTCCCAAGATACGGTGCATCTGGAGCGCACCTTCTCCATGTGCATGGTGAAATGATGGAGATTGTGGCTTGGAAGACGTCAGAAGATATATTTTTTCGCGTGCAATAATACAAACACAAGAAAGAATCCAAGCCGTTCCAGGTAGGTGGGATGAAGACGGGTAGGGCTTGTATATCATGGCCGTGTCCTCGTTTCATCTCTGTCTTTGCATCCTTCAACTTCTCTTCTTCTAAGTTACTTTTTCTGCATCGAGACAGCTCTTGAGCAGTAACAATGGCGGATATCGAGAAGCACATAAACCACGAGGCCGAGTCTCCTCAACCGGCCTCTTCCATCTCCTCGGCCGACTTCACTCACATCAACGAAAAATCCCTGCTACGTAAACTCGATTGGAGACTGCTTCCTGGAGTGTCCCTCTTATATCTCGTCTCCTTCCTCGATCGCAGCAATGTCGCCAATGCCCGTCTGGATGGCCTGGTCACTGATCTACACATGACTGGCAATGAATATCTCACTGGTCTCACCGTGTTCTTCATCGGCTATATCTCACTGGAAGTGGTGTGGAATTTGATACTCAAGAAAATTGGACCCAGGATATGGTTGCCTGGTGTGACCGTTGTTTGGGGTATCGTGACGACTCTTCAGGGTGTCTTGGTGAACAAAGTGGGATTTTTCGTCATCAGAACCGCCTTGGGTGTCGCTGAGGGCGCCCTATTCCCAGGTGTAAGTACTAGGAGTGACTTATCAAGGAAAGCATTGCTAATAAGATGGTGTGTCTAGGTGGTATTCTATCTTTCAATGTGGTACAAGAGAGAAGAGAGGACTTATAGGGTGGCATTGTTCTTCTCTGCCGCGAGTTTGGCAGGCGCTTTTGGTGGCATCCTAGCATACGTGAGTTGTTTGCCCTTAGGATTCTACTGCGACTTTACTTACACAGACCAGGGCATTGGCTCTATGAAGGGTGTAGCAGGTCTCAATGGTTGGGCGTGGGTCTTTATCATTGTAAGTATGCCACCTCCCCCTACACACAAGTCCGCCCAATACATGGCTATCAAGATGCACGGTCTTCTCGAGAGGCAGAGGGTTATCCACTGAGAGCCGTCGGATGATAGACTCTCTTCGGATCCAGCTTCGATCTCGATACCACTGTGCACTTGTATATGTACTCATATAAGGCTTACCCGTTGACCTGTCTCTTTTACGAGGTACGACTTTGCTGACTGTGATTACAGGAGGGTATAGCTACTGTGCTCATAGGAATAGCGGCCTATTGGTTCGTGGTCGACTGGCCTCAGAAGAGCACGTTCCTTGCTCCGGACGAGAAAGCCTTTGTGACTGCACGTCTCAAGGCTGATAGCGATGCCTCCAATACGGAAGAGTTTCAATGGTCAGAAGTTTGGAAAGCCTTCAAAGACCCCAAGGTCTGGTTGTACTGTGCGCACTTCCACACCCTGAGTCTGCCGCTATACACCCTCTCTTTGTTCTTAGTAAGTCCTCGTATACTGATCCAAAATAACTTGGAAAAGTGGCAGGAGCTAACAAGATACCAACAGCCTTCAATCATCAAGAGTCTAGGCTACACAGCCTCTTCCGCCCAACTCCTTAGTATCCCACCATACGCTCTGGCAACAACACTTACCTTCATATACGCCATAACTGCCGAGAAGTTCCGCCGCAGAAATGTCTTCATCATGACTTCGTCCCTTACTGGCATAATCGGCTACATCATTCTGCTTTCCAACAAGCATCCTACCCGTCATCCTGCTGTCAGCTACGTCGGCACCTTTTTTGCCGCAGCAGGCATCTACCCCTCTACAGCTTTGGCACTATCGCTTCCAGCCATCAACGTATCGGGACAGACGAAACGAGCTACAGCAACGGGTATGCAGATTACTATCGGTAATCTGGGAGCTATATTGGGCACGCAGTTGTACAGGACAGAAACTGCGCCGAGATATGTCTTGGGACATGCATTCGCGCTTGGCTATCTGTGTCTGAATATCTGTGTCGCTGGGTTGACTTGGTGGACTCTGAACAGAGAAAACAAGAGAAGAGATGGATTGGATGTGCAAGAGGTACAGCAACAGAAGCAAGAAGGAAGTGTAGAAGGTGATGACAATGTTAAATGGATTTTCACTGTTTAGATTACTCTGGAGAGCTTACCTGCATATTGAGCGGTACTGACAGTGGAAGCAGAAAACCGAAACAAGCAAGAGGGTCTCCACCACGAGAGTTCACATATGATCGCAACTATCTCTGGTTTAATGTAGCTATAGAGATGCAGAATGTTAAAAAGAGCAGGACCATCTCCGCTGAAAGCCATCATTCTGTCGCCTCTCTCTGGACGTCTTTCTGGTTCCGAAGATAGTTGTGAGTGACTTCATGCACGCTGCCGGTGGCACGCGAAGTTGCAACACCTGCTTGTAGGTTTTCCGTCTTTGCTCGTTTGTTGCAAACAAAAACACACGCCGACTGTCAACACCAACAGTCTTGTCCTTCTATCATCTCACTCAACCCATCTTTTCTACACCATCATCCCTCAGCCTGCGTGAAACCATGGCACCACACGGTCGTTGTGCTTCAGGCCCCTGCCGCCATGTCGGCACTCTCAAGTTCCGCTGCAACAATTGCAAGTCGACTTACTACTGCAGCAAGGCTTGTGCAGACAAGCATGTGGACGGCAGACACAAGCTCACCTGTGGCGGATCTGACGCTTTCGTGCCTTTGAGACCGGGTGTCTTCAACTTCATGGGACTGCCTCGCGAAGTGCGCGACAAGGTAAGTCATGCTCTCACTTTCTCCTGCTGACTGCCTACTCACGTCTACTGCAGNATCTACAAGGAAATCCTCAGCAGCAAGCTGNNCCCCCCCTTTGAGCAGGCCGAATATGACAGAGTTGCCGCCACTATCTCCAATGGTCAACCTGATCTCGCCAACAGATGTAGAGACTACCTGGACGTCTTCGATCGCCGTTGCATGGCCTCTCCTGAATACACACTCTCCATGGTTCAGAACGTTCCCATCTATGGTTTCAAACCTTTCACCGATGCTCGTGGACTCTTGTTCGCAAACAAGCAAATCTCTCAGGAGCTCAAGGAGGCTAACTACGCAAAGAACACCTTCCTCTTTACTGTTCGAGACGATCATGTTTGCGACACGTCTGCTCAAGAGTTCCGCGACTATGTCGCCCACTTCCTCAAGGCTAAGAAGCTATACATTGACATTGCCACTCCCAAGGATCACCCTGGCGAGAGCGGCTTCCAGGCAAGCGTCAACACCATCAAGCGCCAGCTTCTCGTCCTCTTCGTTTCTCTTGAACGATCTGGTGCCAGTCTCGACTCGTTGACTGTCCGTTACACCTCCTGCTTTCCCAACGAGATCGAGGACCTTCGTGTCGATGCCGACGGCCTCGCTACTCACAAGCAGGCCCGTGTCATTTGGGTCATGGATCCCCGTACCGACAAGATGCGTTCCCTCAACCACACCGAGATGAAACAGCTCTACCTCCACAGTACCACCATCGCCGACGTCCTCTGCGCTTCCAAGATTCCCGTGTCCAGCTTCCGCGTCTTTGGCGACTTCTCTGGCCCTGATATCTCCCGTATATCCCGCAAGTTCAACATCCCCGTCATTCCGGTTGATGCCAAGCTCGACAAGTATGGCCAGCGCGTCCACAAGGATGGAGAGATGTGCAGAAACATGGCCAGAGACCATCCCGACAGGGCCGACATTTGGCTGAAGCAGACAAAATCCATGGAACAGATATTCAGTACTAGAGCTGGAGCCATTCGCAAAGTTGCCATGCTAGGTCCGCCTGATGGTCCCGAATATGATCGTCTGATGGCTCAAGCTCGTGCCATCTAATTAGATCAGTCGCTTTTCTTGGACAGGCAGTCAGGTTGTGTGGGTTCTATGGCTGCTGAATGTTCATCCTGGATCTGTTGGCATGGCATGTAAAGCAAACTTGTTCACCTCCCATCGATCGAGCCCAGCAGGAAAGATGTAATCTCAAATGAGATGTCAGATAGGAAAGATCAAAAACACTATTCAAGCCCGTGCAAAATTCTTGTCTTTTGCCATCCTCCTGTGAAACAGATACTCACACGGTTGTTGTATTGTGAAGAGCAAATCTGCTTGTGTTTGCAAGACATTGTCTTCGGAACGTGCTAACCGCTGCACTACCGGGGCTGGAGATGTGTATGTGGCAGATTGTGTGGAAAATGTATGTTGAGATGAAAAGGAAGGAAGAACGCGACAGCACCTGCGGGTGACATGTACGCAACTACAACTTGGCAGACTCGCCCTTCAACGTCAACCCAGTCAACCTCTCCAACTCCGCCACGGCTTTATCCGCCCTCCCCAGCTCTACCTTGACAGTCCTCATACCCACTTTCCTCCCCGTCCTCAAATTCGTACCGATATCGTCGAAGAAGACAACATCTCCCGCAGCAACTCCATCTTTGTCTCCTCTTTCCCTAGCAAGCTTATCCAAAGCATCTATCGTATAATGATAAATCTCTTCGTCCGGCTTTCTCATTCCCACATGCGCCGAACTAACAAACAAATCAAAAAGCCCGCGTAACTGAGAGTGAAACACTCCATCCGGTGAAGTGGAAGAGTTGAACTCGTGTCCAGAAGGAAAGATGGAAGTATTGCTCAACGCAGCAAGAATATATCCCTTTTCTTCTGCATGTTTCCTCAATTTTTGCAGTGCAGGCCACATATAAGGATCAGGCTTCCTCGACACCGTCATCATCTCCCAAAACAGTTTTTCCCCATCGATTTTCGGAGCAGCGGGGGCATTGAACAAGGCTTCCTCTGCTGCTTGTGCTGTACTTTCTTTTCTGCTCTTTTCCAAGTACTTGATGTAGAAGTTTCGCCATAGCTTTTCGTCGCAGAGGTCAGAGGTGAATGCGGAAAAGAAGGAGGTGTCGAGGGATGTTTGTCCGCGTTCGAGTTTTGCCCACGAGCCGGTTTTGCCAGAGGCTGAGATTGCGGTGTTGATCCAGCCGATGGGGATGGAGTTTTGCTGTTCGTAGGCCAGGATGGCGGACATGGGGGAAACGACCTAGAGGAGCGGTTAGGATTGTGGTTGGAGATGAGAATGTTCAGAGTGTCATACGCAGACGCCGCCAATGTCGAATAGCAGCACTTTCGGCGGTGGAGAAGGCATTGCTGAAGGTCAATTGACTGTTTCCTTGCAAAGGTGGTGATGCTACATGTTGTCGAGATGGTATTGAGTGCAGACAGAGCCCGAGGTGTGCGTGAAGTCATCTCCGCAACCTTGGTGGATTTGCCGAGGCTCATTCGTCCAACAACCACACCCACCTCCGTCGATAATCTGTCAACCTCATAAGTGTAGAAACAAACGACAATCTTTGGCTGCTAGAATTGTAAACACCACTCCTTTGGCAGAGTGCATTCTACCATCTTTAAAAAGCTAGTGCAATGTGAAGCCATATTCATAGCACCAAGGAGATGTGAACATGTAATGATCGTCAAGTAATTTTACATTCGTCTTGAGCCATGCATATGAACGTAAAGACATTATAACGCTACAAACATCGGGAAGAACACCATTAACCCTCCATAAAACCCAATACCCATATCCGTCTCTATGCCTTGTATCCTCCGGGTCTTCAACCAAGCTCTTGCTGGGAGACACATTCTCCATCTTGAAACGCCTAAGCACAAAAGTAGCTTCAACAGCTCATCTACACCTTGACGGTAGCTTCCCGTTCACCATCCTCTAGGCTGCCATACCCGCTGTCTTTCTCTTCTTCGTCTTTCCAACCGCCCACACGTTTGCTGACACCGAGACAAGACTCGACGATCGCAGCTTTCTGCTCTCTGGTCAAACCTGCAGTCTTGGCAGCACGAGTACCAATCCATACTCTGAGGTTGCCAGCCATGTCATCTAAGCCAACCTTGCCACTGTTGAAAAGTAGAGCATCAGATGAGAAAGCTGACAGAACCTTGTAAGCAGCAACAGCGGTGAGCAGTGTGATTCTGTTGGGCATGAGGTGCATTGAAGACAGAACAGAGGCGGCATGCACACGCGCAGGAGTAGGATTGGTAGGTGAGACGATGGAGAGGATCTTCGCAAGGGTAAGAGCGCTGTGTGTGTCTGGGGAGATGGGTGTATGGGTGATCATGTTTGAGGGCATATCCAGGCCGTCAGTAGATGTGACCGTTGGTAGAGTATCCAGAGCGGCAATGATGTGTGCTGCACGGCCGCTGTCAAGAAGGACAGCCTTTGCCACATGAGCGCGGGTTTGGGTCGCCGACGCAGGAGGAGCAGTCTTGTTGGCCAAGTCGATGAGATATTGTACATCGGTCGCAGTCTTGGTATCGCTGTCCAGGGCACGAGTAAGTGCAGCGTCGACGGTCATATTGGCGAACCAAGCAGCAACAGCGTCAAGAGGGGATCGAATAGCGTGATCTTCCACCACACTGTTCATGGTCTGATTAGGGATGGTCTTCTCAGCACTGGGTCTGTTCCATGCGAGGTTGTAAGCACGTTGGATCATCTCATCAGTCAGAACATCGTCACAGTCGAGCTCGATCAGCTCGGCAAGGTAATCAGGCAGCTTCTCGATCTTGTCATCGGCAATCTGCTTCTCAGTGTACTCGCCGGCAGCAAGGGCGTGTTGTTGTTTGCGAGCAGAGTCCCAGTAAATCCTGCCCACCTTGGCAGTGAAGTCTCCGAACATGAACATGTTGCCATAACCAGCATTAGCGACTTCCCAGAAGAAGATACGGAAGTGGACAGCCTTTTGCATGAGACGGATGGGAGAGTCTGGAAGAGTACCAGAGGCCATGAGGGTAAGCAGCAAGCGGTAATAGCTGACCTCGGCGTCACCACCAGCAAGTTGAGCGTCAATAGCAATGTCCCATGCTTTGATACGAGCAGCCTCATCGTCGGGAGTCTTGCCGGATACACGCGAGTAGAACTCAGAGCCGACGAGACGACGCAGACTAAGCATGATCATCTTGCATGTCACAGAGACAACTTCAAGCAAGAAGTGACGAGGCATCCAGACACTTTGCACAGCGGTAAGCCAAGCCTTACGGCGGACTTCGACCGGGGAAGCAAGAGAAGGTGCGGCGGTGAGGCAGATACGGATCGAGTGCTTTTGCTTTGGTTGTGGTTTGAAACGAAGCAGAGGAAGGAGGATATAGATGAAGGCACCAAAGACCAAGAAAGTCTTGAGTAGAGGAAGCGCAGCCTGGGCTGACGAGCCATAGGCAGCATGTGATGGAGATCTGAGGAATTGACCACGCTTGATCAAGTGCACAGGGGCAGCAAATAGGCCTCTTCCAGATGTAGAGTGAGAATCTTGTTCTTGCTCGTGGAAGCCTTCCATAACCATGAGAGCAGCCAACGAGCCGACCATGAGTTTGCCGACGAAGCCATTGCCTGCACCCTGAGCGTTGACAAGGTTGTTCTGTCCAGGCTCGACGAGGGTTTCTTGAGGTTCGTAGGCGGGTTGGGAATGTTGTTGCATATATTGGTCTTGCTGAATACGTCTCGGTGCTTGAGAGGCAATCGAGCCCTGCCTTGAGCGAGCAATGGCGGGTGTGAGGATACCGGCATGCTGGTTGGCAGTAGCGGACCTTGCCATGACCTTCTCCATATTTGCCATGCGAGTCTTGAGTTGAGTCAACTCGTCTGCCTGTGTCTTTGCTCTCTTTTCCAAGTGTTTGATGTATTCAGTAGCCTTAGCCAACACTGTGGCCTTGTTCAACTTATGCGCTGGTGTCAGGCCCTCGAGATCCTCAGAATCATCGTTGCCACTGGGTCGCGACATGGCTCTGAGACTGGGCACGCTGTCACGAAGTTCGGCAATCTTGTCGTTCAAGTTGTTGCGGTATCGCTTCTCGATGACATTGTGCGACGTCTTCTTGATCGGAGGTCCTCCATCTTCTGGACTCTGTTGTTCCTCATCGCTGTTCGACACCTTTCGCTTCCTTCCACCCTTCTTCTTTGCAGGTTGTTCCGCTTGCTCTGGTGCAGGTGATATGGACGATACGCTCGTGCGGGCATGTGATGTGGAGGCAGGACTACTACGGTGTTGACTTGTGCTCGAGACGGATGCTGGTCCAGATGCAGGGTAGTCGTTGCTACCGAGGATTATAGGGGCGAGCAGTTCGCCCTGCTGGGGTGCATTGATGTTCTGGCCAATGGGTGGCCATAAAGATGAAGATGAGGGTGAAGCCTCTTTTGGACCAGTGTGCAAGTGGTCCACGAGGGGTTGTAAATTGCTGGACTCGGCGCCAAAGAGAAATGGTAGGTCGTCGGTCTTGGTGTTGGGTTGAGCTGGGCCAAAGTCGAAAGCGGCGTCGGCGAAGGAAAAGTCGCCAAAGTTGGCATCGTCGCCAACTATCAGTGGCGGCGCAAGTGTCTCGTCGACATTCAAAGGAGGAAATTGGTCGGCATTGAAGTTGATGTCTTGCATGGGAGAGTTGTTGCTCGTCTTGGTTGAACTATTGGGCGAAACGGGATCGTCGGCGAAGTCCATGCGCAACCAGTCCTCCCATTCGTCGGGGTTGTCGGGCACGGCGGGTGCAAAGTCCCAGCTGGCGGTGGTTGTGTCCATTGGGTGTGCGGTTGTCCTTCTAGACCATGGGCGTAACTATGTGTTGAACAGTCGCGAGGGGAAGGAGGGCGATTCGAGGGTTGGGAGGAAAGAGCGATAGACGGCGGACCCTGGCGCGATGATACGGATGCGCTCTACAAAGTCAGACCATTTCGACGACGGCGCAGCGTCCCAAGCCACAAGGAGTCAAGCCCCCCACTCGTGCCATGGCGTCCTCGATTCAGACGCGAAACTGAAACGAGAAAGGGACCCAAGCTCATTTCCGCGACTTCCCCCTCGGAAGCCGCGCCAGCCGTGCTTTCCTTTGTCACGTGCAACCACCACTCAGTTCATCATTTTTATGAGCCCATGTTTCCCGTCATTCCTCCTGTCTTCGCTCCGCCTCATGCACGCCACGTCAATGTACAGAATCGAACCATTCTGAATGCTCGCCAAGGCGCCAGCTTTCTCCTCACACGCTCATCAACAGTCGCTGAGAATGGGCCGAGTACCGTGGGTCAAGAGCAAACCGCGCCGAAGCCGCTCCTTTGTCTTTCCAGGCTCTTTTTTCTTGTCTGATGTCTTGACACCTGTCGACGGATGTCCCCGCAAGGAGTTGACACACTGTCTCCGGCATGATTCGATATTCTTGGAATTGTCCTTCCATCTCAACACCACAGTATAATATTCTTAAGGGAAACTACGCAGGCCTATATGCCATGTTGTCTCTCTTGCTGGATACCCCTTGGCTGTTTCGAATCGGATTGCGTCACTCCAGTACACTAGAAACCCTCAAGAAGGTTCCTCTCGTATTTCTAATAACCTACTAGACCTTGTGCCATGGCTTTTGGGTTACTGAGCGAGAGGAGAGCGATGTAAAATGCGTAGTCCATACCAAAGAGTCTTGATCTTGTGGCCTGATTCTATGAGGACTGTACGTACATCATAAGGTAGTTGGATCATTTTCATATGTCATAGCAAATCATTTCAACCTCTCAGGACAACATGAAGCAACATCGTAGGCTATAAAAATGCATAATACCTTGAAGAAGAAGAAGAAGAAGGGCAACGTCTACAGAGACCTCCTGACCACCATCTGACGAAGGTTATTGACACTTTCTGTCAAAGTCTCTGGGTATTCCCAACTCTCCTTGGGCATCACTGCAGGCTGCTACTACACTGTGCAATGCGATAACATATCCCAGAAACTCGTTTCTCTCACATTGCCACCTTCATCTTCCGCACCTGAGATATCGTTTTCGCCAATTCATTACTTCGATCACTCAATTCCAAGATCATCACTTGACCTCTTCCGGTGAGGCGAGTTTTCTTCGTTCTTTCAACAAATCTTGACTCAAAGCTGCTTTCTTTTGTCGTCTTCGAAAGCTCCTCACTCTTCTGACGCGACCAGCAAACACCTCCCGTCGCGTCAGTCCAAGTAGTCCGTTACTTCCACAATCTTGCATCTTGCGCACCTTCTTCTGCAGTCTCTGCGCCGCGCAAATTTCGTCTTCGCCTGTCCCGGCAATTCCAGGTAAGTCTACATGAACGAAGAACCATTCTTGATCGGAGACCGTGACCGATATATTAGGCGCAGATCACATCTGGTCTACTCCACCTGCGAATCAACCACTCAATCTGTCATCGACCATGACACCGGTTCCCATCACCTCAGCACTCACCATGCCACCTATCAATTTGCCTTTGCGCAAATTGGCTCCTCACAGAAAATATGCCAAAAAGTTCTTGACTCTGCCCGACGAACTCCTTGTCAAGATTTCTAACGAAGTCGCGCCTGAAGACCTGCCAAACTTTCGCCTTAGTTGCAAGACCTTGGCCAACATCGCTGCAAAGCACTTTGGTGAGAAACGACTCGCTCATCGCCGCTTCATGTTCACCGAGTACAGTTTGAAGGGACTGATTGACATGACTGCTCACCCTATCATCGGACCATGCATCAGAAGCATTTTACTCGGCACTGTTTACTTGACCGACGAATTGACAGTTCTGATCGACGCTCTGGAGTCTCAAAAGATCACCGAAGACGCTGAAGCGATGCAAGTACTCCAGGTGTATCGCGAGCGTCACAATGCACGAATAAAGCTTCTCAAGGCTAACAAGTTGTTTCACTTGTTGGTGACCGCCTTTTCAAATCTTTCATCGCATGGCACCAATGTCTCTGTTGGACTCTTCGACGGAAGAGAAAAATGGGGTTATCGTGACGAAGTGTGGCACGGATACGGCTAATCTCACGAGTTTGGCGGTCTGCCTTTCACAAGGTTTGTAACAATGAACCAGCCCTCTCTCCTCCGAGCGATCCGAAAAGCCTGCCGGAGAGCCAACCTCCGCCCAGAACTCTTTGAGTTCGACCTGCTTGGTCAAGAGAGAGCTGATGGAATGAAGACTGTGCTGTCGGATCTGCTGCTGACCGATGGACAATCTCAGCTCCAAGCCAGGCTTGATGTTTGTATCAGAGAAGGATACATGGATATCTGCATCTTGCCCAGCCGCAATCGACTCGAGTTCAAACAGAGACCGGTGCGCAACCAGATGTTGAGTATACCCGAGTGTGTCCGCTTCGACCTGCTTTCGTTGGGGCGACCGATGTGTGATGCGATCGCCTCTTCGTCTTTGACTCATTTACGCATGGAGTCTTGCTCCATGTGGTCAGGCAGTTTCGTCGGCGTCCTCAAATCTCTCGCGTGGGCTCTGCAGGTGGTGGAACTGATCGATGTTGCCTTCTGGGGCGACCAATGCAACATCAGCAATCTGGATCCGATACTTCAATGTTTCAAGAACGATCTTCGCCTTCACACTTTGATTCTGGACAATGTGAGAGCTATGAACAAGGACTACAGTGACGATACGGGCATCCTTTTCGCCAAGGGAAGATACTGGCATGGGCCTCAGCAGATCCATGCAGGACTCGACGTTCTCACTGGCTTCGATGGCAACGGCTGGGACGGTGACGATATGGACGACTGGTTTGAGAAAGGCATCAGATGCATTGAGGAAAGAGCCAGCAGCGAGTATTACTACCAAAACTATATTCCAGATGGGAGTCGCGAAGGCTACTTGGCATACAAAGCTTAGGAAGAGGAAACCCTGGAGGAACGCAGAAGAGAATACGCCGAGTACAAGGAATCCAGAGCAAGTGCAAAGGAGGCAATGGCTAGGGTCGAGGCTGGAGATTTCAGCTCATGATAGCTACAGATCACTACAAAAGAAGGATTCTGGACACTGAGGATCAACAGTCGGTCCAGATTATGTAGCACTATGAAAATGCACAAAGGTCTTGAGAACCAGGACAGTTTTACCACCGAAGAGACATTATTACTCCACCATGACCTCCGTGGACAAAGTTTGCGGATCAGATATCACTGTGTATCCCTACAACTTACCATCCTGTGTATGCCATGTTCCCACAGAAGTATCCGCAAGGGGAACAAAACAACAATCTTCTCTCAAAGCAAAAATTCGGTCACTCTGTATACCTATTGAGATGCACCGTACTTTTGCGAGACGGAGGAGCACCCACTGAGAGCCGCCCGTCGAAGTGCCTTTCAATCTACCAGCAGTATGGCACAAAAGTACTGGGCATGACGCGGAGGTATAAAATTGAAAGCATGTGTTTTGGTATAAGTCATCAGAATACAGAAGCAGGGTTGACGGCGCCAGGATTAAGCATGCCAGGGTCAAGAGCATTGAGAATCGTAGGTTTCGGGGGCTTTTCAATCATCTGTTACGCTCAATCAGTCTTTCTCCTCCACAAAAGCAATAGAAGGTGTCGTGTGTACATTGTATTTCTCATTCATCAGGACTGACCTTGACAATCTTGCGCTCAACAAGTCTGACCCAACGTCTGCGTCTCCACTCTCCCTTGACCGATACACCCGACCCTTCCTCCCAACTCTTTGGCGGGGAAAGCGTGGTAGTAGATTTGGTCTTTGAATCAGCAGTGTCGAGATCGTAGACCCATCTCTCGCCTTCCGTCTCAATCTCCACGGCAGAAACACAGCGCTCTTCCACCCACTCCCTACTCCCTAAATCCAATGTCCATTTTTTGTCTCGCCATAACCATCCATTGGGCGGTTGTACATCTTCAAAGAATTGTGTGCCCACTGGTCTTGCGCCAGCAATCCTGGACGGAGAAGTAGGGGCATAGGGTTGAGGAGTAAATAACCAGGGTTCCCATTCTCCCTGCAGCACAGCTCCTTCCTCTCCTCCCAAAGTGTGTTTTTCCAGTCGTTGCAATTCGAAAATCTCGACTTCGCGGACTTGAGCGGGTTCGTCGAGGACAATGTCGGACTCGACCCATTCGGCGCCAAACACACAGATGCGGTTGTAGATGACTTGTAGATTGGCCAGAAAGCCTTCGTTACTGATGAGTTCTTGGGTGTAGGGATGACCTGCTGCTGTAGCTGACCAACCTGCTACGAGCAAGATTGCGCGCCATGGTACCAGATGTGCAGCCAAGAAAGCGATGCTCACGAGAGCAGTCAAGCAGAGAAAGACAGCCGAGGACAAGCGTTCGTTGCTAAAATCAGTATAGGGAGTAATAACTGCAACCGCGCCGTCGTGGACACGGCTGAAGTCTTCCATGCAGTTTTGGAGGTCGCGCATGTTGCGGAAAAAATCCTTGCTCATTTCTGGAGCAGGCTTGACGCGCTGGGGAGGAGCTACGGCGGGGCCTGAGTAGCCGTATGCTGCGTATTGCTCGGCCGCTGCTGCATCCACCGAGGATGACGGGTTTGCGACAGGAGGTGGTGGATGTCGTGTGAGGAAAGAGGGTATCATGACGAAGAATAGAAGAGCTGCCAGAGGAACGACAGGAGCTAGTGCTGGCTGCAGACATACAAGGGTATAGACGGCGAGAAAAGACATTGTATGCGTTGGGACACGCCAGGTGAAGAGGCGTATCATCTGATTCTGGAAGACAAAGACAATTCCTATTCTGAGGGAAAGATCAGTCGGCAGCTATATACCAAGTCGTGGAAGTACCCACCTTGCGTTGAAGCGTCGGAAGTTTGCCGACATGACCGGTAGACTGAACTGTGGTTTGTCGACGTATTGCCTTGAGCGGCGGTCCTTCTTGGGGGTGCCATCATCTTCGGCATCTTGTGGAAAGACTTGTTCCAGCAGTGTATTGAACAGTCTCTCCTGCACGCTCCCCTGTGTCGTCTTGTACTGTGTCGACACATCGTGGAGTTTGCTTTTTAATCTCTCTGCCTCCTGCTTTATCCTCTCTCTCCTCCCTAGCTTTTGCTGTTCTGTCTCGGGCGGTGCTGTGTCGTCCGTATTGAATGGTATCTGGATGACGGGGATGGGGTCGTCGCGGTTGGCTATCGATGCGCCTGCATGATCGTCCATGGTGGCATTCATTCATTCGTCTTTCGTTTTACTGTCATGAGTGTCATGTCTCATTCATCGCAACTTTGTCGAGTGCACACAACAAGAAGTTGTTAGGCCTGACCGACGTCGTGGTTGGCCAGACGTCACTCGGTCTTGTGCCTTTCACATGCAAACTCTTGGCAAACTTTGTGCTTTATAGCAAATGTTTCATTTTGTCTACGCAGTAGCACATCAGATGCTATGCAGTGAATCAACCTCTTCCGACCTTGAACGACAGAATGTCGTTCTTGCCTACTGACACGGGATCATCTTCAGCCACTCTCTGTCCTCCTACTGTTTCCACATAGGCTAATGGCGCATCGCCCATGATCTTGCGATATACATCTCCAACCGTCGAGTNTCCTGCCCAATATATTAGTCTATATTTCCGGAAGGGTTTTCTAGAATGGACATACTTCTTGACCAGAACGCAATCTCTAAACACACCGCCTTCACGTCCATCGCCAGACGAAAATGTCGAGATGTTTCTGACAGGGAAGACGGGTGTGAGTCCCAAGAGCTCCGCTGCACGTGTAAGGACTTGATTTACACCAGTGCTGCCAAAGCGGTAGAGCACAAGGTCGCGCAAGTTCTCAATGCGGCNTGTAGAACGTGGTCAGCTGGTGTTTTGTCCATAAGGCACCATTTATGCTCACTTCTGCAGCTTCTCATCCAACTCTTTCAAGCCACCACCATCGGGCTCTCCGTTCTCGATGAGGTCTTCTTTTGTGTCGACAAACTCGCTGCCTTCTTGGTAGTTGACAAAGCCTTGTTTTGCCAGGCGGCGCAAGAAGACCTCGCTGATGGCCGAGCAGAGAACGAGTGTGTTTGGGTCGTTGAGCTTCGCAATCTTGGCGACATTCTTGTCGGCATCGGGATGGTCGATCTTGTTCAGTGCGATGACCGTAGGGAACTTTTCATCCACAAAGGCGTTGACCACTTTTTCGACCGTCTCATCACTCCAATCTTGCAAAGGCTCTTTCAGTTCTAGCTTGTCGAGGGTACGAGCGATAATCTGTTTCGTAGAGCCGTAGCCCGAGAATTGGCCTTGTAGTGTGTCGACTGCGTTTCCCTTGATTGCGGTGTGTCTTCTCTTGACAGATCCNNCCTGTGCTTGCGTTTAGCTTCGACTTGATGGGGCATATTCCTGTGCCTAGACGCACCATTTTTCCATGAGGTTGCCTTGGATCCAGCGAACAATCTCGGAGCGCAACCATTCAATGTCCACACTGGGGTCGTAGCCTCTTGTCGCCTTGCCTTCGGCATCAGTTGTTCCGCTGACATCAACAACGTGAATCAGAGCATCGGCGTGTCTCAAGTCGTCCAAGAATCGGTTTCCTAGACCTTTGCCCATATGCGCGCCAGGTACCAGACCGGCTACGTCGAGTAGCTCGATGGGCACAGAGCGGGTTCCATTGTTGCACACGCCATAGTTTGGTTTGCATCTTTCAACGAGGGGCTTGTCGCCAACATTTGGGACTCCTGGCCTTGAACATGCGCACGGAATCTGGAGATAGCCTACGGCTCGGTTGGGGTCGATGGTAGTGAATCTGAAGCGAGATCAGGAATGCGACGGACGGAGTAGAGGCAGAAGGAGGGCATACGGGAAGTTGCCTGAGCCACACGGTCAACACGGATTGCACAAGAAGAAGAGATTGAAGAGGATAGGAAAAAAAGTCGATGGCGCACCTACTTTGGACGTGGCATCCGTCAGGCTGTTCAAGGTGGTACTCTTGCCAGACGACGGCTTGCCGACGAGAGCGATGAGTGGATCGCGAGGCATTTTGGTTTACGGAGCAGGCAAGGAGTCGGGTCTAGCTATTGGAAGTTCTTCCAGAAGGGTTTGACGAGGCACAATGTCGTCAGTGGGCACGAAGGTTGTGGTTCGGAGTGGGTTGGTGGCTGTCAGTCCTGCTGCATGCACGAGCCTTCCCGTGCGAACGATCTGGGAAAAAGGCATTCAGGGACACCCGGCCTGCCACATGCATCGCTGTTGTCCGCACGGCAGAGACGTACGTCCCATGTAGATAGAAATTCAATACATGTGCCAACAGACGTGAAACCAAATGAACAATCTCTTGCAAAAAGCAAGCATGCAGAATTGATGGTTTCTCACAATCTTATTGTGCTTGTATGTAGGGCCGCTTTGGCCAATAACAGAGGGGCACCGGTGGCAGAGCAATGACCGCTACCTGAGGCTCGGTCGTAAAAGAAGACTATTCTGCTTTGGGCGAGCGAGGAGCAACAACAATCTAAAGAGACCAAGTCGTATGTCGGACATTNNTGCTAGCCAGAGTCTGAAGCCCCTTCGACACGCACCAAGCAAGTCCGTCAGACCGACCGCCTGCAGTCACTCTCTCCTGACACTCGTTGACGACAAGACACACGATAGAGCGGCCATGATTTTTTGAGCCACAGTCGACATTCAGGAGGCCTTGAAANNCCAAAGACCTACGGGTCAGAAATGCTCGCAGCAGTGTCGTAGTAATTGGTCGACATGCAGACTCGAGAGGCATTCAACAAGGATTCCGAGGAGTCGGGCGCTGAGAGTGAGCCATGACAACAACAACAAGATGCAGCTGCAAGCAGCCNNTACTGACCCTCTCCCCTCCAAGCCGAGAGCCGTGCCAGGACAAAATACCAGCGCACCTCGCTCGCCGCCGACAATGACTCGTTTTCATTCCGCAAGCCCACCGCCCCTGCCTCGGCCAGTCGCCCACAGCAACAGCAGCACCAGCGCAAGTCGACGCTGAAGGAGAACAGAGTGCCCCTGCTGGGACCGCGGCCCTTCGAGTCGCCGAACAAGAGCAAGAGGTAGGTTTGATGTCTGGCCAATGATGACGGGATTGGCACTGAAGCAGAACAGGATTGTCAGCGACAGCAACGCCGCCAGGGAAGCTGCTGCCCGTCGCGACTTCCTCCCGAACAGTTCGAGCGAGCCCAACTTCGACAAGCCTCAAGTCCCGCTCCAGGCCCCATCGTTCCACTCGCAATTCCAGTACCAGGCACAGCCCTCGGCCGTCCAGCCAACGCAGATCCAGACACGCCAACTACGCTCCAAAGACAGTCGATTCAGCTTTGGCGAGCCCGAAAATGCAAACTCGCCCACGCCGCCCGCGTTCGACTTCCTTCCGCCTATCAACTTTGACGACTTCCAGACAAGCATTGCCTCGTACGACTCGGCCAAGTCCAAGGCGAGAAACGTCCCTCAGAGCATCAAGGCTTCAATAAATTCAAAGCCCCAACCCATGACTGTCACCCAGCGAGACGCTTCCGTGCCCAATTTCAACCAACTCTCGGCCACTGCTTCGAACCAGCTGCAGACCTCGGCCTCGACTTCGGTGCTACCAGTGCGCGCGAGAAGGGGAAGCCAGTCTGGCCCTGGAGCTCCCGCCATCACTGCCTCTGGAATCACTGCACGAGTAACACGCAAACCCATGGCGCCGCAATCGGACAAGAAACTACAATCCGACCTCTCTCGCACTCCTTCGATCCCGACAAATGTTCGCAAAACACAGGTCGGAACGCCGCAGCCTTCCTCGATCGATACCACCTTCGCCGCTCCTACTCGCTCTTCCAAAGCCAAGTCACTCCAGCCCCTGCCTCGATCTGCTACCTTGACCGATCTACCACAACCCGAGCAACGCCGATCCGTCAATGTCAAAGCCACCAACAGATCCAAGACGCCGAGGACCGACACACCGTCAGACAAAAGGAAGTCAGGAAGAATGAGTGGTCTTGGAGCCAGGACAATCAGTCCTACCGATGCTCGTAGGCTTCGCAGGATGTCTACCAAACAACTCCCTCCTTCGCCATCAAAGGAATCTACACACGCCCGCTCGCCCTCGGCCACACCCCGTAGACCCGCCTTGACGCCGTTATCCAACAGGGCGACCCCCGAGACTTCAAACAGAATGGCACCCCCGCCAAACCTCAATCTGTCGAGGACACCGAGTTATCAGTCTCTCCGCGCTCCGAGTGCTGGTCAAGGAAAGATTGGTCAAAGCTCTTCGACCTCGAAGTTACCCACTCCCAAGAGTCGGAATCTTTACAGCGCTGCAGAAAGACGTGATGATGAGGAGATGGTTCCGCCCGTTCCTGCCATACCAAAAGCCTACGAGTCCCCGAAAGACCTGATAGACATACCCTTTTTCTCTGGTCTCAAGACTCCTCTGTCTGGCAATGTCGACAACGAGAACTCTGCTCTACCAATACCCGCCCGACGTGGAGAAAGCTCTACTGCACCCGACCCAAGCCAACCACAGCACCGTAGAGGCCTCACATTAGGTAATGGAACAAGCGCCGAGACCCCCTCGGCCATGCCTGCAGTCAACAAGAAGCCTCTGCAACCGTTACGCCTCCCTCCTCTTAATCTCCTACCACTCTCAACCCCTACTACGGCGAGAATCAACTCCTATCCTGCTCCGTCTCAAGAAGTGGATACACGAGGTACCACGCCTCCCTTCAAGCGCAATGCCGCCAAAACACCCAGCACTCCCATGACAGCTTCAAAAGCAACCTTCTACAGGCGCCAGGAAGAAGAATCTGCCATGCCACTTAGCGCACGTAGTAACAGTACTCAGCCTGCTGCTCGTGTCCCACGTTACGAAGAACCAAGCAATGGCGTGCTTCTGCCTCCCCCTTCTCCAGCTAAGCGTCAAGCCATCACTCCATTCACCTCAGGCTCGTTACCCAAGCCTAAGTCCAGATACACCCAACCTCCGAGACTACCGGATGAGTTCACTCTGGGCAATCACAATGTCGAGTCCCTCGCTTCCAAGCCAATGGGCCCAAGACCACGAGCTGTGTCCAAGTCGGTCAAGGAAACCGCATCAATCCACACAGTGTCTTCTGTAGAAGACGCCGAACAGCCACCACCTTCTGCTGCCTCAGGACTACGTCGCAAGTTGAGCTTGGGATGGCGTAAGACGCCGCCTAAAGCATCCAACACCTCTAACGCAGAGCCCCTCAAGCTTCAGACTAACAGATACGACGACATGCCTCCACCCAAGATTCCCGCCTCTGCAACATGGAGCACCGATAGTCCCATCTCCACATCTAGCAGTGGCCGTCCCTCCTTTGAAAGCACAAAGCTCGAGAGCCACAGGAGAAAGGCGTCTGTCTCTTCTGCTAACAAGCTGCCCCAGCCTGAGTCTGCTTCAGCTGCTAAGCCTCTACTTCCAAGCAATATTGCAGTTCGCCAGCCTCAGACGAGCACTGCTTCGGTGCCACAGCCTGCAGCACCGCAAAATCAACGTTCTACATCGTGGTCAATCCTTGGCAGCATGAACCGCTCCCTAGGCGCAAGAACTACTCCGCCTCAATCCAAGCCTCGAACAATCAATGCCTTACATCTGGACAAGGATGATATTGCCGCAAACGATGAGATGAGAAAGTTATCTACAAAGAGGCGCGATATCGATGTCGCCGCTCGTGAAACCGAAGAGTTGCGTAAGCGTGCTACCCAAAAGGAGAGAATGACTCCTGCGCAAGCTATCCAATCGTCAGCTGGACTTCTGAACATCTACGAGAAGGGAGAGATCATCGACTACAAAGATGACGTCTGGTTTTGTGGCTCAAAACAAGCAAAGAAGCATGTTGGAGATATATCTGCTGCTGGAACGACAAACTTTGGTTATGACGACGAAAGAGGTGACTACAACCTCGTCATGGGCGACCACCTAGGATACCGCTACGAGGTCATTGATGTGCTTGGTAAGGGAAGTTTCGGACAGGTTGTGAGGTGTATTGACCACAAGCTCGGCACTCTGTGTGCTGTGAAGATTATTCGCAATAAGAAGCGATTCCATCAGCAAGCTTTGGTTGAAGTCAACATCTTGCAAAAGCTCAAGGAATGGGTAAGTTCATCGATTTGGACGTTGATGATGATATCGTACTGACCCATCGCTAGNGATCCTGATGAGGCCAACGCGACACTGACAATCACATCATCTTTCTACTTCCGGAACCATCTTTGCATCACATCTCCTTCGCTCAGCATCAACCTTTACGAATTTATCCGGACTCACAACTTTTCTGGCTTTTCAATCCAACTCATCCGCCGTTTCGCACGACAGATACTCTCATGTCTGTGCCTGCTTCAATCTAAAAGAATCATCCACTGCGATCTCAAACCGGAAAACATACTTCTCTGCGACCCTCGCCGAGCTGACGTCCGAGTCATCGACTTCGGAAGTTCTTGCAAAGCAGACGAGAAGGTGTACACGTACATCCAGTCGCGTTTCTACCGTTCACCTGAAGTCATTCTTGGAAGTGATTATGGTCTGGGTATCGATATGTGGAGTTACGGGTGCATTCTTGCGGAGCTTTTTACTGGATACCCTATCTTCCCTGGCGAGAACGAGCAGGAGCAACTTGCATGCATCATGGAAATCTTCGGCCCTCCTGCTCGGGACATTATCGAAAAGGCTTCACGAAGAAAACTCTTCTTCGATTCATCGCTCAAACCTCGTGTCACGGTATCGAGTAAAGGCAGAAGGAGACGACCTAGCAGCAAGACTCTCAGTGGTGCCCTCAAGTGTGATGACGAGGCTTTCTTGGACTTCCTCTCTCAATGTCTTCGTTGGGATCCCGAGAAGCGTCTGCGTCCAGATCAGGCTGTATCCCACCCATTCATCACCAATGAGCCATTCAGAAAAGCTGGACCTGTCAGTTCGCGTACAAGAACTGCAACCTCAGCTGCGTCGTCAACCACGACAACAGCGTCACAATCTCCCATCAAGCGGACACAACCAACGATACCGACCATTCCGGCATTCTCGTCGCAAGCAACGGCGGCGACTCCTCGCGCGCGTCCCCTTCCAGATACCCCAAATACAGCTGCGCGTAACGGCAACGCAGCGGCCCCTAATGTCAACAACGTCATGAACCAGGCAACCAAGCCAACAAATGTAGGCAGGCGACAGAGCTTAGCACCTCCCTTGCAGCCGACTATCAGTGCGCCACCACCTCAGGTATCAATCAGCCAAGCCATGGCTGGTAGCAAACGAGCCAGCAATGGTGCACTATTGGCACAACAATACCACCAAATGAGTCCATATGGCAGCCTCGGTGTCAGTGGCTCGTCGACCTCCAGCAGTGGTCTGCCACGCTCTGTAAGCGGAAAAGTCGACCTCGCGAGCGCGGCGGCGAGAGAAAGCATGGGAGCCACTGCACGGTGGAGGTGACAGGAGTAGTCATACGCTACAAGAACATGTTGAATTGAATCATGAACGAAGCGAAGAGATAGAGGCGGTTCATGAACATTGGCATGTGACCCACGAAAGACGTGACGACAAACGATGAACTGTATCTACTGCTGCTGGTATTAACTCTTTAATAATATTGACACAATCCTTCTGATCTGTGAGCTACCATGGCAACACAACAACGATGTTCTAGACCTTATTCTCTTCCTTCTTACTGCCCAAGAACTTGTTCTTCAGTTTCGCGATACNCTGTCATCCTTGTCCATCAGCTTTCGTACCCTTCCCAATGTCTCGCATCAATCCTCGGAAGTTTGACTTACCGGGTACCAAGCTATCGTATTTCTCCTGCTTTCCCATCAATCTGTCTGCTTCACCCGCATCACCCTTCTTCAGCGCTGCCATCACTGCTGCCGACTTCTCTCGTGCGGCGACTGCTTGTGGGGATGTCATTGTACGAGAGTCGGAGACATTTGCATTGGGTGCGTGGGTGAAAGGGTTCGGAGACCAAGCTTCGATTTTGTTGCCTGGGGAAGCCATTGTTATGAGTGCCTTTTTCGCGGTGGTTGGTTTGATTGAGCGAATCTTTGGGGAGCGTCAGATTCGGTGTCGATGAGTAGACTTTTTGAGAGTCAAAGAATCAGATGGCGATTGTAGTTGATTGACTATCTTTATGCAGGGAAAAATAAAGCAGTGTGTTTCTCTTGTCGGCGGGTTTATATATGGTTGATAAATCGTGGCTTGTGGGATTTTGCTGTGTGAGTATCATATGACTTCTCACGGAGGCGCAGCCGAGGTCACAAAATGTCTCGTATCCATCAACACTGGTATGGTACTTTTTGACGTTTTTTGGTCGCGCTGCAATCCTTCGCGTCGGAGATCTGTCTGCCTTGTGGAGGCTTCGTCTGAGGCTTGGGCGAGCTTGTTTCAAGGATTGTTGGCGACCGTGGTCTCATGGAGTATGGAATGTTGTTGAAGCAGCAGCACGAGGTATGTGTATACGTGCGTAGCAATCTGACAATTGTGACGACCCGGATACATATTATATGCCTCACGGACACGAGAGATTATAGCCACGATGATGCTGAGAACGTGGTGCTCTTACATAATTCGCGCAACTCGCAATAGTACCTATGCTACGCATAGCAATTGGTTGGAACATATATGAAGATTGCAAATGATTTATGCTAGTTATACTTAGGCATCATATCCCCTATATTTAACCACTACAATGAGTAGAGGATAACTCACTATTCTGTATTCATTATTACAGTCTGAATTACATGTGTTCGAGATCTTGGTATTGACTGGGTTCTCGTTGTCTCTCCACGACCATGTGTCTATTCTTGTCTGGGTGCAAGTTCTCAATGGAGCAAATCAGAAAACGCAAATTTGCATACATTAAGTCGTCAAAGCTTGCTATCAGGCAGGAACTTGAGTCAGACTGGCACACGTTATCCAGAAGATGTACCGAAGCAGTAAAGATAACAGATTAGTCAGTAATGCGGCTGTAGTATTGTCGTCGACTCCAAAATCGCTTGTATGGGGTAGAACCCTGTCCTTGGATCACGAAGCCAACTATCACCGAGCGTGCTTTCTCCCAGCCACTTCGAATATCACCAACTACCCTAGCACGTCGCGTCAGAGACGAAAACAAAAGCAGTAAGTAGGTCACACTGAGTGTCATTACGGTCTCTATTTGCCATTGTCGCTTTGCACGGATCATTACCCAACCGACCAGGACCAGAGGTTCATTCAGGACTCAGGTACAAAAGTAACCAAACTCATTTTAATCACCACCCAAAAACCGGCTGAGCCCGTACCATCAGCCTTACGGGTTTAGCTACTACACCGAATGACACTCTTAGATCTTCAGACTTTGGATTGTTGTCACGGCCACTGGAGTGAAACGAGAAATCGAATCTTCCTACCAGCGCGGCAAGTAGAACCATCATTTCATCTCGAGCAAATGTCTCTGCGATACAGCAGCGTGGTCCTCTCCCAAAAGGCATAAAAGAGCTTTGCATTCTGGCCCCTCCTTTCTTGTCTGACAGCCAACGCGTTATATCCCAAGTTGATGGACTGGGTAACGTGGTGTGAGAGGCGCTTGAAGTTCCGCCTGACGGATCTCCGCTTCGCCAGTATATCGGTGATCTGTGGATCGCCCAAGGCGAGATGGCAAGTATCGTGCCTTCAGGTATCACTTGATCAGATCCAGATAGTAGCATATCAGTCCGCGCTTCCCTGTATGTCAAGGCCACTACGGGAGAGAATCGCAAAGTTTCGTTGCAGACAGCTGTCAGGACAGGCATCTTCTGCAACAATTCGGATTTGAAAAGTGGACCGCCCTTCTGGTNCGGATGCGGGAAACTTGCGCGGACTTCTATACGCAACAAGGCTTGCACACCGGCCCTGGTCGAAAGGTGATAGATGGCCCAACTCAGTGCAACAGAAACAGTCCTGTAGCCTGTAGCCAGGAAAGTTGTACACATGTCAAGAATCTCTTCATCACTGAGGTCCTCCGACTTGATTGCAGTATCTAGGATGTTCTTGTCGGGTAAGGTGCGAGATGCAGGTGTGTNACTGAAAGCCACATCAAGTCAGCATTCGGGTCAGAAAACCTATCGATACAGAGCCGTATCAGGTCGTAATGAAAGCAATCATGTTGTGCGTACCTCTGACTTCCTTCGGGCGATTTGAGTCCGACAAAAGCTCTTTATACTCAGCATAGACTTTCTGGTTTTGCGTATGTCGTCGACTGGAAGAAGTCCGAAGAATAGATGAGACGGGAGAATCGTTTCCCAAGCCATCTCGGCCTGCGCAGACAAGCCCGATGATATTGAGAACGCATCTCGAAACTCTTGTAGTAGGTCTTCGACGGAAGTGTGGTCACCGATCGCCGTTGATCCAAAGAAGGNCGATGAACACGATTCGAATGTAGCCTTCTCAAGTAACTTGAGGACTTCGATAGCACTGTCGGGGCCCAATAATTGTCCATCAGTGCCAGTGATGCAAGTTGTGACTTTTTCAACAAGTGAACCGGCGTTTTCCTAGAACATGGGGCAGAACTCAGCGACGTGCTGAGAGTAAAAGTCCGAGTTCACGTTCTTTCGGCAGCGTATGTGGTCGGCCCCATCGCTCACCACCAAGCTACTCTTGCCCAGGACTGGGGACAGTAGGCGCCGAATGAGGTATGAACGACCAAACTCGTAAGCCTCGGAGTCCATGACTTGTTTGATGTCCTTCGGATCCGTGAGAAGCAACCGCTCAGAATTCAGGACGCCAAAATATCGAATAATCTGACTGGTAGGAGCTTGTCCATAAAACTTTGCAAGGTCACTGCTAGTGGGCTCCTTGAGCAGTCTCGTCCAGATAGGCTCTTGAGTAGCGGTGGGAAGATTGCGGAGAACGCCAAAGAAGAAGGGTTGGAGGACTATCGCATCGATGATGGCGCAAAGACTGGATAAGATGGCGAAACAGTTAGCGAGAAAAATGGCATGGAGCCAAGAGTATGAATGGCGAAAGGCGATATTGACTAGAATAGGGATAGAAGTCGCGAACAGGATGAACTGAGCGTAGTCAAACATAGTGAGATAGTGGTACTAGGTTATGTCTGTCAATGGTCCGCAGGAGGGATTCTGCATTTGGAGCTGGACGGCCAGGCGAAAAGGCAGGGACAGGCGCGTCATCTTTTTGAAGGCTCCTTCCTCAACCGCGCCATTGAACTGAATCGACACGAAAGTCTCATATTGTGAACATGCGGATAGGTGGAAAGATGACGTGAAGCGAATTTGATATCTTTTCCAGAAAGTCTAGCTCCTCTATTTTCCCTTTCTATAACACATGGTGATGGAAACTTTTTAGCAAGCAACGAAAATTACTTTGCCCAGACAAGAACACCAGGCTTGGTCTCGTGCTCCACAACAAAGTGGTGGCTTGTCCAAGCCTTCCAGAGAGCCTTGAGGAATGAAGTGTTGTCACGAATGTACTTCTTGCCAAGCATGGGCTGGATGGCACCAGTGGCCTCCTCAGCGTGGTAGAACGGAATGCGACTATCGTGGCGTGTTAGCTTTTCTCTCATGCAACAAATGAGTAACTTGGAACTTACGGGAANAAGGTGGTGAACAACGTGGAACTCAATGATACCGTGGAACAGCTCGCGACCGACAAAGCCAAAGTCTCTGTCAACGGTGGCCAAAGCGCCCTTCTCGAAAGTCCAAGTGCCTTGCTCGAAGTGCTCAGCATCGCCGTGGTTGTGGTGAAGGTAAGTAATGGCGACTGGACCGTGTTAGTGACAACTTTCTCCAATTTTCGTCTAGAGAAGCAACATACCAAGCCAGTGGTTGACCCAGAGGTAAGGAAGGCCATAGAGCAATGCAACCTGAGTCAAGCCCATAACCTGGGTAGCGTAGTAAAGACCGTAGCCAACAGCGAGGAGACCAAGATCAGAAATCAGAATGGCCAGACGTTGAGAAGGAAGGTAGATCGGAGAGAAAGGAGAGTAGTGACTGAGGTTGGAAGTGGTACGAGGGTCCTTGAAGTTTGCAAGACTCTTGTAGCCAGAAGAGGCGTAGGTGAGCATGTAGATTTGCCAGCCAATCAATTGGTGTCCCATAAGGAATATCAAGCTGACGATAGGTGCATCTTCAGTCATGTGGAAGATTTCTTTGACTGTGTCCTGAACCTTAGTCATGAGGTGCATACCATCGTCCTTCTTTGCGGGAACGAATGCGGTGTCCTTCTCCATGTGGTTGGTGAATCTGTGATGTCTGGCGTGGCTGTATTNTCTGTGAGCAGGTTAGCAAATCTGTGCCGAATTTCAACACGAGAGCAGAAAATCATGGGTTTCTTTCGGGAAAAAGCGTCGACTCATAATCAAGCCAGGAGCGGCATTTCGATGAGAATCCGGCTTGATTCGACGATTCAGAAAATCATTGTTAAAGTCACGTACCCAGGAAAAGTAAGGAACACCCAAGAAGCTGTGCATGATAAGACCGAATGTGTCGTTGGCAGTGCCATTGTCAAACATGGCCTGGTGACCGCACTCGTGAGCCAAAATCCAGATTCCCACAAAGACGAATCCCTGGAAGACGCTGTAAAGTGCCCATAGGGCGCATCTGAGAGCGAATGATGGCGCATATTGGATCTGAGAGCCCATGTAGAACACGGTGCAGACAAGGGCGATGTCTCGCACGATGTAGCTCATAGAAGTCGATGTCGACTTCTGGAAGCAGTGCTTGGGAATGGCAGCTCTCAGCGAGTCGATTGACGTGCTGGTGGGCTTGGTCTCGGAAACTGCTTGAGCACCCATGTTTGCTGACTGAGGAACGATACAAATGAGTGACTGGTCAAGCAATATCGTCAATTGCGATCTGTTGATGCAAGAAAGTTCGCACAGAAAAGAACTTCGAGAAGGACCCTTTTTCTTCGACAATTGACAGATCCCCTTTTATCCACTCTTGTTGAGCGTCGAGAACGTGGCCCACAATAAAGCATTGGTGAAAATTTCGGTTAAAGCGCCGATTGGTGAACTCCCGATGCCAGGGTCTGACCTTCCCTGATCGACGGGTCTTGAAGCACGACTCAGCCTTCAGAATCCACTTCATCCCGTGTTTCTGCATCAAGCATAACTTCACTCCTTTGTTTGAGCTTTGCACAGCTGTGTTCTCGTCTCCAGAATCCAAGGGCTTGGTATTTAGGTCCAAGCTGTCGTGGCAAAGCTGGGATCTCTCGTCTTTTCCTTTTGCTTGATCCTCAACAGTATCTTCTCTTGATATTCTTTTGCTTTTTTTTTCTCACTGGAACAAAGTCTCCAATAGCACTTTTATCAAACACAACGTGTCCCCAGTAGGCGACCACAATCAGTAAGAGAAGATCGACATGGCTCCTGCCGCTATGTCGCCAAGGCCCAAAGGATTTCACGAGTCCCCGGTATTCGCCGTATGGCTCAACCCGACATTGCAAACCTACACCGGCACGGCTCTTAGTCCAATCTCGCACGACCTCGATGGTGATTCATGATGCTGCCCGAGGTTCGATGCTCAGGCACCGAGATGCATGTTCTTTCAAAATATGCTGGAAGGTTTGTGCACACGCAATTGCAACTTTATACTTCGCTGTGCCGAGAAGAAATTGTGAAAGGTTAGGAGTTCAGGTCATTATTGTATTGCAATGTTTTTCCGTGTTGAACTTTGTCGACCATCGCAGTGCAGATGTGTATGCACAACATTTGACCTCTGTTGGTCTGAAATCCAGCAGGTACGGAGTCTAGTCCGATCCATCTTTTTGATCATGCGTGAATGATCGAGAGAAGCGCTGTTCAATGTTCTTCAACTAACTTCGAGACAGAGTCTTTCGATTTGGGTTGTCATTGATGATTAAGGTCCTGACAGCATAGGGACAGCGGATCGTTATGATAGTTTCCCATATGTGATGGTCCCGACATTCTCGTGGAATGGACGAACTCGATATGAATACACAGTCGAATGTTCACCTATGGGCAGAACCATAATTCTGGAACGAAACTTTGATAGACTTGTCCATCTCTGGGTATTTCTCAAAATCTGAGGATGGTTCGTGTATAGAAGACAGACCCTACGGCTACCTCTGAACGAATCGTCAGTCGGGTATAGGTAGTCCGTCGCTGCTTGGGTTCTGTACAGGATGCAAAGTGTTGATGCCAGATCAAGCGGGTTAACTCTTGAGACCAAACACAAATCCTGGCTAGTCAGCTTACAGGTACCGACATCCCTGGAACCAGACATCTCGAGCACTACAATCATCATGATGTAAATCCGTCTCCAATACTCGTGACGGATGAGATCTTCATCTCAAAGAGTAGTGAGCATCGATGACTTCGAGGGCGGCAGCGAAAAACAATCAGAGCATTGTGCTCACCATTGATGGTGGAAACTTGCGCTTTTGACAAAACTCACAGTAGTATTCCCCATATCGAGTGTGTGTGCCATGGGGAAGTGTCAACGGCGGCAGTGGTTAAAGGCTGACTCGCCGAGTTTGAATACCGTCGTTGATAGCTTTTCACCCTGTTCGTGACATCACTGAAAACACTGGGCGTTTCCCGAAACGAACACAGGTACAACTATCTGCACATGTCATGGAGTACATGTATTTTCGTGTCATACCACGACACTCGTCCGCGTCCGAGGAACTTGCGATACAACTAAGCAGATGCTGGAAAAGCAAGCAAAGCAAAGGAAAGCATGATGGCTGTGAAACTCAAAAGGACGGTATCTAATTTCCGGACGATGTCATCGTCGACCTTGGCGACGCCAAGCATCCCTATACCAAGATCGAAAGGAGTGCTTGTCTCTCCCAAGCTGTGTGAACAAGCAAATACCGAGATGTAGTCAATTGGATTCACTCTTTCCAGTCTCGTCTCGCCTTCCACTCAATATATGCAACCTGCCCACGTATGAAGAACAGTAAATGATATTTGCTGTCTGGGGTGGTTGGGCCTCGGAGAGTCCAGATTAACACAGCCACAAGCCTTGGCCCGATCGTGCATCCCGTCTGCCAGCGAATTATTTCTTGCTGCAGGAGGCTGTTGCTGATTTAAAGCTGTTGGAAACAAGGAAAACGCGCTGAAGACGTGCGAGGCGCTGCTCTCCCTGAGCTAAAGTAACGACCTGCTCCACGACCTGACCATCACCAACACCTTCGTTTCCCCCCAGACCTTGACTCGCGATTTCCTTCCCTTTCAGATTACCTGCCTTGTCGCTGGCTGTGATTAGCGGAGGAGACAACCATCAGAGAACAACACAAACTCTCAAGCGTTATGACAACTCAACCCAAACCCCGTCGCGGAAGCCGTCAATCGTCGAGCCCTTACACGCACGAACCGAAGCCCCAGCAAGAACGCGAAGATGGCAGGCTGCCCGAATACAACCACAATGGTCATGCTGTGACTCCGGGCATCAAACCTAACGGCGAAAGTGGTAGACGCGGTGTCCATCCTCTCCATTTCTTCAAAATTTGCTGGGCCAGCTCGTGTACCGCTTCCAAATGGGTGAACGTGCTATGGCCGTTCGTTCCTGCCGCCATTGCTTTGGTAAGTAGAGCATCTCTGTCACTTTGTTTTCCATCTGTTGACACTATTCTGCAANNGCACTTTGCCAGACCCCAGGAACAACTCTGGATCTTCATCTTAGCATATGTTGCCATGGTCCCGTCAGCAAACCTTATTGGATTTGCTGGACAAGAATTAGCCAGGAAGCTTCCAACTGTTCTTGGTGTTGTCCTTGAGACCACATTAGGCTCTCTGGTTGAGATGATTCTCTTCGTTGTACTTCTGGTCAATCAGAGAGAAAACGGCGTGCCAATTGTTCAAGCCGCTATTCTTGGTAGTATCCTGGCAAACCTCCTGCTGTGCATGGGTCTCTGCTTTTTCTTCGGAGGTCTGCGCCGTCATGAGCAGACGTTCCACGACGTCGTCAGTGACACTGGAAGCAATCTCATGCTGGTTGCCGGCTTCGCTCTTGTCATTCCAGTCACCTATGCCAACGCTCTTGCAGGCCGCCAAAATCTCACAGAAGAGATACTCAGGATGGAGGTTGTCAAGATCTCTCGGGCTACCGCCATCATCCTTCTTATCGCCTTTGCAGTTTACACTTTCTTCCAGATGAAGTCGCATCACGGACTTTACGACGACATTCTCGAAGAGGACGAGCAGAATGATGCTGACCGCCACCGTGATCTGGCCAAAGCAAAGCTTACTCTCACCGAGTCTATCCTTGCTCTTGCTATTGCCATCACTTTCGTTTCGATGATGGCCGTATTTCTGGTTCAGAACATTGAATACATGAAAAACAACCGCAACTTGTCGGATGCCTTCCTGGGTCTCATCCTGGTCCCGCTTGTCGAGAAAGCTGCCGAGCACATCACCGCGATTGACGAAGCATGGGACAATCAGATGAATTTTGCATTGTCACACATCCTTGGTGCATCTATCCAGACCGCGCTGTTAAACACTCCGCTTGCAGTCATCGTTGGCTGGGGCCTGGTACGTTAACATCGTCTTCGCTCGATTGTGGTTGGTTCGTTGCTAACAGTATCTGTAGAANNGGTACACATGTCACTCAACTTCGAGATGTTCGATGCCGTCGTCCTCATCCTCGCTATCCTCGTGGTCGGCCAGTTCTTGCGTGACGGAAAATCGAACTATCTGGAAGGAGTTTTGTGTTTCCTTGTATATGTGGTAAGTCGAAAATATGAACACCACGATTAGTGCTGGCACTTTACCTCAGTCTGTACGAAGAGCTCAAACACGGGTGGTGTTTGGACAAAACACGATCTGGGATGGCGTCTCGCAGAACTGAGTGCACTGAACCAACAAAGTCGTGGTGTTCTTACATCCAACTCTATGAGATCATGCTAATTGTACCTCTTANNGCTTATCGCAGTTGCTGCCTTCTACTATCCCAACCCAGTTGAGGGCGAAGAGAGCGCTGGCAGCAGTACATCAAGCGAAGGCGCTTCCAAATTCAGATGACCGGACTTGGACATTGTTTGTTTTTAGCGTTTCTATGGCAAATAGGGCTTCTACTCAGAATTAACGCTTACCATAACTCGAGCTTTACCTAGTACACCGCTTCTCCAGGGCTTGGTGTACGGAATGTGGATTGGAGCTTCTCGACAGCTCCGAAAGGCAGTATGGCCGTCGTTCTCGGCTTGAGCTGACTGCATTCCTCGTGTCTCCGAGAGAACCGGCGCCCTCGATCCATACATCGGGCCGAAACACACAACTTACATCTTCAGCATGTTCCTGAGAACTCGTCGGAGTAGTCGTGACTATTTGCTTGCCTTCTATGCTCATTCTTTTTATGATTCTCGACATGACACACACTCATTTTGGTCCCAGATATTGCTCAAAGGCAACTCTACTTTGCCTGGTCACTCTTTTATCGAATTTCACGAAAGCGCAAAACGCCTGTAACATATATCGTCCCGCTAGCCAAGCTGTCGTATATCAGCAGGCGGTATCTGTTAATACTTTTGTTCAATTGAACACCACCTTCCTTCCTGTTCCCGAAGCACAAGCAATCACGGTAACAGATGCGCCAACCTCGTTTGACCTTGTAACAACGCTATCCTGGACCAGAACGGTCCCCTACACGGCTTTGACATCTACCTTAGCCAGCGTCGCGGTTCCGACCGCAACGGATTCGACCTTCATCCTATTCGTCAGGTCCGATACGAAGCTGCATCAAAAGCGTCAGAGCGGTCTATACATGAACGCGAATGGAACAATCAGCAATGACTGTGCGAGTGCACCTATATATTCGATCAGCAACGGTGTTCTCACTGCAACGATAAACAACGTCGTCTACTACTACTCGACGAACCCGGGAGTTTCATACGCCCCGTTCGTCCCCTCACAGACCCCAGGATCGATCATGACATCGTTTTCGGCCACGAGTAACGGTCAGCTGTCTTGGTTCAATTCGCAATTCTACAATGGGCAGGCACAATTTTGCTCGCTTAGCAATGGTACTGTGTATGCAGTATTCCAGCAGAATGCGGCGCCTTCTGGCTGCATGTACATCCAGCTATCTCTCTTTTCGACGTCTTCATGTGCGGCATTGGCCATGAGTTCTGGCCCAAGGTATGCTTGTACCGTCCGCCTTTTCCGTATGTGCACGAGCTGACCATCATATAGTGGACCGTCAGGTGAGTCTAGGCAACATATCTACCCGGCGATGCTCAGTCTTCGTCCAGGACCCATACATCGGCTTTTCATATCGCTCGACATCGCAGTTATTATTGAACACGAAGACTGACCGCTTTTGTATACAGGTCCGAGCGTAAGATCCGTTTGTTTCTACAAGTCAGTATCCGTATTTTGACACCCACCAGGGAGCGAGCGGTCAACCAGGTGCTACGGTAAGTCACTTCCTTGTTCTGTTCGTGCGAGGAGTTTGTGGCCTACTTGTGCTGACTAAATTGACGTTCCTAGGGAAGCCAAGGACCAGCTGGTTCGTCGTTCCTCCCCCAAGAACTTGTCGTAGCAATGTTCACGTCATACTACAACAAATTCCTAATAGTCGATACCTGCTAACCATTGGCCTTTCACAATAGGACCTCAAGTATGTTTTCGCTTGATGTATTTTGCTAGACGTCAGACTTACGGAGTGATCACCAGGGCATTCAAGGCGTGCAAGGCGCACAGGGTGTGAGCGGTCAAATAGGAGCTACAGTAGGTTTGACCTCCTGTCCACCTATCAGACTGACCTTGCTAATCAGAGCTTGCTACCTTTCAGGGATCTACGGGTGAGTGATCGACAAGGACATTCTTCGTGGAAACCAGTTCCTGACTTCTGGGCTCATCATGTAGGACCGCAGGTATGATATTTTCAATATCTCGAACCCCCAATAACATGATTTTAACGTCCAAAAGGGCTCTCCAGGCAGCACTGGTCCGACGGGCTCTACAGGGCCTACTGGAGCTACGGGCCCAACCGGCTCGACAGGCCCGAGTGGCCCTACTGGCGCCACAGGTATTTCGGGTGTCAGCGGTCAAATAGGAGCTACAGTATGTGTGCCACTCCGTGGATGATCTATCAACTTTGCTGACTGAGGTTTCTCCTATCTCAGGGACCAACAGGTGAGCACTTGATGAATGTTTCTCCAGCAAAACCACTGACTTGTTTCTCCTTCACATAGGACCACAGGTATGATACCGTTGACAGTTCCGAATAGTATTCTTCATTCTGATATTCAGTAGGGTACACCAGGGAGTAGTGGTCCAACAGGACCGATAGGACCAACAGGCTCAATAGGCCCAAGTGGCCCTACTGGCCCGACGGGGATTTCAGGAGCTTCGGGCGGTATTGGACCTACAGGACCCACGGGGTCGACAGGACCCAGCGGTGCTTCGGGGCCTACGGGTCCCACGGGATCCACTGGTCCTAGTGGTCCTGGTGGTCCTAGCGGGCCCTCAGGTCCATCAGGTCCTCCGGGCTCTACGGGCGTGCAAGTAAGTGATAACATCAGAAGACTCGAACATCTAAACCCTAAAACACCATGATATCGAGCCATACTTCACACTCTCGTTCCCATCAAGTATATACTAACAATATCTAGGGACCATCAGGGTAACAAGCACCTCCAAACACCTCTAACAACTCCAACTAACCCTCCATCTCCCCCACAGACCCGCCGGCCCACTCGCAACAGGCATTCTCTACGCCTACCTAGGCTGCTACGTCCAGACCGGCTCCTCAACCGTGACCACCGGCCGCGCCCTCTCCGCCTTCCAAGCCAACTACCCCACCCAAGTAAACAGTCGCTGCAGCAGCATCTGCCTATCCCTGAACTACGTATATTTCGGCACCGTAAACCAAGGAACCGCATCTGCGGATTGCTGGTGTGGAAACTCGATTACCTATGTTACTGTCCAGAGTGGATTGTTGAGTGGGACTACTGGCGAGGCTGGAGAAAACAATTGTTATCTGTGTAATGGCGGGAGTGTTGCTGGGGGTGTGCCTGGTGCGTGTGGGAATTCTTCGGTTAGCACGATTGCGATATTTGCTCGTTCTTTTTGAGGGTTGTGTGAGGGTGAGGGAGGTGTTTTCTGGTGTTTGTTTGGGGGAAAGGGGTGTTCTTGGGATGGTTGTTGCTGTATGCAGTTTCTTTCTTTTCGTATGTCACAGTTTGATACCAACAGCGATCGAAACATGAAATATTTACTCTGAATCTCTATACAAAGCTCCCCGTAGCGACAACATTTACTAGTTGCTGGTTCGAGTAACTCGATATCGAACGATTCGAGTTTCTCACATGGCAACGGGGCGTCACGATCATCGTTGCTTCCTCTTGTTGTTCTCGCCCCTCGGTCCATCGGAGATTTGGCAAGACGTTTTGTGATTGCAGTCGCCCGCCCTTGAACGGAAGCAACATCGAGTTCATTACTTGGTCGAGAAACTATCATTCAAGAATGCACCTGATTTCCTGCTGCTGGCAGATACTCTAGGGGAGGAGAGTCGAAGGTGAGTACATTCAAAGACTAGGGAAGATTGAGTCAAAAGATCCGCTTTTTGTTAGGTAACAGCAAGGAATGTAAACAGAATGTGCATAGATGGTATTGAGATAGGAGATTCAAGATTCAATTCGGACGGACAACATGTCCATAACATCCTAGTATACATGACATTACAACAGATTACTCATAACTCTCGTGATACCAAACTCGATCGACAGACGACCCCTTTCGTTCCTCTGATAGAAGCCGCGATACAAGTCTAGGCCGAGTATCTCTCCTTCTCTTCCTTTGCCTTCTTCCTGTCACTGGCACCCTTGATGAAAGTGCTGAGATCGCCAACGGGAAGCTGGAAGGGAAAGTCAAGAGCAGCGAGCATGATGGCGAAGAAGATCCACCAGCCACACATGTCGGTGACGAAGGTGAGTGCTCCGGCAGCGACAAGACACTTTGTGGCGGTAGCACCATGGGCAGCAAACGCGGCCGAGCCTTGAGCGTGACTGTAGGCAAGGGCAAGGTTCCAGTAAGCGCCGGTCAAGCAGCCAAAGGCGAGGACGAGGGTGAAGAAGATCATGGCGAAGACGATGTTGGTGCGAAGCGAGCAGATGAAGTACAAAAGACACAACACGCCCATGAAGACGAGGAAGAAGCCTGTTGTAGAAATTCAGTAAGTTGTAGGTATGATATATCAGCCTGGTGGTACGAACCGAANACTGGCATTGAACGCGACAGTTTGTAACCCCTCACCAGGAGCGGCGGCATCGGCTGAAAAGGCACCGTATGCATTATAGAATGGTTGAAGAGTAGCAGCGAAGGTCAACCAGAAAGCACCGAATGAGCCGAAGACGACGAAGGGGAATGTGTTGCCGATCAACCACTATCAAGGTATCAGTGAGAAGAACTCAAGGTAGAAGTCAAGACAACTTACCTCGCCAATAGAGCCGAGAATCATCAACAGACCACCAAAGAAGAAGTAAGCACCGACATCAGAGGCGCCCGTGTTTGAAGCACCTCTCCATCCCATCAACATGCAACTCAATGGTGTCAAGCTGAGAAGAAACCCGACCAAAGNCGCTAGATGTATTGTCAGAAGGGAAACTCTATGTCAACGCCTCGATGACACATACAGTGGTGTAGGGTTACCAAAGGTCTTTCTCAATTCACCAGCGACCTTGTTCTGAGGAGACAGATAGATCTTTTCGAACAGTTCGGGTGAGATGGAGATGCTACCAGCCGTACGAATTCTGTGCAGCGCCGTCTCACTGTCAATATCGTTGCCAATGTGGCTGTTGAAGTCTAGTACACTGTCAGCTCGGGGATGATACATCTGCGNAGATATTCAATTACCATTGTTGAAGTCCTTCTCGATTGGCGGACTAGGGTCCATGTGCTGAGTCGCGCTGTAGTTGGCCTCGTTTGCCATGTTGACGTTGCGTATAAAAATGCTTTGATGGAAAAATGTATGTGAATTTGAGATAGGAAAGGAATGCTTGCGGTCACAACAGAGGATA